GAGCCATAATTTGATTTCCTGCACTTTTGGCTTAGCATCCATACATGCTGCCTGAACACCTGACAGAGTGCTATCCGCTTGCCTGCATCTAACACAGCTATCCTGATCTTTTAGTTAGGCAGTAGAATCATGGCTACATGTACAGCAAGCAGGAGCCCATATGGCTGAGCAAGATGTGCCATTAGGCATGTGTATTCTGCAAAAGTGTACACAGTAGCACAAATCTCAATGAGTGGTATGTGCATTTGGCTGCCACCTTCCAAAATGCCAAGTCCTTGGGGCTAACTTGCTTCACTGTGTTCTTGGCCTCTTGTAGCTATGTATAGTACCTGATTGTACTGAATCTAACAGCTAGAGCTGCTGCTGGGATCCTTGCAAGCTTAAAACATTGCACAAAGGATTGATTAAGGTCCAAATAGTCTCTGCTTCTTCAGGATCACTTTTGTTAAACCTGTTCCCTCTTTTTTTGGATTGAAGACTAAGATTTTCTAATTTATCCAGTACTCTGCAAGTGTTAATCTATATTGGAAAGTGATTGGAGTTTGTAGTTCAAACCTATTACATGGTATATACGGTGATGGAAATAATTGACAAATGCATGCCATTGTAGGGCTTTAACCTTTATTCGATTTAATTGGATAGGTTAACTGATCAAACATTTTAATCAATTGGAAACATGCCTTTGGTTGATTGGGCAGCAGACTCATTTAAAAAAAATAAATCTTTTAATGCAAGTATTTATAAAAACTGCAGGGCACAATTGCCATCTTAAAGGGTTATTCCCCACTTTCTCTCATATAGAACACCTTTTCTAAGATAATGCCTGCAGCTGCAAGCAAAGAAAGTGTGCTTGTGTTGTAGATTTAATCGATTAATTAATTGCAACTAGTGCAGCTCAGGGTTTACAATTTTCTAAATTTGGTGACAGCTCTACTAAATTGTATCTAAACAAACAGGAATAAGTTGTTGAGCTTTGGACAAACATAGTAATGATATACCTGTTATGTATGAAGGCATTGTAGGCTGTACGTATGCAATGCAGGCCTAGGCCTTCATGCCTCCTGTAGCTCAGGAGCTTCATCTGCATAACAAAAGACAGAGAGGATTAAAAAACCCTCCAATGACATTGTTTGTAGCTGGCAGGCTGCCAGTCCCTGCTGAGATTGGGCCAGTGTTGTGATTCGCTAATTGCAGCGTTAAAGTGACCTATCACAGGTGGTGTGTGTGTTTTGCCTGGGCCGGCTTAAGGTATATATACTGGACCAAGTGTCCATGTTTGTCATTCTTCTTCTTCATCTACTTGATGTTCCAATAAATCCTTTTTGAGCTGAATCTCGGTTTTGGGTCATGCCTGAACCCGCCTACACTTCAATACCTATTGAACTGTGTCATATTTTTGTTTATTATTAATTACTTGCCCTTCATCCTAAAGTCCCAGGGCGGGTTACAACAATTAAAACAATATTAAAAACAGTTTTAAACAACTTAGGGAGCACCCCTAAGCTGCAAACCTGCTCCTTTCAGGGAAGTGCAACCTTGACCAGCGCAGGCCATCTTCCCACCTCCCAGATTTGGAACACATAATACCTCTATCTTTTCAGAATTACGCCTCAGTTTATTGGCCCACATCCAGCCCATCATTGCATCCAAGCATTGGTCTTAACAGCTCAGCTGCCTCTCCTGATTCTGTTGGAATAGAGAGAAAGAGCTGGGTGTCATCCTTGGATGTTCACGGCACTTCACTCCAGATCTCCTGATGTCAGGAATCAGACCATCAGTCTGTTTAGCCCAGTACTGTTGACCAGATGTGGTAGCAGCTGTCCAGGGTCTCAGGTAGAGATCTTCCCCAACCACATAACCTGTGATACTCATCTGTACAGCTTAGGTACTACTTTTCTGAACTGTGGATTCTCTCAGTAGAGAAACACCTCACCCCCATCTCCTTAGCCAAACTTTTAGAGTTACACTTTTATGGGAAATGCAGGGTCAATTCACAGTTCACCACCATCACAAGCCCACATGTTAAAAGTCGAAAGAATATTGGAGGGGTGGTGAGCTGATCTTCTAGCTCAGAAGTAGGGGACCAGTGCCCCCCCCCAGTCCTGACTATTGGCCATTTTGGCTGATGAGAGCTGGAGTCCAAAAGCGTCTAGAGGGCCACAGATTTCTCACTACTGTTCTATCTAGTCATTTGACCCCATTCAGATCCACAGTTTAGCAGCTGTCAAGCACCATTAGGTCTGTTGCAAACACATAGTCAGAAAGAGGTCCAGAGAAACTCTGCCCGAAGTATTCGTTTGTGTTTTTTATTTAGCTAGTTATATCTTTACCTAGTTGAAAGGAGGAATCTAGATAGGTGAAGTACAGTGGCACCCCAGGTTACAGACGCTTCAGGTTACAGACTCTGCTAACCCAGAAATAGTACCTGGGGTTAAGAACTTTGCTTCAGGATGAGAACAAAAATTGTGCGGTGGCAGCGCGGCAGCAGCGGGAGGCCCCATTAGCTAAAGTAGAACCTCAGGTTAAGAACAGTTTCAGGTTAAGAACGGACCTCCAGAACGAATTAAGTTCTTAACCCGATGTACCACTGTAATTAATGTACAAGATGACATCTCTGTATCAAAGTGTAGCACGTTTTAATGGGTCCACAATGTGGCTCCCTTAGGTGCCACAAGCTTCTGCTTTTCCAAACTTTTATTACTTTTTTAAATGAGGGGGTTTGGGACCTTTTTTTGTTGCTGTGAGGGAGTTGCCTGGTTTTCTAAAATTTTTGGTCTGGTTTTCATTTGTTATGGGGTAGGGTGGGGAAACGGGTTCTGAGCAGTGCCCAATTTTCTTTTCTGTAATGGGTATTTCATGGTGCCCACATCAGTTCCTTAGATTTCCAAATGTGCCTGCAGGCCCACAATTGTTGATTCCACAAAATACAAATCACTCAAGATGCAAATCACAGTATTTGTGTTCTGGAATTGCAAACAACTGATTATGAAAACTGAATATCTATTGTAATTGGGCGTGACTCCATCTGAAGTCAGACTGTAAATGAGATCCTGATTACGCTATTACACTCTCTCTTATGTTGTTTGCTCACTGTCTTTCATGCGTTTCGGTTTCTGAGACTTCAGTGCCAACAGCAGTGTTGGTCTCTCTGCAGCCCTCTCTGAAAAAGAGAAGCTTTTATGTGCAAGTCTCCCCACCTCCCAGCGTCCTATCAATGCTCAATTCTCTGAGTGGTTGATCTGACAGCAGTGACTTCAGCTAGTGGTACAGATTACTGGTAGTCCTTTGAACCACAATGTTGTCTTGTTAGGGTTTCCAATGGTTAAAGGGTAACCTCTTGATAAATAGAAGAGAAAACATAATATATACATCTTTCTGGGTGAGTTTTCACAAAATGAAATAGTGTTTGATATTCTCTGAACTTTGGACCTGAATGAAGTCCACTGTCTAGCTTAAACTCTGCAACTCTGTTTGTCATGTGATAACTGCAGTCATCACATGGTTATTTGCTTGCATGTAATGGTGTATTTACCGTTTTATCACCTCTGCACCATACATAACAGTGGCTATATCCTTCTTGATCCCGTGATTAATGGATCCATTCCACTCATTCTCTCAGACTTTGGTATCTGCTGGTCCAAATTAAGCCCTGACATGCATACTAAAGCCAACCGTTTGGGGAACAAAATTTTTTTGCCAAGGTACTTCAGGTCAGGGGAAGCTAACATGATGCCTTCCAGATGTTGTTGGATTCCCAATACCCATTAACCTCAGCCAGTATGACCAGTGATCACGCATTATGGAAGGTGTAGTCCAACAAGTATGTAACCAAGCATGTAGATAGGGCCAGAGCCAGTCTGAGTGTGTGGTTGCAAAGCCTCTGTGTGGAGGATTTGCGCAGTGGCCCATCACTCTACCTGATGTTGCAAATTACAGATCAGCAAGCAGCGGTTCCATGTGGTAGCAACCTTTTTGGTGAAGGACCTTCCCAACTGACTTAAAACACCTGTGTACCCCACCCCCCGCCCCGATTGGCTGCCCATTGGATCCTTCGGGGCAGGAAGGTGCATAAAGTGCTTCCTGCTCCCTCTGAGGCTTGCTTGGCTGCAAGGTCTTCCAGTGATCTGGAGTGCTCCTTTATTCTGGCGTCTCCTCTGACCCTGACTCACTCATTGGTTCTGACCACTGACTCATCTCATAGCTCCTGAGTCATCTCAGGGTTGGGCCGTGAACAGCAACAGGCTGACACATGTTCATGTGCCAATGGATAGTTGGAAGGGATGAGTGACATTAGTTCTCTGCTTACAGGTGCCATGCCTTACTTGGACTAAATTGGGGGCATTAGTATGTAGCTGATCTTAAAAAGAGGATTTTCCATCCAGGAGTGTGCTGTCCTTAAACTAACTGAAGAGTGTATTGTTAATCTTTTCCTCCCTCCCTGCAGGTCTGAGCTTTTAATTGTTATAAGCAGACAGAAATTCAACATGTGAAGTATTTCTCATTATGACCCTAATACACTGGGAAGAGCTTCACCTTTTAAATTTCAGTTTTGTAGGCTGCTGTTCAAAGCCTCAGTCATGGGGGAGGGGAGGTGGCAACCCTGTTTTGCACACTTCATTGTGGCGAGCCCACGTTCTTATTTAATTATGTCACGATTTCCGGTGCTTACCAACTTTCTGACAGCTTCCTGCTTGTGTGTTAGACTGAGTGGAGATACAGCATTTAGAGTTAAGGGGGAATTGGGAAAACACCCTGAATAAATGTTGAAGAAGCACCTGAGTTTCACTGGTCAATGTTCTGCACCAGGAAGCAACAGGTCTTGGTGTTGCTGATAGGATTCCCTCTCACTCTCCTTGCCAGAATTTTTTGCTGTTTTTTTCATATGAACCTTCACAAGTGCTGGAGGCTGCTGATTTTCTCCATATTCAGCGTTCCTGTGAATTAAGAATTGCTGGAGGGTGGAGTGGGGCTTTTTTCAGTGGAAGAAACCCAGTTGCAGAATGCTCTCCATGAGAGGCCCATTAAACATAATGTTGTCAGGTTTTGACTTGCCTTCAGAAAAAAAACCCTTCATCAGTTTACACAGGTATTTCTAGGCTATTAGTGGTTGGGCCTCTTTTTGTTTTATCCTTGTTTCGTATTCCTAAATGGTTTTATTTTTAAAAAAGAGAGAAATCATGTTGCCATGTAAAGTATACACAAACAGAACTCCAGAGTCGTCTCAGATCATTATTTCTTTTAATAGGAAATACATATAACAATCTGAAACACAAATTGGTAACAACAAAGAAAAACATCAGAGCAACAAGGAGTATAATACAAGCCTGAGCCTGGACTGGAAAAGGAGTGAAAGGTAAATATTTTCAGTACATTTTTAAAGAGATTCTCTATTTAAGATGGGGTGAGGAACTTCAGGTCTTGTGGTCCAGAAGTGAATGAGACCCTCTGGCTGAAAAAGGGTTTTCATCCCTAAATTAGAGGATGTTGTCTGATGATTATAAAAATAAGGTTCTGTGCTTTGGTTTAATAGGTCTTAAAAGAACCTCTTCTCTTTGATAGTTGCACTAATAATCTGGTTTCCTTATACAGGAACAATTTAGAAGCATTGAAAAATTTGCATCTGTCCATTGAGAAGTCTGCTCTGGTTTGTTGGTAAGTTTTTATGCCTCTACCAGAAAACAGATCTCCAAACTGTTTGTTACTGTTTTTCCCCCAAATCTCCAATGTTCATTTTACCCACTTAGGGTTATGTTATGAAACATTGACTTTTGCAGATAAGAAACTCCCAGATTTGTAATGTCATTTTAAAATAATATTCTCAATCCAGATTAGTGCACTTGTTTTAAAGAATTTTCTGTACTTCATATTGTATCAATGAATTTGTTTATTTACTGTTTTACTAGTGGATATGATCAGTCCAAAATAGTTCTGTAATAGTAATAGTTATGTAATAGTTCTGCTGCTCAGAGTACTTCAACTGAATCTGTTAGCTGCTTTGATTTCCATTTCGTTGGGAAAAGTTCTGCCTATAATGTTAGATTCACAATTTAGGATTTTTTATAGTTAGGTATGTTAAAACAGATTGTAATTGAAATTTGGAGGTAAAGGAGTCCTTGAAATGCTCAGTGGCTCAAGATAATGATGAGATCCTTTGCAGAAACAGCCTGTTATCCAAAAGAGCATTAGTATGCATCTTGGTGTAAAGTATTTTATAAGTATTTGGTGTGAGAAAAAAACCTGATGGCAAAGTATCTTTATTGAGTAGGAGAGCAAGTATCCTTGATGTCAACTTTATATAATTGGCTCTTGGTACCTTATATAAACATTAATTATGAATCTGAAATTAAGTAAGTTTTTTTATTAAAAAAAACTATTTGTTTTCAATTTTAGATGCTCTAATGACTTCTGAATGTTGCTATTATAGTCAAGCTCATGCTGAGATGTAAGACTTATTTTGCTTCACCTCACTAACGCAGTGCCAAAGGTTGACCTACTTTCTGATGACTGTGTCATTGTGCCCTTGCAGGTTCCACTTCCTAAGTCTCAATAATGTATATTATTAAACAAGCCTCTGCCTTGCTGGTATCCTTTTATCTCCCATACCTTGTCATTATGTGCTAGGCTGGAGCATACCCATCAGCTATGCCCCTGGAACTCTTGGGATTTTGTGTAGAATCTGGCACAGAACTTGGGTTTCTTGATACTGACTTTTATGCATTTTAAATAAAAATGGTTTTCTAGTTCTCATGGTTAAAAGCAACTAAGCCCACAAAGTGTTCGGGTAGTGTCAAAAGGCAGCCTAGGAAATCGACCAGAGGACTGATTCTTCCAGGCTTGAATCTGTGACCTATACTGCCAAGCTCCCTTACACACCTATGGATCTTAGCACCTATGGATCTTAGCACCTGTATGCCATCCTTATGCTACATTATCACAGTCTCCCCTGCCTCTCTGGGATAATGTGACAGTAAATAGGATAATCCTATGTCTACTGCACTGAGCTCCTTGAAGGGATGCCTATATGATGAAAAAAATCATAACGTCCTTATGGCTAAATGAGCCTTGAAGCCTAATGCATTTCTAGCTTGATGTTTGTTAGAAGTCAAATCACTGGGGCTACCTTCCAAGTAAATGTGTGTTTTTGATTTAGAATCATATATGTAATTCAGCAGTCAGGGCTGTCATGCCAGCTTATTTGCTGGTGGATATAAATGGTTCAGATATTGGAATACAGTATTCAGGGAAAGCTGTCTGTGGCCAAGAGACAGCAACTGCTGTTGTGTGGTCCTTTGTAAGGAGCTACAATTGCATATGTTGGATGCACAGAAGTCTGCCCAAAGAAATCTTTGGACACTTTATACTCATACTTCCACTCTGACTCAGAGATCATTGATACATGGAAATGTCAGCTATCAGACTCTGTGATACTTCCCTGGTACAAAAGGCAGTGCTAATTGTTCCCAGTGCTACTATGCTGCCTCTTGGCAAGCATACAGATTAACCTTCCATGTGACACCATTGAGCAGGAGTAAGAGGTTATGAAAGTACAGAAATGTTAGTCTTTGGGAACCCAAATTCAGTGGCCCTTTTCTTTCAGCTAACATTAAGCAGGGTTTTAATTTTGTTGTAATTTTAAATGGGGTTTTGATTGTGATTATTGTAATTAGGGTTGTTAATTGGTCTGGGCTCCCATGGTGGGCTATGGGGAAGAACGGAATGGAAATGTATGGGAATAAATAACTATTTTGGGGATGCTTTGAAGCAAGGCTACTGCATCATGATGTTCTTTGGGTGGGACTGAGTAAGGTCAATTATAATGGAAGTGTCCTTCCTGGGGTTAATAACACTTGGGGAAAGGGAGCATCAGGATCATGACTGGAGGGTTAAAAACTCTTCTTGTGAATCTGAGTCCTGATCTTGATTTCCCCCATTCTCCTGCTGCAGCTTTTATTGGAATGAAAAAAACTAGTTAAAGGCAAATCATACATTTAACATTTCAGCTATTTTCAGTCTTGTCTTCTGGCTGTCCACATATGCAGGGTATTATGCAGTAAAAAAAGAGAGCTGAATTCATTAATCAGGATAAAATATGCAAATTAAGAAATGTGCACAAAATACAGAGTATCTGCAAGAAAGGGCAAACAAGGGAAGCAGGCCATTAATATCTTGCTGTCTGACAGCTAGAAATTCTACTGAGCCCCACTCTAGCTTTGGAAATTTCACTCCACAGTGCCTATTTACTTTAAAGCCCATATTTCAAGCCATAAGGACTAGAAACTTGTTTTGTGTTTTTAAATGAAAGCTGGAACTCTTTGGTGTTGGATGATTCTGTGCCTTCTGCTTTGTGGGTGGGTGTGCATCAGTGATCTCCCAAGGCGGGTTTTGCGTTGACTTTATTCGATTCCAGTTTCCTTAATATTTCTGTTGTTTCTGCTTTCCTTATGAACTTTTTCTCATTCTGTATGTTTCATGGTTAAACTTTCCCTCTGGCAACATTTGATAGAGAATTGTCCTTTTTTGCCGTGGTTGGCAGTTCTTCCCTTTAAAATAAATATCTAACCTAGATGTTCTTCCACTTTTGCATACTGGGGTTGGTATGCAAAATCACTTTTGGCCTTGTTTCAATAGGAGTTTTGTATAGCAATTCCAGATTCCAACTTAACAACAGCACTATCTGGAAACCTGGACTTGGCATGGTACAAATCAGGACCTGCTATCCTGCTCCAGTGCTTGGACTTTTCAGTGTGCATATGCTTAATCCAAGCTGTCCATAAGAGGAAAAAAACTGTTGCAGATTAAATTTCTGTCTAAAACACAGCTGGGTGAGGCTGGCCTTAACTTATTCTGGCATACTTCTGTTGCTTATACTATTTGAGAATGGAAAATTGGTTAGTGTGTAATCAAGCCCCCCGAACCTTATCATGTCAATAGTTAATACTGGTGTTGGTATGCTTTTTGGTCATGGCAAGCGTCTTTCCCCCCACCCCATTTCTGATTTTGCTTAATGGTCTTTGCCTAACAACTGCTCCCAGCTACTGAAATTTGTGTTGCATCCCACTTGTCTTGGTGGAACTAAAGGAAACCATTCTGCTTCCCGCGAATGGCCAGAGAAAGTTATAGTAGCCTGAAGGGTTGTAGCTGATAGACATTAAGCAGCCCCCAGAACTGTTGTTGTTTTGGGGCACTGGTACTGCTTTGCTTTGCTTGTTACTGTGTTTTTCTCCCTTTGCTCAACTGGTACGCTCGGCAATAAAGCCTTGCCTCAGTACTCACAAGAGATCTGACAGTGTAAAAGCAAATCCCGTCAGATACTCGAAACAGTAAAAGCATTTGGCATTGCTTTGTTTCTAGCCTGCACTGCATTATTTGGTTTGTTTTTGAGCATTGATACGCTGCTTTTCCAACAAGTGTTTAAAGTAGCTTAAAGAAAGGAGGATAAAACATGAATAGTATAAAATGATACAACTAAGTAAGAACATTGAGAGTTTAATTAGCAAATAGCCTCTACCAGGAAAACATGGTCTCTTGACACAGCAGTTGACAGCATCCAGACTCTGCTTGTCTTGGAAGAGCTGGATGTCCCTGCTTCCCTTGACGAGCTGAAAAACTCCATCAAGTCTCAAAGGTGTGGTAAAGACTCAGGACAGGGCAGAATCCCAACAGAAGTGCTGAAAGCCGGCTTCACTTCCTCCCTCATGATGCACCTCCATGGTATTTACCTGTAGTGTTGGGAAGAAGGATCTGTGCCACAAGACATGCATCTCTCTGCTGAGTACTGTGGGGAAAGCCTTTGCCCAAGTAGTTCTCAACAGATTTATGCTCACTTGCTGACAGGGTCTATCCCAAGTCACAATTTGGCTTTAGAGCTTGGAGGTCAGTCAACATGATTTTCTCACTGAGCCAGCTGCAGGAGAAATGCTGAGAGCAGAGACACCCATTGCACATCCTTTTCATTGACCTTGTTCAACAAAAAAGGACGCTTCACACAGTTCAACAAGATGATCAGGTCTTTACAGGAGAACATGCATGTCACTGTCCAGTATGATGGTTCATCCTTGGACACCTTCCCTATAAAGAGTGGAATGAAACAGGACTGTGTTCTCACCCCAACTCTCTTTGGCACATTATTCTTCCTGTTGCTCTCCTATGCCTTCAGCTTCCATTCAAGGAGCAATGGTGTCTGTTCAAGCTGGCACATCTCTGTGCCAAGACAAAAGTGTGGCGTGTCTTATCTGAGAGATGTTGATTGCACTTGGTGCAGCCTTGACAGCGCACTCAGTGGGAGCTCTACAGAGACGCATCAACCATTTTGCCCAAGCCTCCATGGAGTTCGGCCTCACCATCAGCCTGACAAAGACCGGCAACCTGAATCAGGATGTTGCCAGCACTCCATGCATCAGCATTGGTGACCACACATGACATGAAGGCTGGCAACATTAACCCTGCCATATGGGAATCCCTTGCGGACGATTGCAGGGCCTGGAGACAGACAGTCAAGTTGTGCATCCACAGCAGTGATCAGAGGAGGAATGACTGTCAGGAGCAGCGCAGAGAGAAGTCTGACTTCACTCCCAAAGATGTACTCTTCCATTGTCTCCTGAGACAGATGGATGCTTACAATTCATGGTTTATAGCTTGAGGTGGGATATCTGGAGTGAAGTTGTACACTATGACTATAATACCAAGCCTTTGGGATATGAGCTGGGATAGCTCAGTTGGCAGAGCATGAGACTCTTAATCTTCAGGTTGTGGGTTTGAGCCCCACATTGGATGAAATATTCCTACATTGCAGGGGATTGGACTAGATGATCCTTGTGGTCCCTTACGACTCTGCAACTATATGATTCTATGATTCTGCTTTGGGTCTTGACTGACCTAGGTTTTGCTTATGTGCCTGTTGGGATCGTTGTTGAATTCCAGAAGTCAGGCAGGTGTTTTGTGCAGGCTGCTGCTTATGGGCTGGAGTATGTTGGCCATTGAGATTATTTTCATCCATCTTCTTCCACCAATATCTGAATATAATAAATATAGTTGGCCAGCATAGATATTGATTTTCTGCTTTTCATGGATTCCCAAAGATGAGGCAGGATAGTAGGTGAGGAAAATAAATTTGGAGCAGTTTTGGAAGATCTCAGAAATAAAATTTTGTGCATATGTGTGTTTGCAGATTTGCATGTGTAATAAAACTGGAGTATGAAAAGACTAAAGTTGGCTAAATTGCTATGTGAACCTTATCCTTTTTCCTGCCCCTTAAATCTTACCAGGGAGCAACCCATATGTAACCTGCAGAGCAAATTCAATTTCCTGTGACTCTGATACTAATGGGGGATGGGGTGGACAGTGGCTGTAAACGTCACTGCACCCTGGGCGATATTTTATAATCATAAGCTGAGCTTTTCCCTTGACTGAACTTTGATGGATGACTTATTCTAATCTTTTACGTAGTCAGATAATCTCCCCTCCACTCCCCTCTGCTGGCATTAAAATGAAAGATTTCTAAGGAGTAAGGACTGGTCTTCCAATCCAATCCTAGGATGAGTTAACTTCCCAAGATTGCAACAGTTCTGGGTAAAAATTTAACCAGACCTTTATAGCCAACTGCTTGATTGTCCAGACCAAAAGCTACGCACTGATCCCAAACAAATGAGAACCTTGGAAACTGCTGTAATTACAGCTTTACAAAAACGCAGATTCCACCATCTGTCTTCTCGTAGACCCTAGATGAGGAAAAGGTAAGCACAAGGGCTAGGGTGTCCACTGCTGATCTTGCCTGTGTTTCTCTTGGATACCTCTCACAGAAAAGGAGGTTGTTGACTCTGCCCTGCTGCGATGGTTAAATTTTAGTCAACGTTCGTGTTTGCTTTGCGATAAGGGAGGGCCTGCTCTGAGGTTTTTTCTCTACAGGCAAGAGCAGGCTGGGTGTTCTGTCTACAGCCAATCACTTTCTAGAGGAGTAAACAGGAAAGGTAACAGAGTTCACTGCTTATTTGCTTTTTAGAAACCCAATGCATCTTTTGCTTCATTTGTAACCAATAAGGTGGCATGATTTCCAACTATAGAATGTCTGGGTTGAAGTGCATTCTTTCATCATCCTAGTTTCTTTTTCATGTATGAAGCTAAGTTTTGCCCAACCTGTCTCAAGGCTCTTTAACGTGAACATTAGGAACCTGTTTGTTGTCAGATTTCTTCCTACTTCAGGTTATATGCAGAGTTTGGAGTATAAATGCGGACAAATGAAGGAAAGGCATAATAGCAGCAGATTATGCTTTCTTAACATGGAAGAGAAAAGGGGTTAGTTTGTGAGTTTTGAGGAAAACAAATGGGAGTCACCCTAGAGTTCTTAAATTATTGGCATAGGAACTCAATAGAAGCTTGTTACAGCCATGCGGTCTGAGCTGCAGCAACCAGCTCAAACCTCCTCACATGGGAGCTGCTCCGTGGCTAACCCTGGCAGGACAGCTTACTCTGGCATTAACCCCTTCGTGCATGCTGGTTATATGATGTTGGTTATCCCATATGTATATTTGTGTATCAATTAAAAAAATTAATAAAACACAAATATTTATTTGCCAGAGGGGTATAACACAACAGAAGATTTAAGCACACAGATAGGTGCAGACTGCTACTTGTCTCTGTTGACAGTACTGCGCTAGATGGGTCCAGTGATCTGATTCGGTATAAGGCAGCTTCACATGTTCAGCCTCGTGGCAGTGAATGCCATAGTTTGTAAATACCTGTTCTTTAATTGGTTAAACTATGCATATAGTTAAAGAATGAGTATTTACAAATGAGACCAGATTTAAGGTGTATTTTCCCCCTTCACAGGTGCATTTTATAATTAACCCCTGCCTCCTAAATTATATAGGGCACATTCTGACTGATAATACTTTGTGTGATCATAATAGAAAATAGCACAAGGAGGTGAGGTGATGGTGCACTTTATATCTTATGATCTGTCAGTCTTTGTATCTCAATTCCTGGTGCGTTCACACAAATCCTTGCACCTTATTAAAGAGATACACAACTTGCACAAATGGTTTTGCATTGTCTTTGCTGGGAATCGTCTCCTCTTTCCACTTTCTTATCTGAGTGAAAAGCTCCATGTACCAAATTAGTACCATATGCAGCTAGCTGTTTTGTTGTTATTTAACAGAACCTTCACCCTCACTACTCCACTATCCTGTTATTTCACTGTCTCACTTCTGGTTTCGTTGAAATTGCTGTTGATCAGTAGATTGCCACAAGTCCACAATTTTGGAAGCAGAAAGCAGGGCCATATTCAGGAGTATTTTAAACACTGTGGGATTAAACTGACACGGAATGCAGCAAGTGATAGTGTGAACACAGCTTTAATTTTTGGATGTTCTGTTCCTTTATATCTTTTATCACCATGAAACTTTCATGCTGAACCTGACTGCTCTCTCTTATTCTGGGCAAGGTATGAGACAATGGAATCAAGTGAGCAGCACATATGGATGCCAGATGCTTGCAGCTTTTCTAATAACTGGATTTCGCAGTGTCAGATGATGAATGAGATAGATGTATAGAGTAGGAATGGGGAACCTGTGGCCCTCCAGATGTTGCTAGACTACAGCTCACATCATCACTCTGATATTGGCTATGCTGGCTGGGGCCGATGAAGTTTTAGTCCAACAGTACAGTGGTACGTCAGATTACGAACCGTCCTACTTATGAACGCTTCGGGTTATGAACTCTGCAAACACAGAAGTAGGTGCCATGGGTTGCAAACTTTGCCCTGGGATACGAACATAATCCGCTTCCGGGGCTGCGGGAGGCCTATGTAGGGAATGTGTGCTTCGGGTTAAGAATGGACTTCCGGAACGAATTAAGTTCGTAACCCGAGGTACCACTGTATATTGGAGGGCCACAAGGGAAGGGCGGTAGTTAAGTGGTAGATTATCTGCTTTGCATTTAAAAGGTCCCACATTCAATCCTTGGCATCTGTAGGTAGGGCTGAAACTCTACGAAGCTGCTGCCAGCCATTGGTCTTCAAGTGGTGGGTTGGGTCCCTTAGTGGGCTACAGCTTGACCTATGGAGAGTTGTGTAGCAACATTAATATGATGCAAAAATCACTTGTGGGGCCCCAAATGCAGGTTTGAGTTAAAGGGGGTGTCCCCAGTCCGATAAGCTGAAGGACTATTGATGTGAAAAAATACTGAGCTAGATTGACAATGGCCTGACTGGATAATAACGATGTTCTCCACCTCTGGCAGAGACGTTTTGGTTAAGAGCTCTGCAGAATCACAGTTCTGACAAATAGCAACCCAGGTAACATTTGAATTTGGAATCCCTGTTCTATGAGAGCAGGTGGGTTCATACAATACCTATACCAAGTACAAAAAGCTAGCTTGACTGTTCCAAAATGGAGTTTGGGAACTTTTAATACGGATGTGACATCCCTATTTTAGAAATCATGGTGTTGACAGGTCAGGATCCTCACATGTCACATCAAGTTAGAGAGAATAATTACATAGTTTTTCAGGTTCTCTCTGCTCTTTCATGACATTTGCACTAAAAATGATGAGCCCAGGAGGAAGCTTCAGGTGACGCTGTTGGATCTGCTTAATGTGTCGTTGGCTCAGAAATGCAAAGAGGATTTCTTGCTAAAACAAGTGCTTGGCTGACTCATCCAGGTGATCATCTCTATATGAAATATTTAAATTGCAGGCAGGAGCCATGTGGGTTACGAGTTCACTTTTGTTGCCTTTTTTTTGCAGTTGTGTGCTTGAGAAGGGACTGTTATTGTCTCTTGTAGGAGATTGTTCTGCCAGTAAACATGTTCATCTTGTTTCTTGCATCGTAAATGGTTTAACAAAGGCTGGTTCATGTTGAGCTGTACATGTAAGAACTCAGAAGGTGGTTACTGTCTTGCTTTAAGAATTGCCTTTTGTTTCCTCACAAAAGTCTTTCATTTTTCACTCTGCACACATTGGCATGATTTGCAGAAACCAGACAAAATTTGGATCAGTGCGGCTGTGTGGGCTCCCAGAGAGGAACTCATAGCAACTTTGCTTCATCCTGGTCTACATTGACCTAAGCCCAAGGTTTGACTTAGTGTGTCATCTGAATTGGGGCTCAAAGCTAAACTGTCTTCTCACCATGAGCTGTAACCAAAACAAACCTTGGTTACAGTGTGTGTTTAGTGAGGAGAGAGCTTAACCACAAGTCCTTGGTTCAGACAACATACCTAGTCAAAACGTGGCTTAGTGTGGCACAGAAGCAAAAAGGACCAGAAAGCACAAAGCAGTAATGAGCTCCTCTTATGGAGCCTGCATACCCACACAGTTTCAGTAAGCTAAAATTTGACTTAGCATGTTGAGTGAACCTGGCCATTGTGAGACCAAACCTTGCTGAGGATCCACTGTATACTATCACCCAGCTTGGATTGGTTGTTGTTTAATCATCTGGAGTGCCCAGATGTACTATGCACAGTGAACAATAACTGTAGGTTTTGCTTGAAGGTTGGATCTTGCTTTGACCATATGCATACACAGGGAGAGGTGGGGAAATGGCCGCCTTGAGCCAGACGGTATTCTGCATTTTGTCCCTGGGCAAAGAGCTAAAGTTGAAGGAGACGGAAGTCCTGATGTTTAAAGAATATTTGTACTAGTATATTATAGTAGCATTTATATATTATGTTCAGGGCATATGGGGTGTTAGGAGGGAGGGGTTTTACCTCTGGTGGGGGACACATTGTGCTTCTTCTGGGGTAGTTTGTCCACCTTCGACCCCCATCCTGCACTCAGCAGGAACCTGTGGCTCTTAGAAGCTGTGATTCCTAGAAATGACAGTGGCCACACCATCTAAGAGAAGGAAAACTCTGATCCTAAACCTTCGCTACCTTGTGGGATATCTTTGGGAGAACAAAAGGCCAAGGAGTAAATCAGAGTGGAGTACCTAAGACGGTTGGATGTATGGCGTCTTGTATGCCTCCTTCTGGCAACTCCTGCAGCCAAGCTGGTGCCAAACTTATTGCTCTGCTTATCTTTGGACCACATCAGTGAGGCCAGGAGGTGGGTCTTATTGTCTGGGCAGCCCAGGACATCCATACACACTACCCAAGCTTATGTCTCGGGGAGGTCACTGCTAACATAGTGGTTTGACTTCACCCTCAGAGGTGCACCTCTCGAGACAAACAGATGCCAACAATATAGTACATTCTAAGCACTGAAAGCACTTCACGTATCTCAGCAATGTGGGAAAGTATTATTTCTGCAGTGTAGAGCAGCCTTTGCCAACTTGGTGTCCTCCACTGGACTGCCATTCCCTTGGGAAGCTGTAATCCAAAACACCTGGAGGACACCAGGTTAGTGAAGACTGGTGTGGGTGGACGCTGGCACCAAGTGTACACCTGAGACACCGAGTACATGCCAAGAGGAGATTTGGCCTGTGGACTTTTCAGCTGGCATTTTTAGCCACCATAGCACACATCCAAAATGTTGTGTATCAGATGATTTTTACCGAGTTGGATCTGCTGCACAGTTACTTGTTTGCCCTTAGACTACAGAGGAGTACTTTGGGATAGTCTCATGAAACATACATGAATATGATGGACTCCTGTAGTGCACTCTTGCCCATAGAGTGAGTGACCACCAGTACAAAACTAAATTGTGAGGCAAAGCATCTGACCATTATGAAAGGCATGACATCTTTAGCAATATAGTAATGCCTGACTAAAATCCAGTGGAAAGGACGTTCATTACGGGACATTTCATTATTTCAGAACTCCCCCACCCTCCACCCTCCTAGGTTCCTTTTCTAAAACCTTTCAGCATCTTGTTTCCGTGTTCCTTTTCATAGTAGAAGAAATATTTGCCACTGGGTAGGCTGTTTGCAGCAAGCCTGTCTGAACAAGGCGTAGGTGTTTGATTTACACATTGTTGTTTTTGTTTGTTGAAGGTAGCAACCCCCCAGAGTAAGCGAGAACCACGTTTAGTTTGCTAAATCGTGATCTCTTGTTCAGAATCTCTTTTCTCATTAGTTGCTTGAAATTAACCAACAGTTCTTCTGATGGCAATGGAGTTAAGCAACGTGGAGGAGATAATATTTTTTGGGATCAAAGCCAAACCAAGCACATGGAAATGAGGCAACAGCATTATGTTCCAGTAAATGGCATTTAATACCTGCTATACCAGCATAAGGGCTGTTCTGTTTAAAATCGGATGCTGGTGAGTGTGGTTGGATCTGCCTTGAATCAATATTTTCCTGTTTTGATCCATGCTAAAGGTTCTGGGTTTCAGTGAGCCTGCAACTGGGAATGGTTGACTAATGACATATTAGCCATTTGAGCCCTGAAAAGTGGTCTTGGATGGCAACCCTGCTCAAAGGCCCTTTGGACAAGATCATATTGCTTCATCTTCAGTCCAGGGACCTTTAAAATTCTCAATATCAATATGTTCAGGCTGATTTATCTGCTTTATGTAACCCACTAGGCTTGCTGCTTCATGGTTCCAGTCTGCTGTCCCTGGTTATAGTTTGTGTGCTGGATATCACTTCCTCTCTGGTCTTGAGCCAAATCTCACCACAGCATCCACATTTACATTTGACTTTCACCTTGCTCCCTGTTGCTTGATCATCTGATCCAGACGCCCTATGTGCTTCACTCACGACACACCATTAACCTGTCGATGCTTCAGTTACAGATGACGAATACACTCTGCTTGGGTATAATGGCTTCTCCTGTGTGGGAACAAGACTTGGTATTCTAAGAAGCCGGTTAAAATGTAACCTCAGAACTTTCAGTTGCAGGAGATTGAGGGGTGTGGCAGAACATGCCTAAGGGAGTGCTTTAAATATGCTTTTGTTTTTTATTTGATATTTGATAATTGAAATGAATACAGGAAGAAGGAATTGGCAGTTTTGTGAAACGTTGTATATGCCATAGAGTTTTGGTAGCAGTGAAAGGACTTTTGGGTTAACGTTTCCGGAAATGCTGTTACTCAAGCATAGCCATATTGCACTGCTTCCTTATCTATTGTTTTCACCAGTGTCAAACTTTTTATATACAAGGAAGTTGGGTGATTATCCATTACAGGGTTTTGCCTGCTTTGGTTACAAAGGTGTGTCGTTGTGGATAGGTTAAAGTGCAGGCACTAGCAAGCTATATGTATAAGGGACAATCTCAATTTCATGACAGTTGTGCCTAGGGGGTTGCTTTAATTTTTTTTTGCTAAAGTGAATTGATAAAATAACCATTCTGTAGGTTTTGATGTTAAATCTCAGTATAGGGCAGCTGCAGTCTGATACTACTGCCATATGCATACATGCCAACACTTAGGAGCGGTGTTAAACTCCATTTTACATGCTGCAGCTGTTAAGATGCGAAATGCTGATTATAGGGCAATTGTGGTATTATTGGAATAGCTTTTAAGCGAATGGAGAAACAGTACCCCCCCAACTTTTAAATTAGTTTGGGACAGGCTATTGCAGAATAAATAGGTACAGCAGGCAGGGAAGATCTTTCTGAAACATAAAATAGTGGAGGAGTTTTGGAAATTAGCTCCACTGAGATCTTTAGGGCCATTTTTGTATACTTGCAACACTCTTTTGTTCATCTGTAAAATGTTGGAAGACATGATTTTAAGCTGCTGAAAGACAGGATGTTGGATCCAGTAACTTACAGTTCCTCTTAAGAACCTTATGATGTTTGTTGTTTTGAAGCCTGGCAAACTAGTAATACTGTGTGCTAGGGCTGATACATAGCTTCTGTTTTCCAGATGGGTGTTTGGTGGTGGGGAGAGGGATGGGAAAGAAGGAAGAGAGAGATTGAGATCAAGCAGCTTGCCTGAGGGCACCCAGTGTATTCACAGGTGAGCCAGCCTTTTCTTCAGCTTGTTTTCACAATTGCTTACTCAAGTTGAGTTATAAGCAGTAATGTGATACTGCTGCAAACAAGGCAAAAGGGTCCTTTGTACTGCATTGTATGTAATATTGGGGGTGAGTGCACAGTCATCTACATAAAATTGCCTGTTGAGATGACTCATTCCATGCCATATCCTGTGATCAGTTGTTATTCAGCACTCTTCTCCCTGGATGCTGTTTTTTAGTTTCTTGTTTGCACCTTATTAACAAGGTAGAAATTTTTGAGCAATTTGTCTATATAGAAGTGTCCCTCTTCCTGCCTATTGGTTTCCAGAGCTCCTGCATTCCTGCTACTTTCAAATTTCTAGTCCTGATGACCAGGCTCATTTCAAAACCAGATGGCAGCAGTATTAAGGAAGGTGATTCTCCATCACTCCCAACTTCTGCTTTTGCTTCCCAAGAAGGGCATAGAAGTCTCCAGCCTGCTCTTCTCATATTTAGACCCTTCTTAGCGTGCTATCCCTGTAATGTGGTTGCTGACAGGCATGTGGCTTTCTGTGCTGCCATATGATAAGCCAGGATGACTTGGGGAACTGATAGATGGAGCCAGCCGGTAACCATGTTGTGAACCACATCCCCAAATGCTCGCTTCATTAAACGCTGGCTAGTAGAATAAACCTCATCCTCGGTCCTCAAACCAGCAAACTAGAGCAAGCAGAATTCCTGTGAGAGCATTCTCTCTAGCACACACCACACACAATATGCAAAGCAGCGTTTATATTTGATAGCTCTTTTCCTCTTCCTGCAAACCATGTGGGTGTAGCTTTGTTTCTGTGCAAAGACATTCATTCATTTGCATGCTTCCTTCACACTTAAAAAAAATATTGGCTGGCTGTCCTCTTTTTAAGACCTTAGGAACCACTGGGACCTGGCTGCTGACAGAACAGAATGGAAATGCAGGCAGCTGCTTTCAAAATCCAGTACATGGCATAGATGCTGTTATGCATTAACATCCTGTTCTACTTGTGGTGGTCCTATGCAATACAGTGGTACCTCGGGATGCGAACGGGATCTGTTCCGGAGCCCCGTTCGCATCCTGAATGGAACGTAAGACGCGATGGCGCATCTGCGCGTGCGCGGGTCGCGTTATGTCGCTTCCGTGCATGCGTGTGACGTCATTTTGAGCGTCTGCGCATGCGCGAGCGGTGAAACCCAGAAGTAATGTGCTCTGTTACTTCCGGGTTGCCACGGAGCGCAACCTGAAAGCGCTCAACCTGAAGCACATTCAACCCGAGGTATGACTGTATTTAGGTAGATTAAGCCCATGGTCAAATGCAAATCATCCTTCTTAATACTAGCTGGCCACGTGGGAAGTTCACATGTCTAAAGATGGGAAGGCAGACTGGAGGAGACATAGAGCCCTTGCACCAAAGGTTAGGGAACCTGTAGCTCTGCACGTGATGTTGGACTGCAACTCCCATCGGCCTCAGCCAGTGTGGCCAGTGATCAGGGACAATAAAAGTTGTAGTCCCAGCAACATATGGAGGGCCACAGGTTACTTAGCTGTGTCTTTCCAGGAAGCAAAAATAGAGGTGGAGTCCCCAGCCACTGGGGAAAGAGGAAGGAGGAAGAATATACTTTTTTTAAAGTCAAAAGAAAGCAGACAAACAAAGAAGTCCACCTAAAGCTTTATGTTACAGAGCGTTTGATTTCGATATCGTGGCCTTGATGCCCCAGAGATGAGCTTTTGCAGCTTAGGGGCTTAGCATGTCTCTTGAACATTCCTTCAGTTTAATTTGATGTTTCTCCACATTTTCATGGTCAATGTTTGGAAGGTCTAAATGACAGAAAATTCCTGGGCAGGGGTTGGGCTATATATAGAGGTAGCCATTGGACATCATGTGGGATTAAGGTAATGGGAATAATGTTTTAAAAACCACTTGCAAACCTGCTCCAAGGGTAAGGAGGGAGGGTAAGGTGATGACAGGCAGTAATAGGTGCTTTCCACAGCCAGCTGACCATCTTGGAAGCTTGCAGAACCAATTTTCTTCCAGAGCTTGCACAGGGAGAGAAAAAGGTGCGTAACAGGTGCCATGTTTGCTTTCAAACTGTCGCCACTGCTCAGAAAATGTTATACAGCCTTAAACTGTTTGAGGTCAAGGAGGTTTGAAGATGGCCTGCTCTCATATGATCATGTCTACTTGTTAAGATCTTCAGAGGAGGTTCTGCTCATCATCCCACTTCTATTTGGTGTTAGGTTGAGAGCTGACCCTGTTGGGCAACAGAATGAAGCAACCTGCCTAAATGTAGCAGTGGAGATGAAGGTAGGGATTGGTGTCTGGTGCAACAAGTTAAAGGGTTGGCCTTGGGTTTGGAGGGGGGGATTTGAGCGCTGCTTCAGGCAGCAAAATGTCTTGAGCCAGCAGTAGCTAAGTTGATGGTTGGTACAAGATGAGAGCTTTCAGGCAGCAGCTTGGCTGAACAGGTTTTCTTGGTGGTGACTAGGCTGCAATACTTCCTTGGGATACCTGCATGTATGTTTGTTTTCCTGGCATTTTATAAACCATTGCCTTTTGGCAGGCTTTTCGTGACCCCCCCCCCAATTTTGGATTGTTGTACGTTAGTTCTTGGTGTTTGTGAGTTTTATCGTTTGTTGCTTTTTCGTTATTTTGTCATTTAAAATCTTCCTGTGAGCCACTTCAGGGGCCTTTAGACAACAAAGTGGCATAGAAATGCTATGATAAATAAAATTAATACCTGTCAACACCATGAGAGGGAGAGAGCAGATAATGGGGAAGCTTGCTGAAGGGAAGGCTTCAACTTAACTGCTTTAGGCAGGAAATCAGTTTGTACTGTTTATCGCTCACTGAACTGCAATGGAAAGGCATAGGTTATGATCCAGCTAAAGTGAAGCCCTTTTTCTGCCCCATTGATTCTAACCAGAGTGATTTCAGCATGTGTTTAACTCCTCCTGTTGAAGACAATGGGACAAACTATGGCTGGATGATAACCATGGTGTTTACTCTTGGTTTTCAGTTTGGCTGTTGATGAATTGCTGCTGCCAGGCAAGTAGAGGGTCAAAAACAAAAGCTTCACTTTCCAATCTGTGGCTTATTAAACACTTCTAAGATAAGGATAATTGGCCTTTTGCTGTAGAAGGTCATAAAATAAGTACCTTACCCTAATGTCTGTCTGTGGAGAGCATTGGTTGACTGGTGTTGTGGGTTTACACCCTTCTTTCAGAGCTTATGCACTGCAAGTTCAGATAAGATTTGGTTAGGCTTGGGCCTTACCATTTTCAGGATAGTTCTGAAAACACCTGTGCTATTGCCTTTGAGTAATGTTTAGTCCACCCATAATATAGGTGAGAGACCATAGCTCAGTGGTAGAGCATATGCTGTGCATCTCAAAGGTCCTAGGTTCAATCCATGGCATCTCCAGTTAAAAGGTAAGGTAGGAAATAATGGGGAAAGGGCTATGCCTCAGAACACAGAAAGCCACTGCTTATTTTTCCAGATGGAAAAATAAGCTAAGAACATAAGAATAGCCTGCTGGATCAAGCCGAGGCCCATTTAGTCCAGCATCTTGTTCTCAAGTGGTGAACCAGATACTTATGAGAAATTTGAAAGCAAGATCTGTGCGCAACAGCACTCTCCCCTTCTGCAGTTTCTTGCAACTGCAGTTTCTTGCAACTGGTATTCAGAAGAGGTCTGGAGAGTCTGCGGCGAGACTCCTCTGTCCAGCTGCTGCTGAACATCCCCACCCAGCTGCCGCCGAATGTCCCAGTGGAGGAGGGAGAGTAGCAAGCCAGCCATCACCCCACCTCCAGAGTTCAAGATTGCCCTGTTGAATGCATTGATGTGAGAGACCCAGCCCTTATTTTGTCTGTCCTGAAATTTACAACGACCTGCTTAATTGAATGCCCGCTGGATTCTAGTGTTAAAAAATAGGGAGAAGACCTTTGCTCTGTTCATGTTATCCATGCCACGTCTGTCACTTCACCTCTCACTCACCTTTTCTTTAAACTAAAAAGCCTCAGATGCTGATTTCCTATGTTCCCTGATAGAGGTGGCCTTGGAGGGGTATAGCGGGGGGTCCTCATGTCCTTCAGACCTATAAGTCTGGATAAGGTGTGTTCCAGTATACAAGGGACTGGGGGACGGGAGAGAGCATCTCTCAGGATCTGAAAATTACCTGTCCTCAAGGCAAAGTGTAGCAAGATCAGGCATCCAGTCAAGTCTCTTGCCTTGATAGGTGAAAATGATGGAGCTTCTCCACTGGCTACCTTGACATACTTAGTTTTGACTTTCCTGCAAATGCCGTCTTTGCTGACTGTGTGCAGGTGTTAAGGTCCATAACGTGTTGGAATAATTGCAAAGTTTGTCATTGGTAATGCCATGGGCGTTCTTCATTTCAGTAGATGCTCATGATGCTTCTGCAACCTCATTCCAGATGGCCCACTGAAATTTATAGCACCAACTAGCTGGGGAAAGAATAACACTTCCTCAGCAATAATATATTGTGTGTTGAATGTGAGGAAAAGGCAGCATCCTAAATGGAAGCGTTTCTTTGAATGATGTTATGTGGACGCCATCATCTGGATAGGTTAGTCTTGAACATTCATTTGTGGTTTTAGGCTGAACGTTCTTCTTTAGCCCTAGCTTGAGTTGGGGTCATGGTGGTACATGAGCTCTGAGGTATCTTTTCTGCAGCTACTTTTAGAAATCAGCTAACTTAAACCAGTACATGACTTGTTTGAAACAGGTGTCTGACTGTGGTGGAAAGAGAAGGTCGGGTAATAGATTTGGGAGATAGATGAATGGAGTACTGAGCATCCGACACACAATTGTGCTTGTCAGTATTCTAGTGCTAGTCTTGCTGCTTTGCAGAATTTGAGTGGATGAAAGGGAACGCCAGGAGAGGGATCTGTGAGGGCAGCCCCAACAATTGCTCTTGAGCATCATCCTTCTGTGTTCAAATGCTTCAAATGGAAATGTAGCACTACATTGAATTCTCCCTTCTGAAGCTTATGGAGAGCACACAGTCTGCCCTTTTACATGGATCCTGTTCTTAGACGTATGGATCAGCCTAGAGGGACTAGAAGAATCCACATGGATAAAAACAGATCCTGTGAAAGGAAACCAGGTTTTGTTGATATTTCCTGCTGCTCCTCTTTCTCTTTTTGGGTTTAGAGCAGGGATGGAGAACATCAGAACTAGGGTCTGAATTATGGCCCTCCAGGTATCTCTGTCTGTCCCCCAGCCTCTTCTTGGTCCACGTCGCCTATCCCTAGGCTACAGCCCTCTGGCTCTGCTTTGTGCCCCCCATGAGTGCTTTTGCCTGGCTGGAATGTAACATTGAACTATGATAATGTCTCTTGTTTGTGTGGGTGGCAGTTAGAGAGATGTGTATAGGGTATTGGTGTATGTAGAAACTTCTGGTTTTTATTGTACAAAGATAAGTTTTGTTGCTCTACTCTCGTTTGCTTCTCCCCCTGCCCAACAGGTGAGATGTGGAAGGTTGTCCCCAGAAGGTTGCCCAGGTGGGAATTAGGCCCTGGGACTGAAAAGATTCCCTCACCTCTGGTTAGAGAGTATGAGAGCCCTTTGCAGCAAGGATCCCAGCATCAGTCTTGGAATACTATTTTTGGACCTTGGTCTATATTTCCTCCTCCTCTTCCTAAAATGCACCCAGCTAGAACATTTTAAGGAGTTCAGAGGTCTCTTTGATGGACTTTTGAATCTTGAAGTGCACTGCCACCGCCTTTCTGTTCACTTTGGAGTGGGCCTTTTTATATCACAGAGGCATTTATTTATTTTTGGCAGAGATTGAAATCCCCCCTCCCCCTGCATAGTGTCAGGGTTCAGGTTGGGCTGTGCTCAGCCATCCTGCTTGTTCCCTCCTACTGCTGTGCTGCTCTCCAAGCTGCCAGTCTCACCCCTTTTAGAAGGAAGCATAGGATGGTTGGGTGACCTTGACTGCACTAAGAGGATAACGCTATGGTGGTTACACTTGCTTTCTCTCTTCTAGCTGAGGACCTGTAAAGAACAGAAGAGACCCCAAATCCAGTAGTTTAGAGAGCTGTTGTATTGAGGTTTCAGGTGTTTCCTCCCTAAGCGATACAAGGTTGGCCATTTCTCCATCTCTCTCTCTCTCTATCCCCTGCACCTCCACACATTTCCTAACAAACACACAGGGAAATCTAGTGTCTGCATTGTCAACAACTGAAACACATGTTCAGATCTTCTCTTGAGTCTGTTATTTATATTAGCCATATAAGCATTAGCATACGTTCCTTTCACCTTTGTACATAGGAATGGAGTGCTTTATGATTTCTTAACATATTTGTAGAGGTCGTTTTTCTTGCAGGAGTGTTTGGGTTTGTTTGGTTTGTTTGTCTTTAATTGTAACATTTTAACATTAAAATAAAGCAGAATGAAAAGGTGCATGAGAGTGATCCATATATTCAATAATATTCATAATTACTGCTAACCTAATTAAAGCCTGCGTCAACAAATTTTCAACGCCTTTCGGTGTTATTTGCATTATAATAATGAACTGGCTAATTTGAGTCTCTGCTGTCTCTGGCTTCCTGAATCCTCCAATTCTACTATGCAGGCTGGATGATGGCAGAAGCTCTGTGTAGAGTGTATCATAATATAATTAATAGGGCACAAGTAGTTGTTTTCAGTGTAGTGATGGATATTGTATATTTCCTTTCTTCCTTGCTCTGTGGTTTTCTGCACCTCTCTTGAAGTCCCCCATAGCTACAAATACACAGCTTCCTGGTTTGTGATCATATGAACATGATCTTATGTGATCATAAGAACATAGCAAGAACCTGCTGGATCAGACCAGTGACCCATCCAGTACATCATCCTGTTCTCATAGTGTCCATGGGACCACTATGGGAAACTTGCAAGCAGGACATGAGTGCAACAGCACTCTGCCCACCTGCAATTCCCATCAGCTGGTATTTAGAGGCATACTGTCTCTGACAGTGGAGGCAGAACACAGCTATTGTGGCTAGTGGCCATTGATAGCTTTATCCTACATTGATTTGTCTCGTCCTCTTTTAAAGCAATCAAAGTTGGTGGCCAACTCTACTAACTGTGGGAGTGAATTCCATAATTTAACTATGCACTGTGTGAGGAAGTACTTCCTTTGTCTGTCCTGAATCCTCTGTGCTGTAGGACTGCAGTGGGCAACCTCAGCAGAAAAATGGTTTTCCACCGCTGTCCTACAGCATTTGTCTCTTGGAGCAAGCAGGGTACCTGAAAGACTGAGATAGGAAATGACGTTTCTGATCTAGCTCTGTGGAATGGCAAACTCTGTGATCTCAACCAGTGTCTGTCCAAGCACCTCTGATTTTAAATGAAACAAAACAAAACAAAAAAAGCTTACATGATACAAACATGTTAAGCTTACCATGCCCACATATCTAGCCTTGCAGACGTTCTCCTGTTGTGAATGGCAGAGAGCAGAGAAGCAAAAGCTGTTAGGAGCCCATCCTACTCTCGAGTAGGACCCTGGCAGAGACACATGCCCAACTGGCATGTTCTCTCCCTCCTGGTCGATCGTTTGGGAGTTGCAAAAGCTTTCTTCTGCCCGAACATCACAGCGACTGATGCCAACAGACATCGGCACACTTAGGGATCCGCAGAGTGTTCGCTGTTTGCGTAACAGAACTCAGCAACTCAGCATTTTGGCTAATCTACTTTATTTACATATAAACATACATGGAGCACTGCAACATGGCTCCCTCTCTCTCTAGCATCAGGCAGCAAAGAGAGAGAACAAAGGACAATAGTCCCACTTCATGGAACACAGTAACACAAACATCTTGTCTCCGTCACTTCCCACACTGTGGAGTCAAAACATGCACCGTCATGTGATAGACAACAATCCTATGACTGCAATCACGGAGCCGGAATCTTAACAAAAGCCTGGCTCTGTTTTTGTGCTGATTAATGATAATCTAGTAATGTTCATCACTCTGCAAACCCTAGCTTAATGAAAGCTGGTGGCATGAAGGGAGGCTATTTTTTGCTAACAGGCATGTGGGAGAGCATTTTTAGAGCTGGCAAAAAACAGCAAAACAGAAAGCAATGATTTTTATCTGATTTGAAATACATTCTGAGTTGTCAAATAGAAATGACTCTTCCTTCTTTGCGTGGGTTCCTTCCAGCATCTGTCGGACTTGCATAACTCATAACTAAATGTGTGTGTAGCCTCCAACCAACAGTAATGAGGTTGTGGAAATCTCCTGGATAGATTCTTTTCCTTCCCCAGCCTCTGCTGCTTTTTGTTTTGTTTCTCCTCTTAGAAAACAGCTAAACCTCATAAATTGCTGTCTCTGAGGGTGGCCACCTGCAGCTTTCCTTCTCCCCTGGAGCCGAATTTGAGCCAAGGTGACTTGCACTAATTGGCATGGGTGGGGTGGAATCAGGGAGCAAGCAGGGAGCTTTGTCCTCAGCCTTTCGCCTTTGGCAGGTACCCGTTTAAAATTAGAAACCTCCCATAAACAGTGCCATCTGCTGCCACCCCAACAGGCTTCCTTTTATAGCCTTTTCAGTGGTGTTTGGGAGTACCTCCTACTTCAGATATAAAAGCACAACCGTGTTGTATCGGTAATGTGTAGCACCGGGGAAGTGGCTAAGGATGGGTAGGCTTGAGGGGGGTTTAAATCCACACACATTTATGCAATAAAGGAGAAAAGTAGGTGTGTGCACTGCAGAATCCCATAGGCCTCATATACCCTAGGAGAGAAGGTAGTTCAGGACTGAACTAAAGTACAGACTTTTTGTCCCCAACCACAAGCCCATCAAGAAAGAGGCAGCCCAGAGAACATACTCTTGACTATCATGAATTCACTGGAAATGGTTGGAAAGTGAATTCAATTTCCAGTGAATTCATGATAGTCAATAATATGTTCTCTGGGCTGCCTCTTCCTTTCTGGAAACAGCTGCAACCACAAATACCCATCTTGGGTTCATATTAGCAGGCAGAGAGAAAACTGAACTCCCCGAGGGATTTCAGTCCCACCATTTAATTGGAAAAGCATTGACTGTTGGGCAAGTCTGAATGTCTCCACGCCACTGGTGATGTAGACCAGCCAGTTGGGGCAGCTGCCATGTTTGAAAGAATCCTGGGCAAGGTGCCTTCTGGCAGCCCCTGGAAGGGACAGGTGTTGACAGACAGGCAGCACCAGGGACAGTGCTGTGAAGAAAAGTGCTGGGCGAGTCTGTTGAAGCCAGTTGCTGCACCTTCATTATCTCTCATGGCCCTGGGCCCTACCTGTGATGGGATAAGGTGCTGAGGATAATGAAGACAGCAGTAGCTGTCTCATCTGGTGGTTCTCTTCACAGCACTGGTGCATTAACTTTATTTCTTTTTAAAAGGGATACCAATGTTCGTGGTGGCACTCCAGGTGCAGATGCATCAGCACCACGTAGTGCTGATGCCAGGATGGTGATTAGTCCTCAAAAGATAGTATAAGAAATGGCTTGCGAAAAGTCAATTATGAGTAGACATTGTGCTCCTGAGCTTAGGGGAAACTTTGCTTAGCAAAAGGCCAATGAGTCTCTCAAATGGGGAGTTTTAGGAAGTGGGTAGAAAGGGAGAGAAGTGAACATTGGCTCCCTCCTCAGTAAACTTTGGAACAAAAATGGAAAGTAGTAAAAGATAAGATGGCCAGAGCTATGATTCGGGGTGGCTATAAACCCAGTATTCCCATGGGCTCCACTGGAAAGGAGGAAAAATTGTATTAGGGATTAATTCAGATTTTGTTTTTCATGTCAATTATTTACTGGATGACGGTCCTGTCTCTGACATGGTTTTCACCCTATTGTTTTATTTTCTTAAGCTACAAATGCAAACAACACAATGAGCAAAATGACTCATAATAAGAACAAAGAAGCATAGAAAGCTGCCTTATAATGAATCGGGTTACTGGTTCATCCAGCTCCTTATTGTCTATACCAACTGGCAGCTGCTCTCCAATATTCCAAACAGATTCTCTTCCAGCCCTCCTTGGAGATGCTGGCAACTGAACATGGAACCTTCTGCATGCAAAGCAGGTGCTCTACCATTGACCTATGGTTTCTCTAAATGGGCAAACTTTGCACTCCCTGATCCATTTGTACCGGGTATCCATGATGCAAGGCAGCACCGTGAAAAGCTCCAAGCAAACAGCTTTTGGCAAAGTCTGGAGAACTGAGGCCTTACAGGTGCCTCCAATCAGCCTGCTCCTCCAAAATTCTTCTTTGTCTGAAGGGTGTGAATTCTTAAATGGCTTGCCGCAGATGGTCTCTCCTGCCTGGCATACTTGTGCCAGTGGGCAGGCATGTGTGGAGCAGGAGGTATTTGGTTCTTCAGGTGAATTGGGCTCAGGGAGAAGTGCCTGCTAAGCTCCTGACTTGGGTTCTGCATGCTCTTTCCCATTAGCCTCTGGTTCAGAATCCAGAGCCTGGTTCCATTCCTTTTCTTATCGCCAGTGTTATTTACATGAAACCACTGGGTGTGATCATTAGTTGATTTGGGGTGAGGTGCTATCTGTATGCTGATGACACTCATTGCTACTTCTCCATAACATCTGAATCAGAAGAGGCTGTGCAGTCCCTGGGCCACTGCCTGGGCACAGTGGTGAGATGGATAAGGGAGAACAAGCTGAGCCTGAATCCTGGCAAGGCAGAGGCACTTTGGGTAAGCGTCTCCCGTGTCTGAGAAACCAGCCAATTGCCTACCGTGAATGGGGATGCACTCCCCCTGAAGGATCAGGTTGGCAGTTTGGGGGTGCTTCTGGACCCAGCTCTGTCACTGAAGGCTCAGGTAGCCTCAGTGGCTGGATGTGCTTTTTACCAACTGTGACCAGTTTGACACCTACAGCTGTTGCTAGACTGGGAGAGCCTGGCCACAGTAGTTCATGCACTGGTTGCTTCAAGGTTGAATTACTGCAATGTGCTCTATGTGGGGCTTCCCTGAAGCTGCAGTTAGTGCAGAATGCTGCAGCGAGTTGCTCACAGGAGTGAGGCCTTCTCAGCATATAATGCCTATGCTCAGAGGTCTGCACTGGTTTCTGATCTGCTACCATTAGTATATAATGCTCCTAACAACCTGGGACCACTTTACCTGTGAGATTGCCTTACCCTATATGTGCCCACTCAACTGCTTCAGTTGGTGCCACTTAATACCCGTCCTGCATCTGTAAGAACTTGATCATTTATTGTGGCAGTTCCAACACTTTGGAACTCCCTGCCTATTGATATTGAGTGCCTTCACTGTATTCCTTTTGGCACCTGCTGAAGACCTTCTTATTTAGTCAAGCCTACCCAGATGTTTAGAAAGCTTGTGTGAGTTTTCATTTGTTTTAGTCTATTCTAGTGTGGTTTTAACTTTCTGTATGTTTTAAATTATGGTTGTAGTTTTTTTAGTGATAATTTTATTATTTTCTTTTTTGTAAACCAGTTTCTACAATCAAGTGGTCTATACATTTTGCAAAATAAGTAAGTCCTCTTCTTCTGACTCAGCGCAGGACTTGGGCTGACATCCATGCCAGATTTTATCTAGCTCCTTAAATTCCTCAGTCTTACAAGCTATTGACAGTCATGTGCTTCTTGTTTTAGAGCAATGATACAGTTCCCATGTCTTGCTTATGGATGTATGCAAACATTTGAAACAAGCCTACTAGTAAAAAGGCAATCTGCTTTTCTTGTGAGGTTCCTTGCCTGTATGCATAAGATTTATTAGATTCTGCAAAACAGCTATGTCATAGTATTTGCAAGCCTATTATGTAATCGTAAAACTTGCACATTCTTCCAGTTCTGAGCTATTCATAATTTCTCACCTTTCAGCTTGTGAATTATAAATGCTTTATTGTTGGAAAAACTCCACTTGGTTCCATGTGTCATTTAATTCCATGGCACAACCGGCACAGTTAGTATTACACCCCACCTCCATATGGGTTCAGTGGGATATTCTGGCCTAGCATTACCATTTCTGATGAAATTTAAACCCTGGCACAGACTGTGCAGTTATGCATATCGAAGTGTCTCTGCTTCTATCTCCATCCGACTCCATTCCAATTCACCTGCATAAAGAAGCACATTGAGGTCCTCTGTTAAGAGGCTGCATTTATTCCTGGATATGAAGCATACTCCTCTTTCTGTAGAAGCTCCATATTTCCTGTGGATATGATAATGCAACTCTGCTGAACAGGAGTACTGAACACAGCTGATAGCTACAATGCCATTATGTTCACTGCACATTGTGTGATTATAGCTAGCATGTCTGTCCTCCATACTAGAGGCTTTCCACAGTGTGTAGGTTCAAAATGAAATATCTTTGTATGTGGTAAAGGGAAGTTTGCAAAAGCTTATGGAAACTCTTTCTTTTATGGAAACTCATTTTTCAATGTAGCCCTTTTCACTTATGGGTGTTGAAGATTTTTTCCCAGTGGAAATCTGTTTGGCTTCCTCCTAAAAATGTCTAGGGCAGAGGTGGGAGACTTGTGAGCTGGTGTAGTAAATGGTACTTTTTCAGACTCCTGGAAGTGAACTGCATGTTAGAATGCCACCCCAGACTTTTGAAAACGACAGCTCCTCCCTGTGAACACCCCCCCAAAAAAGCTCAACAACTTTTGGCCATTTCCCTCACCCCCAATTTTATTGTGTTGCAGTCCAAAAAAATAGGGGTCGTCTTATACATGGGCGCATGTTATACACGGAAAAATACAGTACATACTACTTTTAGAGAAGCCTTTGTCTATCTTTCTGGTGTCCTAGCACTGTAGCTGCTTGGTGAGGAAAGGGTAGGTGAGAAATCTGAGATTTCTTTCTTTCTGAAAAGACAGATTTATAGCACTGGAAGGGACTCAGAGTCCCTGTAATCCAACCGTAAGCTGCAAGGTAGAAAAATCCATATAACCATCACGAGTCCCTCTGATCCAGATCATCAAAACACTGCAAGCAAAATTTATTGAAAAGTTCTGTATTTTTTGCATGCAGAACTTTAAATTATTTTGGCACAGATATATGAACATGAATTGAGAGTACTAATAACAAAGGAAATGAACTGAACAGAACACATCCTTGTCTTGCACTTTCTCTTTTAGCAAGAGTGTTCACCTACTAAACTTGTGACTTTCTTTTTAACCAGTAAAAGGAGGCATTTGCTGACTACTCCACAGCTTGCCTTGTTCTTCAACACATTGCTGTAACACATTTTAATTAATACAGCATATGCCTCTGAACAACTGCTGTCGAGAAACACTCTTGCGTGTGATTTATTCTAGTGATTGTGTGCCTGAGATGATGTGCTTGCGTGCCTATGTGTTGATTATGTTAGCTGACATCATGCTGATATTGGGGTATTGGCACGCTCTGCAAAGATCACATGAGGATGGTTCTGGATTATTGCCACATTCCGTAAGGAAATTTTCTGTCTCTTATATACAGAATCAACATTTAGCCTTGGAGAGGTCAGATTTCATTAGTGGATGTACACATTTGGTGTTTGAATGTTGCAGGTATCATGTTTGATAGTGCCTCCAATGTGCTTGCATGGAAAGAAGGCAGAATTGTGTTGGCCATATTGATAATGTGGATAGTATAGATGGTTTTCCTCTGCTACAAGTCTTATGGGGTTAAAATGTCTTTGTTGATTTTGTTTGAGAAATAATGTAGTATTCTGAAACAGCATGTTAAAATCTTGCTTGCTATTTTTTGTGCATAATCAAATGTTTAAAAACAAAAGTAAAATATTTAAAATTCCAAAATCTTTTGAATGCTTTTTTAAAAAACAAAATTGTTAGAAGACAAAGAAGAAGTAAACATGGGGAATAACTATTCCAGTTCTTAGGCATGCTTCAACCTTTTGGTCTTCAGTGGCATATAAATATCAATTATCTGATTAGCTGTTCCAAGATTGTCTAAATTGGAAGTCACGTTCTTGAAACAAAAGTATCACATCCTCATTCTTCTGGGTATGGATCTTAATTGCATTCCTCCCTCAGGTAAACATACCGTGGCTGGGATGCATATGGTTACTTGCCATAGTTCTAATCAGGTGTTCAGAACCCGCAGGAACTCATGAAGCAACATCCCATTTATGATGATTCATGATCTGCTCAGTCTTAATGTGGCGGCGGGAGGCACCCTCTCTATGCAGTTAGGGTTTCCAGCATGGGTCTGGGAACATTAATTTAGCAAATCTTTGCTGTTTCCTACTTAAGCTTGGTAAGTTAGTCAGTTCCTGCAGGGATCAGGCTATAGCTTATTGCAGAAGTGACTACTGTAGATCCAGTACATTGTACTGTACATGCTGAGATTGGAGCTAATTTTTAATTTATATTTTTGAACTTTTTGAACTTCTTTCTGAGAGGAAGAAGCTGTGTTATTGAATATATGTGTTGGACAAGGAGTGCAAGTGGAAATGTGTTTGTTATATTTATATCTTGCCTTTCCTCTGAACTCAGGACTATTATTTGCACCCAAAGCAACCTTGTTACATATCCAAAACCAACTAGTGAGGTTGACAGCTAGCGGAGATTTGATACTGGGAGCGCTGCATTCAAACCTAACACTCTCTAGCCATTGTACAACACAGCTTTAGAATTCTTTTGCAGGCTAAGCTGAATTACGCCATGGAACGATCGCCAGTCTCCACAGCTACTATGACATAATAGTTAAGATGGAGAATCCAAAACTTGCCATAAGCTCTTTCTGAGTGCAGTCCTCTCCTCCAAGGTTAAGCATGTAGAGGACTGAAGCCTGTCTCAAAGGATAATATCAACCTACCTTACAAAGTGATTGTAAAGCTTATTGAGATAATGTATGCCAAGAGCTTTGCTATATCAGTTCTAAATACTGTACTAAAAATGGCAATTATTAAAAGAGGATTAGTAATTAGTATAGAATATTGAGCTACATGGTAATTTTTAACAGGAGTTTGCAGATCAAGCCTTGCCCTGAAATTGATCTTCGATGAAATAAACAACTGTTACTTATGTGAGTTTGAATTAAACCACTGATGTTGCAAGGCATAAAAATGCAAAATATCCTCATTTAAGCACTTTGCTTGTTGTGTTTAGGAGTTTTAGTGCCTTGCATAAAATGTAGGAAGATGGAGAATAAATCACAAATAGCATCTTGTTCTCTCCACGAAACATTTCGGCCCAAATGTTTAATACATGGTATTTAATGATGCAGAAGGAATTGCTAACCTAAGTAGCAATGCTGCGCCTGTTGTAGCAGAGCAACGTCCAGAGTGTGAATGCATCCCTGGAGAATCCAGTTGTGTGAATGTTTAGCCAGTTGTTAGTAGCCCTGGGATTTAATGAGAGCAACTTTCGAAGCTTGGGAAGGGAAAACAGTCTTTGCCTTTTAAAGGATCTTGTCACGATTCTGACGTGAATGACTATGCAGAGGCCCAAGACAATTTCCCATATGCGACACATTAGCTGGCAACTGGCGGTTGATTGCCTGAAATGAAGCAGAAGGGAAATCTGAAATATAGACTAAAAAAAAAAAAAAGAGTACAACAGAGTTCTCTGGCGAATATTAAAGGTGCAGGATTGGGAATGGTAGTGCTAAAAAGGAGTGGAAGGATGAAGAGGGGATATAGAGTTCAGTGGGAGGCTTGGGGCACAAGTCAACATGCAGTAATGGTGGGCAGTAGAAACCAAACTTAAGAGATGGTGGGTAACCAAGCAAAAGCAACCAGCCTTATTTTGTATCTTCCAAGTTCTGGGAATGCCTAAAAGCCAAAACCAGAGAACCTAGACTGTTGTGGTTAAGCAGATTCTGATACATCTACATGCTTGGTTTGTCTTTATCGTTTTGGATAGTTGAAGTTTTTTTTTTTTTAATGTAACAACAACAGCATCTAAAGGAAGAAGCATACACAATATATATAGCTTGGTAAATGGCAGATCCATATGCTCAGCATAGCACCAGAGACTCTGGAAGCAGGAGGAGCAATGTGATTTTGAGGGCTTTGCAGACCTTTTTGCCACATTTTCCATTTACAAGTGAGCAACACACGAAGAAGGCTTGAGTTAGTGGTAAATCTTGGGGATAAATTTTATGAGCTATGAATTCTTTTAGCACTATTAAGAAGTAATTTATTATTACAATTATTGTTTTTTAAAAGCTTCTATTTTGCATTTCAGGAATCCCTCTGTGGCCTCCAGTGACACTCATCAACTCAGCAGGAAGGTGCTCCAACCATCTCAAGGTTTTCTTGTAGAAAAGGGCTGTGTTGCTCAGTGGGCAGCAGCCTTTGTCAACCAGGAAGAATGAGAAGGAATGTACCCCTTTATCAGATGGTTCTCTTTGTGGTTGCTACAATGGGATATCCCTCCAGACGCTCTGTTGTAGATTTGGATGCCACACCCCGAATGACAATTGTCTATAACGGTAAAGAAGCGCTCCAGGTTTGCCTTATTTATCATGAACCACTTAGCTGGGCAAGTTTGCAATGTTTATGAAGAAGAGAGATCTATGTGCCTAAATGGTGATGCTTCTTAGCTGCATACATCTTGGTATGCAAATTCCATTCTCTCTCCCTTTGTTATCTCAATGTTTGAATTTTGAGCACTTATTTACATGATTTCAGCTTTCCACAGTTACTAATGTATGTATTGACAACCTCCTCTGGTGTATATTTGCACAAGAAGTCAATTACACCGACTGTTTTGGGTAACCTATACTTGCTATGAATGGTAAAGCCCACATAGTTTTACCTATTCAAAATGTTTTTCTTTGAAATTGTTTTCATGGCCAGTTATACTGAAAGTGGAGGCGGGGAGCCCTTGTTAATCCAGAGCCTCTTGATCTAGTAAACAAATCTTAGCGTGAAGCAAGTTAGCAGAGACTTTCTCTGTAAACAGGCCTTCAAATATTGCTGTGAAGGATCCCTCTACTGCACTGATGCAGCCTGTAATGTGCAGGGAAAATTGCTTTGATGTTAGGGGTGGATGCAGTGACATACAAAGGAATCTGTGGCAAAGGTTTTGCAGTCTGCTGTCTGGTATCCTTATGTAGCCTCCTCTTATATGGGAATGGGATGAAAGTTGGCCATTTAGGGGTTGACAGGGCCAGTGCTTATCTAGTCCATAACCAATCACAATTGGGAAAAGGCAGAGAAAACCTGTTGTGGGCATATAAAGGGAATTTATTGATCGGTTCTTGATTCTTTGACAGCTTTCTGAATGTTGCAGACTGGGAATTGCTGGTGGAGCTTCTTGGAGATATTTGCCTTACGTATGATTTAATACTCAAGTGATTAAGGCTTTGTAGTTTTGCACGTTTTCTGTCAGTTGTGCTGTCACAAAGTGAAGATTGTAGGAAGCTAAGCTATTGGCTTTAAAGACTTGCAGAAGATGATGTAACCCTTTACAAGAGAGATGGAGAGGAGGAAGGAATGCTCTGTTATATAAACTTCTTTCTACTTCATTTGAAAAAGTTGTTTGTGTGTAATAATCAGGGCATTACCTCTCCCTTTTTTATTTTCCATTTGATGATTTTTATTTTTTTAAAAAGCTGCTTCCAAATATTGCAATAATACAGCTCTCTCTCTCTTACTTTTTGTATCAAATTTGAGATGTCTCATTTCACATTCAGGTGATAAAATAGTGATTTGCTGCTAGGGTTGTCTGCAGTGTTAGAATCAGAAGTTGGCATCATTGGGCACCTGCCGAAACCCACATCCCAGCATGAGGTCCACTACTGTCCTATGGTCTTGCTCCATTTCCTCTTTGATACTGATTGACCTGTCCTCTATGTATGAAGAATGACAGGATCAAGGGGAAGGAGCAGTAGGTTCCATTTGCCTTTCCATCTCCTGGGTAGTGGTGCAAATTGATCCCCAGGGAAGACGACACTTGTAGTGCTGAAGAGAAAGGTCCACTCAGGGAGGAGTCTTACTGAAGGCCTCTTTCCCAAGGACCCTGCAAAACCTGGAACTGGCACTGGATGCCTCTCTCTCCAGACCTCCATGGTATTTACAATTGTTCAGTCCTTCAATGCAAATAGAGAGGAGATTGGAAATGACTTTGTGTTGTGCTTTAGTCTATTACTTTATCATTGGCTAGAAGGCTGAAGATGAAAGGCAAAGATGGGTAGATGTACATGCCACGGGCGGTTAACACGAGGTAGAATTAAAACCATGACAAAACTGCTGATACTCTGTAGAACAAGGGATGCCAAAGTGGTGCCCTCTTGATTTTGTTGGGTTACAACTCCATCAAATTTCAGCCAGCACAGATTGTGCTTAGGGATGATGGGAGTTTTAGTCCAACAGCATCTGCAGGGAACCATCTTGGCTACCTGATGTAGAAAGAGCACAGCTTAGTGTCATAATGATGACAGTGGCATACAGGCAATTTTCGCATTGTGGTATGCTTGGAACAACAAAGGAAATAATCACTTTTGAGAGGCTTCCGCCGGGCTCCTGCCCTTTTGTCCCACCTTTCTTTCCTTGCCTTCCTATTATGGAAGAGGGAGAGAGGGAAAACCTGTTTTGAAAGCCGTGTGGGAGCTGCCACTGATTATTATATGCCAGATTGGTGCTGTCAGCACTGCTGTCTTTCGCCTCAACATGCATGTCTGGTTACATCAGCATCTTGGAGCAATCTCCTCTGCTCCAGTTTCCCGGGGACCCTGAGGCACTACGAACACATGATCACAAGCTTTTCTGAGTGCAGGAGAAGGGGGTCAAGAATTTCCTTCTGTTTGCCTTTGTTATCTTGCGCTCAAATCCCTAGTCTTGGGTAGCTTATCAGTTCTACAGTGGTGTTCATCAATCCCACCACCAGAGTTGCTTAGTAAAGCTAAGGCTTTGTATAATCTATACTCCCTCCTTAATGGGAAGGGGTGTGTGAATCAGATTTAAGGGAAGCACAAATTCATGTACTTTGAATAAAAACGTTATGTAATTTATTCTGATTTCTGTGAACACTCACAGAAGCCTGATCAGGAAGCAGGCTGCTGGCTCTGCCTATAGGTGCTGAATAAGAGACTTACCATAGTTTATGGACTGCATATTTTTGGACCATTTGTCTATGGTTCTTGCAATTCTCATTATCTTCAGTGTTCTTCCCCTCCTTTAGTACATCCAAGATGGTACTGCATGCAGTGTCCTAGAGCTTAAACGATGCCAAGATATTGGAAACATTTTCATGCTGTTGCCAGAGATGGACAGCCGGGTTGTGTTGGGATGGTAATGTTTGGGCTTTGAAATTCTTGGCAAGGGCTTAAAATAGTGGAGGAACTGAAGATCATATCTAAGGTCCCTGGAGAAGGGTAAGGAAAAGCGAAAGAACAGAGTTCCACCTATTCCATGACCACTGAGGTGTCTACTTTCTTAGTGTTCAGCAGACTATTTCCTCTGCACTTCCTCTGCGCATCTGTGCTGGTTTGTAGAAACAGTGAATGCAAAATGTTATTCTTAAGATTTCAGATTCTGAATGTGTGTGTGTGAGAGAGAGAGAGCGAGAGCGAGAGAGCACTATAATATGTAGCTTGATTTGAACTATTAAATTTGTCAGCTCAGAGAGTGCTGGTTTGCAGAAATTGCTGCTTTTCGGTTGTTGTTGGCTGGCTACCCATAAAACATTTTTTAAAGGTTTTGACGTAAGATCCGTGGGTAAATTATAACAATCCAGTTAGCTATTAGTCTGGGAAGACATAGTTAAACATATGACAGGGTCCAAATGGTTGGAAGTGCAAACTAGAAGAGATCTGAATATTGAAAAACATGGATTTAGTGCAGTGAACCATCAGGCAATCCTGCTAGTGAGTTCCCGATTTTCTAATGGCTTTTAGTTAGAATTGGATGCCTCTCTAAGGAGCTGCTCTGGATGATTAACAGCCTCTTTCCCCCAAAACAGCATGTTATTAATCTAGGATTGCTACACTGAAGATTTTTAAAAAATTGTTGCCCTATCCCTCCTCTGAGCTGTTAGGGTTCCTTTGACCCTTCTCAGAGGATGTGGCGCTTAAGGAAACAATGAGTCCTTTTTCCTGTTAAGTTTTCTAATAAAATAATGGGGGGGGGGAGAAATTTAAAAAGATATTTGAAACAGAAGACACCCCCACCCCGCTTCCCAATGATACAGTTGGTGATACAGGAAATGTAACATTGAGCATCCATTTCCCATGGTTTCCTTTCTTCCACCCTCCACTTTCAGCCCACTGGTGTGGTAAGTTCTGTGCCTTACATATTAAACTATTTACAGTTATCATTCTTCATCAGAGATGAGCAATTGACTCTTAAAGTTGTAATGGTGTCTTTAACATGTTCCTGGCTATTGGCTATTCTTTGTCATTATTGTAACTACATGCGGCAATGGTAGTCACAATGTTGGTCATCCAACAAGTGGCTGCTTAGGATCGTTATTGTACTCCAGGAGATGACAGGGATCCATCCATCCTAGTACTGCTTGGAAACTTGTGCTTCTGCTGCTTAGGAACAAGAGGAGAAGCAAATGAAAGCTTGAAGCTCTATGGAAGGAAGGAAGCACCAGGCCACAAATAATCTATGGAAACAGAATCCAGTGAACACTGGGTTCTGTATTGTTAGGAGTTGCTGACCACTGCTCCAGATGGTGAGCTGCATGAGTGCAGTTTTTCAAGGGCTTCCTGTCTCAGTGGCACTTTGCTTAAATAACAAGACAACCCGAGTTCCGTTGTGCTTATGTGTTCCCTTTGATCTTGACACTTGGCTTGTTCTCTGGCTCTTTATTATTAGGCTTGAGCTGCTAGTTTCTCGCCCAGCCCTGACAAGATTTGCAGAATGGTACAGAAGATTTGATGAGTATCAACTGGGGGTATTAGTGGTGGGGCTGATTTGCTCAGCTCATAAAGGAGGTGGGAACTCTGTTGTGGCTCCGGATTGAACCACCAGCTCTAGGAGCTCAGTGGCCAGCATGGGGGTGGAGTAGTGTGACTATGTTAATATTTTGCTTAGGGGTGCCCTCAGTAATGCTCAAGGTATTAGAATGGGCCTTCTTACCACACTACTCCCTGCTGTGATAGATTGGGACAACTAAAATATGAACTGTGTTCTACTATCCTTACTGTCCAGAGAGCATTTGGGATTTCTGTGGAATGAAGTGCTGTCTAAAGGAAATACTTATCAATGGAACAGCAAGGCATTCTGTGCCAGTACTTGGATAAATGCAACTCTGAAAGCCTGTTAACATATTTTATGTGGGAGGGTGTTAGCTGATTAATGGCTTTTAAGTTCATTGTTTTTATTTAATTCAGTCTGTTAGACAAATTAAATAAATAGCTTAGCCTATTAAAGCAGACTACTCTCCCAAGCAGCCTTTCTTCACTGTATTTCCTCTGTGTCAGAGGAGCAAGACCTACTGAATGAGGTGCTCAGTATATGCCATTGATTCACTTCTACCCATTGTCTGACTCATGGGACTGTAGATTATTGATAGCAAGGTTACTGTTGATTAACATCTTTGACTGGAAGTTGCTGCAATTGAAATATGATAAATAACTAAGCTACAAATAATTCATTGCACCTCAATTGTGGCCTATGACAAAGGTCTCATTTAAGATCTTATTCTCCATTCCCCCCAAAGAAGTCACATCTCCCTTTGAATATACAAAGCACAGAATGGGTTCTATCTGGCAGGTAGCTAGTTAATGCTGCAATAGCCCATCGCCCAACTTCCAAAAGTAGTGTGGCTGACTTTTGATTGGTTAGCCACGGCCATCATTCAATCAATGTCCACCAGGGCCAGAAACTTTTAAAAAGATGACTGTTGCCAAACAGTCCTTAGTCCCTGAACCTTACCATCTATGCTGCTATGGTAGACCAGAAGCCTGTTTGGAAGTAGCTACAGTAGGATAGACTTTCCTTTCCTTTTAAAGTACAGTGGTACCTCAGGTTAAGTACTTAATTCATTCCGGATGCCCGTTCTTAACTTGAAACTGTTCTTAACCTGAAGACCACTGTAGCTAATGGGGCCTCCCACTGCTGCCACGCCGCCGGAGCACGATTTCTGTTCTCATCCTGAAGCAAAGTTCTTAACCCGAGGTACTATTTCTGAGTTAGCGGAGTCTGTAACCTGAATCGTATGTAACCTGAAGCGTATGTAACCCGAGGTACCACTGTACTGTTCTGTTTTTACCTTTGTCTTTCTCTGTTTTTTAATTCTTAATAAAGTTCATAAGATTTGGCTGTTGGGAGTCTTGGGAGCCAAAATGTCAAGGTTCTCTTGCATGACTGGCGTACCTTGATGGGTAATTGAAATGAAGTACCCTCTTCCACCAAAGTGTTCACCTTATCCCAATAATTCAAATGGGAAATGGTCATTTTGCTGTAAACTGCACCAGAGCTTTCTGGGAACAGCAGAACGTAGCTACACATTTCACACAAATGTGTATAACAAAGCCGTATGTGTGTGTGTGTGTGTGTGTGTGTGTGTGTGTGTGTGTAATGAAAAACACCCTTGGGAGGCTGGTCTTCAGCTGCCTGTCTGGTATAGAGGTCCAGCATTTTCAAGCCCTCATTTTAAGTGGTGAGAAGTCATATCCACTGCCTGATTTTCAGCCTTCCTTCCTTTGTGTAACTAGGGCCCCTCAGCTTCTCTGCAGATTCCCTGGTGCAGTGTGGGGGGTCTTGCAGCTGGCGCAGGAGCCATGAGTAGGAACTGGCACTCAGCCTGCAGGCTTTTCTCTGAGACTTTTCCCACAAAGCATCGCTAATTGCATTATGGCTATCTGGCAGCCAAACTGAGAAGACCGCAGTCCTTACCTTGTAGAGGTGGCATTTGGATTAGCGAGTTTAACATTTTGCAAATGTTACCTAATGCCAAATGGAACAGGAGTAATCGAGTCTGTTTATGGAAATATTTTTTTACGTGTAGAAACAGCTAAACCTTCCCTGACACAGACATTATTTGTACAATCAAAATACCAACTTGGGTGCAGCTTAGTTTTTGTTGAGAACAAGTTGGTTTGATCTAAAACGCCTTGTTATGGCAGAAATGTGTAGTTGCTGCTGCTGCTGCTGTTGCTGCTGCTGTGTGATTCTGCTAGTTTATAAAGCTAGTTTGCTGGGATTGTATGCCCCATCATGCATATAGCTGTCTGAGACATCTTGATAACTTTAGTAGATTTCTGCAAACCTCTGCTCCCCTCCCTCCTCTTTAAGGTATTCTACCACTCGTGTATGGAGGGAGGGTTTCATATCAAATCCTTGCATATAGACCATATCATCTAAAGCAGGGATGATTGACCTGTGGCCCTGTAGGTTATGTTCAATTCCTACTCCCATCAGCTCCAGTCAGCATGGCCATTGGTCGCAGATAATGAGAGCTGTAGTTCAGCAACATTTGGAAGGACACAGATTCTCCACTCCAATCTAAAGAGTGAGATCTTGCTGCTAGAGAGTGTGCTTTTCTCTGCAACCATAAAAACAAGGAGGTTCTCCTCTTCATTTCCCCCAGCTGAAGACTGTAGTTTTCAGTGTTCTAACACATTTTGATGGCCTGGACAACATTTTCAGTAAGCTAGCCTGATTAGGGTATTTGCATACGTTACCAATTTGCATAAAGAGCTGGATTTTGTTACTTGCAGTGTCAAGAATAACTGATGAAGCATTAACACATCACTTTGGAGATTTGGCTTTGGTTCTTTGGTCTGCCACTCACTTCACTGTGTAAACTGTCTGCTCTCTCAGCTCTTTGCATTTCTTTTGACACAATTCTATGTACTGTATGTATATTCAGAAGCAGGTCTTCTGAGTGAGGCTTACTCTCAAGTAAGTGTGTATAGGATTGCAGCTGATAATTCAGTATCTGCACATACGAGCTGAGGATTTTGGAAGTGCTCAGCACCGAAAAATATGAATGCCTCATAGCTGAGCTTTAGAGAAGCAAAGAGTACAGCTGTTCCTGAAATCAGCTCACTGCAGAACAAGTAATGAAGTTAGCCTTGGGGTTAGCATACTTTAGAAGTGGCATAAATATAATGGGGAAGAAGTGAACTGATGTAACATAATGGTGCCGTTTTTACACAAGTGTTGACATGGGTGTATGAGTTGATAATGCTATTTTATTTTATTTTATTTTTAAGCCCTAAAAGACTCTGGACCAGTTAAGGACTGTCTTGCTCCTTATGTCCCTTCTTGAAGACTCTGATCATTGGGAGATAAACTCTTGGTGGCGACCCTTACTCCTCCTGTCTGCTTCACAGTTGTTAGGAGCAGGGTGTATAGCACTGTAGCACCTGCTTGGTAGAACTTTCTCCTGATTAGTGTCAGGCAAGCATTTACTCCCTGCCCCCTGGCAAAAACATATTTTATAGAGGCAAGCATTTACAATGCCGACTTTTAAACATGTGCTCAAAACTTTTTTTGTTCACTTGGACATTCCCTGAAGTGTGACAGATTACTGATCATGGTAAATACTATTGTTCAGTAGTTTGTTGTGTTTTTATATTGGATTGTATACCATTTTCTTACTCCATGTTAGCTGATATTTACATCTGTTAAGTAACTAACTAACTAGTTTCTGATGGCCATTCCAAAGAGAAAAGAGCCCTTTTCTAAAGGACTTCCAACAGGGGTGGACTGCTATGGGTTAAATGTTTCATGTAGGGCCTTGCATTTGAATATTTGCATGTTTCAGGTCCAGCTTGATTTGTAAAAGTTTGGTGCAGTGGATGATGTGTTAGCTTTAGATGTGTGGAGGCCCAATCTCAAATTCTTGCTTTATGGAGCACACGCTGTAGCTTTCTGTGCTAATTACTTCACAATGTACTTGTTGGGATTTATAAAGAATTATAAATTGCATCATGCTTGCATTTCAGTGTTGCTGAAATTCCTTTGGCCACCAAAACCCACGTTTTGCTACTGTGAATTCAGACATTTTAAAGTGACCTCAGTTCTCAGAAGCATTTAGATTAAAATAAAATAAAATAAATAGTCAGTATGCAGGGAGGCATTTGATGAATTCAAGTAAAAAATTCCTGAGGTAATAGTAGATCATGAACTTTTAAGGACTTGATGGTGAGGGAGAGTGGCCTCATGCTGTTGTAGGATGTACATCTATATTTGTATTTTTAAAAGTTATATTTCAGCGGAGTTGTTTATTGAACATTAGTATATCTACAAATTACAAAATACTATTCCAGATTTTCATGATTTTTCTTCAAGTTATTACCTGAAAGGGCTGTAGTACTTTTGATTTCTGACTTCTTACTTCTCATACTGACAAACCTGGTTCCTTCCGGTTGTTGTTGTTGTTGTTGTTGTTGTTGCTATTTTTGACTACACATCCACTGTGGCAAGAGGACTGCTCTCTTCATTTGAGTTTTTGGAAGCAATGGAGAGTTGAGCCTGTTCCCTTTCCAAGTCTGATGTGGTTTGACAGCTCCTTTGTGGGTCTTTGCCTTTCAGATCTCGTAGGAGGATAAATGGCTGTAGCTGGTCACTGAATGATGAATTTTAGCAGCTGGAACTGCATCCATCCATGAAATAGACACGATGCAGACTCCCCTGAGAGCTAAAAGGAGTGATTGAAAATTAATATTGTTTGAATTGAACTCCTTAGGCCTTTCAGTTAAACTCATAATGCAGGCAGCAATTACAATCGGATCTGCTACAGCGTGTCACCACAGCAGAAAGCCTCTTGTTATTGTTTCACAGTGGTATTGGCAGGCATGCAATGTGTGGGGTAACACCTCTGAGTAGTGCATGTCTGTTGGTATGTGACTGGGAGGAAAGCATTGGAAGACAAAATGTACAGTGGCACCTCGGGTTAAGTACTTAATTCGTTCCGGAGGTCCATACTTAACTTGAAATTGTTCTTAACCTGAAGCACCACTTTAGCTAATGGGGCCTCCTGCTGCCGCCGCGCTGCCGGAGCACGATTTCTGTTCTCATCCTGAAGCAAAGTTCTTAACCCGAGGTAATATTTCTGGGTTAGCAGAGTCTGTAACCTGAAGCGTATGCAACCTGAAGCGTATGTAACCCGAGGTACCACTGTACTTTACCAGAGGACTCACTGCTTGGCTTATCCAGATCTGTACACATCCATTTTCTATTCAAAACAAGCATTAAATACAATATCAAGAAAAATGACGGCCTAAATATCAAACTGGCTTTAGCATACAAGGTATTCACTAGAGTCGTGTGCAGAGGGGCAAGTCTTCCGGATATTTGCTATAAGAAGGAAGGTGCTTGTAAACATTACGTGTCCTTGGGTGATGTACGCAACCATGCCATAGGAACAGTTTGAAAAGGTAATTGTAGGAACATGTTGGAGTGTTTGCAGTCATTCTTGTAAAGAGAAGGAGGGCTCTTGAGAAATTATTGTGGCAGGCAGCTCTTGCCTGAAGCTTATGTTTCTGATGGAGCTTATAAAAGGTTCTAAAACAACCTGTTTTATGGCTTCTTAACCCAGAGTTTATCACCCTTTCCCCCCACCCTGCTACTTTGAAACTCTTGCGAGAGAGAGCAAGAGAGAGTGAGAAATGTTTTTCTTTGAAGGACATCCTCCCATTACAGAGCTTAAATGTGGTAGTTTTGCTTTTCAATCTCCTAGAACCTGCAAATTAAGTTTCTACAGCATCAAACTGCAGCAGCAAAGAGGGATTAGGACCATGGTGGTGCAAAGGAGAAAACAGCTCTGATTACTCAAAATAATAATTCTAATTCGTAAGGAGAGGCTTGCAGTGGATTTACACATGTTGAATCACTCTAGTTAATGACTCAACATAATCCAAATAGTGACAATTTTTATTACATTTATACAGTATTCTGCCCTTTCCCCACAGTTTTTGTTTCTCAAAAAGAAAAGAAAAGAAAAAAGCAGAAGATCAGCACTTCTGTGAAATTGGCAGAGGTGAACTTCCACCTAGCCTCCATAACTGAGTGCCTAACACCAAATCACTGCAGTGCACCATCTAAAGTCTGGAAAAGTCTTTTTTAAATGGGCTGAATTCAGATATGCTACTTTATGTATAATCTGAGCATCTGGATTTTTTGGTAAAGTTTATTATTATTATTATTCCTCTATGTTATAATTTATATTAAAAAGTGATAACAATGACAGGATCAGACAAAAATTAAAAGATGAAAAACAGCACATGACTCCGACCATATGGTGAACCATTCAAAAGATGGGCAAATATATTGGAAAAATCAACTTGCTTTAACATCAGCTTGTGAAAATGATCTGCGAATATGTGCTTAATTTGGCTAGGAAGGAAGGGCTCTATTCCCTGGCAGGTGGGATTTCAGTAGTAAACAATCCTGTATTGTGGTATGAGATTGAATTCTGTTGCTCTGGATTCTAGAAACTGCCTCCCACCCAGTCTCGGGCAAACTGATTCTTTTATTATTGAGAGCAATGGGGTTTTTGCTGCTCAAGGGAGCCATGAATTGTAACACCAGCGATGGAAGGAATCGTCTGAGCCTTATAAGAAGCTGTGTGAATGAAGTTCTGTGCTGTACTATTATTGATGTTTTAGATGTTTGTGTACAGTATCATTTAATGCTTTTACAAGCTCCCCCGGGAGTGCCAATTGGCACTGAAAGCTGGGATATGCATCAGAACAAGGTAGTTGCCATAGTGCTCTCCAGATGTTGTGGTCTACAACTCCCATTAACCTCTGGCCAGCATGGCCAATGGGCAGGGGTCATAGGAGCTGTAAATCACAACATTTGGAGGGCACCATGTTGTCTACCCCTGCATTGGAACAAAGATGAAACAGCTGGGGGTATTCTCATCTCAAAACTGTGAAATCATGCATATTTTACGGGATGATATATCAGTTCAGTCCATAATTGGTTGCCTTATCTTAATAAAATCTGAGAAAACTGCCCACCACATTATCTTAGTGTGGCTGAAATTTGAGGAGGAATTTGTGGTCATAAGAATAAATTACTTAAGGGGCCCCTAAGAGAGCTAATCCATGTTGGTACTACTGAGTGGTCTGGTAAGGAGAGGCAGCTGTTAATACAATCTTGTTCCCTCTCAGTGACTTGAATAGTGCATGAAGTATGTATTCCTGCAATCCTATATTATAAAATACCATGCTGCTTTAAACCTCCCCAGCATGATTACTGGGCATAGCTATGGAGGCATCCTCCAGACCTAGTAAATAACGTTTCATTTTTCGACAGGAGTGATGGATGAATGCGGCATCCTTGCTGAGGATAAACTGAGAAACAGCTGTCATTGTACAGAGCGTTTAGCTGTTGCTTATTGTTAAAGCCTTGGTGCTTGGGAAAACTACTCTGATAAAACTCCTGGCCAAGACTGGAGCCTTCAGGACAGACAGCTGCATTGTGAGACGTGTTTGCTGGCTTCCTCCCTGGGATTCAGGGCAGACCTTGATTTCTTTTGGTTTCTCTGTGATCTTTTTGGAAACAGTTATGATAGCATTGTAAACAAGCCCACAAAAGTTCCTCTCCTGGTTTTTTGTTTTCTTTTTGTAAACTGATTTGTGGTTTTTAAATAATCAAGCGGTGTATAAATTTCATGAAATAAATAAATAAAAATAACACAGCCAGCAAGGCTGATGGAGCCTTGTTATGGCGGGTGAGTTCTAAACCATTAGTGCTGAGATGTTCCTCCTTCAGGGAGTACATTTTTTCATGCTGTTTCTAAAGAAGCGGCAACAGGAAAATCTCTCCACAAGCCATGCTTTTCAATGCATCTCTCTTCCATTTGTCAAAGCCATGTTCCTAGAAACATAAACAGTGAATGGAAGCTAAGTAGCTGGCTCAGAAGTACAGAGGGTGAATTCTGCCATAATCTTTTGTTGTTTGATCTCTGTGGGAAATAGAAGCAGGAAGAGAGGCTGACAGGCTGCTTTCTGTGCGTGTATTTATTCTGACATACCTTGGTGGAGCTTCTGGTTGTGTTGTTCCATTGTCTCTCTGGTGTCCATGTATCTAGGCTGACCTAAGCCCTTGAATCCCCAGACACTATGGATGCACCCCGCTATGGGATGATGTATTTGGCACTTGCCCCTGGAGGTGCTCATGTGTGAACATGCCCATATTTATAGACAGGTTTTAATCTAGAAGAGCAGGTGTTGTGTACAACATATAAGAAGTGGACTAAAACATTCTGGAAGGTTTGCAATGACATGTAGATTTTTTTTTTGCTCTAATTTTGTTTTAGCACTTCAAATAAAAACCAAAGCCAAGTGAACCTAGTGCATAAAATCCAAATTGGGGAGAACTGTCCAGCAGTGTGAAGCAGTTGTTTCTGGCTCCTAAATGTTGATCTCATTCCTATAAAAGGAAGGTCTCTTTGAGACCTAAGCATCCTCTGTCATTGTTTTTTCAAGAAAATAAAGCCACTTTCTCCCTTTTGAAAGCACCCCGTCTTTCCCCCCTGCAAAACAAACAAAAATGGTTGTCCTGGCTGGGACTTACTCCATTGCACAATCATTTATCCTTTTATGCTGTCTTTCAAAGCAGCCTTCATTGGACACCAAACTGTTTCCCTTGAAATGGAAGCATCAGGAGGCTGTGCAAGCAAACAACATTCAGAGCTGCTTCAAAGTAGACACTAGGCTTATAAGGCTCTGGAATCTAGTCTGTCATCCACATTCTAGTTTCCTATTTTGTGCAGTACAAGGGGTGCTGACTGTAATTGTATTATTAGAGCATAAACTAGCATCTAAGGTTTGTAGAAATCAATGGGACATACGTACTAGGCAAATGGAGGTAAGCACACAGGACTCCAAAGTGCATGTTCTTACAGATGCAGACTTCCACTTGCTTCACTGAGCATTTTAACTTGTACAGATTCACACAGTTGTCTGAAATGCTAAGTAGAAGCTGACACCCTGAGGGCTCAGTAGCACATATTTCCTGGAATTGGCAGGGTTTGGAGGAAGGCAGCACAACCCAAAGGAGACAGAGAGTGGAGCTGAAGGCAATGGAGCTGTGCAAAACAGCAAAACAACTGTACCCACCAACCCAGAGCAGAAGGGTATTCTCTGGTCTACAGAGGCTAGAACCCAATGTGGCCAAAGTGAAGACACTTCCCAGTTAAAAGGGGCAAGAATAATATCCAAACGCTGTTCTCTTCTACTGTGTAGCACAGGAGAATTTATATTGGTCAGATGTTCTACATCTTTGACCTTACCCAAATATAAGGCTGATCTTATTTCATGAGGAGAGAGGCAAAGGCTGAGAAGGATAAATTGAAAAACTGGTCCAAGGTGAACTGCTGGAACATAATGTATAGAATTGCTGTCACATCAGAATGCTTCCTCACATTAAGATGTGTAAAACACATTGTGAGATTCCCATTTGGTGCATGGATGGTGCTTCGAAGATGAAGGTTGCCAACAGAGAAAGCTCTTGGCAGAGAAGGCAGATTTTTCTTTCAGTCTCTACTGTTGTGATTGTAGAAGCCGAGAGGCTGAAACCAGTTTGACTGGAGATTGCTGTGGGTAATCGCTCTTCCCTCTAATCACACAAAAATGAGGAAGTACTAGAAAGATTTTGGCTCAAAAACCTGCAGTGTTGGACATGGCTCCACAGTGGAAAGTATTTAGTAGAGGGTGGTTCTCTGGATGTTGCTGGACTACAAGTCCCATTATCCTTGGCCATTGGCCATGTTGCCTGGGTCTGATGGGAGGGCCACAGGTTCCCATCTCTAATTTAATGGAAACTGTGCTTAATATGAACGATGCAGTGGATAGGGTTGCCATATCTCAAAAAGTGAAAATCCAGACAGCTTTTTTGGGGCCATAGTAGTTTTGCTGAAAGAGTTGTTGAACTTTTGGACACTGCTAACATTGGTTGCCGTACATCGGGAATTTCCTGGACATTTCACCGATTTCCACCCAGACACTGCTTCTGGCTGCAGTATTCCGGGTATGTCCTGGAAATTCCAGACATATTGCAACCCTGCAGTGGATCAGAAATGGACAATGATAAGTATTGATAATAGAATCCTATTCCGCTGGCACAGCTCGGTCATATTTACCATTCAAGCTGCACCTCTTAGTCATTGGTTCCCATATGGAATCTCTCTCACTTACCTGGATGGAGGGCAGACGAAGTGTAGCATGAAAGGTGCTTGTTGTACATGGGTAAAAGTCTGATCTGGTGCTCCACCCACTTTTGTTTTGGGCTCCACCCATCACTGGCAGGTGGCCCCTGAATTGCTGCTCATGAGTTAGTGCAACCTTTGGACTGAGAAAGGTTCCCCATTTCTGATCTAGACAGAACAAATTTGATAGGTGCCAGTGCTAAAATGTTTGTGGTAAATGAGGGGTAGGGACTCCTTTTGGCCTGGAGGAGCAGAACTTTATTTCCCTCGACTGCATGGGCCAATGTTTACAGGTGGGCAGGGTCGCTCTTGCTGATCAGATGACTGACAGGTAGGCAGGACCACTCATCTCTCAGAGTTAATCCATTGAGTGGGGAGAGGGGGGGTTCAGCTAGTTGGGGTTCAGTCCTGCTGTCTGCAGGGCTCTACACCCAATGTGACTTACGGTACATGTAACAGGATCCCACTCATAACTCTGGCTATGTATCTAAAAAATACAGTTTCTATTTCAGAAGGGTATTGAGGGGCTTATTTAAATTTCAAGAAAACCTTCAAGCTGTTTTCTTTGAGCTAGTTCCACTGTGACATTTCAGCTTTACCAGTAAGCTTCAGAAACTCACCCCATGTGTTCAGGTATGTAAAAAAAAATATTCTGCCCAAGTGACACAGCATGCATCTGGGTTATCTCGTGAGCTGAGGTTGGATATGTGGATAGTTCTAATACATAGGATTATTTACCAGCAACTTGTGCATGGGCACAAATCTAACAAATATTTTGCATTAATTAATGTACCTATAGGATTCATTCTCCAAGCCATTTTGTGGTTGCTTAATATTGCATCAAGCCTGGCTTTAGCTTCAGCATCTCACTTCCATAAGTGATAGATTTTGTTCAAACAGTTAAATCAAGGACCAAGTCTCTGTTCTACTATACTGGAGAAAGCAGCTCTCTTAACCTCCTTTCAAGTCCTGGGATTGTTCTCTTAAAAGCTTCCTTTTCCAACAGCACTGCATCATCCTCAGTAATTTCTGATTCACTTTGTTCTTGCTTCCCAGTATGGCAGGAGCTTTTAACTTGCCCTGCAGCCATTTTCCTCCTTTGCTGCAGGCAGAGGGCAGAGCATTTTGCTCTTTTGCAAGTTTTAACTGAGCCTCAGATAGAAGGTGCTCTCTCTCTCTCTCCCCCCCCCTCTCTCCTCCTCCCACCCCCTCTCTCCCCCTCCCACCCCCTCTCTGTGTCTTTCCATCCATCCCTGTGTTTCCAGAGCATCTGATTTCTTGGATCAGACAGATAATACCAAAAAATCTTCATTGATCAAATAGTTACACTATGGTGCTAAATACTTTATGTGGAAGTTAAATATGTTTGGAGCTTACTCTCACACCAGAATTTTAGCTTCTCAGAGTTAATATGTTAAGGTTCCAACCTAGCACTGAACCTGAAACAAATAACCTTTCATATTTATTCCACACATGTGCAAAGTTGCCTTATGAAGTAGTAGTAGTTCATTTTTCCTGTTTACACTTGAGAAAATCAAGTTGGGCCTGCTCAAGGTTATTTGCAAAAGGATAGATAAACTGGGATTTCACTTCTGCTGCAGGCTGAATGCTTTATGCACCAAGACATCTTTTTAATAGCAAATAACTGTTTCTCGTGGTCCTTATGCACATATGAGGACAGGTAGCACTTGGTTTCCTGATATTTACACATTATCTGTTGCATGTTACTTGTTATCTGTACAGAGGCGTACCTAGGCTTCCCCCCTCTCCATTTTGCCCCTTGGCAAGAGACCATGTACCAGAAACTCAAAAAACTTTATTCTTGTTGCCTTTCGTGCTCTGCCAATGACTTCCTCTGCAGCCATCGGGATCGGGTCTGCTCTGCTCCACCTCTCCTCCTCCTCCTCCTCCCTTGGTTCGTCCGTCCATCTGCTTGCCTGCCTCCCTTGGCTCACCGCTTTCCCTTCTGGCTTCTGGCTTCTTCCTTCTTTCTTTTTTCCTCCTCTTGCAACTCATGCCCACTCTCTCCCTCTTTCTTCCCTCTGAGCCCTGCTGGGTGCCTCACTCACACTTCTAATAGCACCACCAGTCAGCTGTGGAGGGGCCCCTGCAGGACCCATGCCTGTGACCAGATTCCTCTGCCAAGGTGCCCGGAAGAGCCTGTGCACCTCACCTGGCTGCCCAGAACAGCAGAGGAGTGGCCCGGGGAGTATGCAAGCGGGTGGAGTTCTCCTAACCGCTCTGAGCCAGAATGGAGAGATGTGATTTTCGCATCTCTCTGGGTCTGTGCCCTTGGTGGCGGCCAACCTATCTAACCCTTTGGCATGCCTCTGTATCTGTATGCATGCAGAAGAGGCCTCAGCCCTATTTGAGTTGAAGCAGTTCTCAAATTGGCAAGAGTGACATCATTTGAATAGCACAATGCAGAGGTTGGGGGCAGGGAGGTATCCTTTTTTGGATTAGTGGAGATGTTGTGCTTACCTGCTATACTTTTGTTTGTAAATCCACAAAATTCACAGTTTCCCTTCTCAACGTCTCTTGCCTATACACATTTATTTTTACTGACAACTGGACTGCTTGCATGCTTTGGTGTTGTTTTGTCACACACTGTTGCATTCTTTCAGTCTACAGCTGCTAGAAGCCATCTTCCCCTGCCCCCAATATCTCACCCAGAACCAAGGAGGTGGATGAGAGCCATTTGTTTAGATGGCTACTCCCACTACCGGTCTGGCTTATTCCATGCCACTTCCATTCCATCTTGGACAGCAGAATAAAGTAAGCTTGCATTCAGGGCATGGGAAAGAGAGATTCTATGGTAGGCAAGACTCCCCTTTGTGTTTTGATGCCAGTACTGAGAACAGAGCTCTCTGCTCATAAATTTTACCAGCATTTGTCTAAGGAGATCTCATCCGCTTGACATTTGGATTAGTTTCACTCTTCCCTATCCTCATGCTGATGAATAGGTTAGCTGTGCAGTGTGGAATAAACATTGATTAGGATAAGTGGACTGTTCAGCTGAATTACAGATTCAACCAGCCACTTCTCATACTTTGCTGCTTCTGCCTGTCCTTTCTTACAGAGGAGGTTGGTTCAACTGGAGCTCTGCACATGTCCAGAATTGTGTGTATGGTTTTGCTTTGTTCTAATAATGAGAGAATACCATGTGATCATCACAGGAAGCCCCTATTGTGTGAGGCTGCGCTGGTATAAACTGGAGGTACATCCAGTCACAAGGAGGTGGTTACACTGTGACCCAATTAATTCCAAAATCCAGTCCAATAGCTAATACATCTAACGCCTTTTTGCATTCCCTAAGAAGTCCCATTTCAGCAAGGATGAGAGCACCTTGCCATAAATATCTGTATTGGCAGAGATATCCCTGTGTCTCCTATGTTTCAACCTTTGGCACGACACCAAATTAACTGAACTTGGGATGCACCATGAAGTCTCCACCAATGTCCTTTGTTATGTAATGTCATTTATGTCTGAGCTTGGACCCTTTGTAAAAAATCAGAATCAGGGCAAAGGTATTGGATCAGTTTTTCCCAAAACTGGGTACATAAAAAAATCCCAGTTTGTTCAGCTTTTGAGGAGATGCTTCAGGAGGCAGGAAAACCACCACTTTTCATGTGACCATTTGCCTTTCATCATTCTTTTCTCTCCTTAAGATAAAGCTGGATCTTTTAAGAGTGCTTCTGTAGTGACATTTTAGTAAGACACATAGCTCTTCTGCTGTTTATAAATAATTTCATATTAGCAATTTAAATCTTTATCCATTCATAAATAAATATTACAGTTGCAGCAACAGTGTGGCTGTTCCTGGTTCTCTGTAGGAAAGATGTTGTTGTTGTTTAGTCGTTTAGTCGTGTCCGACTCTTCGTGACCCCATGGACCAGAGCACGCCAGGCACTTCTGTCCTCCACTGCCTCCCGCAGTTTGATCAAACTCATGCTGGTAGTTTCAAGAACACCATCCAACCATCTCATCCTCTGTCGTCCCCTTCTCCTTGTGCCCTCCATCTTTCCCAACATCAGGGTCTTTTCCAGGGAGTCTTCTCTTCTCATGAGTAGGAAAGATACTAATATGCAAAATCCCACAAATTGATCAAGGTTATCAAAGCAAATGCAATTCTCTCTGTGTACATGCGTAGTGTTATTCATTATGCTTCCAGGCATGTATATTCTGTACAGATTTTCTGATGCCCATACAAATGTTGCCTGTCAAATGCTCATTGTGGGGCAAATCCTGACATTCAGCTGTGAACTCTAATCGGCACTGACCCCATGCAGTCTGTGCGGTTTTCTGTTCTCCCTAGAAGTGGGAGATTATTTTCCTAGAAAACCCTGCTATTCTTGCAAGGGGCGCCTTTATGTACATACAAAGTCCTTCAAAGAATATTAACAACCTGAATGTCTTGCAGAGGCCTGGAACTGATGATCCGGAGCTACAGATTTGATCAGTTCAGGCAACCTTGGAAAGGAGAACTGTGTGAAATGACTGAGAAACAGGCTGGAAAGGGCATCCAGCAGAACGCTTCCCACTTGCAAAGCGATTTGAGTGTCACCTTTCCTCGTGGCAGCACAGGTGGGGGGGGGATATCACATTCTCCCTCAAAGCTGAAGCTAACTCTCTCTCAGAGGTAGGGAGGCTGTGGCTCCCCCCACTGAGGCTCACCCTGCAGTTCTGCATTTTGGCACAGCAATGACACTTCAAAGGCAGGTACCTGCCATCTGTCACTGATCTGATCCCCCTCAAGGTAGGGCTGCCGCAACACCAAGAAGGTGACTCCAACATTTAAGCTTTGCTCAGGGAATTTATTTGCTCTACGTAGGCAGGTTTAGTCATTAAGGCTTATAACTCTGCAAACACCTTACAATTTGAAGTGATTGGTCTGCCTTCCCTGTCTTGTGCCTCCTTCATGTACAATGTCACTGCCATTGTTCGTGCACATCAACAGAGCTGGTGTTTTCATAAGTTGTATACCATTTGAATAAAATGATTGTTTGCATAAAGTTCCAGGATGAGCTCAGAGTGTTCCGAATCTCTCTCTCCCCCCCCCAATCCTCTACAGTGGTACCTTGGGTTAAGAACTTAATTCGTTCCAGAGGTCCGTTCTTAACCTGAAACTGTTCTTAACCTTAGGTACCACTTTAGCTAATGGGCCTCCGGCTGCTGCTGCGCTGCCAGAACACCTTTTCTGTTCTCATCCTGAAGCAAAGTTCTTAACCCGAGGTACTATTTCTGGGTTAGCGGAGTCTGTAACCTGAAGTGCATGGAACCTGAAGCATCTGTAACCCAGGGTACCACTGTACCTTTTGGGAAAATTGCCCGTTCTGTTGATGGGACAAACTAGAGACATGTCCATACATCTCAAGCTCCATTTTTCTTTCTGCAAAATCATCTTTTTCCAAGAAGAGATGAAGTATTTATAAATACACTTTCTACGGCAGTTTAGGTTATGCCTGCACTTGCTGTATAGTTGAGGTCATTGCTTGGTGTGTATATGATTCATGTCAAGCTGGCCAGGTCCACATTGCACACACATTCATCCCTTCATCTACTGAGTATTACCTGTAATAAGGGAAATCGTGTCAGTGTATGGTCTATGATGCAGCACAAAGGGTACATATCAATCAGGATCTGTGGTCCTCCAGATGTTATTGGATTCCAACTCCCATCAGCCACAGCCAGCATAATCTGTGATCATGGATGATAGAAGATATAGTTCAACAACAGGACCATAGGTTCTGCAATCCTAATTTATATGGTTTAAATAAATTACAGGTGCGGGCTACCTTCTGAGGCATCGTGTGTGTCAGTGAAATCGTGTATATTTGAAACACCATTGAGAAAGCCTCAAACACCCTGCCCCTTTTTGTGAATTTTCGGGTCATTTCTGGATTTGGCACGATGTGGCTGTGCACATTCACGCACATATTGAACTCATAAATGGGGGGGGGGGTTGTCTGTATGGTCTTTTAAACTGGAGGGGTGTATTTTTTGTTATGCTATATATTTTTGTGTTTTTATATTGTAAACTACCCTATTATCAGATGAATGGCAATATAGAATTCAAATCAATCAATCAATCAATCAATCAATCAATCAATCTTGCCCCTGAACACTTCCCATGCTGATAACAATAAGTGTTCAAAGGTGCTGTGAAATGCTAAACTTCAGGTGGTACAGTTATACACAGAGAAAAGTATGAGCGTGTACAATTGTACAAATCTGTACATAAGCCAGAGTCACACTAACACTACTAAGACACTGGTGCAATCTTATCTATTGTGAATTCCTTTTGTGGTAAACACCTGACTCATCAGATAAGAGTGGGTCAGCTGCAGCTACATGGCCCTGAACTGCTTTAGGATTACATGGCAGAAACATCACACAGTTTGAATAATTGGGAGCACTGTTGCATTTCAGTCCACACTGGGAGTGGCAAACCTGTTGCTGGACTACAGCTCCCATCATTCCTGCTTATTGGCTATGTTGACTGGGGCTGCTGGGAGTTGAGATCTAACAACATCTGGAGGGTCAGTGAACTCCACCCCTGGAATGGGATGGAATAACACGGCAAAACAAAACATACAAAATACCACATTTCAATACTATCAATATAACAAGATTGTTTAAACAACATGCTGCATCCAATAGAAAAAGTAAGAAGGGAGTTTCACAGGTTCACCTTAGTCCTAGAAGCACTCCTCTCATAATGTTACTCACAGTCCCTCTCCTGCAGCAGCTTCTGATAAGGCTTCCAAAGCCAAAGGGTGGGGTGGGTTCAAGTTAGAGCTTCCAGATAACAGTTGCAGGCACAGATTGACAAAGTTTGCTGACTAACAGAAGAAACTAGAATATAGTATATAGAATGCAAATGCGAATATTGCAGTGGTATCTGCTACAATTTGCTATTTTTTGCTCAAATACTCATCCGCTCCTCCTGTTGCTTTCAGTTTCCAGCATATGCTAAGGATTCTTTCTACCAATGCTGAAATAGTTCAGCAAAATGTATTGGAGCGGGGTGAGGCATACCCTTTGTTAACATATTGGCAAATAGAAGAATGATGCTAAGAAGTGGAGCTCACAAGCCCATGCTTTGCATCAAGATGACTTTTTGGAAGACATTGTTTTCTCCTGCTGAGCTCCCTTCCCTCCCAGGTTATGAATCAGATCACACAAAAAGTAAAGTTTGTGTAATAAACCAACCAATATCAAAGGACCAGTTCACATGTGTACATGTGTCATTTGATGATGACGCTATGTGAATGAGCCATCCCAGATAGTACTTCAATATGGAAGTTTTCAAAGGGAATCAGTTCACATATTTGGTTGCAAGTCATCAAGTGATAGAAAAGAATTAAATTATGTCTATGCAGATGTGAACCAGCAAATAAGATTCTTTGGCTCCTTGTTATTGCATGTTAATTGGGTTTCATTTTTTTTTTTTTAATGCTCAATTTCTGTCACTTTCTTCTCGCAGATCTTGCATTCTAACAGCATTGTCATTGTCACGCTCCTGTGATCCCTCACAGATTTTTACTACACTCGCATCATAAACAACAATAAACACGATTTTCCAGCTGCACCTCTCCAACTGAGCTGAATTTTGAGTGGTATTATTCTTATTTTGACATGGTACCTTCTAACCTCCAAACAGCTGTGACTTCTTTTTACAGCAGCCTAGTTAGTAATCAGGAGCAAACACTGGTATTTTGCAAGGGAGAGAAAACACTGATAAACCAGAAGTGCCTTTCACCTTCTTCTGCCACAGGCATTTAAATGACCAGGAGTGGGGAGGGGAAATGATGGTTGTGAAAGCGGGAGGGCTCAGGACTCACTGCCTGACCTCAAACTGTCTCCCAGCCTGCCATCCCTGCTCAGAACTGGCCTTCTGGTGACTCAGCCTGAGCAGTTCTAGGTAAGGGATATAAATAGCACTTACTATCCAGGCAGCTATCTGCCTCAGGCATTTGTGTCCCAATCAAGATTGTTGGTTTGTCCCTGACTTCCCTCAAGGGACTGTGGTTTGGAAAGCAAGTCTTACCTCCCTTAGCTCAGTGTGATTGTGTGGAAGAAGACATGACTGCATATGGCTGTATGAATGTGTGGAAGCATTTTCTTACATGTTACGAGGCAAAGTATATAACACTATTTGCTCACAGTTTCTGCTTGCGTCCACACCAGACATTTACAGCTCATGGCTTCCTCCAAAGACTCCCTGAGAACTGTAATGCAGGGTGCAGGGGGCTGGAGCTCTGTGAGGTGTAAACTACAATTCCCAAGATGCTTTGGGGAAGCAATGTGCTGTGAATGTACATTGTGGATGTGCCCCTTTCTCATTTTCACTTAATAGCAGGCTGTATATGAAGGGTTGGAACACAATATTGATCAGTTTTCAGTAGGAGTTTAGGCACTTGTCCGAAAGGAGTGCTTTGCTATGAAAATGTGGTACTCTGATAACAACTGGAGGAAATTCAATTGGTTTTTCACTGCAGCTTGGACAAGGCTAGGGTTAAATTCCTTTGGGCGTATTACAGTTTGCCTCGGTATATTTATATATGGTTTTCTGCTTCCTTCAGTGCTCCCATAGGGAATGAGGACTCGCACTCTGAAGCAGTCAGATACTGATTCAGTTTATCCACCTTCCCTTTCATTCACTCGCCCACACACCTCGGCTCCTGAAAACATGCATTTCCATGGTATACTTGAAATTCCCCTTGAAAAATATGGGCTTTGTAAGTTGGAAGGAATCTTCCATAATCAGTTTTCACCGTTCCACAGAGCATAACTTCGGACTGCATTTCTTCTGCATGCCCTGTTCAAACTCTTGATTGATACCCACAACGGAAGAGTTTGGGACATGAGGTAGCCAGAGAGAGAGACGAAAAACCAGAACAGGTCACGGTGTGCAAGCATTAAGGCTGAAGTCCAGGTGTGTGTGTGTGTGAAACCAGGGCTTCCAGCTTACCTCCTGCTCCCCTTTGCTCAATTCCTTTAATGAGCCTGGCAGACTCTGGAGTTCAAGGCTGCAGCACTAATCTGGACATCCAGTCAGCTGACTCTGTGGGTCAGTCTCAGAGCACCAGCCTTTTAATACCCTAGCCTCAGAACTAGCTCCTTAGTTTAAGCCACTTGACTCTAGTGTAAAGACTCTGCCTTACCTGGACTATATAGTTGCCTCTTTGGTAGGGTTGCCATATGTCAACAATGTTTCTGTTCGGATTTTCACTTTTTGAAATATGGCAACCCTATCTTTGGTTCTTGTTTGCTGCTCTGAACCTTGGTTCTTGCCTGCTTTAGACTACACTTGGGGCCAGCTCCTGGGATCCCAGAACATGACAGCTTGATGCCTATGCTTTCTGGGGTCTAAGGGACCAGATAGTGTTGGCTAAGACATCTAGGCTGCAATGCTGTGCCTACTTACCTAGAAGTAAATCCCACAGAACTCAGTCAGACTTAACTTCTGTGTAGATAGGCATAGGATTATGCTGCCACTTAGGGATAGCTGTGCTGCTATTTTGTGGGTTGCTTTGGCTGTGAAGGCTAGAGAGAGACCTCTTAGGATTGACCTTAGAATTCGTAGTCCACCTTCACGAGAGAAAACATGCTTATGCAAAAGGGAGCAGCTTCAGGGGCCCAGTGAGTGGCCTGGGAACACCCGAGGCTGCAGAATTGCTAGTGTCCCTCGGATGGGAAACCAGTAGAAGCTGTTTGTAAGAACTGGATATATAAGCATAATCAATCTTTCAAATGGAAAGCGGTTTCAGATGTCATCACACTCACAGTAAAACAGTTTTAATGGGAACTTGAGATGCAGCAGATACTGGATCAATGATGACAAAAAGCCAGCAGTGGGGTTTTTTGTTGTTTTTTTAAAAAAGATTCATGTTGAAGGCATTGAGATCTAGTAAGGATGCCCATAATCAACATGGAGGAAAATTAGAGTTTCGTTTTTGAACAAAGGTCCCTATACTTACAAGGTGCAGCTTCTCTCCCCCCTCCCTCCCCCTTCGGTGTCCCCTGATCTGGGGTATTATTGGTGTCTAAAGATCACACACACACACACACACACACACACACACACAGTAGATGGTTGATGGAAGGATACTTAGTGAGAGGCAGGGAAGGGAAGACTTACTCAGGTGAAAGACTGGGAGAAGAAAGGAAAGCTCCCAGGTGAGAGGTGAGAGGGTCCACCACTTCCTGGGTGAGACAAGGATTAAGAACTACCTTTGAGAGAGGACTCTGCATTTTCTTTTCTCTTTCTCTTTCTCCTTCTTTTTCTGTTTTTGTTTTCCTTAGTTTCTTCTATCTTACTGTATTATGAAGAAGCTTTAATAAAATATTATTTTTTAAAAAGAAAGCTAGTACTGTAAATAGGTTTGGGCCAGTTAGGAATACTCCCAATTTAAGCAAGGTGAACTTGTACTCAAAATATTTACTGCCCAATTTGCAGTTTTATCCATTAATTTATAATGTTGATCCAGGGAATAGCCATTCAGTAATTTTTGACCCAGCCAAAGGAATGACTTCCGCATAGGCAACATTGAGAGCTGTGCAGTTTTGGGCAGCTTGATTTACAACTTGAAACTTATGAGGGATTTATATTAAGCAGCTAGCTAGAACCTCTGTTTAATTTGTTTTTGTGGTTAATGGCATGATCCTAGTCAAGCTTATCATAATGTAAGGCTCATGGAATTGATTAGGACTGACTCCCAAGTAAGCTCAAGGCTCCAACCCTAAATACACTCCCAGGGGAGTAAGCACGATTAAACACAATCGGACTTCTGAGTCAGCATGCGTAGGAATGAGCTGTTAAGTCTGTAAAAGCACCTCAAACCTGACAACTTTTTGGTAGTTAGTTATGTTTGTTTCTTTAATGTTGCTTTACGATTTTGGGCCCCCCACAATATCCCTTTGTCATAATCATGTACGTATATATATATTTCTTTGTAATAATCCATTTAAAATTTCAAACTATTGCATTATAAAAATTCTGTTTGGCTTATTTTGAAATGCATTGGGTTTGAGAAATGTAACATTCTGCTAACAAAATTCACTCTCTCTATGAAGAGGAGAGGAAACACCGAGTAGCAGGTCATGCCTCCCTTATCTTCCAGTATGCTTCTGAATACCAGTTGCTAGAAACCACAGGCGGTGGGTGGAGGAGGAATGCTGATGCCTTCAGGCATCTGATCAGCCACTGTGAGACTGGGATGTTGTACTAGATGGGTCATTGGCCTGATCCAGCAGGCTTTTCTTATGTTCTTATGGCAACCTCAGGAACTGTGGGAAAACTGAGAACTGCCTTATCTGACAAGGAACTCCTGGAGGAAGCTTGCAATGCTAATAGGGGACTGGTGCTTAACAGTACCTATCTTTTCAATATGTATACTGTCTAGAGATATTTTTTAAAAGTGTACTGCCTGTTGGGGTGCCTTGCAGGTCTGCGTCCTCCTAAAGCAACAGCTCAGAGCCATATCAAACAGCTCCACTATTTCAAATAATTACTATGTGTTCTCCACCCATGCTTTCAATTGAATTGCCAGCATGACAAGAGGCTTCACAATATCTTTTCCTTTCTGGCCCAATGAAGAACATTATCAACTTGGTGCACAAACAAGTTAAGTTAGAACACATGGGCTGATCCCTCTACATATCCCTCTTGACGTCAGTAGTGGGACTAAGGCTACAAACCTTCGCATTCTTACTTGGGGATAAGCCCCAGTGTATGCAGCAAGACTTTCCACCAATTAAGCATGCAGAAGGCTCTGTCTGCACTTCATTTTAAGGGCTCTGATTTACCGTAATTGAGCTGAAGATCGGGCTCTGTATCTTTTGAATCTCTGGGTTAAATGTTGATCCATGGAAAAGTTTAAAGGCTTTCCCCCCTTCCAAAGTTGCTGCATATACTGGATAATATTTGAAAATCATTTTTGGAGGCCCTTCAAAGTGATCAACTTCCACACTCTGTCCTGATTCACATTTTGGTTTACTTTTGCATTTTTCTGTTCCCATCTTTCAGATGTCGGACAGCACAATAGTGAGCCTTCAGTTCAGCTGCCTCTTCCAGCGTATCTGGAGTGCCCAAGAAACCTCTGTGGTCTTGCTTTTTAAACAGCCTGTGTTTCTTTCCCCAGATTTGACCACTGCAAGACGTTTTAGCAGCCATGCCCAGAACTACACTACCCTCCTGCTAGAGGATGAGAAGGGAATTCTTTATGTTGGGGCCAGGGGGGCCATATTCTCCTTAAATTCCAGCAATGTTTCTGATGGCTCCCATCGGACAGTAAGTGCAGCTTTATCCCACTGGCATGTTCACAGTTAATTCCCTTTGCAAATTTTGGTTTCCAAACCCATTTAGGGCTACATTTGTACCTTCAAGGAAGAACAAGTACAGCTTTCTCTTTATTTAAACTTTAGAATCTGCTTTGATTGGGGAGGGATCATGGCTTCATGACTGAGTCAGCAAATGGCCAATCCGTGCTGTGCATATCAAATTTCTGCTCTAAAGTAGAAGACTAGATTTCACCCCGAATCTTACTGCATATGTGTAAAATATGTGATGAGTGCATTTCCACAGCAGACTCACTGCTGGAATAATGTATACCTGCATGCAGCCTTTGTTACATTAGAGTCACCAAGAGATGCACTGAAAACAATCTGTTCTGAAAATTAAAAATGGATGCCTCTGTCATCAAATCTAGTTTCCACAACCGATATAGACAGATATGGACCCTTTTGTCTGCCTCGCATGTTAGTGGAATGGGCTGGGGCCAACCCTCACTGGTAGTCAATGGGTTCCTGAACTACAGCTCCCACCATCCTTGACCATTGGTCATACTGGATGGGGCTGCTGGGAGTTAGAGTCTAACAACACCTTGAGGGCACCATATTGGCTCCCCTTGCTGAAGTACACAAAGGTCCTTTAAAATACCTGGAAGTCTCTGGTGCCTCTTACCAGGTATAACATTTGTTCACTCTCCTTTGAGGCCCTTTATCTCAGTACAGTTTCTTTTCTGTGCCCTTGTTTTTTATGCAAAATGGGAAGGGAGCTCTTGAGCCATGTAAAACTGAAAACAGCAGCCACCCTCTACTGAAAACCACTTGCTTTTTTGGTCTCCTTCCCTCTCCCTTTCTCCCTGCTGCTTCCTTATGGTATTTGTAACAGCCAGGTTCTCATTTCAGCCAAGGACCTTTAAAAGCAAATGGGCTACAAAAATCTGCAGAGCTCCCCCGCTTTGCACTTAAATAAATCCACTTATTCTGGGGGAAGGCGAAGTGTGAACTTTGAAGAGCTCTTGTTGAGTTTCATGGGGCTTGCTTCTTAATGTCACGCTCCACCACTATTTCCTGGGCTGGGATGCCCCAGTGAATAATGATCCTGCTTTGTGTTTAACTTTGTAGATTGATTGGGAAGCCTCTCCTGAGAAGCGGGGAGACTGCCTGAAAAAGGGCAAAAACAACAAGGTATGTGCTCCACAAGTCTCTGCCTTTTTGTCTCTCTGCCTGTGCTTCTGACCTGTTTGTGCCTGTAGCTGATGAACACGCCATTGTCAGGACTCTTGTGCAAATGACACCCTCCCTTCCTCTTTTACAGACAGAGTGTTACAACCATGTCAAGCTTTTGCAACGGCTGAACACAACCCACCTGTATGCCTGTGGCACATATGCCTTCCACCCGCTCTGCACATACATTGTGAGTAAAAGAAGCAAAAGAATCTACTCCATTGCCTTGTTGGGAAGTCCCTCTTTGCACTGAAACTGACTGACAGGCAGAAACCAACTGAAAATCACTCAGATTAACTTTTCTGCACATGGAACTGATTGTAGATGAACTCTATAGTCAGGTATCCAGGACAACAAACCAATCCCAAATCCTGGCTCCTGTGTCAGTAATTCCTGCCAAGGAACGGAAAGGTCATGAAGACCAGAACTAATTTTTACTGCCTGCCAGAAGGAGGGAGGTCTGTGGGGAGGCTCTCCCTTCCTAGTGTTTTGTTCTCCAAGGCTGGCTGTTGATTTCTGGGAAGCCTAAGAACCTGGACTGATGCTTTAAGGTGCCTTGCCCATGGGTTTGCTAACATACTGTCTGCATAAAGAACCAAAGGAAAAGGCCAACCCTACCATTAGGCAATGAGACAACCATCTCAGGTGGCCTAGTGTGGGGGCACTGATTATTTATTAATTAAATTTCTATATTAGTTTTTAATATATAATATATGATCATTCAAATTTCTATGACAGCAGCCCCTTCCCCCTCTTCCCCTCTGTGGAGGACAGAACTGTGTGTGCCCAGTGCCAGTCTGGAAATAAGATTCAACTGTCATTTGACTCTGCTTCTCTACATGGGAAGGGGGTGGCAACTTGTCTTTCATCATAGGCAGACCCTGAGAAGCATAAGCATGCCTTTCTTTCATTTCTTTAAATTCACATTCAATGTGTTAACATTGGGATGCTTTCTTGCTGTTTGGCATAGTGGATAGAATATTGGACTGGAACCTGGGAAATCAGGTGGGGAGAACCTTGTCAGTTTAGGCATCTCACCAGAACACTTTATTCTGATGATCGAGGACTTTAAACTCATACCCCTGCTCTGTTGCCAATACTGCAAGTGACTTATATGAACTTTCCTCTACCACCCAGTAGTGTTTCCTGCATCATGCTTAAATCAGCAGAGTCAAAAAGCTAAGGCTTACTATTTTGTTCCAAAACTAATTGTTGGAGCCAACCTAGTGCAATTTCACTTTCCAGGGCTAGACCACCAATAGGAAAATGTCCAGGTTTGGCTTTGCCAATGATTGTCCCCCCCCAAGTTTATTTTTTATTTAATTATTGATTCGCGTGCCACACTTAACAATGCAATCCTTTGTAAGTTTACTCAGAACAAAGTCTCATACAGATCAATGCTGCTCACTCCTAAGTAAATTTATTTAAGGATGCAACCTTAGAATTCCAATAATGCAGCAGGTAGCTATTATTGTGATGTTTTGAGTGTTAGGGTCAAAGATCAGAAAGCAAGTATGTAGTCTTCTGTCATTGACACCAACACATGATATTTTAGATAAATTTGTCAAATGATAATTGAACATCTCTCTGGAAAATAAAGTGTTATTTCTTCCAGAGTTAAAGAGTAGCCATATTTTCAGGAAGAGAGATTATAAAACCAATGGCATCAACTATTGGTCATGCTGGACAAAGAACATTGTGATTGATTCTGTGGTCTAATTTGGCCGTTCTGCAGAGAGCATTCCACCTTTAGATTGATCACATTGACTAGAGAACCTCTCTGTACTAGTTCCTCAGCATGTTTATTCAGGATGTCAGAGTCCCACCAGCCCTCATTCTTCGAAACATGTTGCTCCCCAGAGTCCCAGCAGTCATAGAAACAAGGAGGTAACATCCTTTATTGAACTAATCATCTATACTGGCTAACAAAGGTGCTGTTCCCCCTCCCCCCTCAATTTGCAGCCTCTAGATACCTGCCACCTGTTCAAACAGTCATTTAGATGGATCATCTTCTATTTTAATAACATTTTCTATAATCCAGAGCTTGCCCTGGACAGTCTCATCTATCTTGTGCTCATTTTTGTGCCTTGCCACATTTCTGCATTCCATTTTTAGCTTCACAGCCCAATTGCCTCTCTTCCTGCCTCTCTGTGTAAAATACACTTGGGTTAGAACCAGTTACAGTGGCGCTACCCCAGCCTCAGCTTAAACTGTGATACATGTGTGACCTTTGAATACCTTCTTCAAAGTAGCTGGGCTTTGTGAAGCTTGTCCCAGAGGTCTCCTTTCCAAAGCAAGCCAGGCAGCTTGAAAGAGAACACATTGATAGCATTAGCCTCATCTCTGCCTAACTAAAGGCTTAAATCCATCAGTTAGGGTTGAAAATCTGCTCTGGCCAAGACATTTTCCACACAAGCTGCCTCCTTTTTATATCCATTATCTCTGAATCACACCCAAAGCCTACCTGTTCTGATACTGATTGGGCCATAAGAGGCTCCTGAAGGATAGCTACCCTCACAGACTTTGCTGTTTAGCAGCCCCTTCATCCACCTCTTCTTTATTGTTCTTTGCTTTGCCAGTGGAGTTGTTCACTTTTTAAAAAAGCCATCAGTACCATCCATCACTGATGGTTTAATAATTTGCTCTGTGCCGCCCCCCCTCCCTGAGCACGGGTTTTCTTTATAATACCTGTTCTCAAAACTGTTAAAGAATTCCCTGCATTCCTGCTCTTTTCTTTACAAACAAACCCTCCACAAGTGCCTGCTGCTCTCATCTGAGCACCCTCCAATGCATTAGTCTCCTGCTGGAAATAAGTTGTTTGGAAAAGAGCCCAGTATTTTTGACTGATCTATGGATTCTATGAACAGCAGGAAAAGGTGCCATTTGTTAGCCAGCAGCAGGTTCTGCTACTCTCTGCTGTTGGAATGCTGCAATCAACTACAGTCCTCTTTATCTTTTGCTATCTACCTCGCTTTTCAAAAAATATCAAATGGTGACCAAAAATAAAAATAAAATAAAAGATTAAAAAATAAAATAAAATAAAGATTAACTCTAACAAGAAAACAATGTAAGAGAAAACCAAAACAGCAGCAAAATGTAAAGCCAGTGGGAAGACCAAAAAGAAAGAAAACCCAGTAACAACATTAGATTCAGACTGATGCTAAAACACACACAAGCACAGTCTGCCAAAACCTGGAGGTCTTCATGGACTGGTGAAAGGCAAGAAGTTCTCTGTGCTCACCTGCCTTATCTTGGGTCAGCGCTAAGCTGAGGCTCAGAGTTCAGCGTCTATATATTGGGATCCATGTTTGTACAAACTGCTCTCCCAGGTTAGCTTGCACTTTGAACTGCACACCACACCCAGAGCCAAGAATTATAGTTTAATCAGAATCCTATCCAAGAAATGGTCCTGCTTCTTTTAGCTAAAAGTTCAGATCCAACTGACTGAAGCTCCTGAATCACTAAAAAATGAAATAAGAAGATTTGGACCTGATCCCTGGCTTGTTTTGTACAACAGAGGGCTACCCTACAAATGGAAAATTGAACAGGATCTCCTCCAAAGACTGGTGAAATTGAGCAGGTTCAGGTGGGAGGCAGCAGTGCTTGAGTTATCTTGGTCCCATCTATTTAGGGCTTTATGGTGAAAACCAGCGCCTTGAATTGCACCTGGGAGCCAGTTGGTGGTTCAGTAATTGGAGTTGTCTGACATGCACACTTAACTTGCTCCATTAGTCACATAGATATCAAGACTTTAATTCTGAACAAGCGTACATAGGATCAGGCTTCTTCTTTGGCGCTTGGTATTTGGATTCCTTTTATAATCAGAGGGAGTTACTGTAGTTATTTTAGGAAAGGAAAGGCAGAGATCAGTGAAAACATTTCCATGAAGTTGGAATAAAGCTATGATGTATTCTCATCAGTGTTTGCGTTTCAGTGTAAACACACTTCCTTCACTGACACCAGCTTAAATGGGATGGGGTGTGGGGAGGAATCAAACATGAAAGAAGCACACATAAAACAAAGGACTGTTTATATTCTTAGTGGAGGATTGGATGGTTTGATTGCCCAAAATAGAAACTGAAGTAACTGGACACAGTTTATCACCACCTCAATGCTTTGAATTAAGATAAGTGTGTATTTGTGGTAAGCCACTTTGGACACAGCTCACTGTGGAAAGGTGGCATATAAATAAATATTTCACCAAACATCCAGATTCTGTTGCGTACATTGTGATGGTACTCATGCAGGTTTCTAAATCAGTGTGATGCAGAGCACAGCTTTAAGTTTTGGAAGTGGCAGATGTCGGTTTTAGATCTGTGCTAAGCCTTGAACTTCCATGCCTGTGGCAGCCCAGTGGGTGATCTCCAGAGATTGTTGTGAAGATAATGATATAAAAATGGCAACAAGTTGTAATGCCCAGAGCATGAGTAACGAGCTGGCAGTCCCTGATTCACATCTCAGCTCATCCTTGAATTTGTTGGCTCATCTGAGCTAAGCCGTTGTTCTCTGAACCTTGACCTCTCATCTGAACATTGGGCATAATACCACCAACCTATATGACAAGCTGCTGAAGATTACTGCGGAATCGTCAACTAAGTGCTGAGAAAAAACAACTGTGCTTTTAAATGTACGGTGTGGAGGTGGCCTAGACCTAGCAATCAGCGCTACTGGAACTTTAGCTCAGTGGGAGAGTCTTGGGCAATGAGGGTTGTGAAGGAATGAGTGTCTTTGCCACAAAAAGCATTCCATTGTTACCTTTGGAGAGCAGGATCTAACGGGCCCTGAAGACCTGTCTCTTCTCTTCCCTCCGAAAGAACTGTCCTACTTGTTTGTTTCCAAGCGGAGGCCTTTGGTCTTCAGGATCATCAGAGGAATTGATTACTTTAATGGATGCAAGCAAACCCTGTGATCCCCTGCCCAGAGGTTGATCTGTTTCTTCTCTTTGTGTTCTGCAGGATACCAACAAGTTCACACTGCCCTCTCACTTTGAGGAAGGGAAGGAAAAATGCCCTTACGACCCTGCCCGGGGCTACACAGGTCTCATTGTGGGTATGTACGTGCTTTCTCCTCCATATAACAGTTCGGCTTGGAATCCAGCTGGAGTGGGAAGAGCAGGCAGTGCCTCCTTTGAGTGGGGGTGTGGTGCCCCAGTGGAAGGCCATGCTCGCTCGTCATCCATCACCTGAGGGCCCACTGCATCTCCATCTCCCCCATCCCTTCCAGCACTTAAGTTTCCTTGGTCTTTTTGATGTCAGAGCAGCTGTAATCTCCCTGCCTGTGCAGCACCTCGGCCTCGCTAGTCACATGGTGCGGCTGCTTCTCTTCCACTCTAAATGTGGCCGGAGTCATAAACCAACCAGGTGCTGCTGCATGACAAAATGACAGGGAAGTCATGGGTAGGGGATGCTCTGGTTATTCCTTGAATGTTCTCTTGGTGCCTAGCTCTGTAAGGGAGTTATTATGCACCGGCACACACAATGGCCAAAGTCAATAAATCTCGGGAGCGGGTGTGTGGTTGTTATCAAGGGTGTGCTCTTCCTGCTTAGAGCAGGGGCAGAAGGGTTAGCTTAACAAGGAAAGAAGCCTTTCGGGCCAAGCTTTGTTAGAGGGATATTGATCAGACACATCCGTGAGCAAAACCATTCAGAAAACTGGCCTTTCCTTACTACTTTTCCTGCATTGTCTCGCAGATGGCAGTTTATATACGGCGACGCGCTACGAATTCCGCAGCCTGCCAGACATCCGACGCAACAGGCACCAGCGGATTCTGAAGACTGAAGAATCCCCCTTGCACTGGTTGAATGGTAAGCCCCAGTAATCCCAGAGCAGTACCTCTGGGATCTCTTGTCTCTTCCCACACTGGAGGTGGCGGGAGTCTTGTGTTTGTAAGGCCCTAGGTAGTGGTGGTACTCTTCCCAACTCTGAAGCCAGAGCGTGTCCTATTCCACTGCAGAAAGGAGCCTAACTGACTCCTGGATAGATCTGAACCCAGTTTGTTCCTGGTTCTCCTCTCTGTTGCCTATCCCATAGCCATGACACCCAGGCTTGAGATCATTTAGAGTTGCTGTGTGCCTCCTTTGGTAGCTCACCATCTAGTGACACCATCTAGTGCCTCCTTTGGTAGCTCTCCTCTAAATATTGTGCCAACCCTTTCCCTCTCTCCTTGGTGTTTTCAGATGCTGAGTTTGTGGCCTCTGTGCTGGTCAGGGAGAGTGTGCGCAACCCTGTGGGCGATGATGACAAGATCTACTACTTCTTCACCGAGAGAGCAGGAGAGGAGAGCACTTCTGTATTTGACAAGGCACAAGTGCCCAGAGTAGCCAGGGTGGCTCGAGTGTGCAAGGTAAAGAGATTGGTGTGTTGGAAAAAGCTTGAGTGTGCTGAAGGGCACCAGGAGGATTAATTCAGAATTTTATCTAGAAGTGCTTGGTGGTAGTGGGGAGACTCTTTCTCCTCATTTAAAAATGCCCCTCTAAGCCCTATAGTTACGGAGTCATTAATTTAAAAGGGAGCTTGGGATCAAATGAGATGTGTCATGGAAGATCTCTTGCAGGACATCCTGATATCTTGGGTTAAAAGTAATTGTGGGGGTAAGCTTTGAATCAAGGATGTAGTCCTAGGCAAGGGTTTTTCCCCCAGCTGTTTCTCCCTGTTCTATTTTGACAGCTTTATCCCTTGCAAAAGTATATGTTGGTGTCCCCCCCCCCCGTCTTTTCTTCTTCTTCTCCCCCATGGCCTGGCAATATAGAAATCTAAACATTTTTTTAAACAAGTCATTTCTAGTCTTTTAAAAAAATAACAGTTCAGAAAGGTCAAACAAAAACATTACTCTTGAAGTGGTGTTTATACACTGGACCTTTAGGGACACATGGCTGACTTTTTACATTCAAAGAAAAAGAGCTAGGCTATGCAGATAAGTATCATCAAGCAACACTAGAAAAAACCCAGGTGCTTGGTTGCCCAAGTGCCCAAACATTAGATAATGGCACCTGAGGATCTCGATCATAGAGCCAACCTTGCATGGGACAGACTACCTCAAATTTTAATATTTAAGAGTCGGAATTATGCACACACAGTGGCGTAGCGTGGGGGGTGCAGGGGGGGCCGGCCACACCGGACGCAACATCTGGGGGGGAGCACGCTCGCACTCGCAGCTCTCTGCCCCTACTAAAATCCACGGGTTAGGGGGCGCAAATTACTTGCCTTGCCCCGGGTGCTGACAACCCGCACTACGCCACTGCGCACACCCACCCATCTCTGACATTATGTATAAAGAGGCTCAGGCAACTCATATATATGAATCAGTCACCCCAAGAAAGGCTATAGGGAGAGGTAGTAACTCATCCAAGTTATGAATGAATGAATGAAGACCCAAAGGCCCTTTTTCCTGGTAGGGTGACCAGATGGCTCCTGCACATTTAATAGTTGTGCGCAAGAGAGAAATTCAGCAGATGCAGCTTGCTTTTTCACCTGAATGCTGCATATGCTGGCAGGTGATGCTCAGGCCTGGTGTGTATCTTCAGTTAAAACTAGAGTTGAATATTTGACTAAAGGGAGCAGGGCCACTTCTTAAGCAAGATCCTGATGGGGTGCAGTGCACAGAGCAACTTGAGAGGTGCAGGCTGAAGTGCAGTTTGGTCAGCCATGCAGCCCAGTATGTAGCTGTGGGGGCTTGAGCCTCAGCTTTAGCCCTGCATGGACCTGGTGCTTTGCTTCAGCCACCTGTAGATTCCCTTTGCACGCTGCCAAGCCCTTTATTGCTCAAGTTCTAGATTGCAAAGCCTTATTCACAAGTTTTATCTGTGGCAAATATAACCATGATTATCCCTGTTAGCCTATTACTGTTCTATCCTGATTACCCTGTTGCGTCTCTTGAGATGGGTAGTGTCCATGGCTAAAACCCCTTTACAGCCCCTTTGTGTTGTTCACTGCTGTAGCAAAACTAACTACTGGTGCTTAGGTGCCACAAAGCATCCAAAATGAAAGGAAGAGACAGTGTTGTACAGAGGGCTGAGTTTGGACCAGGGAGATTTGCAGTATGATCCTAACTAGGGTTGCCATATGTCCTCTTTTTCCAGGACACGTCCTCTTTTTCATGGGTAGAGTGGTCATAGTGATCCATAGGTAAAAGTAGAAGTCGGCAAATGTGTCTTTCCCCCCCTCTCTCTTAAAAATACAGCAACCCCAATATGTTTACCCAGAAATAAGCCTCACCAAGTTCAGTGGGATTTAGGGGGAAACACATGTGCTTGGGATAAAAAACCTAGGTCTGCTCAGCCAGAAAACTCTAGAGTCTGTAACTCTGAACCTGGCCTATCTCACAGGGCTATTGCAAGGAAAATGTCAAATGGTCCCTTGGGCACTCCTTGAGAAGAGCTGTAGCTCCAGTGGGAGGGAGGCTAGCTAGATTTTTTTATCCTGGGTAAAACCTCCAGAGGGGCACCATTGAGGATCTCAGACTCTGTGTGTGTGTACACAAATGCACATGGGGAGTGCCAAACTGGGTCTTAAACCCGGGTGAAAGAAAACCTAGTTTTGCCCTTGCCTTGAGGGTGGTGGCAGGCTGGGGGGGGGATGCAAATGTGATAAATGAAAAGGGCTAACCAAACCAACTGCAGTATACTGCAAGGACGAGCACTGAATCTCTTCTGCATGTGATGCCAAAGCACAAATAGCTCAGATAGAGGTGATACAGGCTTCTGTCTGTGCTCATGGCAAGGTGCCCTTGGCCCCAGAATGAGCCCTATCACTCTAGTGACTGCGGCAGTTAGCACTGGAGTTGGTGCTCACGAGGTTTTTGAGAGAGAGGCTTGTCAAAGCAGAAGTCCTTCCACTGGGTCTCCTCTAGGTGCTGCCAGCTCTGCTCAGGGCTTTGCAGTGAAACCCATGTTCCCAAGGAGGCTATGCTGCCCACCCCCAACCTCTTACGAATGCAAGCCTTGAAAAGCCAGAGTATGCTTGAAAGCCAGAGTATTCCAAGTGCATCTAAGTGAGGGCAGGGCAGAGTCAACAAGGCTGCATGGGATCCATCTTTCAGCTGTTCTGACAGATGGTTCTGGGCCCCGGGAGCATCCAGGACTCTGCTTGTGGCTCTGAATTTATGCATCAGTCACCTTGGCTGGTTATACCTCAGTCCTTGTAACCAGGGCAGCAGCAGCAAATTGGAGCAGGCAGGCAGGGAGAGAGAGAGGAATGGGAGAGTGAGCTTGGCCACGAGAGATTTAAGGAGCTTGAGATGTGTGCCTGATCACAAGGTTAAGAGGCTATTTGATTACTGCACATAAGTATGTTCCCAGGGAGAAAGCGCTGGGAGGGAGGCAGAAACAAGAGTCAGCAGCAGGATGTTAAAACTATGTACAATCAAATTGGAAACCAGGTTCTTACGAACAGAAACAAAGCAACAAGGGAGATTAGCGCCAACCGTTTGTGAAAGGGATGTGCGCCATTACACCCAGAGCCCTGTGTCTTTGGCATCAGGTGTTGCTTGTTTTCTCCAGGGCCTGAGGCTTCAGTTGCATCTTGGAATGAGAACGGTCTTATCCGGAATACACAAGCTCCCCTTGGCATTGTGCTCTGATCGCTGGGTTTTGTCACTACAGGGGGGAGGGGTGATCAAGCCTCACACAATCCTCCTCCAAACACTGGTCTTGCTGTGTTTGACTCACAGGGAGGCAGAAACACTTGCTTTCAGAAAGATCAGCCCAGATTAGTTACCCTATTATAGCACTGAGAGATGTTCAGGGGGCTCGTTTTACAGTAATTTTGAAAAAGTATTGAACCTTTCCTAGAGTGAGCTAAGTTGTTAATCCTGGTTTGTTAATAGGCAGTTGTTTTCAGACGCCATAAGCAGACCCATGTAGTTTCCCAAGTGTTGTGCATTTAAATGATTTTGATGTAAATGTTTAGAAGCTGCTGATCTGTTTCAGTAAAGCTCCAACTGAAGATGAGTCAGAGCCATCCTAGAAGACCTTGGTCCCAGCTTGGACCAAACCAACATTAGTGCAGAACGTTCTGTTCACATATAGAATTCCCCTTGTTTATGCCCACAGTTTCCACAGGGTAGACCTCTTGCAGCAAAACCAACAAAGAGCCTTGAGGCACATCAAAGACAAACACGTTTATTATGACATAAGCTTTTGTGGACCTATAGTCTGCTTCATAAAATATATGATGCCGAACATAGTCCATGAAAACTTGTGCCATAATAAAATAGTTGGTCTTCAAGGAGCCACAAAACTATTGATTGCTCATTTGTGCTTCCCTCCCCCACTGTCCTTGGAGTTTTCATGCATGGTGAAACTGTACAAATGGGACCTTTCCATTGTATTGGAATCAGAGTTGGCCTTGTGCTTGGCTTTGCCTAACAGATATAAACTGAATTGGGACTTGGCTTTAGCCTCTGCCTCTCTTTCTTTTTCTGCATGCCAGAATGATATTGGTGGCAAGAAGATTCTCCAGAGGAAATGGACATCCTTCATGAAAGCAAGGTTGGCCTGCTATGTTCCTTACTATGAGGTACTGAAGGATGTTTTCAGTCTGGATGGTGGCGACTGGAGGAGCACCGTCTTCTATGCAACATTCACTTTATCAGCACAGTGGTAAGCCAAGCATGCTAACTGCGTGTTGGGTACTCAAGGAACTGTAACCGTTCTGAAAAGATACATGGAGTCCGTTGAATTACACAAGTTCCATGTGCTGCCACCAGCAAAAAAGACGAATGAAATGCTAGGGATTATTAGTTAATGGTACAGAACACAGAGCAGGACGTGTCACGGTACCCTTGAGTACTGAATGTGGTTCTCAATCTCCTGCCTGCTGCATTGCAGAACTTGACTTGCAGTATGGTGCAGGACAGAAAGAAAGCAGATAGGCTGTTCAAGCAAGGGAACCTGGCCTTGCACATTTCAGCATTCCAGGGAGCATCTGCATTCACTTGGGCAATTGGTTCAGTCTCTGTATTCCAAGGCAACAGGTATGGATTCACTCCACCTCAGTGCCTGTTGTGGCACAATCCAAACATATGCCACACTGTTCAAAGCCTCATAAAAGACACCAAAGGAAAGTCAACTTGCATTGAATGGAAAGAAGGCCATTGTCAGTTGGTCCTCAGAGTAAAGAGGCTTTCAGCTGCTTAGACTGCATTGGCTCTGCCAGTACCACCTGCTATGTTCTCGGATATTTTTGCCCTCTGCTTCCGAGTGAGGCAGGAGGCTTGCCCCTCTGTTTCCAAGGCTGGCCTGCCTGTGCTTTTAAGCTGGACAGGGTCCACTGATGCTTTCATCCCACCTGAGCTCCAGTCAGTGGTGTGATGGTGGATGGAGGCTTTCAGTTTGGTTGCCAGCAAAATCCTCCTTGCCCTTGTAAGTATTTTGGCACTTGTGAGTGATTCAGTTTGCCTGAGCGTTTCTTGCTGAGGGCAAGGAACAGATGGGACACTCTGAGCACTTTGTGAGACAAAAGTCCTATTGGTGAGCATCCGTAGAACAGATTAATAATAGCTGTATATGCAGGAGGTGGTGCAGGATGGGAAGGGGAGTAAGCTTAGAATTTTGGAAGGGCTCACTTTGGCTTAATTGGGAGCAAGGGGCAAACTGTTCGCCATATGGATTTTAACCACAGCAATAGGTGCTGTGCGACTTCACTGTTTGTGGCCTGAGCCCAGTCTGAAGTCATAGCCAGCCTTTTGCACTTCCTGTTAGTTTTTAATGGTGGTATGAATTTTAACAAGTTGTCCTCGGCTAATTAGTAGCTTTGTGCTTGTAACATTTATCAAGTGGAAGGTTCACACTGGCAGCAAGATGGCACCCACTGAGCTACCATCCTCATGAGAGGGGAGCTGAACATCAGAGGCATTTATTAATGAGCACTGGCCGTTACATCTCAAAGGCTATTGAGAACGTACAGGGTATTTTGCACGTGGCCTTTTCGGGGATGTCAGGGGAATGGTTAAAGAGACAGAACTGGGGCAGCTGGTTGTTGTTATTATGTGACGATGAAGGAAAACCAGGGGGCTTTGCAGGGCTGACAGTCTTCCCCACAGAATGACAGGAAATGAGGAAACCTCCAGGATTACACAGGAATATCCTGCTCGTGACAGAAAGTCATTTGACTCATTTGTCAGAGAAGCAAAAGCTACCACTTACTCGCAATCTATTCTCTTGACCTGGCTTTGCACTGAGAAGAATTTCAGAGAGCAGGGTGCGTAAAGGAGACCATTGCCAAATCCAGGGAGGAGTGCAAAACTAAGAACTCACCACACAGCACAAAGTCCAGCAGGAGAAAGAAGCATTTGCAAGCATCAGCATGAATTAACACTACAGGGATAAAGGAGTCCAGTTGGAGATGGCCCAAAATATTTTGGTGTTTGAGAATGAAGATATAAATGTTGCTACTGTGACAGCAATTTGCTGTTGTTTAATGGTACCTCCAAAATGCCTGGGGCAGGCGGACTTCCCGTCTAATGGTGAATCCAGACTCCCCAAGTCCAGTATATTTTGTGCAGACAGGCCACACAGGTGCAAGGTAACATTTTCCAAATACTGGCTGGAAGTTCATGGAGGGATAGCAGGAAGACAGACGCAATGATAGCCAGGAAGTGGTAGCAAGGACAGGTGTGATTATTTGTTATTTATTTATTTCATAAAATGTATACATCACTAGATTGTTAAAAAAAAATGTATTCAAAGTGGTTTATAGAGAGAATAAAACAATGCTGGGGATACAGCTGCAGAGAGAGGGCAGGGACCCTGAGAGAGAGTCTTGTTCAGATACAGAATCAGGCAGAATACCAGGACTGGCTCCAGGTTTTAAAGGCCAGAGTGCCAGCCGGCAGGCCCCAGCAGACCTACCCGGCAGTGGCAATGGGGTAGCAAGTACCAGGCAGCACCACTGCAATGCAGTCCTGAGCAGCTGGGCCCATAATGATTCAGAGCAGTACTGCACTGGGGGTCATTGCAGAATATTTCAAATAGCAGCTCAGATACAGCCTCCCAACAAAGGGGTGGGGGGTGGGAGGCATAAGCATAGCTGGGGAAAATTCTGCTGGCGCTCCAGCAGCTGCACAAGCCTTCTGCATAGGGAACTCAAGTGAGCCATTTCATCTTGGTGCAGGGACTGATTACTCTTCCAAGCTCCGCCTGGCAGCAGAGAGTGAAAGGGATTAAAGGTGTTGCCCTGTCACTCAGACCTTTGCACGGTTTATGGCACCAAAGCTTCTTGATGAGTTATGGCTGCCTCAAGCAAAGGTTCTCAGAGGCAAGTGGAGTCTTGGGTAGCGGATGACAGTGCCTTGCATATCAGCTGGCCAGATGCACAGGAGGACAGAGCAACTGTGCTTTTAACTGTTGAGTAGAAGAGGGAAATTCAGGAGGTGTAGCTGCTGAAACTCCCTCTTCCATACAACCATTAAACTTACAGGAGCCCCATCCTCTTGTGCATCTGGACACTCCAGATCTATAGTGAGGTATATAAGAACTCTTCGCACCAGCAGCTGCTCCTGCTTTTTAAAATAACTTGTTCAATTACTTTTAATATAAATGTGTAAAACATTTTAAAACTTTTACATATGCATGTTTCTCAGCTACTGGATTGTTTCTTTTGTTCTCCTTTACCAAAGGCTGCTAGTCTGGCTCCACCCACATTCTGCCAAAACATTAGAGCAGGGGTCAGCAACATTTTTCAGCAGTGGGCCGGTCCACCGTCCCTCAGACCATGTGGGGGGGCCAGACTATATTTTGAACAATATATATGAATGAATTCCTATGCCCCACAAATAACCCAGAGATGCATTTTAAATAAAAGCACACATTCTACTCATGTAAAAACACGCTGATTCCTGGACCGTCCGCGGGCCGGATTGAGAAGGCGATTGGGCCGCATCCAGCCCACGGGCCTTAGCTTGTCTACCCCTGCATTAGAAAGTTCTAGGTATAGTCCCTATAAAGAGGCAGTGCCTGGGCAGCCAACTGCTTGAGAAAAAGGTTGCTAGAATGCTGCCTTACTGGTAGAAACAACTGCTGCTAACTGCTAGACTTAAGAACCCTGTAGTCATGACCTAACTCTCCACAGCCAAGATAGATTTTGCAGCTGATCTTGTGGCCTTTTCTTTTTTTTTCAAGGCTACTGCCAGTCCCTGAAACAAGAAATGTTTCCTGCAGAGAAGGGCAGGGGTGCTTCATTCATGGGCCAGGTTTTATCCAATCTTAGGCTCTAATCCGTTTATCTGGAATGGGAGAATAATTTTCCTGTAAGTCAAGTGGGCTGGTGACAATACCCAGGAAAGATGACTTTGTTGAGTCATCTGGGTTTAGTTCATGAAACCTGCTCCCTGTTGGTCAAACCAGATGATCTTCAGATTCCTTGCGGCCCTATAGTGCTACAAGGATCGTTCTATGTTGAGGGTGCGGAGCATGTGGCTCTCCAGACTATAACTCCCATCATCTCTGCCCACTGGCTATGCTGCTTGGGGCTGATGTTTTTATATCTGAGTTAAAGAGTACAGCAATATCTGGAGCACCACAGGTTTCCCATGCCTGGTTTCTGTGGACCCAGAGGAATTAGCAAGAAGTGGAAGGCTCTGGTCCTGTGCTATGACCATGTCACCATGTCTTTCAGGAGGAGCATGGAGGTGTCTGCCATCTGCAGATACAACATCTCTGAAGTGCGGGCAGCCTTTGAAGGGACTTACATGGAATACCAGGACTCCTCCCGCAAGTGGTCCCAGTACACTGGGGAGGTGCCAGTGCCCCGGCCAGGATCAGTAAGTTACTTACCAACTTAATAGCTCTTAAACATCATTGATAATATTCTATTTAAGTCAGTTCGGAATAATGGCTGGCTTTTAGTTTTTGAACCTGAGTTTTGTTGGGTTGGTGCTGGAGGTTTTAATCAGTGTCAGACTTTATGGCTGGATTTTATCTACTGCTGTGTTGGTTTTTATGATTTATAGTTTTGCTGTTCATTTTAATTTTATCTATTTGCCTGGGTGCATGTCACCTAGAGAACAGTTTTTTATTAGGTGACTCATGCACAGAATAGCATAAATAAATAACATCTTCTTTTGCCTCTTGTCTCAGATAAAGGAGGCAGGAGGCACTCTCTTCCTCCCAAGGAACACAAGAGTGCTCATAACTAAAACAGACAAGTAGAATCCCTAATATGCACCATTTCATACTGCGGGTGAAGGTTGAGGGCTCCCCTACCCAAAATAATCCATACCAGCAGAAAAGTAGAAGATGCTCCAATTAGGCTTTTCACAGGCATTCTAGGTTTGAGTGAATAGGGTATATTGCATGTAGGGTTGCGTTCAGTCTCTTACCTGCAGAGTGAAATACAACAAGCCTGTCAACTGGTGTATCAGAAGGGGCATTTATTTGTATGCTTTAGCTGTTAGAGCAGGGGTGGAGAACCTGTGGTCCTCCAGCTGTTGTTGGACCCCAGCTTCCATCAGCCTCAGCTAGCATGGCCAAAGGTCAAGGATAATGGGAGCTGAAGACCAGAAGCATCTTGAAGCTAGGTGTGCAAATAATGCCCATTTCTCCTCTGCAGTGCATCACCAGTCGGGCTCGCAAGAATGGCTACAACACCTCCCAGGACCTGCCCAATGGTGTGCTGGATTTTATCAAGCTCCATCCACTGATGTATGAAGAGGTGAAGCCTGTGGATGGAGTCCCCCTGTTGGTGAAGAAAAATGCGGTTTATACCCAAGTAGCCGTAGACAGAGTCCGAGCCCTGGATGGGCGAGTGTATGACATGCTCTTCTTGGGAACAGGTAGGTGTGTTTGCATTCCCCGTGCATATCTAAGTGTCTGTGTGTCCTCATCTGTTAGGACAGAACACACATCTAGGGAGGTTACTTGTTGTTCTCACCCCTCTCAACTTTGTATTGGAATGTAGAGGAGACAAAGAGCGCAACCCTGTTATGCTTTCTAAGCCTTCCAAACCTGTGTAGCTGAATCTGTGGTTGTTTTTTTTAAGGAGAGACAGTTGGGTTTCTGTATGCTGCAGAGCCTCCCTTTCCCTAAGCTGTTCCAGTGCCACTCAGTTCTAATTGACAGCTACTATGCTGTGCTTAACACTACTAAGCTGCAAACAGGCATACCTGTAAACAGGTATGGTTGCTTTCCTCCCCACCCCCCAAGGTGAGCCTTGCTTTTTCTGGCTTTTGCTCTTCAAAGGACACAGAGAATCAAAGGTTGATTATCTCTTCTTCTTTGCCCCTTTCCCGTCACTTAGGCAGGCTTTGTGGGTTTTTGTCTCTCTCAAACATAAAAGGTTATATTCCTCTTAAGTTCTACTCCAAGTGATGCTTTTTTGATGACAAAGCCCCAGCATCAAATCAGTTCTGGAAAATTGCTCTGAGAAAGGGAGAGGTGGCTTCATGATTGCCAGTGAAGTTCCACTATGGAACTTGGGCAGTTACAACTTTGTGCCTGTTTAGAATTCAGTTGAACTCCTCTCAGAACTACAAATCCCATTATTCTGGGGAGAGGAAAAGAGCAGGAAAAAAAGTGACAAAACTGTTGGCTCTACAGTGTTCAGGCACACTTCTGCTTCTTGTAAATCTGGAAGTATCTCACTTGCCAACCAGACCCTACACAGGGCTAGCACCTTGAATTTTGCCTGCATGACTGATGTCAAGAATGAGACTGTGTGGGAAATTGCCTTTTTAATGTTTACTCCCGTTTAACAGGTAATGGCTGGATTCACAAGGCTGTGGTCATTGGTTCCATGGTCCACATCATTGAGGAGATCCAGGTCTTCAAAGCCCCCCAGCCTGTGGAGAACCTTGTCATCTCTAAAAAGCAGGTACATGTGGCTTCGGACCCCACCCAAATGCTTTTGGTGAAGGCACACATGCACTGTAAAAAAGCAAAGCACCAACAAGGGTGCAGTAAACAAATGTTGGGAACAGGCCTATGTCAGTTGGAGAACCAATTCAGGATAGTCTGGACTTCATTGCTAACCTATGTCCTGCACACTTCTCTCTACCAAAGTTGTAAGATAGTCACATTTTCTTCACACCACTGTAACAGGAAAGACACTATCCATATTAGCAAACACTCTGTCAAGGTGTAGCTCCCCTTTGCACCTTTCACCTTGGAAGGAAAAAAAAAATCATAAGCTTGTGGGACGTGGGTGGTGTTTTTCTTATGTATTCTGACTCTGTGCTGTCTCTGCCAATAGGCAGCACTCAATAAAACTGTGCCTCGAGGGTGTTTATTTGCCTTTGCCTGTAGCTAAGGTGGTTCCCACCCAGTGTCCAAAGGCCCTGTCATGCGCTGTCCTGCCTCGTTGGAGCCCTTTGCTCAGCAGTCTGGAGCTTGTTCCTCCACATTCCTTGCAAAGCCGCTCAAGTTTAAAAGTTTCCCTTTCCAGCTCCCAGGAAGGGCTGCCATTTTTTGTGACTTAACAGATTCAATTCTGTATGCATAATTTGCATGCCGCCTTTTCACCGTCCAAACCATGCTCAAGGTGGCTTACGACATAAATTCAACATAACAAAAGGAGTCATAAATAAACAAAACATCAAAAAATACACAACCAAACTGGACAATTTCCACACAAATCACAAGGTCTAAAATATAGATACACAAAAACCAACAGCAACAACCCACCCCCCACCACGGCAACAAAACACCCCAGCCCAAGAGTCTGTTCAGCAGCCTCAGCTTTTGTAGCTGGAGTCAGTCCAGACCCCACCCTCACAGGCCAGGTGGGAAAAGGCTTGCAAGGCAGGGAGCAGGTCCTCCAGCCAAGATGCTTTGTGCCTCTATGACGACAGGCGGGGGGGGGGGGGAATTACTAGATAAGAACCTCCATCCTAGCAAATGCTGCATCTGTTGAATTCTTCAGTTCCCATCAGGCAAAACAGCAACAGCCCTATTTGCAGCTCAGTCCCTAGTTCCTTTCTCAGTGTGACAGTGAAGGTTTATGTCTCCCTGGTACAGCTGTCAGGGGAACTTGTGTGATGTACTGCAGGTGGGATGCTATTTTAGTACTATAATATGTGCTGTCAAGTGTGGTTCCGCAGGCTCCTCCGGATCTTGTTAAGACTACAATTCCCATCATCCTTGACCACTGACTGCTGGGGGTCATAGGAGTTGCAGTGCAGCTACATATGGAGGGTACCACATGGGCTAACACCCTTCCTGCTTTCTCTTTGGGCTCTTTTTCTAGGGCTGCCACTTTCTTGTTTTTTACTGGCTCTGCCCCAGTTCCTTGCATTAACCATCAGCCAGACATGCAAATATTTAGTTGGTTGTGTTTTTCCTGGCTTGGAGATAAAAAGGGTGGGGAAAGCTTAGCCAGGCAAACGCCTGCATGTCATTCTGCTGTTAAAGGGAAATAATGTAGATGGGACTCAAGGAGGGACTTTTCCTGGCCTTTGTTCTTTCTCTTTCATTTCAAGCATCTCCCTCCGAGTGGTCAGCAGGGAATGCAACTCTGCCCTCAGACTTTTTTTGATGTTAGGGTGGCTTTGGAGAGGCAGCTAATCTACGCACCAGGTGATGAACATGTACAGCAGTAGGATAGCCTTGAGCTGGGAAGGATAAATGGCTGCAGGGTGACCCCAGTGACTTACTCTGGTTCCCTGCTTCCCTCTGCTGGTCAAACACTGGTGCTGAAGCTACCTGTTACCAACACATGATATTGAATGTACCAGCTATAGCTGAGCCCAGCTTCTATAAAAATCCTGGCTTCCAGTTCTGCCTTTTAAGTCATTCCAAGGTATGGTCTGAAAGCCACCGCCTTGCTGAAGTGAAGCAGGTCTAGTCAGCGCCTGGAAGAGTGGCTACCTGGGAACAATGTATTTGCCACCTTAGGTTCCATGGCAGAAGAAAGGCAAGATATGAATGTAAGAAAAATAATACAGTGTTTTTCTGTGTATAAGATGCTCCCTATTTTGGGGAACTCCAAATTAAGAAAACACCCCTCAGCACTACCCGTGTATAAGACAAGCCCCAATTTTAAACCTCATTTTTTGGTTAAAAAGCCTAGTCTTCTACATGGAAAAATACAGTAATTAACCTGGGCCTTGAAGCATTGCACCTTACATTGCCTTTCAACAGTTAATTGGATGTTTCAGTTCCCTGCCTTTGCATCTCTGCTGAGTGCATGTCCTGTCTTTTCTCTCTTTGCAGAGGAGTCTGTATGTGGGGGCTCAGAGTGGAATCCTGCAGTTACCATTTTCCTCCTGCAAGCGTTATGTCTCCTGCTTTGATTGTATCCTGGCCCGAGACCCATACTGTGGCTGGGATGGCAAGACCTGCAGAGAAGTAGCCGAGATGCCGGACAGGTAATTGAAAACTGACTACAAAGACCTGGAAGTGTATATAACACTGTGTACCTGTTACAGTGTTACCTTGGGTTAAGAACTTAATTCGTTCTGGAGGTCTGTTCTTAACCTGAAACTGTTCTTAACCTGAGGTACCACTTTAGCTAATGGGGCCTCTCGCTGCTGCCGCGCCGCTGGAGCACGATTTCTGTTCTCATCCTGAAGCAAAGTTCTTAATCCGAGGTACTATTTCTTGGTTAGCAGAGTCTGTAACCTGAAGCGTCTGTAACCTGAGGTACCACTGTACTTGCATGTGGAGTATACTTGTGCACAAACTGGAGCAGGGCGATACTTTTAAACCTACCCTGCTCATTCCCCAAATGTTGGATATTTGGTTGTTGTTTTTAAACAACTGCCCATTGGGTGTGTTTGTCTGACTAAGGCAGCCAGTGTGTGAGCTCCTGCTGGCACTCCACATGACTGGGACACCAAGTTGCCTGGATGTCCCAGTCAGGCAGATGCCCTGCATGCAAGGAGGAGCTCATACATTGATCATGCTCAATGCAGCTATTAAAGAAAAGAAGACTTGAGGTGGGTTAAACATGTGCTCCCCACTCTGGTCTGTACTCAGGCATGTCCTACATATGAGTAATGCATGCATACAGCTTGCATCCAAGACCTATGTTCGCCAACACTTGGTGAAGCCGGGGTTCTGTTAAGGCACCACTAATGTGCTTCTGCATTGAGACCTATCCTACATTGAGGTTTACTGGATCAATGGAGTATTAGTTTGTGCTTGTTTGAGACTTAACAGCATTCCATCACTCTATCCCTCCCTATTGAAAGTGGGCATTTGACAGGACACCCCTGTTATTTGGCTTTAAACATATCAGGGCATCTCTCTGTCTCATACAAAACGGGTTAGGTTTAGTGGATTCTGATTTTGCAGGATATCTAAGAAGCTGTAGTCAGCGGACAGTAATAAGAAGATATTCCAGAAAATTTACATGCTTTACTACCATGAAAGTTTTGAGTGTGTGCACGCTAAAATATAAATCCATTACAAGAATCACAGCATAAATGTATAGATAGGGCAGGCAGTTAAATCCTATTGGTTGCTAAATCCCATAGGAACTCACTGAAAGCCTATTTAAATAAACATGCTTTACATTGTGCCCCCCCCCTGCAAGCTTGGTCTGAGATTGGGTCTTCCTTAGTAATACCTTCTCTTTAAGACCTGGACTACAGCTGAGCAGCCATAGCTCCATACTCTAATTAAAGGGATCACGCTGAAGAGCTCTGTATTTTGTCGCTGGAATTGTCTGCTGGCTATGCACGTGCCCTTGTGTGAGGTGACATATGCAGGTGACTCGGGAGGTTTCAGCAAAGCCTGCAGTTTGTGTATTGGATATTGTGCAGCTGTGCATATTGGGGTGCTTATGCTGGGGAGGCGTGCCTGCTGGAGCATGTAAGATTCTGCCCACGGGTGTATTAATGCCCACAGATTTCATCAGGTGTGTGCTGCATGCAGGTGAGATTGAGTATCTTTGCGCTGCTGCCTTTTCCCAGCTGATCAAGGTTTTGCTTATATTGGCTTAGGAGTCTGCTGATCCAGGACATTGTGCATGGCAATGTGGGCTGCTCGAACGACTCTGCCCAGGGTAAGATTCTGATACTGCCCCTTCTGGAAGCCAACGGAGCCTTGCCTCTGCTACCTTGGTCTGGTGCTCTGGGTTGAGAGAATGGATAATGATTCCTTCCTAAGGGGAATTGTTCATCTGTTTCCAACCTTTGCTTGTAAGAGGAGCAAGCTTCCCTTCTTCCCACCCAGACTCAAAATATGTTTCCCTTAATTAATAGAATATTTTCAGCACAGGGTTATGTAAAATAACAACAGAAAAACCACAAGATTACAGACACAAAGTAGTGCAAATTAAGTAGGACAACATACATTTCTTTGCATTGTGGGTTTTTCTTTTATCAAAATTATTCTTTCACTCATTGTTTTCGCAGTAGGGTGGAGTAAGGCAGGCATCCCCAACCTGCGGCTCTCCAGAGTTTTGGCCTTCAACTCCCATGATCCCTAGCTAACAGGACCAGTGATCAGGGATGATGGGAATTGTAGTCCAAAACATCTGGAGAGCCAAAGGTTGGGGATGCCTGGAGTAAGGGAATGGGGGAAGAGAGAGCCATGAATGAGGGATGTTTATGGGACAGTTTTGAATACTAACCACTCACTATAGGGGCTGTGCCTATCCCAACTAAGGGATCTAAGCTTTCTAGAGGCTGCCTTCAAATTCCCTTTATTATCTGTACTTTTAAGGAGCGCTTTCGCTTTTAAAAATAAAACAACCCTCCCCAAACCCTTTGGGTGTCCCACCCCCTCAGCTGGAGAGCCCAGAGTGCCTCTTCCAGAGTATTAACTGGCACTCCAGTCTTGACACCTGAATTGTTGCGGCTCAGGTAGGGCAGCACATCGGTGCTTACTACGTGCGTTTGTGTCTCCTGCAGCCACACCCATGCAGAAGAACCGGACAGTGCTGTGTGGTGATGACGTTCTCCTGCCTTGCGAGCAGATGTCCAACCTGGCCCGGGCGACCTGGCTGGTGAACGGCACCAGAGTGCTGGTGGAGGACGGACAGGGCCGCTTCCGCCTCGGGGTGGACGGGCTGCTGGTGACGGACACCCAGCCGGAGCACAGCGGGGAATACCGCTGCTACGCGGAGGAGAATGGCCTCCAGGCCCTGGTGGCTGCTTACACCCTGAACGTGCTCCCTGAGCAGCGAGTGCCACAGCAGGCATCCACCGTGTCGCACCCGTACTGGCACGCCGCCAGTGCCACTTACGGGGATGTGAGGTTCATCTACATTGCCGTCATCACGCTGCTGGGGGGGCTGTGCCTGGTGCTTAGCGTCGTGCTGCTCTATGTCTCCTGCCTGCAGAAGCGCAGGGGCAAGTACAGCCTGGGGGTTCCCCAGGCGCCCAGCGTGGAGCTGCAGACGGTCTCTTCCAATTGCCTGGGCAAAGGAGGGGAGGAGGACGAGGAGGAGGACCCGGGCACCTACCTGGACGGCTGCCTGCAAATCATCCCTGGGGAAGCCCCCACCGTGCCGTCGCCCTCCAAGGAAACGCTCCCCATCCCACCACCGCCCCCTCCTCCGCTCCCTGCCGAGTTCACCAACGGCATCACCACTTTGCCCAGCATGCTGCGCAAGATGAACGGGAACAGCTACATGCTCCTGCGGCAGAATGAGGAGCCGTGCACCTCTCCGCTCTACAACTCCTTCACAGAGGAGCTGAGCAAGATCCTGGAGAAGCGGAAACACACGCAGCTGGTAGAAAAGCTGGACGAGAGCTCCGTGTAGGGCAGGGTGGAGGGCACAGGGAGCCCACTTTGCTGTGAACTAAACCCCCTAACTGCCCTCTGTGATTCCTCCTTCCCAGCCCAGCAGAGAAACAGTGTTACGACTCAGCAACTACCTCCGGCCGGCCCTCCGGAGCAGCCACAGGCTCCATGCTCATTTCCTTCTCTCTCTCTCTTTTTTTGGTTGTTGTTTTTTCCGTTGGCGTTGATGGTTTGTTTTCCAATTGCTGTAAAAAAAGATCTTATTTAAATGGAATTATATTTATATATAAAAACAATGATCGATAAACAGGAGCCACAGCGATCTGTTGGGTTTGTCCGGGTGGGGTATATCGGAATGTGCCCTTGGCTTGTGTGGGGAATGATGCTGTCAGGCTGGACAGTGGGGTGGTTAGAGGGTGGTTTCCTCCCAATAGTTGCAACGGCCAGAAGGGCATCAGCAGTCATAATGAGGGGACAGGATGTGCAGCTGCCATTTCAAGAGGTAGGTCACAAAACTTCTTTGTTACATCCAAATTACGTCAAATTCAAATACATCTATATAAATAGAATTAGGGGTATTTTTTCCTGAGCATCAGATATAAATGATGGCTATTGGTTAATCCTTCAGAGGTTGGGTTTTCCTTAAATGACATTAGGAGATGCTTTCAGTTCCTTTGGGGTTTTTTAGGCACTATCACAGTCCACAACTTGTCAGTGTTGGCCCATAGCAAATGGTCTCTCTGCTATGGTATTAGAGGGGCTAGGCAGCTGAATGGAGAAACCTTAGTATATCACAACTAATGCCCAATAGCTTCTTTAAAAACAAATTAAACTATGGCTTAACAGCCCATGAGATCTTGAATGACACCTTGCTGGTGCAAAATAACTGAGCTGTTTCATCCAAACTTTGCTGTTTGCTTATGTGAACCTGCAGGAAAACAGTGCCCTCTGCTGAAGTTGAATTGCAATTTGTTCATACTCTCTCCCTGAGAACAAAGTGTTTGTCTCACTGTCATTTCACCTGTCTGGCAACAGGCCTCCTACAAGAGTAGTGGGTGAGAGGACAGGTTTCAGTACAACCTTAATAGTCTTTAGAAAGTTTAGTCTTGCCTTCTCCAATGTACAAGAATAGTTGTTTTGCTCCTGGTCTGAACTAGCACGAGTCTCTTGCTAAATCTAGATCATGGTTTCTCCCATCTGAAATTATTATTGCTTTGTCAAACTGGGGTAAGGGGTAAGAGTGACATCCCCTAATACAGTGGTACCTCAGTTTTCAAATGTCTCCATTAACGAACATTTCAGTTTATGAACACCATAAACCCGGAAGTAAATGCTTCGGTTTTTGAACACTCCTCAGAAGTTGAACATGCCACGCGGCTTCTACTGAGTGCAAGATCTGGAGGCCTAGCTGTCGGAAACCATGCCTTGGTTTTTGAACGTTTCAGAGGTCGAATGGTCTTCTGGAATGGATTACGTTCAAAAACCGAGGTACCACTGTATTCACTGTTGTGTAAGGCAGCACCATTCCTAATGGGTGACTAGAGAAATCTCTTTCATAGAGCTCATAATAGTACCCTAAGGACTAATCAAAAGAACCAGCAATGTCTGGCTGTGAACTGCCATGGGCAAGCACTGGTGTCTGAGTGACCTGTGGGTGAGAAATGACAGGGAAGCAGGAGTAGAATCTCTTAGCCCAATCCATCTGCAATACAGGGTAAAAAAACCACTAGTCTACATACCACAGAGTTTAGTCTTGTAAGGATATATCTGTGGTGCACTTAAGAAAGTTCTTGTCACTGTCATCGTCTCTCATGATCCTCTATGAGCCTTTAGGAAATCTAATTTATGTGCCATTCACATAGCATTGGTACTGGAGACCTCAGGATAAATATATCATGCATTTCAGACCTAGAGGGAGAGTGCCACAGGCTGCAATGTCATTTATGACATCTTACACAGCCTTGCTTTCAACCCAATGGACGCTTAACACAATTGCTGCTCTTCTCTGCCTTGGGTTCTATCATAGAATTATAGTTGGAAGGGACCTTGAGGGTCATCTAGTCCAACCCCCTGCAATGCAGGAATCTATGATAAGGTTTTCATTTACATATCTGATGGGATTGGGGGAAACTCTCCACCTTCAATCCTCAGAGTTGCCCTTTCCCAGCTCTGTAGTATCCTTTTTGGTGAGACATGCAAATTATACACAATATTCTAAATACGTGCACACTACTGTTTTGTGTTAAGGGCATTAAGATACTTTTATTTTCAGTTGGGACAGGGAGACCCAGTATCTGGCGGCACCAGGCTGGGAAAAGCCGTTTTTAAACTTGTACATGGACCCTCTTTTTACTGTTTTGATGTCAAATCACACCCTTTTTAGAGAGATCCCTTGCAGGGCTCTTTGCAATCTACTTGGGTTTTCACCACTCAGAATAACCTGATGTCATTTGCAAACTGGGGGGGTACTGAGAAAGCCATCTGGTGATTATAAGGAAGGCTTCAAGAGCATTTTCAATGCACTCAGATTATACAAGTACAGAAATTTATGAGTGAAAGTTTCAGCATCTTCAGAAACTGCTTTAGTTTTAATAAAAGCAAGTTTCTAGTCTTTGTGACTGCTAATTACATTAATGTTTCTCACACAATACAAAGCTACAATTTGGTACACACTTCTTCTACACCTGAGCATGAGATTTTAATAGCTAATAGTCAAAACATCCAATACAAAGAATCTCTCCTAATAATGGTCTTCTCTCCAATCAAAAGAAACCAAACCACATGCAAGACAGAACACAAGCATAGGGACAATCCCCTTGATACAGTAAGGGTTGTATACAATGCTTCTTGTATGGAGTTCTGCTCATGCAGTGGGATGTCCCCTTCCTATCTCTGCACGCCCTCAAAATCCAAGGTGGTCTTCCAGCCCTCTGGGGCAGATTCTGAGTATGGGGCAGGGGACAAGGGCTACAGGGGAATAGAAAATTCCATTGTGCAAGCACATGCCTGTTAACAGTAGCAAGCGGCATTAAAACAAGGCTCAAACAGGAGAAGGAAGCAAGCCAGGAATTTATTGATCACTGGGACAATACACCAGACAGATTAGGAGGTTGCTGTTCAGAATCTTGAATACTGATGTAATCCTGGAAATAAGTCCCATTGAACAGTGTAGGACTACCTGATAACTAAACCTGCATACGGAACGTGCATATATGTTTATGTGTGTGTGTGTGTGTGTTTATGTGTACTGCCCTTCACCCAAAGATCACAGGGTGGTTCACAACATAAAAATATGTTTGCAGATGCAAGCTGTATCTACTAGTGTAATGCAACAGAAATGGAAATCCAGGAGTTATTTTCATCCATTTCAAGCAGTTTCTTTTTGCTGGTAGTTCAGAGACCTGCCACTGCCATACATCTTATGAAGACTGAAAATATGGCATATGAAGAATATAGGTTGGGTTCAATCTTGCGCTCAGTGGAATTCTGCTTGCACTGGAGAAAGCAGGTGGGGAGGCAGTTTTTACTAACTGCGCCCTCCCTCATAATCTGTTCTAGAGGTTTGAGGGATCCCCCCAGAACAGCATGGGAAATGCTCCACTGGATCCAAATTTCATCCATTAATAGAAGACATTCATGGAAGGGAATGTCTAGAACCAACCCATTAAGTGCAAAAAGAATTTGTTCTTTCAACAAAACAACATTCCTGGTACATGCTGCTCTGTCTGCTTTTTGCCCTAGCTTTCTCATTAACTGCAGCTCATGCCAAACTATAAAAGCACTTTCCTGCTCCAATCTCTACTCCTGTTAATGAAACGTCAGTACTTCTAAAATGACATTTTAAGTTCTTGTTTAAAACATTTAAGAGCACAGCTCAAACCTCCTGAATGATATACAGTTTAACAGAAATGTAAAATTCAAACTGATCAGAATGCCATAAAAGGAATTTTTACTCAAAGTCTTAAGATGTGTTGGACTGGCGTTCCTGAAAATAGAAGTATCACTTGCTGGCATGTTACAAAAGTCCACAATGTACCTGGGAAGCAAAAGTTAGGTGCTGGTTGCTTCCTCCCCTTGCTTATCAAAGAAGCGTTATATCCTTCCCATCGCTGCACAACCCGGTGAAGCTGAAAATGACAAGACACCTTGAACTGCTGCAAAAAACCCATACTTTGCAAACAAACTGCAAAGGGAATGTAAACAAAGGCAGCACATGCTCAAAAATATGCCCTGGCCGTATGTAGGGCCATATTACAATGCTAGTTTAATATACTGAGCTGAAGTGATGGCAAACTCTTCTTTTTAGTGGTATGGCCTTTATGGAAGCCAGGTCATAGTTCTATGACAAATCAAATGCTTTGTGTGTAGGGAAGCTTGAGTTCAATCCTGATCACCTCCAGTTGGATCGGGGGTAGAAGGGCTGGAAAACAGCTCTGTCTGGGATTCTCAAAAGCCCCTGGCAATCACAATAGCAGAACTCGGCTAGACAGAGCAAGGACCCAACTCAGTTTAAGGCAGCTTCATATTCTTATCCTTATACCAAGGTAAAAATCCCATTTCACGTATGTAGTTTCTTCTGCCAAGAATCTGGCGCATGTTGATAATCTATGACAAAATCTCTGAAAGGAACCAGATGAGAAGTTGCTTCTGCCAAGCTGCTGGATGCCTTTTTTCTTTTGCTGCTAACATTGCTAATTAATTGATTCAGATTCCTCAGTGCTTTCCATTAAGAGATGGCAGGCGTTTTACAAGGAGGAAGGGTTCTCTTTAATTTATATTTAATAGAAGGGAGGAGAGATGGGGCAACTTGTATAAAGGCAATGGAAAGCAGCCACTGAATGTAGACAATGGTGTGTCGACTTGTTTAGAGAAAAGTTCCAGCTGATTTCTACTTCCCTTAATTCTCTCTCTTCTCTCTCTCTCTCTCTCTCTGTGTGTGTGTGTGTGTGTATGTGTTTGGAATGGTTTGGAAACCAGGTATGAGAGTTTCAACTCCAATATCCTAGCCAAACTGCTGCTCAGTGCTAAATGATGTTTGATTTCTAGCATCTCCAAATAAGATGATATCTGGCACTACATCTGAACAACAACAAAAAAGACCTCTAGCCTAGACTCTTATGAAATTCCAGTGAATAGGGGGATTTTTATACATTTGCTAATTCAACGGAAGGGTGGATAACTCATTACTTCTTTCTGTGCTGGCCAATGAAGTTTGGTAGTGTTTCCACAGGCTGAATGTCAAAGGTAACACTATTTCAGCACAAATTAATCCTTTCTATACTGTATGCACAGGAAACACTGACTCCAGCAGAACAGTACATGACTCTCCTTTTAAAGTTGTGTAGATGCTACCTCTGAAGGCATAAGGAGCCAAACCTCACTATGTTGCACCAAGGAAAGCTAGCAGAGTAGGGAATCAACACCTCTATCATCTTGCCTCCTTCCATCTGGAGCAGCCAAGGGCAAGGTACTCAGACTTGGTGAGCAACTCAGCACCACCTCTACAGGCATTTTCATGAGTATGTAGAGGCAGGAGGGAAGGTTGAACAAATGCAAGCACCACCTTCAAAGACCCCTTCAGACCTTCACTCACTGAGCTCAAAAACCTCAAGAGGACTTCCAGGCATGTTCAGCTGAGCATAGCTAGAAGCCTCCCCAAGACCAAAAATCCTAACAAGCCAGGGTCCCTGTTTGTGTAAAATCTTCTATAACTGGGATCAGAAGCCCTCTCCAGACCTTTGTACTGAACATGCAAAAGTCAGGGGGAGGAAGGAGAGTGAGTGCCTGACATGCAGGGCACACCATGGGTTAAGGTGCCACATGCAGGCTTGGCCCTCTACAAACTTTTAGCCCTCCCATGCTTGAGTTGAACACTAGAACAGGGCTTAGGAAACAATGATCACTGGCTTCGCAGCTTCCAGTGAAGGCAGGTATTCACAATTAGTCCTCTACTGACTTAAGCATTTGCAACTCAAGGCATGTTCATTAGCAAGAAAGCCCTCAGAGAACCTTACAGGTAGTTCCATCCATTTATTTCCAATTCCAGCAAGAGTAGCATTAGACGAGGATAACATTCAGCACAAAACATGGATAAGACAAGCTACCAGCACAAGTAGCTGGTGGTGTAGAGAACAGTCACCTCTAAAGTCTGCCACTCTCTTTAAGAGGAGCCAGTCCCATCCAGTTCTAGGCCTTGTTCATCATTGACCTGGGCTGGCCTGTGACTTAGCTGATAAAACACAACAAATCAGGTAGGAGATTGTCCCATGTCAACATATAGTAGTTTGGAATCCTTTCAAAGCCCATTTTCTTCAGGAGAGGGATGATATTCTTCCTCCAGATGAATTATATCAACGTAGCTTTATGATCTTGGCCTGGATACAAGAAATTCCCACTCACAAAAGCCCTGGGCGGTTTGCACCATTGTAGATTTAGTTTTCTGGGGGCTGGAGAAGCTGCTGACCCACAGCTTCCACATTGAGCTTGCTGGGCTTATTTGTGAAAGGGTGCCACTGGCCTTGGATACTGGGGTTATCTGTATGGAAAGGCTTTCGGATACGGATGATCTCCAGGCCAGACTGGCCTGCCAGCTTCTGGATGACCTTTGCAATCTCATCCACTGTCTTGCTGGTTAAACACTCTACCTTCACGGTTCCATTCACTAGAAAGAAAATTAGGTGGATAAAATGTGGACCAATTCTTTGTCTGTTTGGAGAAATAAGATTCTCTGGGCACTTATACCCAATTCCCAAGGATTTTTCATTGATGAACCTCAATAAATCCACACATCCACCCTCTTACTCCTGAATGTTACAAACTAAGGCCTGATTTACAGCTCCTTGGTGTGTAATTCTTTCAGCAGATAGCACACATCAATTGCTGCTGAGGGTTGCCTTAGAAGCCTTGTTGAGACAGGGTGCACCCTCCCCGCTGATTTTTAGGAGCAAGTTTCACAGGAAATGCCAATAACAGCCAACGCCAACATGGCTCTAATGCAAAGCTGCATTTTCTATACTTACTGTATTCAGCAGTCAACGTAGGGACGCTGCACTGCTTTGGAGTAACGTAGAACACAATCCCAGGGTTCTGCCTGGCAAAGTCCACCACCTTTTCTTCAATGTATTGTCTAGAACAAAAAAGAAAGGAGTCACTGAGGTATTTAAATAACTGTTCTGATGAACAATTGAAGGAGAGCTCAGGAAAAGCTGCCACCACCATGTGCAATTGGGGGCCTTCAACTGCAGTAATTCCCAGCGCGCAGCATCGCAATCTGCATAAACTGCAGGCCAGGTAAATATCTCTTCATTTACTATTCTGTGATTCTATACAAAATTATTCAGACCAACAGAAAGGACAGGTAATTCCCTTTTGGCAGCCACCTACACACCTAAAACGGTTAGCCCAAATATTTAAAATTTTAGTAGCATAAACATACGGTACTAGGCAGGCACCCTAGTTATAGTGTTTTAAATGCCTGCTAAAAATATTATTTCAACAGGCCTATCCCAACACACAGCTGGGATATGCGATTTTAATGTTTGCTGATTTTACCCTGAGGTACCAATGCACTCTGAATAAGCCAATGAATCACAACCAAAAATAATGAAAAAAATATTCAAAGCCATCAACCAAGTCAAATCTTTGTTGCTCTTGGACATTACTTTATTAATATGAGTCAGTAATATTTCTACCTGAATACAGTAGTACCTCGGGTTAAGAATTTAATTCGTTCTGGAGGTCTGTTCTTAACCTGAAACTGTTCTTAACCTGAGATACCACTTTAGCTAATGGGGCCTCCTGCTGCCGCCGCAGCGCGATTTCTGTTCTCATCCTGAAGCAAAGTTCTTAACCCAAAGTACTATTTCTGGGTTAGTGGAGTCTGTAACCTGAAGCGTCTGTAACCCGAGGTACCACTGTACCAGCCGCCTGATGTACAAAGACCCTCTTCCACAAAACACAATTTTCTCATATGCCTATTTTGATTCTGAGCCATAAAGCTAAAGCTCCCATACATGGAATATTAGCTTTCTCTACTGCCTAGCCAAGTGGCTACTCTAGTATAATCACAAACCTGAACACAAGACATGTATTCTTGTACAATACCACATGTGACTTCTGAACAAGATCCTGCAACACCATACCGGAAGGGTGGAAGCTGAGTATAATTGCTCCAATATATAAAAAGAGTGACAAGAAAAATCCTGCCAATTATAGACCTATTAGTCTGTTAGATGTAGCCTCTAAACTATACGTCAGGCTCCTTTTTGGGAGACAGGAAGAATGGGCAGATACAAATAAAGTGATATCGGAAGTCCAGGCAGATTTCCAAAGAGGGAAACCTACATTGGACCAGTGTTTTGTGATTAACTTTTTGTTATGTAAATACATCCATAATTTGAAGCAAAAACTCTATGTCGCTTTTATCAACCTAAAGTCAGCTTTTGATACGGTCCCTAGACATGCATTGTGGCAGAAATTGGAAAAGGCAAATATAGATCATTGCTTATTATTTCTCATCAAAACATTATATACTGATACATCGATACAAGTAAAAGTAGAGCTGGTCAGCCATCTCACTACTAGAATAAAGACCATCACTGGAGTTAAACAAGGATGCATTTTGGCGCTTTTTTTGTTTAACTTTTATATTAATGACATGGTTAAAGAACTGGATGGCCTACAGTTTGCCCCTGTTACAATCCTCGACCAAAAACTTTCAGTCTTAATGTATGCGGATGACCTAGTACTTGTATCTAGAACCCAGATGGGCCTGAGACGACTGCTTGTGAAATACGGTTCATATTGCACGGGTAATGCTTTATCTATAAACTATGACAAGACGCAGGTCATAGTATTTGGGAAGCGCCCTAAAAAGCATGTTTGGCACCTGGATGAACACATTATAAACCAATATTTGGGACTGGTCTACTCAGAAACGGCCTCTTGGAATATACAGCTATCTAACATTAAATTGCAAGGCTTTAAATCAGCAAAAGCTATTCTGAAATTTGCCGCTTGTAAAGGTGGAAACCTGGTTAACCCAGCCCTATCTGTCTATAAAGCAAAATCAGTGGCCCAGATTTTATACGGTGCTGAGGTTTGGGGTACCTCAAAGGTTTCTGGTCTGGAACCCCCACAGAATTACAGTGGTACCTCAGGTTAAGTACTTAATTTGTTCCAGAGGTCCGTTCTTAACCTGAAACTGTTCTTAACCTGAAGCACCACTTTCCGCGCCGCCGGAGCACGATTTCTGTTCTCATCCTGAAGCAAAGTTCTTAACCTGAAGCACTATTTCTGGGTTAGCGGAGTCTGTAACCTGAAGCGTATGTAACCTGAAGCATATGTGTCAGGGAACTGACATCGGAGCCAGAGGCGGAGGCTAGGCTCTCAAGCGATGCTGGAGAAGGGCCCAGCAGGTGGAGAGGCGGCTCACCAGCTGGGGAAGGAAATCAGCGTAACACCAGGGATAAAGGGGGGCAGATGGGGGAATCGGCGAGGGGGCTCCAGGACTCCTCGCTGGAGATCAGCGAGGAGAGCACGGGTCCTCCGCTACCCACGCCCTCCCTGCGCAGAAGACTTCCGCGCAGGGAGAGTAGGAGGAGACTTGGAGTCAAACAACTTTTATGCTGGAAAAGGTTTAAGACACGCCCACTGACGGATTCTGCTAGCGACTGAACAGCCACGAAGTGCAGGGGCTGTCCAGACAGAAAAGGTTTAACAAGGCAACCTAGCCAGGAGTGGCACCAACTTGCACACGAGCAACCCCTACATTTATTACAATATGTAACCCAAGGTACCACTGTATTTTTAAGAGCCCTCTTAGGCCTACCCAAAGATGTGCAATCCGCCATGGTTAGGCTGGAAACTTGTATGTTGAGCATAGAGAGCCAAATAGATAAAAGAATCCTCTGCTACTGGTTCAGAGTTCAACAGATGGACAACACTAGGTTACCAAAAAAAATGCCTGATTGAGCTCATGAATGGACTACCCTTTAAAAATTAGCACCACTTTAGCTAATGTAGTTTTGTGCAGATTAGGTCATGTTCTGACAATACAAATGTTTTAAGTTTTGTATCAAACTAGTACAGTGGTACCTCGGGTACACTTCAGGTTACAGACTCCGCTAACCCAGAAATAGTGCTTCAGGTTAAGAACTTTGCTTCAGGATGAGAACGGAAATCATGCTCTGGCGGCGCAGCGGGAGGCCCCATTAGCTAAAGTGGTGCTTCAGGTTAAGAACAGTTTCAGGTTAAGAACGGACCTCCGGAACAAATTAAGTACTTAACTCGAGGTACCACTGTATATATTTTATTGAATGACATTGTATACATTGCAGCAGCCTTTGGCAATAAGCAATAAACTTGACTGACTAACTGACACACATGTATTCTCCCCCCCTCCCATCCTAATCTAGAAACTTCAAACTGAATTTCAAGGCCCTAAAAAGTAAGAATTCAGTGACCCCCTTGGCTCAGATAGGAAAGTCAATACAGTATTCCAGTGGCTAGTCCTCTTCCCTCCTCCTCCCTCTTTCTTTTTTTGCACCATGTATTTTACCTTTTAATGGGGGGGGCAGGGACTGTCTCTTTTTAAATTGAACCATACTTTATCATAAATGAGCAATATAAAGTTTTACTTAGTCAGTCAATAAGAAATCAATATTGCTACACAGTGCTTTTTTTCTTTAAAAAATGTTTAGGAGCACTCTCATTTTGACTCAAGAAAATCACCATTTTATAGTTCAAATCGGGAAAAATAAATACAGTAAGTGGGCAAAAGTACTGTACAAAGATTCACAAATGTTTAGGGGTATGCATGCCCCTGCGTCACCCAAGGGGGGGGGGAACGTTTTTGGGAGCCTCTCGGCTGAAGGGCAGGGTGAAAACGGCCCACGACTGCCAAGAGAGGTTGCAACGTCCGCGTTGCCCAGAGCCGAAGAGTCAAGTCCCGCTCGAAGCCCTTCTACGGAGGAGACTAGCAAAGGGCGCTCAGGTGAAGCCAGAGCCCCGGCACCTCTTTGCGGGGGGAAGCAGCCTACCTGGCGCCCCGCGAGCTCGGCGCATCCCGGCTGACCGTCAAGGTGAGGCGCTGCAGCTGCCCCACGTAGCGGCCCACCCCGTTCCTCAAGACGCTGGCCAGGAAGCGGCTCGGGGTGCCTCGGCCGGTCATGGCACATGAAAGCGGGATGGGAGCAGGTTGGCCGCCTCCCTCTCCTCCTCACCGGAAGGAGAAGCAGCGGAGGAAGTGACGCAGAGAGGGCGCTAGCGCCCTAGAGCTACTTGGAGGGAAAATTTAACGAAGGCCCTGGCGGTCACTTTTTACGCCCGTCTTTTCTTTGCCTGCCTGGTAGAAATAGCCAAAGTCAGCGCTAGTCTGTGCACTTAGAAGCGCCTCACGCGCTATTATACACTCGCCAAGTGCTAAGGTGGGAATGACGCCTCCATTCTTTCCTATCTCTATATGCCTGGCTCGACGTTTGAGGCCAGGATCCCCGCACGGAAGTGACGTTTCCGTGTTGTGTTGTTGTTCCGGGGCGCGGCGATCGCGCGCTCTCTGCAGCCGCACGCGGGGGGAACGATGATGCTCGATCCGAGACAGGCGCGGAGATCTCCCATCGCGCGGTGACAGGAGGGCGGGAGGGAGGGCAGGGAGGTCGAGTTTGGGGGCAGGTGCTGCTTGTTGCAGCGGATCGGGGCTTCCTTCAAAGCGGCCGGTTGCCGGGGGCTGAAATCTGGGGCTGCCGTCTCTTTGCCCATCGCAAGGCAAAGCGGGGTTATGCGGCGGGACTTGCGGCGCGAGCGAGGAAGCGGCGAGAGGGCGAGTCCCTGCGAGGTGGTTGGGGTGGCCGGGAGGGAAGCGGCGAGACGGAGGAGGGGATGGTTGAGGACGGGGTTGTTTCTCTGACGAAGGCGGTGTGCGCGCTCGTGTGATTAGGAGGGAGAGGTATTATAGCAAGGTAAAATAAGGCAGTCTCGATATGGGAGAGGTTGCTCTTGGGGGAAGGTTTCCCAGCAGAAGTTTTTAGTGTGCCAGTCTGGAAGGTTACTGCCTTGAGAGGATGCTCTTGGCAGGCATCTTTCTGCCACTGGTACAGAAAAAATGTGGTTCCTCACCCGCTCCTTGTGCAGTCTTTCAAGCCACTGGCCCCTTAGGCTGATCCTTGCAGGGAGCAAATCCTGCAGATCTTACAAGAAAGAGACGCTTCCGTCCCCAGAAGGGCCGATCCCCCCAGTTTCAGTCACAGAGATTCGCCAGTATCTGAGGGCGCAGGGCATCCCCTTTCATGATGGCTATAGTTGTCTTCACGTGCCCAGTATTTTTGTGGAGGAGCAGCAGCAGGTCCGCCATAGCTACAGCCTCTTCATCGACAAGACCACTGGCCGCTTTTTGTGCACAGCTTCATTGGCTGAAGGTAACTGGCAAGACTTTCAGGCCAGTGTAGAGTTGCGACATAAAGGGATGGCTGTGGGTGGCCTGGAAGAGGCCAGTGGGCAAAGAGACCAAGATGGGAAAGATGCCATGCATATATGGGAACGAGCCCTGCCTCTCTGGGAACTGCTGGATGAGCAGGAGACGCAGGAGGCCAAGGCTATGTTCGGCATTTCCAATATCTCAAATGCCACACTCAAACGGTTTGGAGTACGTTACTTGCGGACAGCGCGGACCTTGGTTTTCCCTTGGTTCAGCCCCCGTGGCACCAGCCTGAAGGGGTTAAAGCTTCTGGGAGTTGAGTGCCAAGGGGAAATGGTGCACTATGTGGAGAACACCCTACCTCGCCCTGCGGCCTATCACAACCTCTTTGGATTGCCTCTGATCAGCCGACGAGATACAGAAGTTGTACTGACTGGCCGTGAGCTGGACACATTGGTGCTGCACCAGGTGACTGGGCTCCCCACTTTGGCCCTGCCCCGGGGGATTTCCTGCCTCCCGCCAGCCCTTCTCCCCTACTTAGAACAGTTCAAGCGGATCACCCTGTGGTTAGGGGAGGACCTCCGCTCCTGGGAAGCTGCCAAACTCTTTGCCCGCAAGCTGAACCCGAAGCGTTGTTCTTTGGTGCGGCCAAGTGACCAACAACTACAGCCCCTGGAAGCTTTCACCCAGGGCATGAACCTCACCAAGATTCTGCGCTCCGCTCTACCAGCTGGCCACAAGTCCATCATTTCATTTCGCCAGCTGCGGGAAGAGGTGCTTGGGGAGCTGGCCAATGTGGAGCAGGTGGCAGGTGTCAAGTGGGCTCGTTTTCCAGAACTGAACAAACTCCTCAAGGGCCATCGAAAAGGGGAGCTCACTGTATTCACAGGTGTGTAGCTATGTGGTTTGTGGCACTTTAACTCTCATTCTCCATTCACTCTGTGTGTGTGTGTGTGTGTGTGTGAGAGAGAGAGAGAGAGAGAGAGAGTGTGTGTGAGAGTGTGTGTGTGTGTGTGTGTGTTCCCTTGTAAATCTCAGCTGGATGTCTTCCCTAGGGTCTCTTCAAAGGATACTGCCAGTAGCTGACTGACTTTTCATTCACAAGTCATTTACAATCAAAGGCTTATTGAGCCTTCAATTAGAAAATGATGCAGTATGCTTTAGTACTGTGTGGTTCTTGGCTTTTTTGTTGTTGTTGTAATGCCTGCTTGCCAGCTCAATGACTTGTTGCAGAGTTGGGCTACCTCAATCTGGTGGCTCTTGAGCTGTCCGTTTTTTCCTTCAGGAATGTAAGGACTCTAACCTATATTTTGCTATTTTCTGCCTTGGACCAATTTTCATGTCACTACTTGCCATGAATGCTGATTGCCGTTACTCCCACTAAATAACTGGGTTGTTTTTTTGTTTACATCTGTAGTGGGTGGTCTTTCAGAAGAAAGGGCGTGTTGGTCTACACATGAAAACTCAAGGTGAAAACCATCTATCCTGTAGGTTGCAACAGCCTGCCCTCATATTAATTTTATCCTGTCTGTGGAACAGGCCCAACGGGCAGTGGGAAGACAACCTTCATCAGTGAATATGCCTTGGACCTCTGCACACAGGGAGTGAACACTTTGTGGGGCAGCTTTGAGATCAACAATGTGCGCTTGGCCAAGATCATGCTTACCCAGTTTGCCATGGGGAGGCTGGAAGAGCAGCTGGAAAAGTATGACGAGTGGGCAGACAAGTTTGAGGATCTTCCGCTCTACTTCATGACTTTCCACGGGCATCAGAATATCAAGTAAGGTTCAGGGTGGCAGCTTACCTCCTGCATGTCATGGCTTAATGTTCTTGATGTGATGCAGTGGTGGGCATGAAGCAATGTTTTAGTTGTTCAGATGCTAAGGCCGCATTCCTGTTCATATTTCCACGTGTGACCCTTATTTCAATCTCTCCTTTTTCAGGATTGATGATGAAAGATGTGTGTGTAATTGTGATGGTCTCTTCCATGCAGGACAGTGATAGACACCATGCTGCATGCTGTGTACATGTATGATATCAGTCATGTGATCATCGACAATCTCCAGTTCATGATGGGCCAGGAACAGCTCAATGTGGACCGGTAAGCTCTCCCCCATGCATTCATCCTTTGGCCTAGACTCTTTTTTTTTACAACACTGTATTTCTCCTCTACCTTCTTTAAAAAATGACTCAGTGTGTCACTTATTTATAGTGACATGAAAATAATTGTAATCATGCAAACAGTAGTCCTGACTGAGAGTGAATTTCTTTCTTAACCATAGATAAGCATTCTTTTGGTAGTGACAGTAACTACAGTTAGGCCTTCTAGTCATTTTTATGTTTTATTTTTTGTGGTCATTTTACGGTAGTGTATTTGGATTTTAAAAGTTGTACTGTGTTTTAAGTGTCTTGTAAGTCACCTTGAGACTTTTTATAAAAAGCAGTGAACATAATAAATAAATAGGAACATGTTCAAGAGGAAAATAGTCTCTCTCACTATGAAAATGTGCAGTTCTTCTTTTCATCTTCTACTAATATTCATTTCCCCTCTCTAGCAGGTAAACATCAAGTAACCTTTCTTTTCAAATTGTGTTCTTTGTACTCACTATTCATGTGTCTAATGTAATTACTTTTGCTACAAGGTATATTTATTCCACCATGTTGCCATTCTAGGCTAGCTGTGCAAGACTACATAGTGGGTGCCTTCCGGAAGTTTGCCACAGAAAACAGCTGCCACGTCACTGTGGTCATTCACCCCCGGAAAGAAGATGAAGAGAGGGAGTTGCAGACGGCCTCGATTTTTGGGTCTGCAAAGGTGAGAATTTGTGTGGAAGTGGGCAAATTTGGTCTTTGGAGAGCTTATATTTCCAGCTTAGCTCAAAGTGTGTGTACAGTGGTGCCTCGCAAGACGAAATTAATTCGTTCCGCAAGTCTCTTCGTCTTGCGAGTTTTTCGTCTTGCGATGCACGGTTTCCCATAGGAATGCATTGAAAATCAATTAATGCGTTCCTAGGGAAACCGCCTTCAGACCAGGTCTGAAGACCTCTTCTGAAGGCTGGGGGGGGGGGGCAAGGGCTTTTCTTCCCACCCCCAGCATTTTAAAAAACCCCGGGACAGCGGAGGACTTCTCCGCTGTCCGGGCGATCTTAAAATGCTGGCGGGCGGCATTGCAACATCACCCCGGGACAGCGGAGGCCGTCTCCGCTGTCCGGGGCCATATAAAAGCCCCGGGGAAGGCAGGCAGGGGGGACAAAGACTTTTGCCCCCCGCCAGCCTTCAGAAGAGGTCCTGGACCTCTGGGCGAAAGTCTTTGCTCCCCCCGCCTTCAAAGCCCTCCGGGACAGGCAGGCAGGGGGAGCAAAGACTCGCCCCGCCCCGCCTTCAGAAGGTCTTCCCTCCCCCGCCCGGCTCGGAGCACCGTTCCGGAGCCGGGCGGCGGGGAGGTCTTCCCTCCCACCGCCCGGCCTCGGAGCACCGTTCCGAAGCCGGGCAGAGGCGGAGGTCTTCCTCCCCCCGCCCGGCCCGGAGCACCGTTCCGAGCCGGGCGGCGGCGGCAGGTGTTCCCTCCCCGCCCGGCCGGAGCACCGTTCCGAGCCGGGCGGCGGCGGCAGGTGTTCCCTCCCCCCGCCCGGCTCGGAGGAGCCTTCCGAAGCCCGGCCGCGGCGGGAGGAGGTGTCCCCGCCCCCCCCCCAGGCGTCGGACGAGGTCCCAGGACAGTGGGGGAGACGCGCGGCGCTTCCCCACTGTCCTGAGATTTCCCTATGGGATGTCGTCTTGCGAAGCAAGCCCATAGGAAATTCGTTCTATGAGCGCCTCAAAACGGAAAACCCTTTCGTCTAGCGGGTTTTCCGTCTTGCGAGGCGTTCGTCTTGCGGGGTACCACTGTACTTTATCCTTAACAATCAAGAGTTCATTGCACCACTCTGTATCCCTAACATAGTGGTTGTTGGAATTGCTAAGTCTGGTATGCAAATCTCTGTCCCTTTGATCCCTTCTGGCTATAGTAACCTGTGGGTATGAGTAACCTGTGGACCTTCAGATGTTGTTGGGCTACCACTTCCATCACCCCTGGTTATCCTGGATGGGGCTGATAGGAGTTGGTGGCCAACAGCATCTTGAGAACCACAGGTTCCCCATGTCTGGCCCATAAGAATCCATTTTTTCTGCATATTTGGGGTGGTCTAACTAGACAACCCATAGTCAGATGATTTAACCATCTTCTGCCTAGCAACTCCTAGTGACAGAAGTAGGACGGCTTCAGCTGGCACCCTTTGATGTACTTGTGCTTAATTTTCTCCCGTTACAGTCAGTGGGATTAAAGTGCTTACTCGTTTATTAGATTGTATCGTTCTCACTTTTAAAGAGAAGTGCCATTATTTTTGATCCAATGAAGATACCTACATTGTGGTTCTTGATCCTTAGCTGGCTGGAGGATCTGAGAAAAATACTGCATGTCTCAACTTGTTGCGAATTGTTTGCGGGGAAAACTGTGCAGATAACCTGGGGAAAGTGTAGCAAGATCACCTGACTGGCCTAAGACCCACCACATTCAGTACAATTGCATTCATATTGCATGTACTCTAAATCTGCCTTTTTTTTAGCTGCAGGCTGCTGCTCCTCATACTGCTGAGCTACATTCCATGCTGTACAAAATGGCCGCCCCTTCTCCCCTCAAACAATAACTTTCCTTCTGCATCTCTTGCGCAGGCCAGCCAGGAAGCCGACAACGTGCTGATCCTGCAGGACAGGAAGCTGCTGACAGGCCCAGGAAAGCGCTATCTACAGGTCTCCAAGAATCGCTTTGATGGGGATGTGGGAGTCTTTCCCCTGGAGTTCAGCAAAGCATCCCTCACCTTTTCTACCCCCGTCAAAGGCAAAGCCAAGCTGAAGAAGGTAAAGGATGACAATGGTGTGCCTGCCAAGAAACCAGCAGGTGCCGGTGGAGCTTCGAAGAAGCAGAGGTCTCAGTCCCCCAGCAGCACAGTCCCTGCCCCAGGGACCTCTCCTGATGAGTCCATCAAACCAGGAGGAGGAAGAGGAGTGTAGGACTTGGAAAAGGGTTGGAAGCCAGCAAAATCACTGCCTCACATCTGATCATAGGAATAATCATTGGACTGCAAAGAAAGGCACTGGCGGAATATTTCCTGCTTGGTTGCCTGTTTTCCGTTGGGATAATGTGCTGGAAATATGTATGACAAATCTGTGGGGTTGTCACAGGATTTCCAGTATCATTTTACTAATCAAGCAATAATTCGGAGAGGAAACTTTAATACCGGCCTCGTTCCACCCGAGAGGCAACTACTGGGTGGCTCCATGTGTGCAACACAGAGGAGATTGTGCTGTTGGTGCAGGGAAGTAGCTTTGTTTTGCCATCTTCGGCTTAGCCTTGGCCTGGATTCAGTAGCTGCAAAGAGTGAAGACTATATCAAAAGGAACATTGAAAGTACTTCCAAGTTGTTTTGTGTATTTCTTGTACTACTATGCATACAGAAAAATGGTTTGCTGCAGCCTAGTAAAGTGTTAGATCCCTGGCATGGGATCAGAGGGGACATGCTGTATCCATATGCATTGCAAAAATCACTGGTTAAAATTGCGAATGTTACAACAGGAGCTGTGCTTTCTCTCCTAATCTCAGGGCTTGAATTAAAGTGAGAATGGTTAAGTTGAGCCGAGGAGGAGTCAGCAAATCCTGAGATTTAAATGAGCCATGGGTTCGGCAAAGGGGATTGACAAAGCACTTAGCTGTGGAGGTTGAGGAAACGGTTGGCACAAAGGTAAATCGCTCTGAAATGCCCTTCCTTCCTTCAAATTATTTCTTATATGCCTGTTCCATACTGGCTCTGGACTTTACTGTTCTAGCCTAATGTGAGTTCAGGAGAGGAGATTACTTGAAGGAAAAACCACACTATTAATGTATTCCAAAGGGGGCTGTTGAAATGCTGTCATTAAGAAAAGTAGCAACTTTGTTGAAAAAGCCTTTTCTAAAGCATTCATGGTTCTATCAAACTTTTGGATCAATCTCCTTGGTTTTGAGGCTGAGTGGGTTTGGGTTTTGTCCACTTCAGTTTTAGCACCAAGAGATACCTCTGTTTAGGATATAAACATGTAGAAATGCTGCTTTTTGAAAACCTATCTCACAACTGACTCTGATCAACGCATAAGCTGAAATGCTTATGGAAGTAAAAGTGTGTTCCCTCAACCTTTATGACTTTAATAAACTGAACGACTCTTACGGGGCGGAGGGGCAGGAATCCAAACTAATTCTGACTGTGATTTGGTTTGGCCATGCACACACTGTCTTTTAACGGTATTTGAAATTATCTATGCATTCTAGAAATTACGGGTTAATCGACATTGTGTTGGATGTTGTGTCATTTATTTAAATTAAAAACAGTACAGTTTGTACTTAATGTGTGCTGTTCCTTATACTGTCCACAAGAGGCCAGCCTGTTCAAATGGAAGATTTACATAATATTCCCATGCTAACCCACAGTACCTCCATCACGTGCCAAGCACTGGCATGCTTCTTTGAGCTCTGAAATCGCAGACACAAGAGTATAGCAGCAAATTCACTAAAACAGGCGATTTGTGGTGTTACTAGCAGTATCATCTAGCCTAAGATTCCCTAGATCTAACGTCCCTGATAGATGCTCAACTACTCTTAATCATCATCATCATCTACAGGTAACTAACTTCCATAACCTTCCAAGTTCTTATTTTTGCAGTTAAGAGGATCCCTCACTCAACCCAAAATATGTTACCCTTTTTCTTTGGGCCTGCATTTTAGCTAGTTAAGAACTTCTGTAATTATCAACATTGCCTGCAAATGAAAACACTTACTTCGGCCTTTACTCACATGTTTTCCATTCCAGTAACCTGACCTTGTATTTGAGCAATCACTGAATAAGAGCAGAACTCAGAAAGCATAGAAGGACCAGCAGAAGTGATGCAGGAGATGTTTGTAGTTTTTGTGAGACAACATGTAGGGGTGTGGCGAGAGCAACCCTTTTCATCTGATCTTAGGGTTTCAGGGCTTAATTTGTGGGCTATAAGCACTCCTTGATCATTGGCTATGCTAACTGCGGCTGATGTGAATTGTAGCCCAAAATGTCTGGAGGACACCAGGTTGAATCAAGGGTTAGTTGAAGGTGATGATTTATGCCATTGCCAATAGAAAAGAGCAGCAGGTCCACACATAGTTTGTTATAATGCTGAGCGCATAATTACCCACTAATGGGATGGCAGCCAAGTGTTTCTTAAATGGACTTCCATCAACCTCTAAAAGTATACTTCCTTTTGCATGAACGTGGCTGTGTTGTATCCTTAATCTCTTTTGCCTACTCTGAGTTGGACATCATTTTGGTAAAATGCATGGGGAAATTTAAGAGTTCCATCCTGCACTTTGTAGGAACATTAGGAATCCACCTTACACTGCGTCAGCCTATATAATTCAGTACGGTCTACTATCTTCTCAACCATGGTTCCCCAGATATTGTGTTGGACTACAACTCTCACCGACTGCAAGAAGATCAAACCTCTCCATTCTTAAGGAAATCAGCCCTGAGTGCTCACTGGAAGGACAGATCGTGAAACTGAGGCTCCAATACTTTGGCCACCTCATGAGAAGAGAAGACTCCCTGGAAAAGACCCTGATGTTGGGAAAGATGGAGGGCACAAGGAGAAGGGGACGACAGAGGATGAGATGGTTGGACAGTGTTCTCGAAGCTACCAGCATGAGTTTGACCAAACTGCGGGAGGCAGTGGAAGACAGAAGTGCCTGGCGTGCTCTGGTCCATTGGGTCACGAAGAGTCGGACACGACTAAACAAGAACAACAACTCCCACCATTGCTGACCACTGGCTTTGATGTAGTCCAACAACCTCGGGCCCAGCACTGGAGAACAGAGGTCTGCTGTACTGACTGACAGCACTCTCCAGACAGGAATATGTCCCAGCCCTCCCTGCAGAGCTTGGGGACTGAAGCTGGGACCTTATGCATGCAATGTGTGATCTCTACCCTTTCCTCTCAGTTCTGTCTCATTGGTCCAAGCAGTGCCAATTCTAGCTTTTTGGGGTGGGTGAGTGGGCCTGGATGAAGTGCTGTCAGTGGGCCTCATTCATGAGCATGGTTGCCACTGCCTATTTGCTTACCTTTCCCCTTGGGTCCAATTGGTACCGCCTCCTAGAGGGAAAGAACAAGAAGTCTGCAAACCATTGTTCTTCTTGCTCCTCTCACTACTTGCTTGCTCAAGGGAGGTAGCAGCAGGGTCAAGCAGAAGATTCAAGAGGCTGCAGAAAGGACAGTTAACCTGTAGTCCTCCAGGTGATGTTGGACTCCAACTCCCATCAGCCCTAGCAAGCCTGGCCAATGGTCAGGGATGGTCAAAGTTGCCGTCCAAGAGCAGCAGGAGAGTCATGCATTTCCCATCCCAGGGCTATCATGAGTGGCAGTGAACACCCCTGCTGGAGGCATAAGCCCAAAGAGAACTATAAACCGACTGAACTGAAGAGTTGCTGAATTAAACGGCATCCCTGTCAATCTGGTTGCTGAAATATAAAAGGGTTCAGTCGCTTCTTGTGTAGAGCTATGTGGGGTCTGGAAAGGAAGTCTTGGCATTTTGTTGAATGTCTCTGGCGCCCAAGGCCTCTTGTGCCATATTGTTGCTCTGCTTTGCCAAGCCTGGAAAGCATTGCTGGAGCCGGACAGTCCTGCACCTCTCCAGATCAGCACCGTCAAGTCTCTGGCACGAGGCCTAACTGCTATGAGAGGAAAGTTAACTTCCTTCAGGGCTCTCTGCGAGGGTCTGGTGGCACAAAGACCCTGCCAAACAGCTGTGCCGGGTCTGTTTTCATGGTCTGACGCAGACCTGTTTTCTCACACTTGCCCTCATTTGTGTCAGAAAGCTACATGGCTGGGGGTATGATCAGGTCAGGGTGAGGTGAAGAGAGAAGGTGCAACCTTTCTCTAGTAATATGCTTTTCTCTGTGGCTAGGTTGTTTTAGACTGTTCCTCCCCTCCCCTCAGCAGCAATTCCTTCCCCTCCATGCCAGTGTTTGAATTGCAGGAGGGAACCAGCCCCTAATCTTTTGCAATGGGCCCTGCTTAGAAAGGCTACAGGGAGGACATGGTTGTCTAAAACAGACCAACGGGGAGAAGGGGGCTTGTGAATTTTATTATGGGACTCTTCCAGCTTCCTCCCTATATCTTTATGTGCTGGTTTTGTTCCCTTCCTCCATACTGGCCTTTATCAACCTAGTACCTGACAGCAGTTTTGGACAACAACTCCCATCAGCCCCAGCCAACATCAGGCTGTCCGGGCCTGATGGGAATTGTAGACCAGAATGTATGGTGGGTGCCATCTTGGTGAAGTGAAGTACACTGTACAATTGCAGGTTCCAAAGGTTTATCCCACAGCAGAGGGTGGCTGATCCTGGAAGGACTCTTTACTACATACCTCAACCTAGTTCTAGTCAGAGCATTCCCCTCTGTTCTGTAGAGGGATGGAAAGGGACCTGGGCAACTGCAGCTTTTAATAATTAGCTTTTGGCAGCACCAGGGCAGGATGAAAAGAACTTGGCCACTGAATGATGGGAACTGGAAGGAGGCAGAGGAACAAGGGCCCAGGGCTGGCTGAGAATCGGGTCTGAACACTGAGCCATGGGCAGGGCCTATTCCTCTGAGAGGATGACCCAATAGCCCGGTTCCCAGTTAGCCTTCAACTTGGCAGCAAGGGATATTTTGAATCCAAACATCGCACATTGCAACAGTCTGGACAGAGCGGCACACCAGACTCTGAGCGTGTTTCAAACTCTTCTGCCTCTTGATTTGTGGTTTGAGTTGAAACCAAGGCTGGAGCCTGGAATTCAAACGGGGCTCATCGGAAGCTGAGCTGTGCCTGGAAGCGATTTCCTTTGCTATGGCTAGCTGCTCTTGAAGCATGATTCAATCACAGGCTTCCACCCTCCCTAACCCAAAGCTGTGGGCAAACCAGACATTTGCATCTGTCAGGAAATAAGTGATTTGTGCAACATTGGACCATCTGTATTACAACATGTTTTTCACACCCTTCAAAGAGCCCCTCCCCCATGTACTCCTATGAGGTTTATTTGGCTGAGAGAACCCAAGGTTACCCAGGGCTTGGCTTATGTGCCTCAGTGGGGATTTGAATCCTATCTCCACATTCACACCTTAAAGAGCAATGAATGCTTTTTTGTTGGTTCTTTTTCACTACACATTCCCTTGCTGTCTGTTCACACCAGCACTGGTCAGTGCCTAATTCATTTCTGCAAATGCTCACATTGGGAAGTGTGTGTGATTTCTTACCTCATCCATAAACAGGTGTGTTTATAGGTTTGGTGACATCTAGGCACGGTGCCTGGCTGATGTGTAGTCTTTTGTAGAGGTGTTCATGCCCTTAAAGGAAACGGATCAGGCACATGCTGAGGGGAAAAGCCAGCATGAAGCTGCTTTGAGAAGCAATGTATCAAACAGCAGCATTCCATGAAGAAGTCCAGGATCACAACACATTCTGGATATTGCGGTGTGAACATGTGTTAAAAAGCCAGCACTGGAGCCGCAGTAAACAGAAGTGTGAACACACCCCAAGTACCTCATTCCAGTCCAACTTCTGAGCTTAAGGCATGCTGTTTAGATCAGGCACCAGTGACTATCGACACCTAACTTCAATAGAAACTGCTGGGAACACAGAATGGTGGGGAAAGGAAAGGTGTTATCCTGGTCACAGACTGTGATGGTTGTTAAAGGTGTGCAAAATGGGTTGATAAGATGGTGCAATGTTTGTGTTTCTTGCATCTTGTCCTTAGGGAGATATGCGAAGGGCTCCAGAAACTCTACAAAGATTTCTGCACAACAAGCAAGAGCACACCAAAACACATCTGCCATAGCTGCTAGCAGCTTGATCTGCAAACCAGTTAAACTAGAGTCCTTGGATTAATGCTGCTTGAGTCCCTTTGATCCCAAGGAGATTACAGTTAAGTGTTCCCAGTAACCAGCTTGTTAATGAGGTGGTTTGTTTCACTAAAGCACAGCTACCTTCCCAGTAGAGGCATTTCTAGAATTCTGACCCAGCCATGGGTTTGTTTGTTTTTGCATTTAAAGCAAGATATTGCAAGAGCTGAGCATTAGATCAAGCCAGAATTCCTTACTAAAGGCATTGATTAAGCAATACCAATTTTGCAAGATACCAGATGTGACTTGGTTCTGATTAGTATGCAAACTTGAACTGAAGTATTATAAAGCCTGTGGCTCAATGTGCAGTCCAATCTTAAACAGTACTGAGTTATGTGGGACAGATTATCTCATGTACATAGAATTCTAGCTCTTAATAAAATATGTATGCGAGAAGGTCAGGACACATATGTGAAGAAAGGGCCTGAGCTGCCCACCATTTCCCTAAACAATTGTCATGTGTCTCCTGTTATGCTTTCTCATATGCAAAAAAGAGGCCTATCTGACCCCCCCCCAAAAAAAAACCCTTCAAAAAGCTGGGCTGCTTTTTGCAGCTTGTTCCCCTCAACACCAGAGAATCCCATTCCCTTTTCAGCTTTAGGGTTCCAAGACAATCTTATGAAGCTGACCAGCCCTGCTGTTTCTTTGAGAGTAAACTTGAACAAGGCTTGTTTTTAGGCTACAGTTAGTTCAGACTGTGCTCAGGTTTATTTTGTATTTTGTTTTGACTTTCTGCCTGTTCCCCCTCTTCCTTTATACCTTATAAAGTTTCTTAATTTGACCAATGATGTGCGCATGGTTGCCAGCCTTAGGGTTTTAGAATCTCCATGTGCCTAGATGCTTGGTAGTCAGGCTACTGGGAATTTAGGATTGAATCATAAAATCACAGAATCAGAGTTGGAAAGGACCCCAAGGGTCATCTGGTCCAACCGCCTGCAATGCAGGAATCTCAACTAAAGCATCCATGTCAGATGACCATCCAACCTCTGCTTAAAAACCTCCAAGGAAGGAGAGTCCACCACCTTCTGAGGGAGTCTGTTCCACTGTCAAACAGCTGTTACCATCAGAAAGTTCAGACGAAAGTTCATCAGAAAGCAGGCGAAAACAAGCTTGCTCCATCTTCCATGCGACAGTCCTTCAGATATTTGAAGATGGCTACCATATTTCCTCTCAGTCTCCTCTTTTCCAGGCTAAACATACCCAATTCCCTCAACTCTTCCTCATAAGGCTTGGTTTCCAGATCCTTGATCATCTTGGTCACCCTCCTCTGCACATGTTCCAGCTCGTCAATATCTTTCTTAAATTATGGTTTCCAGAGCTGGACACAGTACTCCAGGCGTGGTCTGCCCAAGGCAAATGGCACTGGATAAAGAAATGGCACCCTGGTTTTGGTTCAGAAATGGACTTCTGAGATAATCAGGGCGGAACCATTTGATGCCGGAGTTTTCCCCACCTTACTTCCCAAGAGATTGGGGGATTACTCTGGCAAAGTTGGAATCCTTAGCTTGCTGCGTCCCCCTCCTTCCTGAGAAAACTCTGCTGCGAGGGAAGAGAAGGGAAAGGGAGACGCTGGGCAGGGAGAAATCAGCAGCTGTATCTTTGCCCAGTTGTCAAAGCCACATACATGGGGACCTTTCTCACAGAAAACTGGCAGCTGAGTTCCAAGCAGTCCATCTCCAGGCGGGTGGAAGAAGAAGAGAGTGGGCGGGTGGGAGGCTTAAGAACGGGGATCATATTCCCAGCAGCTGGGCCTGGCTTTCTCCTCGCCACTTCTCCTCTTCTCACCCCTAATTCCCACACTCCAAACATCATCCCTCCCCCCTCACCTCCATCCTTTCTTTAATCACTCATTGAAAAGTTTATTAGGGAGGGGTTGATTTAAAGGACAGCTTGCCACCCGTCCTTCTCTGCTCCCCTCTATCAAAGCCGTTGAGAAGTCTCTCCTGCCAAGCCCATGTACTGGTCTGTGGAAGTAGGGGAAGAGTGCTTAGCAATTGAGGAAGGCACTGTGTGAATGAATGGGTGGTGCAGGCAACTGGACAGAGTCTGTTCACTGTTCTAGGCACAGAACGGTGCCAGCAAAGTCTAACTGCCAAGTGTGAGAAAGGCCAGTCAGTGACAAAGGAGCCGCTGATGCATCAGTTTCCCCACCTTGCTCTCTCCCAGCGCATCCAGACCTCTAACACCCATCAGAACCCATTCAGTTTAGCGCCCATATTCACATGTTCATGCTACCCTGCCTCCCACCTGCTCTCCTTTGGAGGGAGCGAGAGGTTGCATTGCAAACTGGCACCTGGAAGCATTGATCAGGTGAGCTGCCCCAGGTGCCACATTGTTGAGCCCCTGGCTAAGCACTGTAGTGTCTCTGGCATTTTGCTTTTGTTAAATAAGCAGCTTGTGTGTGGCAGGGACATATTGAAGACCGCAGCACTGTACTCTAGCCCTGTGGTGGGCAGACATCGTGAAGGGTGTTCACTGAGCTGAGCACCTTGGAGGAAATGAAGGATTAAAATATGTTATGTTAAGATGACTGTATTAGCGTGTGATGAATTCTGCAAAGAGCTGCCCGATCCACATTCCCAGCATACCAATTTCGTTGCATTAATTAAGCCTCACTGTTACAGTTTGGAATTTGGAGCCATATTTAGAATATGCAAACACTCACAAGCCTGAGTGATTTGCCCTTTTGTGTTTTAAAATAGAAGCATATTGCATACCAAGCAAAATAATGATCCTGAATGTGTTAACCGGAGCCGGAAACACAACAAAAAGGATGTTAGTCTGTCCACAAAAAAAGAAGAAATGAGAGTCTTTGTAAACTCTGAATCCCATAGGTTTAGGAGTCATGTGTCATTTCCCACCCTGCACCCCCTCACCCCCACGCTCTTCACCTCCAGCTGGGTGCAGAACAGACATCCTAATTCATTACCCTAATTAACTATGATCACGTCTTCTCATTATGCTAAATTATTAATACTTTGGAAAATTAATTATAACTTTCGTTTTTCTCCCACTGGTGCCTTTCTCGTTCTAATGGAAGCCATGAGGTCAGTGATCTCTCATGATCAAGGGACAAAGTAGCATTGCTCTTAACTCTGGAGACCTGTGTGTCTGTGCCAGAATATTGTCGCTGTGGTGGGCAGTTTTTATTGCTTGTTATTTTAATTACATATAACAGGCTGATATAAATTTCTGAATTTCTTAAATATTCTGACAAGGATGCTTCATTGTGATATTTAAGAATTCCCATACATTGGTTTAACCCCCCACCCCACCCCAATCCTCTTCTCTGGATTATTGCACACTTTAGACTGATAATGGAAGGGCTATAGCTCATGTGTTGCAGGCAAAGGGTCCTGTGTACAAACACCAGGGAGCGCTTGGAAACAGTTGTGACTTAAACAAACCCTGGAGAGATGCTGCCGTCTAGTAGACAATACTAAGCAAGGCTACTGGATAGAGCAGCTTCCTACATTCCTGTGAAGGTGCTAGTTTTTGTTGTGTTGCCCTGCGTCAAACTGTGGGCTTAAATCAACTAGTCAACCACGGAGAAGTAACACCTTTAATAAAAGAAGGAAGATATCGTACCACACACAGAGAGCTGGCTCAGCTGTTTTCAGTTTTCAAGTAAGAGCTTATCCTGTTGAGGAATAGGGCTTGCACATCCCATAGGCATCTGGTTGACCATTATGAAAACAGGATGCTGGACTTGATGGGCCACTGGCTTAATCCAGCGGTCTGTCTAAAGTCCCTTTCACATCTCAGCACAATTGTACAATTGCTTCAGTTTTTTAAGTATGAGGGTTGGGGTGGGATTGACCACTCAGCCATGAAAACCACTTTAGTAGCTGTGGGTCTCAGCTTGGCATTGTCCACAGGATTGTGGTGCAAATAAAATGTAATAACCCAGGGGTTCCTCAAACTGTGGTCCACGGGCTGATTTTGATACAGATGGTATGTAGCATATCTATGGATTTGTGGTTTTAAGACAGGAGACAGCACTTCCATCACATTAAACATGTGATTTTTAATTGAATTTGCATTGCTTCTTTTCTTTCTTATATTGTACGCATTACCATTTTAATTCTATGGAATTCAAACTGTAATATGGTAACATGCAACGTATATGAAATGAAATGAACAATAAACCTACAATTAAAAACCATACAGCGTCTAGTACAGTGCACTGCAGTTGCTACAACATGCAGCAAAATCATTATATCATCCGCCAAGACCCTCAGCAATTTTTCAAGTGGTCCGTGGAGGGAAAAAAGTTTGGGAACTGCTGGAGTAACCTCGTGTATGCAATCCTGAGTTCCTAAGAAGAAGAGCAAGATACAAAAGTGACGGAAATAAAACAGAAGCCGGCAGCCAGCCAGTTGAAAACTGAATGTGCATTCTAGTCAATGATGTTTTTGTGCTCATGCCAGAAGGCAGGGAGAAATGAAAAAAGAGTTCTGGGGATGGAGTCTTGTCCAGAGTAGGGGGATACAGCCTTAGTGTCTTAGGCCCAACTCCCTTGCTTGCTTTGTGATTGATCAGGCCCTGCATAAAGTGGGTTTTGTGTTTTGGATTCACTGAGGGAAGTGACAGAGACATTGGAGGGAAGATGTCCCTCTCTGCTTTGATGCTGCCTCAGCATTCCCAAAAAAGCAGTGCACTGTTTAAATATTCAACATCTAGGTTGAAATATTAAACATTCTGACTCTTCTTCCACAGTGGGAGGCTGGACACAGTGAAAGTGGAGACAGGGCATTGCGCCAGACGGTGTCTTCTTGATGGAACTGTCTGGCTCTACTCAAACAGACTTGACACCCAGGGGCTTAGTCCCCGAAATGGAAGGCTGGCTGAGGGGCACGAAAGCAGTTCTAAAGTACTTGGGGGAAGGTTGAATGTTCTCGGCCAAGAAGCAGAAGGCCTATCCTTCTTTACGCTTGGACAAGCACCAATTCAAGTGACCACACGGGAAGGAATATGTGTGTGTGTGTGTGTGTGTGTGTGTGTGTGTGTGAGAGAGAGAGAGAGAGAGAGAGAGCGCAGTTTAAGAGGCATACTATGCCATCCTCTGAGAAACAGCAAAAGATTCAGGGGTACATATTCTGATTTTGCAGTGCAGTGCTGAAAGGGCAATGTCTTAGATTTGGGTCTCAGGTGAAAATTGTTTACATGAGATGCCTGACTCAGATGCTGGTAAAGTCCAGATGTCTGGAGACTTCTTGTGGTTACCAAGTGCCAGGGGGAGGAACACACATTTTACATACTCTTCTTTATTGCTCCAAAACAGCTTCTTTCCTATAGATGTTTCTTGTTTTTCTTTTTAAAAGATCTCGCATAGTCAAGCATTTGTGATCAGCTAGGTGTGTTCCATGTGAGAACTAATATTCAACCAAAGCAAGGCAATGAGAGATTATGCATAGTGAGTCTTCTTATAAGAATTCTCAGATCTCAAATATAGAATAAATATTTATAAATGCACACATATCTAAATACTGTATATAAACCATGTGTCTGAAATAGTACAGGAGAGCAATGCTAAAGCCATTTTTACTCTCCCAGGGACCTCAAATATTCCTCTGCAGTAAGGCAGACAAAGCTTTCCCATTGTCTTTTTGGTTACAAATCCTGTCATAAGGGTGTACAGTGGTACCTCGGGTTACAGACGCTTCAGGTTACAGACTCTGCTAATCTAGAAATACTACCTCTGCATAAGAACTTTGCTTCAGGATGAGAACAGAAATCATGCGGTGGCGGCGTGGCAGCAGCGGGAGGCCCCATTAGCTAAAGTGGTACCTCAGGTTAAGAACAGTTTCAGGTTAAGAACGGACCTCCAGAACGAATTAAGTTCTTAACCTGAGGTACCACTGTATTTGTGTACGAACAGGGTGAGCCTGTGACCTGGATTCAGGAACTAAAGTATTAACCATCACAAAAGAATGGCCAGGCTGCCCAGGTAATGCTACAAGTGACCATTATCAGGTATCCTGACAGACAGGATTTATGCTGTAGACCACCTCCTATGATGTATGATGATTTTAGGGTGGTCTTTGGCTAAGAGACTTGGGTGATATCTAAAGTCTTTAAAGGTTCCTGCACACTTTTGTTCTGGGTCTCTTCCTCCTTGCAAAGAGGGGAGGGAACTTTGCTGTAACAGAAAAAGAAGTATCTGCCTTCCTTTCCACTGGATCCTGCCTCCATCCATTCTTCTCTGGCCAATCATGGACTTAGGGGATTCAGAGTCCCATGGGGACTTGGGCAGCAAAGGCCAAGCCCCAATTTTTACATGAATTTCACATTAATTAATTTCAGGAGATTTGAAGAAATAACCTGCATCGGACAAGCCTGTTTTGCTGAAAAAGGGACTAAGTGTTTAGACTGTCAGACCCAGGTATTAAAAAAGTATCCCCAGTCTCTTGGTTTTGCCTTCTGGCTTTTATTCTGTATTTTCAGGCCTTTCCCCACAGCAATAAAAGATACAAGAAAAGGTGGTCGTGATTTAATCATTTGACTCTGGAGAGTGTTGCTTGATGTTGGATCTGTCAGGGCCTGGTTGATGGAACAGGGCAGCCTAATTTGTGGTTCGCTGAAGAGTCAGTGTGCCTAGATTTTCACCTTTGTAGAACTGCCAAATTCCAGGTTATTATAGGCTGCCTACTTACCTTGTCCTGCTGTCTCCTCCAGATGCTTTTGTTCATATCCTAAAGTCATGATGACATAGTGATTACATGTTCTAGTGAGAGACCAGCAAGCAGCATACCTGTATTCCACCCCAAAGGTGACACATTTTCTGTATATGTAAAACTTGTAATTACACTTTGGTTAAACCATAAGTGAGTTAATCTGTTGCCTTACAGAATAGGTTGTTATTTAAAACTAATATAAAGGTAGGAAGAAAAAAGTTAGGGTGGTGGATGAGTGCACAACATACTTGTCAACTTTTGCAAATCCTAAGGAGATAATAATTAGATTTGTTCCACTCGTGCTGGTTTTTTGTTGCATTGGTCCCCCACCCTTTTCTCTAAGAAGGTCTGGAGAACATGCATGGATTATTCCACTTTCACACAACAACCCTGTAAGGTAGGTTAAGTAAGCTGAGAGATAAGTGACTTGACACTCAATGACTTTTTTGGATGAGTTGGAATTTGAAACTTGGTTTTACCTCACTTTACCCCTGTCCCATGACCCACACTTGTTGACCAGAGCTCAGTTAAGAAACACACACTAAAGGTCTATTGTTCAGCTCTTTTTTTTGTAATCTTAAGTGACTTGTAGCTGACCTTTTGCAAAATTCAGCTTGTTTAACTATCCAGCTTGCTCTATTACCAAACTGTTCTTATTCCCTCAGTGCAAGGACAGTTCAGCGGTGGCCCAAATTGCCTACGGAGACTGTAGTATCTTGTTCTTTGGGAGTTTCAAAGAAAGAGGATCTGCATATACTTGTCAGAGCAGCTGTAGGAATTTTTGCCTAAGAACAGGACATTGAACTAAATGGCCTTTCTTCTCTGTGTTTTCCCCCCCTTGTCTGATTTATGTAATTGTTATGTTACTTTACAGAGTAACAAAAGGAGAAAGACAGGATGCTGTATCAAGGAACTTACAATATAAACACTGGGCATGTGAAGGAATTGGACTCTTCATAAAAATAAAAAATAACAAGTTTGGTTTGAGAATTATGGGGTTAATTTGCTCCCTCTAGCTAACCTTGTCCAGCAGGTAAACACTTCTTTATTTATTTAACAAAAATTATATATCACTTGATTGTAATAAAGCCTCTAAGTGGTTTACAAGAAACATTATCAATAAAAACAGCTAAAATAAGTGCTTAACATACTTAAAGGGATTTTCTCCAAAGCAAGCTGGTATTCTTGCTGCCCCCCCAAAAAAACCCTACTGCCCAGGGCACATACACCCCTTTGCCCCCCTGCCCCTTTAGGCACCGTTTGGATTGCTCTGACTTTGCTTCTCTCCTAACCCTTTGTTGCTTGCTTGCTTGGTCTCCAACTGACCTGGCACTGGAAGTTGCTTTGGTTGCTGCTCACCTTTGGTGTTGCTGCTGACAAATCCTTTGGTTACTCAGCTACCCAGTGAAAACAGGACAATTGATACTGTAAAAAAAGGGAAAAGGTGGCTCAGGGATGTTGCTTGTGGAGATCAAGGGATCAGATTGATCAGATCAATGGATCAGATTGATCCACAGGAACATCTGAAGAACTCAAGCTTGGTGCAGGAAGGAGAAGAAAGGGCTGGGCTTTTAGTAATTGAGAAGCAGTTTAGATAGGTCTGGCTGGGTGTATTTATCTTGATTTATTTCTTTTGCTCTTTGGGGATTATTTTGTGACTATGTAATGATTCAGATATAAGAATAATTCCTCCTCCTCCTCCTTCTTCTTATTCTTCCTCTGTCACAACAACTATCCTCCTTCGCTTTGTGACAGGACCAATGGAGTCCTTTATGTTTTTATGCCTAGCCCCAACCTGGTAGCAGACATGGCGTCCTTAGAAGACAAACCAGACACCCCACAGGTCAAGGACCTTGAGGAGCAAGCAGAGCAATCTGAATCCAACGCTGAGGATCTCCCTGAGGGCCCCTCCATGTTAAAAGTTGATGCTGGAGCTGTCAGAAGAAGTGGAGCCTTCTCCTGGGACCCAAGAGCACTGGTGCCAAAAGCTTCAGGTCCAGACCAAAGAGCAGCAGCATGTGTCTGCAGACCCACAGTCATTGGTTAATTTGTGAGTAAGGGTTCTCCAGAAGTGGCTTAGTCATGCTGGCCACATGACCCGGAAGCTGTACGCCGGCTCCCTCGGCCAATACCGCGAGATGAGCACCGCAACCCCAGAGTCGTCTGCGACTGAACCTAACAGTCAGGAGTACCTTTACCTTTAAGGGGTCTACTCATGAGTAAGCAGTCCTAGGCACTCCTTCACTGACAGCAGCTGAGGTTAGGGTGTGGTGTAGAAGGGCAGAGTATATGAGGCATCCCTCTTCAACTCATAGCTTCAGTCTCCCTGCATTGCTGGGTTGCACCTTGCCTGAACTCCTTGTGATATTGACCTTGGAATGTTGTTCCGTGTTTTGTCTCTGAATCATGCTTGGACTTAGACTGATTATCTTAGTCTGTTTGGACTACATCCACAAACTGTGCCCTCCATTGGTGAGTACTTTTTGGTGAAGGCTTATGTATTTGGTAACTGGGACCCTAGCCCCTGGGGGAAGCCCTTGGCCTGTAACACTTAGTTTAAAATGGTCTCCTAGCTGCCATGCTGCAGGTGCTATCCTCTGGCCATCTTTCCTAGAATGCCTCTCTCTGAGGAAGGACCATCTTGGCCCTTTCTCTGAGCAAGGCTGGGGGGGGGGGGAGAGGAGAACCTTGGGCCCTGCAGAAACCATATGTGGATGGTGGCAGATTCAGCAGCAAGATTAAGTGGACAGGGGAGCAGTTTGACACCTTCATCCCCTGAGGCACTTGTCTCATTCTGCTTCATGATTGTGCTTGTCCTACTTCCCATCCCAGCTTCAGATTGCTGTAAGCTCCTCCCTCGTGGTTAATTTTAATTCTTTTAAAAATGTTTACTGGGATGTTGTGCTGTCCCCTCCTGTACAACTCAAACACAGATGTCTTCTTTTAGCTCTTAAAGGTAGCAAACACTCGCCATATTTAGCTCAATGGCGGAGAACACGTTTTTCATGGGAAGGTCCCACGTTCTATTCTTTCGCCACTCCAAAAGATCAGATAACAGATGCTGTGAAAGGCATCTGTCTGCGATCTTAAAGCATGGATGTGGGATATGTGGTCTCCAGATGTTGCTGGCCTGCAACTTCTATCTTCCCTGACTGTTGGCCATGCTGTGTGGCACTCCTGGGAATTGAAGGCAAACAACATATGGAGGGTCACAGATTAGCCACCTTTGTCCTAGAAAGTCACTGCTAATCGGAGCACATTGTACTGGGCATGTCAGACAAATAGTCTGCCCTAGTCTAAGGCAACTTCCTATGAAGATCATGCCCTCTCCCAACAGCAGTGCTGAATCTTGCGTAGCAGAACTTCTTAAGGAGAAAATACGTGTTTTGATCATCTGGAAGCTCTTCAGAAACCTATATAAGCCTGGTCATAGGTGGTCACAGTGGTTCCCCCTCACTATTGTTGCTGGTGTGGGAGAGGGAGTGGAGTTCTTTATTTACTTATTATGCAGGCCACCCAATAAATATATTCTCTAGGTGGCTCAGAAGAAATAAAATAATGAAAATATTGAAAACAGAATAAATAGCATCACGAAACTTTCTCAACAACACAGAGAGAAAACCAGTCGCATACCAGACATTAAAAGCCCAGATTTCAAGATGGCCAATTATTTGAAAAGGTCTGGGTGAATAAAAAGGTATTTGCCTGGTATAAAAAACACACTTAAAATGGTGCCAGGTGAGGCATTCTAGAGAGACTATTTCACAGGCTGGGTGCCACCCGCAACAATGTCCTCTGTGTAATAAGCACCCACCTTGCTTTACTTAGTGGGGCATGGAGTTGGGCTCCTGAAGAGCATTTTAAGGTTCAGGAAGGTATATGTGGGAGAAAGTGATCTTTTAAGCAACTTGCTTCTAAGCCATTTATAGAAACATAGAAGTAAAGAGCTGGAAAGGATCCCGAGGGTCATCTAGTCCAGCCCCCTGCAAGGCAGGAATCCTGCCCACCCACAGCCGTCCCTGGATGGGCTTGAACCACCAACCTTCTGGTTAACAGCCAGATGCACTGACCCATTGCTATGTTTCAATAAACTGCAGCAATGATTCAGTACTGAAGATCAGGGAAGGCAAAGGAAGGAAAGCCATAATGTCCTGAAAACATTATTGTAAGAAAACGGAAGGAACCTGCCAGATTATTAGAATGTACTGAGGGAAACAGAAGTAATTGATTCACTATTAATTTCATAACTGGCTGGTGGAGATGGCAGGACTGTGTCTGTCCTTCTGTGATGCAAGGGCTGTTTTGTGATGGGGAACGCTAGTTGGAAGGAGCAGGAAAGCATGTCGGCGTAGTGACATGCTTCCAATGGTTGCTGGAATATGCACACTCTGTGCATCTGTCTTCTGTCTTGCAAAAAATACAGAATTTAGCTCCTTTAGAATTTCAGGGGGAGTTGTTGGATTTTTAATTATTATTAAGCAGTCTTCACTTTTGCAGACAGGTTTGTTTTTTGTTTAAGTGTAGGGTATCTGTTTTAAAACTCAGATCTCTGAACAAATTCATGGAGGATAAGGCTGCCAAAGGCTAGTTGCCTTGTTGGCTATGTACTGCCTCCATTGTCAGACCCAGCATGCCTCTGAATGCCAGTGGCTGGGAATCGCTTCTTGCAGGCTTCCCATAGATTGGCCACTATAAGAACAGGACCCTGGCCTAGATAGACCTTTGGTCTAATCCAAGGGATTCTTCTTATGTCCTATTTTTTTTTTTAAAAAAAAATACAACATTACTTGTTTCACTAATCTCCTGCAAGTAGCTCAGCATAATGTTGTTTGATGCAACATTGTCCTCACAGCAGCAATATTTTGTTACTGGGGAAAAGCCATTCCTTTGCATTTAGTACATCCATTTCTCTGTTCTTCTCCCAGTGGCTATAAACAAATAAGAAATTTTGGCTCAGTCTCGCCTGAACCCCCACAGCTTTGTGACCAACATATTTTAAACTTGTATGTGGTGCCAAATCCTAACCTGCCTAATAAATAAAACACTATTTACTTGTACAAATGTCCCATTCTTGGTTCATTTCATCCTGATTTATTTATTTGCACCCTGTGCCTTTGAGTTCCCCAGGCAAAAATTAGATTTTTCTGTGCAAGCTTTTAACCTCAAATAATAGTTTTTCTCACTCTTGCTTTTTTTAAATTCCCATTTCATGTGTACAGTGGTACCTCAGGTTAAGGACTTAATTCGTTCTGGAGGTCCGTACTTAACCTGAAACTGTTCTTAACCTGAAGCACCACTTTAGCTAATGGGGCCTCCTGCTGCTGCCGTGCCGCCAGAGCCCGATTTCTGTTCTCATTCTGAAGCAAAGTTCTTAACCTGAAGCGTATGTAACCTGAGGTACCACTGTGTGTTGAATTTTATGCACACAAAGCCCTTTTTGTAACCTGAAATGCTCCCATAATAAAAAACCCTCAAAGAGCAAACTTGCTGACTCATGGGGCTGCTTGTTTTGGTTGCTTCGCTAGCTGACAGGCGTATGCCAGATTTCCAACATAATCAGTTTGGGAGTTGGACCAAATACTCTCCTGGTGTCTCTTAATTGTTTTTACTGATTATATCTGACGTCACTTGACCACTGTCTCAAATGTTCATTCTGTCTGGACACCCGGGAGGAGACGATTGTCGTAGCATCAGTTCCTAAGTCTGTGTCTGAATGGTAGCAAATAATGGAAAATGATTGCCTGTGGATCTTTTTGCTCTCGGCAATTCTGTATGCCTGGATTTGATATACTTCAGAGCTATTTTATTTGCTTGCGTTTATTGTACTCCCTTCTTCTTAAATCACAATAAACTAAAACAGATTGACTACAGCAAAACCCTTTTCTATTTTCTTTCCTGGGGGAACTTCCCTGAACAGCATAATGTGTATTTTCATTTTGGCAAAGCAAAAACAACCCCCCCGCCCCAAATTGTCGAGAAAAAAAATGTTCTAATCCTCTGAATAAGTAAAGTATCTCTTTCTTCATGGTTTTGAGAAGTTTAAAGTCTTCAGAATAATAATAATAAATCCTGATACATTAAGAAGTTAAAAGTTTTGTGGTGACAGGATTGGTCTGAGGAAAAAAATGTAAGGAGTATTTTATTTAAAATGTAACTACTTTCTGCATATAGCTTTGCTATAACTTGCTGATGAAATTTTGGAATGCATTTTTTTTAATCCACATGTTCTTTCAGCAAACAACATTTGCAGTATGTTCTCCAATTTCAAATCTGTGTGGTTTTCATTATCACACAAAGATCATTATCTCCAGCATGAAAATTGTACTTTTCATTGGCAGCTCTCCATGGGCCTGTATATACAACCAAATAACACGGGTGTAACTGAATATACTGGTGTTACTTGGTCATGCCTGATTGTCGCTGTTATTAGTGGCATACCATGCTTTCATCGTACCTCCAGTATTAACTGCGACTGAGTAGGAGACATTAATTGCGTTGATGGCGATAGATCCTTGGTGTGCTGAGCTCTACTTTGATCATGGCCACCAGGGCCTGTTCAAGACATTTTGCTGCTTGAGGTGAAGGACAAGATGCACAGAAGCCAACTGGACTGGTAGTTGAATCTTTTTCCAATGTTGGTGAAAGGACAGGGTCTCGCTTCACAAACGGCAAGCACCTAAAAAGGTAGCCATGTTGGTTCCTAAGAAAGAACTCTAAAATCCACAATTGAGCAATACTTTTACAGTGGTACCTCAGGTTAAGAACTTAATTCGTTCTGGAGGTCCGTTCTTAACATGAAACTGTTCTTAACCTGAGGTACCACTTCAGCTAATGGGGCCTCCCGCTGCCACCGCACGATTTCTGTTCTCATCCTGAAGCAAAGTTCTTAACCCAAGGTACTATTTCTGGGTTAGTGGAGTCTGGAACCTGAAGCGTCTGTAACCCGAGGTACCACTGTATTGGGATCAACCAGAATGCCACAAAGGGAGGGGGCGAACTTTTGAGTTCCCTGGAACTAGTAATTATGCAAGATGTTTCACGAAACAGAAGGTGAAGGAGGCAAAGACAAATAAAACATAAGAAGTACAGAAATTTGGCCATTGTTGTAACCATAAGATCAGCTTGCATGTTCATTGGAGACAGGACACCCTCTACCCTCCCCCGATATGGGTTACACACCTAGAGTTGTAGCCAGTGTTGGTTTGTGAGCAATTTCAGTTGGTCCATTAATTTCAGTGGGTATCCTTTGACTAGGACTAAGTTAGATACCATTCATTGGATTCTAGGATGAGGAAGTCCCAAACTTCAAATGAACTTTAAGCCTAATTTTTGTACTTTTTGCATTTTGTTTACTCCTTGTTCTTCTCGCCTCCTGTTTTGTGTAACATCTTGTCTGTTGAAGACTTCTGAAGCACTCAAAAGCTGGCCATCTTTTTGTGACATCTTGTTGAGTCTCAATAAAGAATGTTGGAGTTGAGCCTACAAAATATGCATGTATCCCAACCCCTCCTTGCAATTTTAAATTCTTAAAATCAGTTACCTGGAAGAGGAATGGCATTCCCTGCCCACCTACCTTGTGTGTATATACTAGGCATAGGCAAACTCAACCCTCAAGGTGATTTGGGACTACAACTCCCATCATCCCTAGCTAACAGGACCAGCGGTCAGGGATGATGGGAGTTGTAGTCCCAAAACATCTGCAGGGCCGAGTTTGCCTATGCCTGGTATATATAGACAAACAAATCCTTTTGTTTAAAGTATTATCTTCTTGTGGTTAACCCTATAACCACCACACTCTACATTATCTATCTCTGTATAAGCATTACTACCAGCACACATTTCTGGAGGAGAGGTTGTAGCTTGATGGTAGGGTGCATGCCACCCATACAGAACATCTCAGTTTCAATCCCTGGCATCTTCTGGGAAAGGTCTCAGAAAAGCAGTAGGGACACTAACCATGCACAGGGACTAGTGGTCAGAGCAGATGGAGGTGGACAGGGAAAGTGTGTGTGATCTTCCACCCTGGCTGCATGTGACATAGACATGGTTTCAGCTCCATATGTTTGCTTGTTAATGTGTAGTCTGTGCTTAATGCTCACTGACTTTTCAAAGAAAATCTTCAGCAGTCTCCCTGTAGAGAGAATCGGCAGCAATTGTGTGTGTGTGTGTGTGTGTTTGCTTACATAACTAAGAGCCTGATCCTAAAACACATTCCTTCAGAAAACAATTGCAAAATGCTGCATCATGCAAGGGCACACACACACACACACGAAGCCTTGCAACAGCAGGGCTGTTATGCCAGGGGCTCAAGGCAGTTATGCAAATCTTGGAGCATCAGTTAATGGCAAAACCGACTCTTTTTTCTTTAACGTTTCATAAGCTACTAATCAAGGGGTTTTTTTTATCTTTAATGTTTCATGCGCAAAGTGTCTCCCAAATGCTGTGTGATTTATGTAAGGAATGAAATGCAGTGAGAGCAGAGCAAGTCGACGCTTGGCTAATTATCTGAGCTAAAAATGATCTGAGCGAAAAGAAAAAATCGATAACATGGTTATGGAAACTACTATGTGTGTATAATTGCATGGAGAGGGGAACTTTTGACGTATTTGGGTGGAGACATTTCTTGGAGTGGGTGGACAGATGCTGCTTGGTGTAAAAAAGAATAATGCTTTTAGTACGTTGCAGCCTGATGCTAAAAAAAGACCACACACATGCACACAAAACAAAACACTCCTAGCTTCGTCAGCAAAACAGGAAGAGGGTTGTCCATGTGCTGTACAAAACATCTCCCCGACTCCATTATTCCAGTGCAGCCTCTGGGATCCTCTGTTTAGGTGCTTGTTGCATGAATACGAAGGTACATCAGGGTTCTCACCCCCTCTGCCAGCGTATTCTGGCCCTAGGAACTCAGGAGGAGGTCCCACCTTGATGTAGAAATTGCTCAGAACCTTGTATCCCTCCCATCCTATTATTCTGTGCTTCTATAGTTTGGTAATAGGGGTCTGTGCTCTACTCCCTGCTTTTTTGGGGTTGGAGGGGCTCCAGGCATCTTCTGCAAAAGGTGAACAAATGCATTATTCACTGGAGATACATGGTGGTTAAAAGGAATGTAATGGAGTGGAAAAACAGGCTTCTTCTGCTCCCTGCCCTCAAAAGCACAGGAAGTTAACTCCTGTCTCGCAGGCAACATAGGAAAAGTCACTTGCCTTGAGATGCCTGCATAGCTAATGTCAAATAATGCATGCTCTGTGACAACCCTACGTGTTAATTCCATTGGAAATTATGGTTAATGAATTACACACAGTCTTTTTATGCCAGCATTTCTTTTTCAAGGAACTTAATTTAGTTTGATCACTCATGTGTCTCCTGCTTTGCAGAGGTTTGTTTACCTGCTTGTCCCAGCATGAATTTGCCAGATGTCCCTTCTTTTTCTAATATGTTACAGTGTGATAGTCGCCTTTTTCAGGTTGTAGTAGTTTGGCAAAACTCTAAAGAACATCATCAACAACTCTAGAGTTTCTCTTGTGCCATTCCCCACTCCCTTCAAGCGCTTGCTTTACTTAAATCTTTTTTTATATTGCTTTACTTGTTGCTTTTCTGCGCTGTCCAATAGCAGAAATTCTCTGGGCAGTATGCAATGCAAATGATTAAAGCCATAAAATTACACACACACACACACACACACACACACACACACACACACTAAACAGCAAGTGATAAAACCTGTTCCCATAATGCTATCAAAGGAAGCACAATCTTCCTACCACAAAAGCAAAGGGGCAAACAGAGAAATATTAGCAGTGGCATTTTATGCTATGACTCTATTGAAATGCCTCCGTCCCTTGGCCTTTTTTAGTACATAACGCCCACCTTGCTCCTGCAATCTTTACCAGAATACACAGTTGCTCAGTTTCACTTTGGTCCAGGGTGGCACTCCAAGTCACATGCACACCATACATGTTCCCCCTCCAAAGAATTCTATGAACTGCAGTTTGTTAAGGGTGCTGGGAATTGTAGCTCTGTGAGTGGAAAACTACAGTCCCCATGGTTCTTTGGGCGAAAGCTATGTGCTTTGAATGTATGGCTTGCACTGTGAGAACAGAAGAGAATAAAACAGAGCATATGCAATGCTTCAATAAACGTGATCTTCCTCATAATGAAAAATATTGAATGAGCTCCAGTGTATAAAATGTGTGAAGTGCACAGGAGTAAAAAAAAATATGTAGGTAACTAACTCTCTTGACCCACTTGAAGAAAACAACCCCAAAAGTTACCATATGGTAATACCCTTATGGGGAGGAGTAACTAGAGCAGAGCAAAGTAGTGAGCAAGCTTTGGGGTTCTTCAGAGCTCTGGATGTTGAGCAAAACAAGGGGGAGGGAAGGAAATGAAGACAAAATGTTGGAGCCTCGAAGTCCACAATTTGGGTCTTAAAATGGAGTGCAGGAGGTGTTGGAAAAATTATACACTCCTCATACAACAGATTTCAGGTTGCACCTTAAAAGTTACTGTGACCAAAAAAACCACCCACAATGACAGTCCCTCCCTCCGCAAGTAGGGAGATCAGTTATTATTGCTTCTGTGTCCCAGCAGCCCTTGCTGCAACCTGAAATCTGTTCTGCACCTACAGAGTCTAATCTAATTAAGTCTGCCTAATGCCTCCTGCACTCCAATTTAAGGCTCTTACAAACTACAGACTAGTATTTCTCGCCATCCACCCCCAACCTCCCGCTGCTGCCTTATGTTTTGCTTAACACCCAGACTGAAGAAGAGCCCTGGAGACCTCGAAAGCTTGCTTAATTGTTGCTTTGGAATATTTTAGTTGGTCCAGAAATAAAGATATGTCTCTGACGGCACGTGATGCAGAAGGAAGGTGGTTGTTTCTGAGTAGCCTTTTTAACGAGGCGCATCTAACCTCGTTTGCTTTTATTGACGTGCGCGCAGCCCGGGAATTACAGTATACAGTATAGTGAGGTCAGGTGGTCAGCTTTTTGGCTCTTCCCTTGTAATCTCAGAAGTTAAAAGGGCATAATAGAGAAACGTGGTATGGGAAACAACGACACAACACCCATCCCGGAAACAAGACCAGAAAAAGTGCTCCAGACATCATGATAACTTTAAAAAGTTGAAGGGAGGGCAAGAGGCATAGCTTTGGCCAAGCCAAGCCGGCATCGCCCGCTGTCTCTCTTAAAAACCCCACAGTTTTAGGGCTGGGACTTTGCCCTCGACCCTAAAGGCGCCCTTCCTTACCCCTCCCCGGATTGATCGTCTGGGACCAGACACTGTCCGCCCGTCGGGACTCTCCCGAGCGCGGCCCCTTCCCACTGCCCGTTAGCTCGGCCGTCCGTCCTTCTAGGGGGGGCTTTAGGGGGGTGGCGGCCGGGCGGAGCCTGGCGTTGGGGCCGGGCATGGACTGGCCGGGGGGCGAGGGGAGCTGGAGGCTGCGGCGGGCTGTCCTAGAGCTCGTCTGGACGAGGGGGAGAGAGCTGGCTGGCTGTGTGGACCCGAGATGCTGTGTGGCGGTCAGTGGAGGAAAACGCTTTAAAACTGAGGGAGCGATGAATTAAAACGCGGGGGGGCGGGGGGGGGCGTTGTAGGGCAAATGTGGGGATACAGGGGAGAGATCCTCCAGGCGCTTAAGGCAAGTCTCTGCGGAGGGCTAAATGCCCTCGACATGTTTTTAAACTAAGCTTAAAATAAATACGCTGCTGTGTTGATGGTTTGTATGTGTGGGGCAGAAGAGTTGGAGTGTAATATTTTTAGGGGGCTGAGAATCTGTGTAAGGAGTGTGGGGTATCATGTATGGGGGAAATGTGCTACGAGGCTGGTGGTTCTGTGGGCTATGTAGCCACTGTCCAGAAGTGGAATATGGGCAGTGGGTTGTTGGAGGGTCTTTGGAGAGACAGATCTTGGGTGGAGTGGAGCAAGGGACTGGGAGATCCGGTGGTACTGAGGTGTTGTGCTGGGTCAAAGTGTGGGGCAGTGGCTGAAAAGGCAAAAGTGACTCTTCCAGGGACGGAAGGAGCTGATGCTGAGGGGCAAGGGCAGGGGAGCCTACGGCCCTCCAGATGTTGTTGTGCAGGACTCCGACTCATTGATCCTGGACAGCGTAGTCAATGATCAGGAATGATGGGAGTCATAGTCCCAGCAACAACTGGAAGGGTACAGGCTCCCCACTCCTGGACTGGTAGGAGACCAGCATTTGTGGAAGAGGGGTTTTGATTACCGAAGGGGGATTGGTTTGTTTGATTGATTTTAAAAGCTTATATCCTGCCTTTTCCCAGATAATGGATCCAGGGTTCTGGGGTTTCAAGGGGTTTGGCTGAGATGGGCTCTGGGTCTGAGAGGGTGGCTCTCTGTAGCAGTCTCTGGCATGCTGAGGGAGGGACTGTTTCAACAGTGTACATTCCAGGCTCAGGAGTCGGCAGGGACCGGAGAGGTTTCGGTGGCTTTCTTTCCCTGTCTCACCTCCAGTGCAAACTTTCCCCGAAGCTTCTTTCCGATATATGCAGTGCCCAGCTTGGCCTGGCAGCCTTCCTTTTCCCTTTCGGAATATAGAGTTTCCATTTCACAGCCACATGGGGAAAGCTGGCTCCATCGCAATCAGATATATTGAAAACTGTGGCTAGAAGTATTCGCACGCCTTCCCTCCCTCCTCCCATCCCTGGCCACATCTACCCTTGGACATTCTAGCTTATTTGGACAGGAGCAGAGACTTTGGTATCTGGAGTGACAACTGCCTGTTAGCCCCTCCCTCCCTGGGCAAACTCTCGTCTCCTGTTTGGTATTAGCTTTCAGCCCAGGATGCAGAGCAGATGGTTTAAGCCTAAGTACTCCTGCCTAGCTGGTTTGGATGGTTATTTCAGGGGTGTGCTGCAGGCTGTGCCTCTTGGGCATTCCCTAGGTTATAGCTAAATTTGCCCGAATTGCTTCACCTTATGTACTCTCTGCACAGTGGTGTTTGTGCCCATTGGAGGTGCTAGGGCAGAAAGCAGGGAGCCCAACAGCTGATGGAGCCAGAGTCAATGAGATTCAGAGCCAACTAATTCGAGTTTTTCCCCCTTCTTTCTCGCCCTCCTTACAAGGCATAGGTGCAAACTCCCTGGGGCCCCAAAATTCCCCATGAAGGGGCCAGGCATCCACAAATTTTGGTGCCAGGGCTGTGCACGCTGCATGGCACCCACAGCCCTGGGTACCCACGGTCGTGGGGCCAAGTTGGCACTCCTGTTACAAGGCCAACACTGAGACATAAGGTGGAAGAAGCTGACAGGCAACGCCAGCTAGTAGCGGTTCTCAACCTGTGGGTCCCCAGATGTTGTTGGACTACAACTCCCATCATCCCTGAGCTCTGGCCTTGCTAGCTAGGGGTGATGGGAGTTGTAGTTCAACAACATCTGGGGACCCACAGGATGAGAAAGGCTGGAAGGCAAGGCTGGGTGGGCTGCCTGGCTGATGTCAGATTCATAGCTGTCAACTTTCAGATTTGAAAATAAGGGATCAGCAGCCTCACCTGTCCCGGGGACAGTCTACGGGATATCTAACAATCCGGGATAGCAGCGGGAAGCGGCGCTGGAATAAGGGAATTCCCCGCAAAAAAAGGGAAGGTTGACAGCTATGGTCAGATTGAGGTTGGTGGGGCAGTGTTCCAGCCACTAAAATGGGCCAGCCATCGCTGAAACTCCACTGAACAACTTGCCGCAGGTAACTAAGAATTACTTGCAGGCAAATGAGTGGGGTGGTGGATGAGGGGTGGATCCTTCGCCTCCCTCCACCACTTGAGTTCTGTGCTAACCACAGAGGAAGGAAAGCCCCTTCCTCCCTGAGAAGCATGCAAACCAAGCAGGCTGGTGGAGAAGAGGCGGATATGGAAAATAATCTGTTCTTCCTTTGCCCGTTCACTCAGCCTACTCAGCCACTCAGCCTACTTGAAGAGTCTAAGGAACCTGTATCTGCTGGTAACTTTTGTGGGCTTATTTCCAAGGCTGTGCTATATCTTTGACCCCCAGATTCCCCTTCTGTCAAATTGAGCTAGATTTTTTCCTCACTAAATTCGTTATAATTTCTGCGCTCTAACAGAAAGGGTTCCCATGTACCCTTACTCAGCATTAAGTTTCGCTGAGTTTGGTGGGTGTTTACTTATTCCAAGGTCAGTGTGCAAAGGACTGCAACCTTATAGTTGGGGCTGATGAGAGTTGGAGACAACAACATCTGGAGGGTCGTTATGTTCCCCACCTCTGTCCTAGCCCATCAGCATTAGCTCAGCCCAATCCCTTAGCTTTGCATGGAACTGCTAGACCCCCTAGTGCGACTGTTTCCGTATGCATCATATTCTACATCTCCCAACATAGGAATGACACTTTACAAATCAAAGGAAGAAACTCTTATGTGAGTTCCTCATGGGTAGAGAACATATTTAGCTTTGCTCTGACCCTTTTGGAAGAGTTTTCTCTTCTAATGTAGAACTGATGGCAAGTTTTTTTTAAAAAGCAAAAAACAAAATTGAAAAGCCACTATGTTTTCTTTGGTGGCGTTTCTTTTGCCTGCAATGATCATTTGAATTGGGGGCAGCAGTGGGATAAATGTGTCCCTCTCCTCTCTTCTGAACATAACATGACCTTATCCGTTTCACAACCTTAGGGAAAAAGAGATTGGTAAAATGGTACTTTTTTTACTGGGTCACATTTGTTAATAAGCATATGCAAGGATTTTGATGGTCACGTGACATTGTTCTTCAGAGCTTGTGGATTGGACCACGTAGCAGCAGGCTGACAGCAGCTGCTCCATGAGTAGTTAGTTGAGCGCTACATAATGAGCCGGTCTCTGCTTTGTGTTTGGAGCATGAAAGGGTCTGTAACATGATGCTCCGACTTCTAAGGCTGGAGAATGGGGTGGGAAGGAGGGAGGAAGGGAAGAGAGTATTGGGGGCTTGTAAGCTGTGTGTGATTTACTCATTGTGCCCGCTGGAAAGAGAAAAATCTCATGGGCCTTCCTCCTGGCACGAATCCAGGAGTTTTTGCGCTCTCCTGTGCCAGGCGCAGGAAAGAAGAGAGGCTGTACAAATTGCTGCTTTCTAGTCCTGATCCTAAATTTGGTGGCTCCGTGTGCATTTGCCTTAAGTTGCTCTAGGTTATGTCTTGGAGCTGGTAAAGACTACAAGAAATGAACTGCACAGAAACAGAGGAACGTGATATGCACTGCACATGTGGAAACATGCACACACGAACCTAGTTGTTAGCATGAAAGAAATGTGAAGCGACAGGCGTCCCTCCCCTCCTGTTCTCTGATTAGCTGGTAAGACTGTTTGGCTGTGACGCTGGCCAGGATTTTTTTGGGGAGTTGGAATGATAGTGAGAAGGGCAGGCAGCAGGAATCAACTTGAAACCGCTAGTGGTTTTACTCTTTCAGGATGTGTGAGCCAGCCTCATCTGCCATTTTCCTACATGGACAAGCTTCTCTGGTGGTTTGTCCTTTGGTTCGGAAGTCTGGCTGTTGTTGACCGGGTTTGCGTTTGTTCGGTATGTCTTTCTGCCTTTCTGCCTGCCAAGGCATATGGTGTGGGATACAGAGCAGGGGAGGTGGTGCTGTGCAGCTCACTTTTCTCTGGCACAGTTTGAAACATAATGTTGCCTAGAGGGAAGAGTGTCCCTGCCCTGATCTTCGAACGATAAATTTGAGGAGGAAAAAAAAACAAACTCCATTCAGCCGCTGTTAAATTAATTGCTTGCGTTTGTAACTTGGACACCAAAGCTGGCTGTTTGGGTGGAGAACTCCACTGTGGAGCAGAGGAATTTAGAGCGAAAATCACTGTAATGAGGGAGTCCTCCAGCAATGAATTGCAGAATAGAAAAGTAGAGAAGTACGAACTTTCCCTGTGGCTCTTGAGTTGTGCATGTAGAGAGGGTCTCGGCTGATTTTAGCAAGGGGCGATCTGTATTTTCCTCTTACACCATCTACTGTGTATTTATCCTTCAGTGTTCCTTAATTTTGCATTTGCACAAGGAATCCAGAGCAATATGGAGAGTGGGGACTGAGAACTTCTGAGAACCTACCCTATAGCCTGGTTGGTTGTTGTGACTGAAACTCATCATGTGCTACACATGCCAGAAACTGCACTGATTTTTCATTTAATCTACTGGCCTCACAATTTTTCTGTTGTTTCAGGAGGAAGTTGATGACAGGAGAGCAGAGCTCACTTTCAAGACCTGAGGCAGGTAAGGTACACGAAGAGAGAGTTCCCTCAGATACCACAGCAAAATTTGCAGAATTACTGTCATTTGGCTTCTGTGTTCCTAGGATGTGCTGGAGGTTGAAATGATGTGCTGTTCTTTATATGATTCACTTAAGGCCACTCTTCTTCTCCCCATAATGCAAGCTAGTTTAGTTTAATGTGCAGTCTTTTGCTTACTCTGGTACATCTATGAATATATCAAAGTGCAGCAGATTTGGTTGGCAAGGAATGGCCAAGGAATCACATTCTGAACAGCCTCCTTTTTTTGTCTTTCTCATTTATCTTCCCACCCCCTTCTTTGGACCCCTTGCATTCTTTGAGGGACTGACACTTGGAAAGGGGATGGTTTGTGCTTATGATAGCTTTTGGAGAATTTGCAACTCCCCCTCCCCCCCAAACCCCCCACACCAAATGACTTAGATATTTAAAACAACCATCTCTCAGGATATTGCTCACCAATACCCTCTTTAGGAAACTGACCCTGTGTGTATTTGGAAACTTGGACCTTATTTTGGCTTAGTCTTGCATATAGAATGAAAAGATTTACTAGCTTACTAAATAAAATTGGGTAGTCCATGTTTTCATTGTGCATCCACACGGCACTCAATGCGCCCCATTCTTGTCACTGCACCTGGTTGCTATGCTACTGCAATCCTAAGGCCTTTCCCTTTAATTTCTGTTCTCCTCTGGTGCCAACAGAGGATAGCTTAGCCTGCCCACTTAACTTGGCAAAACTTTTCTGACACTGGTTGTCTTTGTGGCAAGAGAGAGAAAAGAACTGGGTTGCCTGCTTTGACTTCCAGAGGGGGAGTTAATTATGTAGCAAGTTACAAAAGGGCCCTCCCCACCCTTTCCCCTTTTTGTGAAGGCTACTAAGAGACTGACACAAAAGCACTCATTAAACCAGATGACCTTCCAATCTTGGGCTTGCAGTTCCTGCTCAAGGCAGCTCGGAGCAGTGATGATAAATGCAGTGAAATTGACATTAATCTGTATTCGGAGCATTTGCAGATACGGACAGCCTTGGGGCTGTCTTTGCCATGTGTTATTGCCCTGAGTAGTAATAGTATTATAATTTATCTGTGCATGAAAGGCTTGTCACATGTCTTGAGCTCAACAAGGGCAGATCTAATGCCTCCTCAGATGGGAGGTGGACAGAAAGAGGCATCAGGGTCTTAGGAAATGGCCATGTTTATAGTAGATTTTTTGTGTGTTCTTTAGATCTTTCACATGACAGTCAGACCCAGGCCGCTTGGCCTCATGGAAACTCATTCTCTGTTGTGTCGTCCCACAAAACTGTGGTGCATGTATGGACCGATGGACATCCTCCCTCATCAAATAGCTGAGAAATTTGTTATTAGTCACTTTTGTGCTTTTCATCACTTAAGTGCTTAATTTCCAAAATTGGAGATGCTAGAACTCATACATCCTTGAAACACAATAGTCTTTGCTCTGGAAACTCTTTACATGGGTCCATAGCTGGTTGCAGTTTCTCCATCTGAAGGGGAAGGAGCTTGGAACCTGCAGAAAGGCACTCCCTTTATTGTTACTACTTCACACATTTGAGGATTGAGCTCTGATTTTGAAACAAGTTCTGGGGCTTTCCTTTTGCATCCCTTTGGGTGTGATTACCGAAAGTACTTACAAAGTTCTTTGCTTGCTTTGTTTAATCTCTATATTCTGAAACGCAAAATTAACACCTGCAGCTTGGTGAGACCTCGCCTCTCTTCACAAGATTGCAGCTGCCCTCTGATTTCGAATGAAGCCTGCAAACATTTCTCTGATAAAAACAGGGACATCCTATTCAATAATAATAATAATAATAATAATAATAATAATAATAATAATTTAAACCCCGCATATCTGACTGGGTTGCCCAAGCCACTCTGGGTGGCTTCCAACATATACTGTATATACTCAAGTATAAGCCGACCTTTTCAGCACATTTTTAATGCTGAAAAAGCCCCCCTCGGCTTATGCTCGAGTGAGGGTCCTTTTGGGCTGCTCCTTCCTCTTCCTCCGCCTTTGCCGCTGTTGGCGGCAGAGGAGGAAGAAGGAGCAGCCCCAAAGCAGCCCTTTTGGGCTGCTTGTTCTTCCTCCACCGCTGCCGCTGTCACCAGCCTCTGCCTCTCAGCAGCACCCTAGGGAGACAGGGGGGCGGGAGAGGCTGGGGGGGAGAGAGAAGCGCCCTCTGCGCGCACACACACACACACACACACACACACTCCGGCCCACCAGGAGGTTTGTGGTGTGGTAAACCGGCTTATACTCGAGTCAATAAGTTTTCCCAGATTTTTGTGGTAAAATTAGGTGCATTTAAAAACTTCCCCATGCAGGGCTGCCTTCAGATGTCTTCCAAAGGTTGTATAGTTACTTATGTCTTTGGCACGTGGGTTGCATAACTCCATACCCTCCAACATTTCACCAATGAAAACAGGGACATCCTAAGGAAAAGTGGAGCATTCTGGGATCAAATCAGAAAGTGGAACGGCTTCTGTAAATCCAGGACTATCTCTGGAAAATAGGGACACTTGGAGGGTCTGGCAAACCTGTGGCCCTCCATTTGATGTTATACTACAGTTTCCATCATCCCTACCCATTGGCCATATTGGGTGGGGCTAATGGGAATTGGAGTCCAGCAGCAGCTGAAGGGCCACATGCTCGCCACACTAATGTAAAGCTGCTGGGTTCCATCTGGCAATCATATTATTCAGGACTGGAAAATGACTGAAAGAATATGCAGGATATAATGTGCATGGAAGCAAGTCTCATATTTACATGGAAGTAAGTCTGATTTCAGGAGGATTCACTTGTGAGTAGGTGTGCAAGAGGTTACAGCCCCATTAAATACAGCAGGATTTACTTTTGAATAAACATGCATAAGAAGAACATCAACAACATCTTATTTATATGTTGTGCACCTGACCGGGTTGCCCCAGCCACTCTGGGCAGCTTCCAACAACTTAAAGCATCAGCAAATTAAAACATCAACGGCATGAATTTGGATGCGCCCAGGAAAGTGCTGTATGGCATTTCATTTACAAGTATGGATCTTTGTACTAGGAAGAAAGTCTCAAATGAGTTCATTGAGTCTCACTCCAAACTAGTCAGATTGCCTAGTACTGCCGTCCAGTGGTGGAAGAACCTTCTCCGGCACCTGGGGTGGGGCATCCCATATGGAGTGTGCATGTGCAATGACCGTACGGGCTGCCACACATGCGCACGGGCTGCTGCTCGCGTGTGTGGCATATATGGGCAGCCGATCGTGCACGGAGGCGTACAGGCTACTGTGCGAGCAGCATCCCGTACGGACCACGCATGTATGGCATCCAGTACGGACTGCGCATGCGTGGCAGCCCATATGGACTGTGTGCGCCCTCAGCCGCTCTACAGCTGGGGGGAGGCAGGGGCCACCCACTCTACCCCCCACTTCGTACGCTCCTGCTTTCGTCTTCATTTCCGTTTTGCCATTTCACCTTATTTATACCAATCTCAGGGTTTCACATATGCTTCCTCGTCCTGGAACTGCAAGCTTGGGTTGCAGATTTTGTTTTCTTAATGAATACTGAATTTGTACAGTTTCACTTATTTATGAATTTATGAATTATGAAGTAGCCAGGTTTGTTGTTGTTGTTGTTTAGTCATTTAGTCGTATCCGACTCTTCGTGACCCCATGGACCAGAACACGCCAGGCACTCCTGTCTTCCACTGCCTCCCGCAGTTTGGTCAAACTCATGTTCATAGCTTCAAGAACACTGTCCAACCATCTCATCCTCTGTCGTCCCCTTCTCCTTGTGCTCTCAATCTTTCCCAGCATCAGGGTCTTTTAGCTTCTGCTAAAAGACACCACCAGAAGAATTGTGTTTGATATCTAGATAAATGGGTGTACAACTGAAATGGCAATAGGGAGAAAGTTTGTACCTTGTTACTGATAATTTTGCTTATAAAATGACTCTGAACCTGAGTACTAAAGACCTCCCAATCATAAAATTTGATGTGGAATAAAAGAGCTTCTTGCACAATTTTCAGTAGTGGATCATGCAAATTTTTTCAGTCACAATGCACTTTTATAGAGGGGGTGAATGAAGGGGAAAGGTCATAGGTCAGTGGTAGCAAGCATGCACTTTTCATGCAAAAGGTTCCAAGGTTCAGTCCCTGACGTCAGTGTAGACAATGCTGAACCAGATGAACTAATGGTCTGACTCAGTGTAAAGCAGCTCTCTGTGTTCCTTTGTTTCATGCAAGGCAGGAACAGCCATAATTTCTTTTGATAGTTGTTCTAAATGGCTAAGATTCCAAGCTGCGGGGAGGAATTTTTGGTAGAAATGAAAGGTGATGTGAAATGGGATTTTCCCTTTCCTTTGAGTGCTGCATTCCCGTTTACATGGCAGCTCAAGTGCTCATCAATACTGCGTCCGAAAATGGTGCAAATTAGGGGCAGGGAACTTTTTCCAGCCCCAAAGCCACTTTCTCTTCTGGGCAGCCTCCTGGTGGCCTCGTGTCACTGGTGAGAAGGGCCAGGAGCAAAAAATGGGCAGAGCAACAAATGCCAGTTTAACTTTTGTTCAGTAGTCCTGAACACACAGGCACACATTTTTCTGTTCTGCATCCAGGCAAGCAAGTGATGCATTCTGGCCCTTGCCTGGGGTTCGCTACCCCTGGTGTAAATAAATGAGAGTGAGAATCATTTCAGTTTCCTTCACTTTCTGATTGATTCCTCCTGCCTTCCTTGGGCCAAGAGGCCTCAAATAAAGGCAGAGTTGATTATGGTAGCAATATGTACTTACATGAGTCCACAAACACAGCATGATCGGGCTGTTTGACTCAAAGGGAGTACTCACTAATGTTCATGCGATTGTGTTACAAATTTATAATCTATAGTAAAAACACAGCAAGGCAGAATACAATATTGTATATAATAATGAAATCATCAAAAATATCCATAATTAAAACACCCATAAAACATCAATAAATACTGGTTGGTTAAAAGGAGAGGGGAGGGGGATTCATGTTGTTAGAAGCCTGCCTAAACAAAAAAGTTTTCAAAAAGTGTCTGAAGAGAGAGATGGTTCCTGCCCAACTTCTATTGCCAGGGAGTTCCACAGGGCAGTGCATGCCACACTAGGATTCAAGTAAAAGGCTCGAATCCTAGTGAAGGCCAACTGAACCTCAAGGATATGGGGAACCACCAGAAGTGCCCCGTTAGATGATCTCAGTGATCGCGGTGGAGCAAAAGGAATTTGATAGTTCTTAAGGTGCTTTAGTGACTTGGAAGAGTTATCGCTTGGTGTAAGTCATTTAGGATACCAATTTGTAACCCTATTTTGAATGGAGATCTTGCACTACTATAGTTTTATGGATTTGCTGGAGGTGCCTTGCAAGCTGCTCTCCAGGTGCCAGAGGCCTCTTTGTGTGGGTGGGCCCTGCATGTCAATAGAGTTTCTGCAAACAGAATAACTCGTGGATCAGGTTAATTGTGGTTTCCTCCCCAATTTGAATAGATTGCGATTGGGAGGTGGCCACACCCCTTGGTGGGACGCAGGCTGCACAGATGGCTCCGTAGAAAGATAACTGACCGAACAAACAGGAGAGCTTGATTTCAAGGGAGGAATTAACAGGAGCTGTTCCGTGGAATGGCACAGCAGAGAAAGGTTGATCCCTTGTTCCAGGATGCATCCTGCTTGGGGTGGGGCCCATGTACCTGGTGTGAGCGGCCATGTGCCTGATCTACATGCAAAAAAAATCCACAAGGCGCAACTCATTTCCCCCCTGGCCTTGGGGACTGCCCCCACTGCACTTCCTGTTAAATCAGTTTCTGTTGCTTCCTATGGAATGCCTTTGCATTAGGCGGTTTGATGGTTAGTCACCGTGTTCTGTCACACTCGGCAACATATCAGCTGTGTCACTGGAGCCTACCTCTTAGGTTACTGTGTCTGGGGAAAGTAGTCTGCTGGAACTAATTATTCCCTTATGTGTGGGAAGGGGATGGGGGGCCCAGCGGGCGAGGGCCTCTTCCCTTTGAATTCTAAATCTTGCTCAACATGTGCCACGAGCAACATAGATTTGCAAGCTCTCGTTTATGGTGCAACAGGACATTTCATGTGTTTTTGTTGCTGTTACTCTGCCCCAGGGGATTCTGGGAGTGGTGGGCGGCTGTGCTCGTGAGAAGTCCCATTCTCTCCCACCCTCCACCCGCCCGGGCTAGTAGCATGCTTGGCAACACTCCTTACTTGAGCCCTTGTTGTTGTTTTTTTGTCTCTGCTAGGAAGGGAAGAATTTTGAGCTGGCGCCTTATCTTTGCAGCTTGGTCAGTTCCCTGTGACCCTGGAGCAAAGGACAGCCTCCCACACTTGAGGTTAGCAATTTTCTCTGCTACACTTGAAAATTGCAAGGGTTGGAAGCCGCAGCCAGACTCCCCTCTGCCTCACCCTAAATGGCACGGATGCTGTGCAGTTCTCAATGGCTCCCCTCCCCACGGCAGAGAGGATCTCATTCTGACTTGCTAGGTTGGGAGGTCTGTCTGGGTGTAGAGCAGCATTCAGTCTCTCGTGTCTGCAACAAGGACATCCATCAACATGGGCAGTGAGCACAGGGGGCAGACTGGAGCTGGGGCACAGAGTTCAAGCATGCAATCTGTCTCAGATGGATGACAGAGATAAGGAGCACAAGAATCAGGGGGCAGCAGGGACAGGTGCGGCAGCAAGCAAAAGCTTGGTTTCTGCAAAGGCAAATTTGTAAAGAGAGCATTTGCCCAAATGAGCAGACTGGGCAGTGAAAGAACAAGGGCTGCAATCCAGAGAAAGCTTGATGAGCCTGCTGGAAGTAATGGGGCTTTGATGGGCATCCGTAAGCGCTGGGTCTGCAGGAACTGGCCTATCCTGTTGCCCCAGAAGTGTAAACCGTGGAGTGCTTTGCTGACCAGTAAAAGGCTATTTTGAAATCCACAGATCAGCTACTTGTCCTCCCCTGAAATATCATGACAATCTTTCAGAATGGTTGCCTGACAGCTGAGCTCCTGTGCGGTCTGTTCCTAGATGGCGCCAGCCTAGCCCTGCCCACTCAGAATGCTTTGTAGCACAGGCTGGGTACACATTGCATATTCCAACCCAACTCAGAGAGTCCTGGGAATGGTAGTTTGTTAAGGGTGCTGGGAATTGTAGTTCTGTAGGGGGGTAAAGTACAGTTTCCAGGATTCTTTTGTTTTTGAGTGGGTGGAGAATGTTCTTTAAATATATGGTGTGTACGCAGCCACAGTATCATCGAGGAGTCCCACCTGACATCTTGGCCCTTGTGCAATCATGCTATGCAAATCTATGCATCTACACATGCAGACGCATTGAAGAATTGTCGAGTGGAAATTCTGTAATATGTTTCAGCTGATGGATGTCTGTTTTCTGCCCACAAATTCTGAGGTTTTCCATTGAGGAATTTTAAACACTCAAACAAGCCCCTGGCCTTGGGAGGCACTTCTCTGTTCTGACAGATGTTTGGGTGATAACCAGTAAGTTAGTTTGTTTCTCAGGATGTTGACCTTCATCTGTGGAGGGAGGATGGTGACGTCTCCCTTCCTCCCAATGGAGAATACAAAGAAATAGTACAGCAACGGGGGAGGGATAGGACTTCACATTAGGAGATTAACAGGAACAAAACCCAGAACTTTTGGGTTTCCATAACAAACACCATTAGCATCTGACTACACCGGGTGATAGTGTTAGTCCTACTCAGGGGATACCCACTGAAGTTAATAGACAGGACTAATACAGGTTTATTAATTTCAGTGGGTCTACTCTGAGTAAGAGTTAACAGTCTACAATCTTCTATACTTGCATAGTTCACTGTTGTTTAGGCAAAGCTATCCAGACACATAGAAGTTATATACGTTTTATTTCTTTTTAGCTACTGTTGCTTTTTAACAATTTCTTGAATGTTTTGGATTATTTGTTTCTAGCTGTATTTATTGACAGTTTTCATATTTCTTGCAAACTGTTTTTAGAGTTTTTATTACAATCAAGCACTACATAAATTTGGTGAAATCAAAATAAATGTGGAGGCCTGAGATTTGGGTACCTGGGGGAGAGCGTCTTCTGAGATAAACAGGTCAGCTGTGAAATGAAACAATAGCATTTAAGAAAGATGCAAGATGTTGCTGTTGGCACTGTGCTTGTTTTGTGAAGGGAGGGCTCATTATCTCCTCCCTCCTTCCTCAGTGGTGAACAGTATTTTTTATTGCCTTACATCCATCCAGAAATAGAATGCCTCCCCCCCACTCCCCACCCCCATCCACCGGTTATCTGCTTGGTGTCCTTTGGGGTCTGTTAAGCAAAAGAATCTCTATGATGTGCATCTTACACCCTTCGTTTGTTTGTGGAAAATGCTGCCACTTTCCCCTTTAAGTGAAGTTTGTTTTCCTCCAAGTCTGGCAGCTATTTTAGTGCAAGCTGAAACATGCACGTGGTCTGCACAAAACTCCAGATGGAGCCAGACATGGCCCCGCTCTCTCATCTCCTGGGCAGGAACAGGCTTAACTGCTTTCCTGCTCTCTCATCAGCTAAGGGTTCATTGATGAGGCGGTTTTGCTTAGTCTGTGGCCTGCACCTGTGGTCTTCCTTTAAGCCTCCTTTTTGCATGTGGGGTGTGGGGGGCAGATAAGGAACCGAAAGGCTCTGCCTGAGCACAGATAACTGGACCTTTAAAAAGCTGAGGAGCTCCTTTGCCTAAACACATTTGGCAAGATGTGCTTCCCTAGTGCCAGGGGAATCCAGTGCTGGGCACCACAGCTCCTGGTTGGCACTGGCAAGAGCACAACTTTCTTTTTGCTCCTTCTTCTTCTGTGAGTAATCAGTGATCAGCCTGCTGTGGATGGTTGGTTGGTTGCTTAAGAGCTTGGATAGGAACAAATTTTAGCACTGTCCCAGTTTTAGCTAGTGCTGATGAGAATTTACCTTGCATTTTGAGCATGGATGGCATGCTAGCCTCATGAGCACCCCAGTTGAAGCCACTGTTGCTGCCCATTGTGACTCTAGTGGGCAAATCCCACTGAGCCAGCTATTGTTCCTTCATTACCAGGTCAGGCAGGACAATGTCCTGATCCTCTGGAGGAAGTCTTGTTAATGCAAGGGCAACAAACCCAGGCAGCCCCCCCCTTCATTTTAGTTTCCTAGTCATAGGTGCTGCTGCAAAATGAAAGCACTTGCCATTGAAGTTCCCTACCCTTTTGTTTCAAGTAGTTTGTTCTGCAGCAAAGTTTGCTATTTTTAAAGGCTGCAGGTTTGATAGGAACATGGGTCCGTTGCTCAAATGTAAAAGAGTTACGCACTTCAATGCAAGAAGGGAAGTGTTCTCGTAACTCACCCCCCCCCCCATTATAACTGCAGTAGGGCTGGTGCCAAGCATTGTCTACCCCAGGTGAGAACTCTGTTTGAGCCCTTCCAGCTCTATGTCACCCGACTAGTGGGATGGTAAATGTAGGGAAGAGAAAAGGTTGCATATGGAACCTTTCTAACAAAAGAACAGCCAGACCCAAATCTGAGGTGCACGTCTGTCAAAGGTTCCCAAAAGCTCACAGCGTTTGCAATCAGGTGAGATATATGTGCTGTACTTTATGCTGTGTCTGTGCAAAGTGTGGCTGGTTTTGAGTCCAGAGGCAACTTGCATGCATTTGAATGAGAAACAGAATTTGCCTCTGGGCTGAAAACCAGCCACACTTCACACCGACATGGCTTGCTTATTTATTTTTTAAAAAACATTCTATTCATTAAAAACCCAAGTGGTTTACAACAGTCAAACAAAAAACCATGCAGTAAAAACCATATATGTATATATTTAAAAACCCAGAGAAGGATATTTTCTCACTAAGAATATTATCTAAGAATAGAGAATAAGCATGGAGGCATAGAAAGGTTTTCAACAGGCATTTGAAGGTTGGAAAATAAGGTACCTGCTTGGACCTCCGTTCCACAGGACTGAACCGATGAAACTAAAGGCTGTTTCTTGTTGCTGAGAAATGGGTTTTGCCAACTTGGGGGATGACCAATGACATTCCTGTATAGATGATCTCATTGATCAAGCTGGGATATAAGGGTTCAGGTGGTTCCCTAAGGCACCCTGGACCGGGCTTTATAAATTAATACAAGGACCTTGAACCTGGGTAGTAGATGAGCAGCTAGTACAGTTGTTCTAAAAATGATGTCACATGTCAGGTGTCCTCATAGGAGTCTGGCCACTACATTCTGCATTCTGCACCAGCTGGAGCTACCAAACCAGCCAAAGGGCAGCCCCACATTGAGCACATTTCAGTAATGCAGCCTTGAGGTGACCAATGCCTGGACTACAGTGGTTAGGTATGGTGGACATCCACTGGGAGCAAGATCTGCTCGTGACAGTTGAATGCTTTCTCCATAGAGGTTTGTCAAGCCCCCGACAGTGCATTCATTTTGGCATCTCCCAAGAGCTGGCTTTTCCAGAAGGCTTTTGTCTGTTTTGTGTACTCTTACTGTTTTTACCCTGTTGCTGTGGGAAACTGATTAGGTGGCATTGTTATTTCTCACTACTGCTGAGTACAGTGGTACCTCTGGATGCGAACGGGATCCGGTCCCGGAGCCCCGTTCGCATCCTGAAGTGAGCCCAACCCGCATCCGCGGGTTGCGATTCGTTGCTTCTGCGCATGTGCGTGACGTCATTTTGAGCGTCTGTGCATGCGCAAGCGGCGAAACCTGGAAGTAACATGCTCCGTTACTTCTGGGTCGCCGCGGAGCACAACTCGAAAATGCTCAACCCGAAGCTACTTCAACCCGAGGTATGACTGTAGTGTACTTTTTTTTCAATGTTATCTGAATTACTACAGTGGTACCTTGGTTTGCATATGTCTTGGTTTGCATATGTTTTGAATTACAAACACGTCAAACCCAGAAGTGCATGTCCCAGTTTGCAACTTTTTTTTGGATTACAGTGGTACCTCGGGTTACAAACTTAATTCGTTCCGGAGGTCTGTTCTTAACCTGAAGGCGTGCTTTCGCTAATGGGGCCTCTCACTGCTGCCACACCGCCGGCACTTGATTTCTGTTCTCATCCTGGGGCAAAGTTCTCAACCTGAGGTACTACTTCCGGGTTAGTGGAGTTTGTAACCCAAAGTGTTTGTAACCCAAGGTACCACTGTACAAACAATTTTTTTTGGGAGGCCCCATTGGTGAAAGCACGCCTTGGGTTACAACCTGTTTTGGTTTACAAACGGACCTCCAGGAACGGATTATGGTTGTAAACCGAGGTACCACTGTATGGTCTGTGTAAGACCTTCTAGTGAATGGAATGGAAAAGGATTTGGATGAAATGACCTTTAAGTTCCTTTCCTCCAGCATTTTGATTCTTTAAGATCAGCAAGGTGACTGTAGGCGTGTGTCACAGTGAGGGGCGGTGATCTTTGGAATTGTCATTTGAAGGAGATGGTGTACTTCAGGGAAGTTTAGTGGAGAACAAATAGATCTGTTTCTGAGCATGAACAGGGCCCACGTGCTGCAAGAACAAACATGGTTTTCATGTCTCTTAACTTTTGAAATCCTCAAACAGAACTAGAAACTTTATGCAGAGAATTGCATAGTTCTATCCAAGTGGCAAGTTAGTGGTTAGTGTACCAGGCAAGGAGCTAGGAGTCAATAGATTTTGCTCCCTTGTGACTATCTTTACTAGCCTGGTTTTCCATGGAGAGGATAGTCCTCTCCACGAGTGTTTCTGGGCATATGTTGAAGCAGTCATGCCATTTGTTTATATCCCACCTTTTCCTCCAAGGAGCTCAATGTGCTTTGAAGTTTTAATGGGCCCCCTGACACAGACCTCTTTTTCACAACTGCTTTTTTGTGCATCCCTGAAACCCAGGTTTTCTTTTTTTTCAAAATAGTATTTATTAAGATTTTAAGTTTACAAAAAGACAAAAGAAAACAGAAAGCAAAAAAACACACCAGATTAGACAATAGTAAAACAACACATCACAATAAAAAACAAGGAAATAAGAACACATAAAAACAACATACAAAAAAAAAAGAAGAAGACAAATCGAGCCTTCCCATAACTTATCTTTCATATGCTTGTTTCCCTGACCTCCTCACACCTCCCTTTTTTGTATTCTAAGTCAATTATCCATTTCAGCAAATCCTTTCCCTCTCTTCAAAATTCTTATCCTGAAAATTTATCTTGATCTTACTATAAGTTTACTTTCCCTCTTTTCACCAATTAACAGTCTATTTTTCTTAAATCTTTGATACATTTTTGCTAAAATCACATAGATTCATTCCAACATCATTCTAACATTCATCCTGAAACCCAGGCAGTTTTTGGGTCCTGTGAATTGGCTGGCTGTTTTGATTTTAGACCAAGTCTGACAGGATTTGCTAAACAGCCTCTCCCACTTGTGGGTTGGAGAGACAGATTATGTCTGGTTATTTTTTTGCTCACTGTTTCCACCTGATCTCGAGTCAAGCAGGAAGGTAGACCACACTTTTAAACATACCTTGGGATGAGTTCCTTCTCCTGTCCATTCCTTTCATCTCCAGTCAAATCCCTTTGTATATTGTATAGTCGCCAGCAAAATAAACAGTCTTCTTCGCTGTCAGAATGCTCTGACTTTTCTCAAGGTAGGGGGTCTTGGAGATGGTAAACCAATGTCTGGGCTGTACCACTTCAGGTGGCCAAAGATTGGGGGTGGGCAAGGTAGGCAAATTGATTAATTTGTTTGCTTGCAAAATTCAATCCTGCCTTCCCACCAAATGGTGTTTAAGGTGTTTAATGACAAGAATACAATAATAATAATAAAACAGAACAGCAATAAAATGCAAAGACTACCCTTTCACAAGTTCCTGGAACAGACCAGAGGGCCTCTCCTGAAGGTCTTAAAACCCCAGCTGTTTAGTATGGGAGACTGAAAGGTCCTGCATTAAAAAATAAACAAATCCCTTCATATAAAATCCATAATGTCAGGGGGGAAGCTAGATTAGAACCTTTTCTGTGACATCCTATTTTCTACCTAAAGGCGTATGTGTGTAGAAGAAAAATTAAAGTAAGCCTTTCCCCACCCAGCCTACAATGGTCCAGTCCAGACACAGGTTCATCACTGAAGTGAATCATAATAATAGTAATAATAATAATTTTATTATTTATACCACACCCATCTGGCTGGGTTTCTACTAGAGCTCAATGGGTAGGCCTTATTTCCTAGAGACATTCCTTTCTTCCCACTAGCTGGTATGAAAATCATGGGACTGCTTTCTTTGGTCTACATTATTCTGCAGACTAATAGCTTTTCAGGAGGTGAAGTTGTTATTCGCAGTAGCCCCAGATGTGTTTTGTCAGGCATGAAAGGCTGGAATGAATGAATGAGAGAACGAACAAATGAATGAAAAAACAAACAGCCCCTATACTTGCATGTATTTAAAGTATCCAAAATGGAGGAATTAATGATAATGATTGGCTATTTAGAATACTGAACAATGTTAAAACGGTGTATTAAAAACGTGTTTATTGGAGAAATGTGCACTAATGTGCTGATGAATTTTCATGATTTTTTAAAAAATAATAATAATCTCAAATCGATGTAAAATAAGAACTGTATTTAAGATTAGAAAAACAAGAAACTGAGAGCACCAAAAGTGACAGATCTTTCCATCCTTCCCCACGGAATGGGCATAGGCTGATCCATCCAAGCAGCCCTCATACAGCAAGTGATGGCTTGCTAACAATCTTGGAATATTGTAATGATAGCAACAAAGCAGATATCATGCAGTTTTCCTTTAGTTTTCTGGCTGGGGGGCACAAGAAGCAATGGGTTCAAATGGCAAGACTTTTGGTTTGGGTCAGATGTTACAGAAACATTCCAGCCCTAGGAATGGTTGTTTGGCAAGGCTCACTGGGGCTCAGCCTGAGGAACTGCAGACTTGTAATTAAGCTGGTGCCTCTGAAGATGTGGAAAGTGCAGATGGACTTCCGGGTTGGCGCCACCGGCAATGGCGGAATTCCTCTGATCGGGAGGAATTTGCCTCGTGGAAATTCGGGTCTGGCCGCCACGGCGAAGGCGGAGACCCACTAAAAATCACAGGCGGGTGAAGCCTGTGAACGTGGGATTCGGCGGGCACCTTTTGCGCCTCCCCTACTCGTGGGGAAACCCGGTTTCGGGGATCCGGAGCGATGTGGGGTGAGCGGCGCGGTGCTTTGGATCGACTGCTTCTTCCACGGAGCGAAGCCGCATAGCTGTTGCCGGAGAGCGCTGACTTTTTCCTGTGGACAATTTGATCTTAAAGCAACTACCCATGAGTAGAGTGAAGAACTGGATTTTTAAAACGTCTTAATTTGGTACCGAAACGGGGAGGTTCAAAACAGGAAGTCCACCTCCCCTTTTTGTAAATAAGACTGAGGCAAAGAGGCTGCAAGCTAAAGTCTTGGAAAGCCTATTGTAAAGGACTAAATTCTCATCAGTAAAAAATATTAAACCCCCCTTGGAAGCAGGAGAAGAGGGGGGAGGCTTTGGATTGTATATCCCTGCAGGAGTGAGTGAGGAAGTTAAAATACCACCGTTCCGAACCTGGAAACGGGCTGCCAGTAAAACCGACGTGTCTTGGAAGGTTCATTGACAGCGAATAGAACGTTCGGTGACAGCTAGCATAAGAGAGATACATTGTTTCCATTGTCTTCGTCTGCACTTAAAAAGGAGTAAAAGTAACGGAAAATTGAAACAATCTTACTGAACTTTATTTAAAAAAAAAAAGGAGGAAAGTAACTGAAAATTGAAACTAACTTTGGATTATTGAAACTGTGTTTAAAAGAGGACATACTGACCGATACAAATACAACTCGCTTTCCCCTAGTGGAAGCTTTTGAAATTGGTTACTTGATAGGAGCTGGGCTAGGGGAATTTCCAGCTGCAAGATAAGAAAAGTGTGAGACTTCGGAATTGACCTTGAATCTTCTAAGTGTTATGGCAAACGGAAAGGAAAAAACAGACGAGATGTCGACAGAGGAGGCCTTAGTGGCTGCATTATTGAAAATAAACGATTCGCTGGAACAACTCCACAAGAAAACAGATGCGAGAAATGTGAAATTGGATGTTGCAAATATTGAAATTGATTCAATTGTAGAAAGTTTAAATAACTTGGGACAAAAGGTGAATACTAATTCAGAAACCACTCAGAAACTGACACAGGAATCTACTTCGATATGGCAAACTGCAGATGAAGCTAGGGGAAAAACCCTTGCTGCTGAATCTAAAATAATACAACTGGAGAGGAGAGTCCCATCCATACAAAGACAACCTGACGAACATAAGTTGACATTCGTTATGATTGAACTTAAAGAAGAACGGATGAATTTGAGGACCAGAGCCCTATCTGAATTGGAAAAGGAAAGCTTGACAGAGTTTCAGGAGGTGATACTAACATTGGTTGAGAAAGAGAGGTATTTGGGGGTTAGTATGACTGCCAAAAATGTGAATTTGCTTAAGGATAACTGTGAAGGATGTTGGATTGAGGAGAAGGGGGATTTGGAAATATGGACAAATCAGAAGTTGTCACTGTTGGGCCGAGTTACTGTGGTGGGGATGAGGGCTGCTGTGTTGTTGGGGATGTTGCTTTTGTTTCAAACACAGGACAAGTGTGGATGAGCCCTAAATCCCACTGTTTTCAGTAGGGCCAACTCCCAGAAAAATGTGCATAAGATTGCAGCTACAGTGTTCTTTTATTCTGGGCTAAACTCCCTCATTTTGGTTCTTGTGGCCATTAACATGCACCCCCCCCCCAGCTCGCTTTGCTCTAGCCCAGGTATGTCCCTCTACCTGTTGGTGGCCTCTCATCAGCCTCAACCCATTAGGGAATTAGGGGGCTGTAGTCCAACAATATCTGGAGGGGGCATCAGGTCCCCAACTCTTGCTCTGGTCCATTTTTGGGGCGCGTTCTCAAGATCTCAAGAAGGATTACTTATGTCTTGACGCTTTTAACCACATGTTTATCCCCACAGTACAGTTGACGCATGTTTAGTGTGTGGCCAAAGATTCCTCCACTGCCCAGCTCACAAACTTGATTTGCATCGTGCTTTTTCTATTATTATTTCTGATCAATTAACCAGAAATGTTGTCTTTGTCACTGATATGGATTGGCATCTCCTCGACAGCATTCTTTGAATGCTCTGTGATTGAGGGAGGGTGTTCTGTTGTGTCCTCTGAGTTGCAATTATTAATGGTTGGTTGTCCTTTATAGATCTAGCCGCCTCCTCTGTATGCATTTCAAGGGACTAGGGGGCAGACACAGCACCCTCGTAAAGGTCTGCAGCACTACTAGGTGCAGACCGTGCATTTTCTCATCATGCACAGCCTCCTCAGCTCCAACACCCTCCAGCTGTACCTGGAGAAGAGAGACGACTTTACAACTGTGTCATTTCCAGAGACTTGCAGGAACATTTTCAAGAGCTCCTGGCTGGGAGCCACAAGCCTTGGACACTGTTTCCCAGAGGGTTATTGTGACTGGTCAGAGGAGTCCCAACAATGCCTAGCCAGTTAAATAAGTAACCTGTATCGAAACATCTATTTGTAGCCATGTTAGTTTGTGGCATAAAAAAAAATGGAGAGAGCTGTTAAGCTTTAAAAGACAAACACATTTATGATGCGCTTTTGTGGACTAAATGACACTTCGTCAGATTCATTAACTGTTTTCCTCATTTAACAGGTACACGCATACACATGCATGTGTGCGCACACACACACATGCACGCAGAGTCTGGGTATGGCTAGAAATTATTGGGTCTGAGGAGTCCCTGAGAATGTATCTCTGCAGTGCCATGCAGGAGTGTACACTGCATTGACTTTGTGGATCACACGGTTAAAGCTGCAGCCCTCTGCACATTTACCAGGGGGCAAATGTCACTGATTTCATGGGGGCTTACTTCTGAGTAAGGATGCATTGGATCAGGCAGCATGTCTCAGTTTGCACATTTGGTGGGAATGGGGCAACAGGAATAATTACATCTTCAGCTAACTCTGGGTTTGGATGTTACAGAAGAGGAATTAGTAATGCTGAAATAATTTTAGGAGATGCATGGAAAGCAAATATGACAGTATTACTCAATAGTCACGGGTACGCCGTTATGGTTTACCAAGGGAAAAGAGTACACCAGCTAAAATTAATCTCTGGCTTTCCTATTGTAAGACTTGTCATGTGTCTTTTTACTGCTGTTTTCTGTCATAAGGAACCTGCTGGAAACAGATCTGGGTATCTGCTGGATTTTACATTTCCAAAAAGGGGGAATCGGCCATTTGGTCATCCCAAAATCCCGAAGTATAACCCGAAACCAGCACAGCACCTAGCTGTTCTCCTGCTCTATTTTAAGACCAATTCAGATTTATGGCTTTACCATTAGACCATATTTTTCTCCTTTACCCGCACCATCTCCTTTGTCTGACATCCTGCCTGGGGAATTCTGGAGCACTCAAAAGCTTGCTTGCTATTTTGTTCCATTTGGCCTGGCCCTAGGTTTAGTAGTACTGCATCTTCTTCTAAGGTTCTTCTGTAGCCATAGGTGGTTTCATACTGTCTGATGATCATTAAGCTAGTCTTAGTCTAAAAATCCATGTAGGAAGTATCTCAAGCCACACCCCCTGGAGGATGCTGGCTGAGTCTGAAAGGAACAGTTTGTACACTTTGAACTGGGCCAGAGAAAGAGAAAGGTGATATTTTGAAGCTGGTTGGTAAAGGTTGCTGTGAAGTTTCTGGCTGGTAGAAACATTTTTTTAGAATCTTGGAGTGCTGGGTTGTTGCTCTTCTGGAGTTAGCACTGCCTATGTGTGCTTGCTTTCCATCTGCTCAACCTGTATATTTCTAAACATCTTGTCCAAAAGGCCCCTTGATTAGAGAGAGAGAGAGACTTGCCAATGTCTCTACAGGAAGTCTGTGACAGAGTTTTCAATGGGTGCCTTAATTCCCTGCATCTCAAGCCAGTGCAATGGGTTAGGTTTATACACGAGAGCAAAGTGACTCACCCTTTGGGGAGGAATTTCCCCGCTGGGAGAAACAGAAGAATTACACTGGATGTCAGTAGGCCTAAGAAGCAGCCTTTGGTGTTGGTTGTTTAGGGCTTGCTAAGTTGAGAGATGTTGCGGTCTAGGACTCTAAACCTTTCTGTCTGCCTGGCAAAAGTTGCAACAACTTGGATCCGGATTTGTGCAAACAAATAAAAAATGTTCCACCTCCTCCCGCCCCATCTGGTGATGTGATGCCTGCCAAGAGGACTTGCTTCCTCGTCTCTGTTTTCTTTAAGAAAATCCCCAGCTGACAACACGAAGCAAAGGAATGCACTTTCTTGGAGGCAGAGAGTCTTATAGTGGACCCTTTCTCTGCTCCAGATCTGCTGGGGGTGGGGGTGGTTGGTGCTGCTCTCTACCTGTGTCACTCATCATTCCCAGTTAACCTTGGTGGGTTTTAGATGGATGAAGTAGAGAGATGGGTGCCTTTCTGTTGCAGGCAGAGGCCTCTATAGAACAAGCCAAACTGGTGCATGTGAAGGGGAGGCCCACTGAGCATTGCCTTAAGATGTGGTCTGTGGTTGGTGCTCAGGGTGCTTTGCCAGTTTTCCTAGCAGGTGATACCTGGCCTCAGAAAGCCCAGTGATGGTGGGGACTCAAGTTCCATGGAGGACCTGCTGATGTTGAAGCAGAGGACTATGACTGCATGCACACTTCTCCATGTGACACACTACAGTGGTAGGACTCTGTGCTTTCTGGTGGGCTGAAGGTAGATTGGAATCCATTGGCTGGTTTGCAGTAGACTGGCAAGGGTTTCTGGCTCCTATTTCCTATGGGGGCAAGGCCCATATCTCAGTGGCAGTTGACCTGCTTTGGATGCAGAAGGTCCCAAGTTCAATCCCCGGCATCTCCAGGTAGGACTTGTGTGAAATGCTGCCCATCAGTGTAGACAATACTGAATTAAACTTACCCATGGCTTGACTCAGTATAAGGCAGCTTCCAGTGTTCCTGTGCACTTCTCTGCAGCTAGGCTGACTTGGCTTTTTGCAGTGATATTTGGGGGCAAAGGCTGCAGCTCTGTGGGAGGGCATCTGCCTGGCAGGTAGAAGGTATTGGGTTCAATCCCTGGTGCCTCCAGATAAGGCTAAGAGCATCCCTCTTGAAACCCCAGAAACCTGCTGCCAATATTGAGCTAGAGAGATCAATGGTCTCACTCAGTATAAATCAGCTTCCTATGTTCTTCCTAATAGACAACAAAAGCCTTCTTTTTCCTCACCCAAATTAAGCTTTCAAGGGCCCCTGTTCTGCAGTAACTGGTCTGCCAGCCCAGCACTCTAACCACTACTCCACACTGCCCTGCAGGCCTTCTTCCTGGCCTGTTAAGTTCCCTTCTGCTCTGGAAAATGCAACGTGAGTCCTATCCATGGCATAAAACAGTCTTGCCTGTTATTGGAGGGGATGTCTTCCATTGTGGTGTCTGAGGTGTGTGTTGGGTGTCTCCTGCACTGTCCTGGGGTAGCACTGCCACTTGACAGGGCAGGGTGGGGCAAGGGCAGTGGAAGCACCGCGTTGACAGTGGTGGCACACCTGCCACCACCCTGCCTTGCCCCCTTCTGGTCCTGCGGAGCAAGTGGCAGTGCCACGACAGAGAGAGACTAGCCCACCTCATGCCACAAATGGCAGCTTGAAGGACTGTCACATAACCCCTTTCCTTTCCTTGTCCTTCTCTGTATTGTGTAGTGCAAGGAATTTGGAAAGAAGGAAGGGTGAAGAATAAGAACAGCCTGGGTCTCAGGGAGAGGCAGCCTGGGAATCCACCTTGTGCATGGTAGATTCTTGGCCCCAAAGCCTCCTCTCGCCTCCCATGGGCTCTGAGCAAGTCTCTGCAGAGGCTCCTTAATTCCAAGCCTCCCCCGTGTTTTCCAACTGGGAAAACAGCCTTGGCTTTGTTCGTTTGCTTTGCCCAGATTTGTTTAATGAAGGGGCTGTAGCTTCAGCTCCAAAGTTTGCAGAGCTTCTCTTAACAAAGGATGTCATCTTTTTAAGCCTGAGTGAAATTGCCTGCCCCACCCCCGGTGGTTGGCCACTTCCCTTTGCGACTGTGCAAGGACTGTAACTGCTTACATAAATGGCTCTTCCTAAATATGCCTGGATAGCTCAGTTGGTTAGAACATGGTGCTGTTAAGGCCAACGTTGCATGTTCAATCCCCATATGGGACCGCAGGGGGTTGGACTGGATGATGCTCAGGGTCCATTTCTGTAATTCTAAAGCAGCCTTTTTAAGCCTTGGTTCCCCAGATATTTTTGAACTACATCTCCCATAATCCCTGACCACTGGCCCTGCTAGTTAGGAATGATGAGAGTTGTAGTCCAACAAGACCTGGGGGCCAAAGTTTGAAAAACACTGGTTTGTATTCTGTGTGAGCTATCTAAAGGCTTTGATGATGAAGCAGTATATAAATACTGATAGATAAGTACATAAGTAAGTAAGTAATAATACTTACTTAATAATAAATAGAATACTTTTGTTTAGAAAGGAAAAGGGAATATCAAGATTTCGAAACTTGCCTGATCTTAACCACTGATTTCAAAACTGCACTTTCGTTTCTTTGAACACCTGAGCAACTCTTGGTATGAAACAGCTGGTTATAAATATAGTCCACTTTTCAGTAATTTAGTTATCAAAATGCCAGCTTTCTCTTGGGACACACTTCCACTTGTCCCATGCCTAGATATCATGGGTCTGAGCAGTTTTCCATTTCCCCTGCCACTTTCCCCAGGAAAACCTGCTCTTTAGCGCTGAATTGGCACAAACATCAATCTGCAGAAAATCCAATTGACGTTTGGTCCAATTCAGCGGTAAAGATTGGGTTTTTCTCCTGGGTTGGGGGAGCAATGAGGCAAGCGGAAGTCTGGATGAGCCCTTGGCAATGCTTGTCAAGCTTAATCCTATTCCAAGCTGGAAGATATAAATCTTTGTTCAAACTTTTGTTCATCTTTGTTCAAACTATTGACAGAAAGGTGTGGAATTTGAAAGCTAGTTCTGAAAGTGCCTGAATGTTGACTCACCTTGAGGTCTTCACCCAATGTGATCGCTCTGACATTTTTCTTGTGACACTGTTCTGTTTGGGTGGCACAGCAGAAATATTTGAGAGGTATGTTGTTCCTCTCCTTCCTGCTATGATTCTGCCCCCCTCCCCCCCGGTGAGCTGCTAAAGTTGGTCATCATTTCACCAGCCAAACCTGCGCAGCTGGATAGGTTGCCTGTGCCAGATTTTGAAGGGGTTAAACATTTACTAGGCTTTAATGTGCTCTGTAAGCACATGACTGGTGGCACATGATGGATTCCATCCTGTCATGTGAGGCTTTGGGCTGGAGAGTGTGATGTGCTATGGGTGGAGTGTTCTTCCCATCTGGTGTTTGCCCAGCCTGGTGAATTCTCTTCGGGTGAAGGAGGCGAGGACTTGGGAGGGAGAGAGGACATCCTGGATTACATGACAAAGACTTGCTGGCTGGGATTGATGAGAGCTGCAGTCCAAAGCTTCTGAAAGGCACTAGGTTGGTGAAGACAGGAAGAAAACTCATACAGGGCAGACCTCTGAAAGCAGGACTACAGATTGTTAACATCTGTCAGAAACAGGCAAAAATGTGTAGGTGTCTGCAAACTTCAGCTTAACTAACATAGTGCCCTCTAGTGTCAGATCAAGGGCAGTCTATTGCTCGCTTTCCCTTGAGTTGTGTAACTCTTATGACTGCATCCTGAGCATACTAGCTAGGCAGCAAGTCCCACTGAACCAAGCGGGACTTACTTCTGAGGACACTTACACAGGATTGGGCCGTCTGGGAGCAAAAGCTCTACTTCATAATGTAGTAGGAGCACTTGAAACATTTCAGAGAGACATCATCAGAAAACTAGCCATATTTCTGAATGCACTCGGGCCATATCTTAGTGCCATAGTTCCCAACAGACAAATAAGAAGCCACCTGTGTGTGTCCTAAGGTGGTTGTTTTCTGGCCTGTTGTAGAACAGTCTCCTTGAAATCACTTTAAACTTTGTACACATGAAGAGCTGATGTAGTGTAAATGTTAATGGCATGTGCTGAAAACTACCTACCTTGCTAGGCTGTTATAAGAAGATGACAATAATAATAATAATAATAATAATAATAATAATAATAATAATAATACCCTGCCCATCTGGCTGGGTTTTCCCAGCCACTCTGGGCAGCTTACATCAAATATAAAAAATAGTAAAAATCAGACATAAAAAAATTCCTGATACAGGGAAATAATGATTCAGAAACATTTCTTGAAGTTCACAAGTTTGATTTTTTTTCTGCCCAACTTTTTTGGCTGGTATATAAAGAAAGAACAGATTTAAAGAGTTGTAACCATCTGATATTTGGGGTGTTTTCAGTTCTTTACAATTAACCATTGCTCAAAACCAGTGGCATGAGATGGGTTGGGCTGAAACCTGCCCAAGGTCCTGTGGGCAAGTAGGGATTTGAATCTGTCCTTGTTCCAAAGACAACACTGCCGACCAAATAATATTTCTCCACTATTGGTGTCATAGGCCTTTAAGAGAAGCCCCTCCCATGTGTCCGTCCACCCCCCCCCCCCATATCTACCAAATAGCAAGATTCTCCAGTGAATTTCCAGGAACAGCTGCTGGGCGAATCATATGGCTGCCACAGTCACACCAGGGGGTTGGGGATGCACTTCTGTTTGAAGAAGCAGAAATACAAAGAGCAAATAAACACCAAGGCCTGGAGCAGCCTCGTGACAAGGAAGATGTGGGCAGGCCTGTCTTCTCTGATCGGCAAGCAGGACACAGATATATCTTACTCTGCCAGCCAGTCCTGAAGCCGCCTGGCATTCTTGAACAGATGAGGGGGCGGCAACATCAGGGGCTCACTGCAAATGCCTCGTGGTGCCAGAGCACTGTTGGAAGGGAGTGTAGAGGCTCAGAAGCAAACAAAGGCCAAAGGGCTCTTGATCTTCCAGTGATCCTACCCCATAGCCCTTGAGATTCCATACCAGAGTCCCCACTTAATCAGAGTTTTTCCCTTTTCCGAGAAAAAGCCGTTGCTCAGAGATAGAGCATGCAAGGATGTTTGAGGTTTGGTCCCTGACATCTCCTGGTGTGACTAGATAAGACCCCAAGACCTTGGAGAGCACCTGCCAGTCAGTGTGGAGCATATGGAGCTCTGTGTAGCATCTGGCTTGTTCTTCATGCAGCATCGCACTGTGACAGCAGGGCCAGTGATAACTGCATTGAACTGTATTGCCAGTGGTACTGCACAGGAGAAGGGCTTTGGCTCAGTGGTAGAGTGCACATGTTGCATGCAAAAAGGTTCCATCCCTGGATCTTCGGATACACTGCCAGGCAGTGTCTATAATACTGAGCAAGATGGACCAAATATCTGGCTTGGTATAAGGCACCTTCCTGAACTCCCATCTGTGCTCTGCCACTCTGTCTATGTACCTCCATGTTTATTTTTCTCCCTGTGTTGTGAGGACCGCTATCTGTCATTCCCTCCATTGCTGTTAATTCAGGATCTGCTGAAGTTCAGCACCTAGGATAAGCTAACCTGGGGTCCTCCAGATGTTGTGTTGACCCAACAGCTCACCATTGCCGGGGATTGGACTAGATTCTGTGAAGTGCAGTGAGGTGGCAGTGAGGTGCTGTCCCAGTGCTAACTATCAACGGGCAACGTAAAGGCCTTCTCCCTCCTTTATGGTTCTTCATCCTTAAATTGGATTTGGACCAGACAGCCCTTCAAAGGCAGGACTTTAAGGACCGCAAACCTGTGCCTGGGCTGCGCTGCTTTAGACTGCATGTGGGAGATGACAGACTGGAATCACCCAAATTACAAAATAAAATTAAATCCCTGCACATAAAAGCTAAATGCCATAGACAAGGTTTTTGGCCTAGCCTTCTCTCTGACATGTTCATTTTCCATGTGCAGGAGTTGTGTCCTCTTCCCTTGAGGCCAAAGTGGTACAGTCAGGGCGTAGGTTTACTCCACTATGGGGTGCGAGCGGAGTGGCAAGCGGCTCACCAGAACAGGAATGGGGTGGGCCAAGCAGCAGCGAGGTCCGTGTTCGCAGCCTCAGCACTGCCTCACCTCACCTCATCCTGCAACACCACCACAGCCACTGGAAGGACACTGCCACCAGTCTGTCCTCCTCACACACCACTGCTGAGTTTGAACTAGGCTTTACAGTGTTACCTCAGGTTACATACGCTTCAGGTTACAGACTCTGCTAACCCAGAAATAGTACCTCGGGTTAAGAACTTTGCTTCAGGATGAGAACAGAAATCGTGTGGCGGCAGCAGTGGAAGGCCCCATTAGCTAAAGTTGTGCTTCAGGTTAAGAACAGTTTCAGGTTAAGAATGGACCTCCGGAACGAATTAAGTACTTAACCCGAGGTACCACTCTATACACTGAAGAATCTCCCCTCAGACAATTTGCTGTTGTGAAGTCTTCTCTGATCTGCCCTTACAGCTTCAGGAAGGTGTCACACTGCTTAGCTTACCTTGGGCCTGTCCTTATCTATCTATCTATCTATCTATCTATCTATGTATCTATGTATCTATCTATCATCTATCTATCTATCTAATAAATATATTACCATTTATTTTACACATATATATTCAATTCCTTTTATTATTATTTTGCAAGAAGCAACCTCTTGTGCAACATCAGATACAACTGGACTATTCTAACTCAGCAGGAGCGGATTAGTAAGGGAGACCATAGTCAGTGGAGAGTTTTGTTTTCTTGGTCCAGAGAGGGGCCCCAATCCTCTGCCTGCAGAATAACTTTCCTTTAGGGATTCAAGGCAGGGTAAACAACAAACAAGTAGTGGTTTTATAAACTGATTTAGACCTAAGCTGATGTAAAAGTTTGCATATACCTCCATCATAGCTGTCAACGTTTCGCTTTTTTTAAGGGAAATTCTCTTATTCCAAATAGGATTCCTCGCAAGAAAAGGGAAAAGTTGACAGCTATGACCTCCATATGCTTATTGAATGATGGCAAATAAAATATCTAAAATGAGCATTGGAAGACCTGTCACCCCACGTGCCCTGGGGCCAGGCAGGCAAAAGTGAGCAGGTTTGCGCTCCCAGGGCTGCCATCTGTTGAAACTGGTACAATATTAGAGATGGGAACTTCCCAAGTGAATGGCACTTTAAGGAACTATTATTTGTTTTGAAATGCTAAGGTTTGAGGCAAGTTAAAAATCCTGCATGAGCACATTATTGGAGCAGGGGGCAGTGAGCCATCGGAGCAAAATCCCTGAAAGATTATATAAATCAATGGCGCCCTCTAGCGGCTGAAGGAGGGAGCAATATCTGGGGATCACAAGTGGGGGGGGGGGGCTGGCTTAAATAATAATGGGAGATGTGTTCAAAAGGATTTGGCCAGGCTTGAGGATGAGGACAGCTATCTGGGTTGGGGGTGGAATATCACCATCTGGGGAAAGGCCTGCCTGCACCTGTACTCGGCTTGCCATCTGTCTTGGCTCCATCTCCTCAGTGGGCAGATCAGTTGCAAGTGACAGCACAGCAGCAGGCAGAGTCTTGCATGCGGCCATATTCCTGGGTCCTTGCTTGCTGCAGCCAATGCAAGGAGCTTTCTCTGTGGCGGATGTACAAAGCGAGGTCAGGCAGCAGTGTACGCACTGACTTCCTGGCCTGCACTGCTGGGTGGCTGGCATGGGCTGGGGCCAGGAATGGTACACCCAGGCAGATATGGACTAAATGACAGCATGGGGAGACCTAGTGCAGCCGTGGGAGGGGAGCCCAGGGATGGATAGAAGTGGTCATGGAGCAGCTTAGGGGTGGATGGGAAAGGATGCATAGGCAAGATGACATGAGCTTAGTGTTTACTCTGAACACTAGTTTGCAGGAGCACAGGAAGCTTGCTTTATACAGAGTCAGACCAATCACCTATCTGGTTCAGTGTGGTCTGCACTGACTGGCAGCAGCTCTCCAGAGTTTCAAATGGGGGGCATTCCCAGCCATACCTGGAGATGCCAGGAATTGAAACTGGGACCTTCTTCATGCAAAGCTGATGCTCTGCCAATGAGCTTGCGTTGCCCTTCCTGGGAGAGATGCCTTTACATCCTTTGAAACTTCCAGTGCCACTGCAGTGAAATGAAGGGGGCAGCCCTTTAGGGGGAGGAGCTCCATGCACACAGTGGAACTTCCACAGAGATCATTGAATTGCGAGGTGTGTGTGAAGCCAATCTCTTCCCAAGGGATTCTTTCTCAACTTCCGGAGAATGACCAACTTACAAAGGAGATCAAGCTTCATTGCATCTTTAATAGAAGATGGATTTTTGGCAGATATATGCAGTCCGTCCCACCCCCCACCCCCAAGTCCTGCATGACAAGCTGCATGGACCAAAAATCTTGCAAGCCACAGAACTATTGAAGATGCAGGAGTCTTGCTCACCTTTGTAGCCAGTCACCTTTGAAAAATAAACAAGAGGAAGTCAGAGATAAGTGGAAAAAGGCGGTTATGCAACCACAGTTGCTCAGCTTAGGTCAGGGTGGAATAAGGCTGAAGCCTGTTCATAGCTACTGAACCTGCACCTACACAGTTGGGTAAAGGTGTGCGACCAGAAAACATTGGGGCAAACTGGGCTGCACATGCTAACTGGAGGCCTCCCCCCCCCACAGGTGCCCCTTGGGGATGTAGAGTGTTTGGTGAGTGGGCAAAGAGCCTCGTGCCTCGCAGTCGGATGGAGGGTGTTTAGAGCCTCGGAGGTACATTGTCATGTACAGCGGTGAGCACATTGTTTAGTCGTGTCCGACTCTTCGTGACCCCATAGACCACAGCAGGCCAGGCACTCCTGTCTTCCGCAGTTTGGTCAAACTCATGCTGGTAGCTTCGAGAACACTGTCCAACCATCTCGTCCTCTGTCGTTCCCTTCTCCTTGTGCCCTCAATCTTTCCCAACATCAGGGTCTTTTCCAGGGAGTCTTCTCTTCTCATGAGGTGGCCAAAGTATTGGAGGATCTGTCCTTCACGATCTGTCCTTCCAGTGAGCACTCAGGGCTGATTTCCTTAAGAATGGAGAGGTTTGATCTTCTTGCAGTCCATGGGACTCTCAAGAGTCTCCTCCATAATTCAAAAGTCGAGCACATTAGCAGGCGCTAAAGTTACACAGCAGTTGTAGTTGTGTGTGCGCGCGCTCCTACTCTACATCGCTTGCGGTTGGCGATGTGCGGATCCAAAAAAGTCAGTCGCGCGGCGCACCACCAGGCGACTCTGAGATGGGCCTCTGGGCGGCGAGGCGCTCCGGCAGAGCTGGTGCGCCCGCTCGTCGTTTTGCGCGTGTGTCTCAGGCCCGGCCGAGTCGGTGGGGGTGAGGGAAAGGGAGGAGGAAAGTGGGGCTGGGCGGAGAAGGAGGGTAGGGGGCGGATCCGAGACACGAGAGTCCCGGTTAGCCGAGGGGAGGAGCCTGTTCAAACTTGTCGAGACGCGGCGGCGCTGCGAGCCGGCCGGGGGAACTGTGCCCCGTAGCGGCCCAGCGGCGGACCGGCACCATGGAGGCGGCCAGGCCAGGTGCGGGGCAAGGCGGGCAGCGGGAGGTCGCGATCCACTTTCCGGTGGGCGGGGGGAGACGGGCGGGAATTCGCTTCGGGGCCCAGAAAGATCAGAAGGGGAGAGCTCCCCCCTCCGCCAAAAAAAGGACCAGCCGATTTGCGCGCTAAGAGTCTTGGGCGCTGAGTTACAGTTGGCGACCGAGGGGGCTTGCTTGGGAGCCTCTTTCGGGATGCCTTTCTCCAGCGGCGGGTCGCTCCTCTGCTTCCCCCATCCACCTCCCTTCCAGAAGGGGGCTGAGTTGGCTGCGTGGTCCCGCCGCGGCGATCTTTGTTGTTGCGTGGAGTCGGAAGCAGGCCGGCGATGTTGCTGTTTAATGCGCCCCCCGCTTCCCCCTCCATCTGCCTGCTGGAATCACATTCTCCCTTCGCCATCCGTCGACTTGCGTCTCCCGCGGTGGGAAAGGAGAGGCGCCGCTGCCTCTTGTCCCGGCGGCGAGTCGGTTTCTGAGCGCGTAATGTTGTTCCTTCGCGTTACTTTCTCCATGAAAGGGCAACGGAGAAGCGGGAGTCTGCGCTGCCGGGCTTGTGGCGCGCGTGAAGGTGCCCCTTTCTCCCTCTTCGTCACGGGGCAGCCTCTTGCCAGCCAATGAGCTTGTTGGTCTGGCCTAGTGGGCTTCTCCCTCTCCCTCCTTTCATTCATGGGGAAAGTTTGGCCGTGGCCTCCTCCTCCTCCTCCACATCCCCGGTGCTCTGAATCTGCGCCAGGAACCTGGGTTAATGGAGGCCAGGCGGTGTGCCAGAGCCCTCCCTCCGCTGCCTGGATGGGTTGGCTTGGGGTTTATGCCTGTTGAGAGTCCAATGCAGGTCCTTGCTCTGAGCATTTGGGCTAGTCCTTCAGCTGCCCCAAGGGAACCCCAGAGTGACCCCAGCAGCCAGGATAGGCTATGCAAAGCCCTTGGATGATACTATGCAGAGCAGGGGGAGTGAACCTGTGGCTCTCCAGATGTAGTAGGACCACAACTCCCATCATTCCCTGCCATTGGCCATGGTGGCTGGGGCTGATGGGAGCTGGAGTTCAGCGGTCAGCTGTAGGGTCTGGGACAGAGTGTTAGTCTCTCATTGCTAGAGGCGGGTGTGCATGGTGTGTGGAAATTGTAGGGTGGGTGAGTGTAGGTTTCTATTTTCAGCACAGGTGTGGGGAGGCCAATGAGGAAACCGTCCAATGTTGATATGGGACATGCTCCCCAAGCATCCTGTAGGAGCATGTGCAACAGCTAAAAAGCCTCTTTGAATGTGTTTATATGCACACAGTTGCATATTATGCTGGAAGCATGTGTGTTGCACTGGGCAGACCAAACAATGCTGGCTTTCCCTGCTGTACGTGTGTTTCTGTCAGCTTCTCTTTCTGCATTTAGCTGTGGTGACTGACTGCGATAAGCCCTGGAGATTTTCTTTGCATGTGGAATAACAGTGGGTGCTGTGGGCTAATATCAGAAGCATTAACTATAAAAGATCCTCTCTAGGACAATAATGTGATAATAAGGTGCATTTATATCCTTCCTTCAAGGAATTCAGGAATGAATATATGTCTGCCCTCCAATTTTATCCTCACAACAACCTGCAGGCTAGGCTGAGAGACGGGTCCAGAATTGTAGCTTTGTAGCTGGATGGGGAGTTGGACCTGGGTTTCCACAGTCCTGGTCTGACCCGCTCAGCAATAGTCCAGCAATATCTGGAGGGCACCACGTTGACAAAGGCTGCTCTAAGCCATCTCACTTCCAGCTCTTTGATTCTATTAATTCTCTTGTTCTGTTCTCTCTTTTTCTGTCGTTGGGGGTACATGGGAGTGAGCTGGGGTCTCCCAAGAGGCGACTGTGTGTGTTAATTACATTTCCTGGAGAAATGAGGTGGCCTCTTTGTGTTTGTGAAGAGGACAGACAACAGGAACCATTCATCACAACTCATTGTGTTCGGATTCTTGCCTCTGTGTATATGGTGCTTTTTAAGATCCAGCCTGAGCCTGTTTGCGGTCGCGACTCTCCTGTTAGGGGCAGCTTGCTGTCCTTTGCAAGCTTGTGAATCACCATTCTCTATAAACAAGAACCTGAAAGCCCTGAAACTTTTAAAACTCTCTGCTGCTGGCAGTTTGGTCCTGCAGGGCTTGGAAAAGTCTGGGCAAAGCACTGCCATTTGCAGCTTTCAGTTCCAGGCCAGATGCCAGTGAACGATGGATAGGAGAGAAAAGTGTTGAAGGGCCAGGAAGCCTCTCTAGTGCTCAGACTGCCAGGGCTGGGATTTAGGGAATCTTTGGTGATGGGTGCATCCGTGCATGCAAAGGCGAGGGGGGGGGGGAGCAGCTTTTTCTTGGGTACATTCTGCTGGCAGAGTTGAGAGGAGGGAGGGGGACTGTGGAAGGGTAAGAGTCTGCTTGCTCTCTGATCATGTTCTTTGTTCCTCAGCTTTAGGCTGGACAGGCTTGATAGCTTCAGCAGATGCCTCCGCTCCTTGCTTTGAAGTGAAATAGGTGGGGGAAGGGAGGGTACAGCCCTGACCGACCTCCCCCCCCTCTCCCTGCAGTGTCTTGTTCGCTGGGCAGCATTGTTATACAGGCACACAGCTTAAGACCGATGCTAAGAAGTGGAGGCAGCAGGCTTCTCCTCTCCCTTGATGGCTTTCCTAGACTTATTCAGATGCCATGCACAAAGTAGCACATTTTATTCCCAAGCATTGGGAGTGGGGGCTGTGGTCATTGTTGGGTTACAACTCTCATCACCCCCGATTGTTGACAGTGCAGGCTATGGCTGATGGGAGTTGAAGTACAACTATATCTAGAGGGCCACAGGTGCTGCCCTTCACTGCTGCATTGTGGGAAAAGAAGCCTCTGAGTGCTGAGAGTGGTTTCGGAGAATGGTGGTGCAAGGGGCCTTCTTTTTTTGGTCTCCCAGTGGAGGATAAGCATAGATTTCCAACATGGAAAGCTACTAGTGGTTCCCCATGGTCCAGAAGCATGACCCACATTAACAAGGGGTTGTGCCTTCAGCATAGTGAGCTCAGTTCTATGGAGCTTCATCCAGTAGGAACCAGACAAGGACTGACACTGCAAAGTTTCAGGTGTTGGGTCAGAACAATTTTTTATTTCAGGAGGCTGCTTTAATGTTCTTGTTTTCTTATGTTTAATGTTCTTGCTTTCTTATGTTTAATCTATGCCTTTTGTACATTGTATGTTTAATTTTTTCTTTGTGAGCTGCTTTGAGACAACTGAAAAGTGAGGTAGTAGACCTTTAGACAGAGAAACAAATGAAGAAACAGTTACAGTCAATGACTCTCAGATCCAGCTAGGGTAGGGATAGGTGGCCCCCTTAGTACATTGTCTATAGACCTCTGCAGATTTATCTCATGAAAAGTCCAGCCCAGCGCCAAGGGCTCTTGAACCTCTAGATATGGCCCTTGTGGAAGGTTAATTGCTAACTGTAGCCAGTTGGTTTACTCACATCTAGAGATCTCAGTTTTGCAGGATATGAATGCCTAGCAGTGGTGTCCAAACTTTTTGCAAAGAGGGCCAGATTTGATGAAGTGAAGGGCCGTGAGGGCCAACCAAAGTTGTTGTTGAGGTTTTTTTAGGATTTTACCCAGAAAATAAACTACCACAGGGGCCGGATTAAATCAACCAGGGGGCTGGATTAGGCCCCCGAAACGGACTTTGGACATGCCTGGCTAGGGCTTGGCCAAGGATGCGCAAAGGCAGAGTTCTATTTCACTGATAGCTATAGGCAAGCAGGAGTTCCATGTTGGGGATTGACAGGGCTGGGGGAGGCGGCTCCTTCTCCCAACAGCCCACTTGGTTTCTGTGCTACCTGTAAGAGAAGAAAAACCCCTTTCTCTGCAATCATGGAAATGCAGAGGGGTGCCAGAGGAGCACTCAGTCCTTTCATCCTCCTACTTCCAGTTCACTTGGTAGAAGGCTTTTCTCTCTCTCTCTCTCTCTCTCTCTCTCTCTCTCTCTCTCTCTCTCTCTTTCTTTCTTGTGGCTAGCTTGTTAGGAGAGTAGAGAAGCCTACATTTCCATGTGTGGGGTTGCAGAATAGGACATCTCCACATCTATGGCAAGCATGGGAATGCAGGCTAGTAATATTCTTGAAAAACAAACTTTTGTTGGCTTATTTACAAGGCAGGTTTATTGAAGTGTGTAAACTGTGAACTAGGAAGTCCTTCAAGCAAATGTTTCCTTTGCAGCAAACTCAGAGGTCTTAACAAACCAGTACTCTCTCAGCCTCAGTCCCTTCTCTGCAAAATGGGTATGATAAGGCTGATCTTACCTTGTGAAGCATCATTACTGAACCAATATATGTGATACATTTTAAACTCTCTAAAATGCTCTGTAAAAGCGAACTATTTTGGTTAACATGTTGCAGCTAGTTGGGATTAAGGCTCTCTGCAGCTGGCCCGCTATTTAGATTGTTTATCTGCCAATCCATTTTTTGACTTCCTGCTGTTTAAACTTGTATAGTGGTGGGCAGCACTGCCCCTAGGCTTTGCTGCAGTCAGCAAATTAAAATCCCTTCTCTAACCCCCCCACCAAAACACCCTTAACTGTATGCTGAGTAGCACAGTGCCACCATACGCAATGATCAAGTGTTGATTGGAATTATTCTTTCTCATTTTAATTTCCAAAGCAACTCCTTTCTTCCCCTTGACAACTGGGCCTGTGTTCCAGAGATCAGTTGGCAATCAGGCCGTGCCCCCTGGTATGTTGGGAGCCCTGCCCATCCCATGAGTCGCTGAGCTTGCTTTGTGCTCCTCTTCCAAAAGTGCAACACAGCACATTTCTCTCTGCCTGCAAGTATTTACATAGCTGAGGCAGATGCTGCTGGAATTGTGGTGCCCGCATATCCAGTTTGCCATTATGATTGGGTTAGCCTAGGTGGCGAGGCCTTGGGCTTGGGAGTACAGGAGTGTGGCCAGCTGCTGGCTGCTGGGATCTAGTGTCAGCAAACTGGCATTTCAGAGGACTGGGGGAGTTGGGGACTCTGTGTGCATATGTGCACACATGCGCCTTGGGATCTGGTTATGCTACGTAGTTATGATGTGTCAGGTACTTGCAGGGTTCAATAGTGCTCAGAAGGCCATGTCTTCTTCTGCTTGTACCTGTTCATTCCCCCTTCTCTTCTTTTCTGAAGGGTCTCCGTGTTAATTGTACTGCTTTCCTGGAAAGAAAACCTGGTGCAGGGACATCTCCCGGTAGCTTTTGGTCCTCCTGTGCCAGCCCAGGTCATCATATGGGATTAAATCCTTACTCCCCAGGTTCAACGAGAGGGTGAAGATGGTTCCTCCTCTCCATGGCTTTATGTGGAATGTGTGTGCGCGCATGTGGAGAGGAACCCTGCTGGGTTGACCCAGCTGTGGCCTGACTGAATGCTGCCCCTGATCAGTGTGCACTAGGCTGCTCTTCTGGGTGGCCTGTCACTGCACATCCATCCAGCGCTCCTAGTGATCATAACTCATTAGCTTGTCATGTGTGCAGCTATCACATGGCCTGCCCTCATGCTGGGGAGAGTGGATCTGCACTTAAAGGGGTGGGATGCCCTCTGGCAGATTGGTCCAGTCGTGGTAACGTTCGTGCTTTGGTAGGTGGCATCTCTGTCCCACAGTGTGCTGTTCTCTGTGTTCTACAGCATCTGCCTGCATACAACATCTCCTTGTGTCAGATAACTGCATCATACTGTGTTGCCAAAGATCCTGTGTAGGAGACGGGTCTTCTTGACTTTAGTGGTAGAGCACCTTTGTTGCATGCAGTGTTGGCTGCAGGTTCAACTCCTGAAATCTGTAGGTAAGGATGGGAGAGACCCCCTGCCTGAAACCCTGGAGAGCTGCTGCCAGTCAGTGTAGACAATACTGAACTAGATGGGCCCATGGCCTGACTCCATATGAGGCAGCTTCATATCGTAGAATCGTAGAGTTGGAAGTGACCACAAGGGTCATCTAGTCCAAGCCCCCACAATGCAGAAATCTCAACTTAAGCACCCATGACAGATGGCTATCCAACCTCTGCTTAAAAACCTCTAAGGAAGAAAAGTCCACAGCCTCCCAAAGGGGTCCTTTCCACTGTCGAACATGTCAAATATGTTCCTGTTGAGTTTTTTCTTTATACAATAGAGGTAGGCGGAGGAAAGCACAGCAATGTGAAGTACAGTCATACCTCAAGTTGTGTTTGGTTCATGTTGCGTTTTTTCAGGTTATGAATGCGACAAACCCGGAAGTGTTTGCCTCCGGGTTTGCTGCTTCGCACATGCGCAGGAGCACATTATCGCGTGATGCGCATGTGCAGAAGCAGCGCTCTACTTACGGACTCTTCGGAGTGCGAACGGCACCCTGGAACGGATTGTGTCCATAAGTAGAGGTACCACTGTACCAAAGTGAGTATTTGGCTCAAGATAACCAAATCACCCAGTGCTCTACAGGAAACAGCAACAAATTATCAGGAACCCTATATGTTTGACTGGAGAGAGAGGCAGTGTTAGAAACGGAGATATGAAAGCTAGGAGCTAAACCTTAAACCTAGATTATGGGCACAACAACAGAATGTCTAGGCACACTTTTAACAAGAATACAAAGCTGAAAAATGAATGAACTGCAGCTGAAATCTTATATTCATTTTTCACATGGTCTAGTCCTCATCTGAAGATTGCAAAAAACAACAACAAAGCCATGCTTCCCCTGCCTGCCCCACAAATATTCTTAAGAGGGTCTTTTCTCCAGTCTTCAGAGAGTGGCTGGAAGTGGGGAGGCAGAAAAAGGTCCTCCTTTCCTTCCACTCTGCAGTTTTAATCTGAAACCATAGGCCCAGAGCTCAGGAACTACGTACTCACGCTAATGAAATTCCTTGTCGCAAAACCAGCCTAGAACAATGGGAGTTTCGAATGCTTATTAGACACCAAACATAAACAAAATCTTCTGATTCCTCCGAAAAAGGAATGTGGCTGTTCTGATGGGGTCATGCTCACAAATTCTTGATATCCAGACCAAAGGAACCCCTGGTGGAGGTGTGTGGAAGGTACTGCCTAATCCCATTTGACCATGGAAACGGTCTAGAAAAGAACTTCAGCTGACTCTGCCTTCCATGTTCACAAACCTGAGGATGTTGAATTTGCAAAGCATATCCTTGCATATACATCTGCAATGAGCAAATAAATACAAATAAGCAACGATTCTACTCTGAAATCCACTATAGTGCATCCCAATGCATTTCTGGCTTGGGAGTCATAACTTGTAGAACAGTCTTTCCCAAACTGGTGCCCTCCGGAGTTCTTGGACTCCATCAGCCGCATCCAGGCTTTCTCAAATCTAGACTTAATAGGCATCATGAATTAATCTTTTGAAAATCAGGTCAAAAGTGGAAGTCTCCAATAATAATGCTTAGTATTTTTTTAATTAGGAATTTTTTATATGCTTTCCTGCCATTACTTCAGATTTTCAGACAAAAATTAAACCAAGGAGATAACTGAAGGATGTCCAGCAACATGTCTGTTCCAGGATTTGAACATTATTTTGCCTGTTCTATTTACTACCCACACAACTTTCCAGGTGCTATAAACTCTATTACATGCAGGTAAAATGGTGCAACTTTCTAGGTGCTGCTTTGCATCCCTTGGCAATAAAGAGGCTGGGATTTCCCTAGACTGGATTATTTCAACGTTGACATATCTAAGGATTTTCTGGTAGAAGAATTTTTTTTTTTTTAACATAGTCATTTTAAAATAAGACTTCTGTTCGATTGATCCTAGTGATCTGGGTTTGACAAGCATTAAAAATTGTCAGACATTAGGACCAACCTCTAACAAAACAATATCGGATTTATAAGTGTGAGGGTTTTAGAATTTTTTCAGCCTTTCTTAAGGCAGTTTTTCTTTGCTCTTCTAAATGTAGAGGGGATAGTAGCAGAATGTACGTTGGGGTTTTTTTTTAGGAGGAGCTATTTTAATACTGTATAAACTTGCCTAACGTTTGGACCTTACAGATTCTATTAAGCTGTTTACTTTAATAATCAAATAAAGTTTCTAGTCCTCAGTATACAGTTTAATTCCTCCGCAGTTTCGAAACTATAAATCCCATTTTGTGATACTTTGTTCACTGAAATATTTGTGACACCCCCACCCATCCTGCAGAAAGAAAGAAAAACTCCCAAGATCCTCATCTCCCTTGAACTGATCTGCTTACTGTGCTCTCCTGCCTTGCATAATGGGTTTCCCAGGTGCTAGGCCTGAGTGGTACAATCTGCAACTTTCTTAGGCTGTTGTCTCTGAGAGTGGCCCAGCTGTGAGGTCAAATTCGGGACCTCCCTGGAGTCCCAGGCTCATTGGTTCAGGCCAACATTTGCATGAAAACGGGAGCTTTTGTCTCCCAACTTCGGCTTCTGCTGCTGTTCCTGCTGGTGGATTATTTCTCCCATAATCCCTTAGCCTGGCGGTTGCTGGGAGATGTTGATTATGTTAAGGACAAGAGGATCCTGACATCAAACAGGGCCTGGAGCAGCAGGGGCCTGCATGGAAACAAAGATCCGGTTTCCAGGCAGATGCCTGTCCTGGATGAAGAGGAGCAGCAAGTGTGGGGTGGGTAGGGGAGGGCATGGCTCCCTAGATGGATGGACTGTGGAAAATGGGCTCCCTTCTCTGGGTATCCCTGAAATTCAGCTTATAAATGCTTCTTGAACTCATGTGTTAGATGACATACAGATTATTGTGTCTCGAGTACATTTATGTGTTGTGTTGGCAAGTCTTAGGCTGCTCAAAGAACTTCTTGTCATACGGCAGCCCATCAGTAATGCAAATAAAATAATAGACTTAGATGGGGATAATGTCTATGGCATGATTTTAGGCTGTTTTCATACTTTGCCTTTTGAGTTGCTCTCCTTTTATGATAATGAAACCTAGAGGAGGGCATTTGACTAGCCAAAATAGATCCTGCCTCTTTAAAGCACTGGCATTGTGAGGACAAAGGAAAAAATAAATAAACTTCAAACTTTTGTTTATAAATACATTTCAGCTGGGCCACAGTGGCTGCCTTGGCACGTATTGGCAAGCCAAACTTTCTGATTTTTCGTGGTTTATTGTGAACAAGCCGTGTGTTGGTGCAACCTGCCCAGTAGTTCCAGCTTCACTCCTTCCCTGACATGAGAGTGGTAAACAGTCCAGGAATAATTGGCTTATCATTATGTCTGAACTCACAGACCCTGGTTTGTTGCTCCTTAACAAGCAATGTTAACGAGCCAACCTTAACCCACGGTTCGCGGTTGATTTGCTGATTGGGACGATCCATGGTTTAGATGCAATCTCCTTCTTCTCCAGGGTGGGGAGCAAAGCAGGAATGATTGGGCAATGTGCACTAACCCACTGCTTGTTCACAATAAGCTGCAATAGATTGGAAACTTTGGCTTACCGTTTTGTGCAAACATGGCCACTGCAACAAGTTATGTAAGAACCTGGCTGCTGTTTTCTTTAAAATATGGATACATTATTACAGGGGTAGGCAGGCAAACTAAGGCCCGGGGGCCGGATGTGGCCCAATTGCCTTCTAAATCTGGCCCGCGGACGGTCTGGGAATCAGCGTGTTTTTACATGAGTAGAATGTGTGCTTTTATTTAAAATGCATCTCTGGGTTATTTGTGGGGCATAGGAATTCGTTCTTTTACCCCCTTCAGAATATAGTCCAGCCCACCACATGGTCTGAGGGACGGAGGACCGGCCCACGGCTGAAAAAGGTTGCTGACCCCTGCATTATTATATGAGCACTCTGCTGTCCTGGGTTCATTTCAAGAGGTTCCTTTCCATGTGTCTCCTTCCAGTGCTTGAAAGGGTGGGGAGGGATGGACAGGCAGGAAGCATGGGATACATTAAGCATAGTTTGGATTCATTCCAATGATCCTTCTGGCCTAATAACTTGTGCTGGTAGGGTTGGTTGGCATCTGTCTGTCTTGGGAGACAATGGAAGAAAGTGCCTTTGGGGGTGAAGTTAAACTGTTGAGGAGTTACAGCTGCTGCTGTGGCTGTAGAGACGATACAGGAGAGACATGTTTTGTTGCAGCTGGGGCAGATGAAGGTGCCTGGTTACGCTGATGCAGGTGCGCACTTCCCAGCAGTTGTTCCCCCTCTGGTTAGGGACAGCAGTGGTGATCATCAAAAGGAAGAAGCAACACCCAGAGCAGAGCAGCTTTCCATCCTGTTCTTCTGTGAAAATTGTGCTATATTCCTTAGTTCAGGACCAGCCAATGTGAGCCCTCTGGGTGTTTTTGGACTCTTGCACCCATCAGCCACAACTAGCCCTGGCAATGGTCAGATATGATGGGAGCTTGCAGCCTCAACAACTTTGGCTGTCCCTGTTCTAGTTCTTGTTGATCAACAGGATGGGACATGTTTGGAAAGTGTCCAGGTGGCTGAATGTGCTGAGCACAAGTCGTAGTTGATAGATATAAAGCCAGTTCAGGAGTCGAACTTTGAAAACACCATCTTTAGAATGCTTTGCCAGCAACCAGTGAACTGAAGTTCTCAGTTTACATTGATCAAGGTCCAAACATGGAAATGTGTGCTGTCTAGGGAAGAGTGACACTGTATAGCACATTGCACAAAAATCAGCATCTTTCATTTTGGCAGAAAGACTGGGGTGTCAGAGAATCTGTCTGCAAGATGCCTCTGTTAAAGTTTGTGGAAGCTGCAAATTCAGTATCCTTGGGTGATGTGGAAGGGGGTTGACAAAGGACGGATTGTTGTCTGCTTGCTGTAAATGAACTTTCCTTTCAATGCTAACTGCAGCTTCTCAGCATGTGTCACACATCTCTGATTCTGCGGGCCAAAATAGATATGTGCATGCTTATTATACACTAACAGAATACACTTTATTCAAGTGTTGGAGAGGGTCAGGGGGTGTCTCCTGCTTTCCTATATCAACACGAGTGTCAGGGGGAGCAGAACGAAACCCGCCCCCTGCCTTGCCATGCCATGCCATGCTTGACTGGTTTAAGCTGTTTTCAGTCAGCCTGGCTTGGATACCAGAAGTGAGCCAGGCTGTGAGAGGCAAACAGCCTTAAGTGGCTGAATATGGCAAGTTCAGACAGGATGGGGGCCTTTTTTGTTCTTCATGTGCTCATTTTGCTGCAAAAAGTAAGACTTTATAGGCAAATGGGTGAATAAACATATGGATACCTAGTTTAGCTCTGTGTTGTGTCTGTCATTTAAATGACCGGGGGGGGGGTTCCCTTTAAAATAATCCCAAATTCCCAGTGGCATATGGACATAGAGGATGCTGCCTTCGTGTCGGACCATTGCTCCTTCTGGCTCCCTGTTGTCTACTTTGAGTGTGGGGAACCCAAGGCCAGCCATGTCTTCTGGGGGCTACATGTGGGGTGGGGCCAGCTGCAAAAGTGGGTGGAGAAATTAGTGTAAATTTTACCTTTACATGATAGCCTAGTTTCTTATTATTTATTCTGTATCACCACACACCCACAAACTCCACTCTGTCCTCCCTCCATTGTATACCAATGCAAGCAGGGGGCATTACTAGAGAGTTCACATTCCAGCCAGAGAGTGGCACATCCCATTTTGCCACCTGAGGCAATATGGGAAGTGCTGCCCTGCTGCTGCCACCACTCCCACCCCCACCATACCTGCCACTGCTACTGCCTCTATCTGTTGTGTGCCCTGCTACTTCTGACGCTGGTGGGGTGACCGTGGGGATGCTGCCTCAGGGATTTCTACTGCCTGAGGTGGTGATCTCACCATGCCTAATGACAGGGCTGGCCCTGAGCAGAGAAGGGTAGGGAGGGAATGTAGCAAGGGGAGGATTCTAAGGGTTAGACTCCGATAGGGAGACTTGGGTGTTGCATTGTCTCCTGGTCCTGAGGTTCCCTCCCATCCCTGATCTACTCTGTGTAGCAATCTTGAAGATGTCTTTCTACCTGGGACCTTGTAGCTGGAGATGCAGGGGGTTAAATATGAGATCTTTTGCGTGCAGGTCATGTCCTCTGTCACTGAGCCATGGCATTTTCCAACTATTTGGGATGGTTGAGAAACTCGCATGCTCAAAACTCTTTGTTCTCTCCAATCCTGTGAGGAGATTAAGAAAACATCATATTAGGTGGGTTCTTTCATTCTGCTTTTGTGAGCTATTACGGAAACACTTTTATGTTTTCTATCTTCTCTCAGCCATGAAGGCTAAGCGATCAGAAAAAGGAAAGCTTAGCTTTTTGAGAATTTCAGCCAGTGTTTTCAGGCTGCGCAAAAATGGCTCAGCTCCCGCTGTGAGGCTGGACTTCGCTATCAGGCAGAAGACTCTGGCTCTCTGATCTTGATAAATTTGGTTATCAGAGCCCCATCTCCATTCCCTTTCAGAATCTTGTTAAACATTTAACGCCCTGCTTCATTATTTCATTTGATGGGAAGCTCAGCAGGCCGCTTTTGGACAGAGACGACTTGGCCACTGCACAATCTATGCCCTGGTAACTTCCAGATCGGATTATTGTAGCACATGCGACATGGAGCTGCCCTTGAAGATGACTCAAAAACTTCAGCTGGCCCAAAATGCACTGGCCAGATTACCAGATGGGGTTCCATTATACTAACATGGCTCAGCATTTCAAGCAGGGCTGGGGGACCTTTTTCAGCCTGGGGAGCCATATTCCCTCAAAGGCAACGTTCTGGGAGCATACCTACGGTGGGTGTAGCCAGTGGCAACAAGTGGATGGAGCAACAGGTGTGATTACTTCCTTCACACAATAGGTGCACAGTTCAGAGGTTTCTACACCTGCCTCTCCATCTAGGCAAGTAAGAGGCATTGTCACAGTTCAAGGACACATTCCAGCCAAGCAAAAGCACTCAAGGATGGGGTGGAGCAGGGCCACTGACACAGCAGGCATTGGCATTTATGTGGCCTGAGGGGAGTCTCAAGGGTCAGATGGAAAGACCTGGAGACCCAGATTTGATCCCCTGTCTGGAGGTTCCTTATCCCTGGATTAAAGCTTTAGTTGACTGAGGCCCAAAATACCTGAAAGATTGCTTTGTTCCCTAGAGGCCCTCTCAGGTGTCAACAGATTGGGCCCTCTTGGTAGATCTGCCACCCCCCGGGCCATGTAGTAGCTCCCAGCTTCAGTCCTTGGCATCTCCAGGTAAGAGTTGGGAGAGACTTCCTGCCTGAAGCTCTGGAGAGCTGCTGTTGGTCAGTGTATACAGTACTGAGCTAGATGGGCCAATGATCTGATTCTGTATAAGGCAGCAGTTCCTATCTTCCTATCTCAGAGGTGAGGGAGGTGGTGACCTGGAAGAGAGTATTTTCTGTGGCAGCCTCTAAGCTGTGGGATTCCTTCCCTATAGAGGAACACCAGATTATAAAGGTTTTACCATATGCTGAAGATGCCTTTGACACCTGAGATGCATGTTTCTAGAACCCAACCTATTCTTTTGATTGTAAATTGTTTGATCTGATTTTTAAATCGTATTTTTAACATTGCTGTAAGATGCCCTGGGACTTTATGGTGAAGAGTGGATAAGAAAACATTTTATTCTTATTACCTGTTGAGTGGGAAGGGTATTTATTCTTTAACCAAAGTTAATGCCACTTACACTTGTGGAACATTCCCTCATTTTTTGGCTTTGCTGCAGCAGGCAGCAGATGAATTTTGCATCATCTCTGATCTGGCCCATACGGGCAGCTCATTGTCTGTGCTGTTGCAGGCTCTGTAGGCTATTTTCCTCTTCGAAATTGCTTTCTCTCTTGAATAGATTCCAATTGCAAATTGTAGCGAATGTTGAATTGCGTTAACCCTGCCATGCAGCTACCTTTGAGTTAAAATCTGGCAGCTTTATAAACTAGTCTGTGCCGGCTTGGAGTAGGAACTGAATAATCCCTTGTCTATGGATAGGAAGCCTAAGCTAACTGGAAAGGACATTGATGCTATTCTGGTGTTCTCTGCAGCAAGTGCAAATGGTGTTTCTGTGGCCATTCATCTAGCCCCTTAGCTCCCCATCTGCCCTGAACAATTTCCTGTGGGCACTTGGGAATTCCAGCTCCAAAGCTATAGACTCTGCAGCTTAATTATTTGCTATCTTATTATTTATGCCATCTGGACTGGGGGCTGAGCTGTCCATATTGCTTCCTCTACTGGGACATCCACAATCGGGGATTTGTTTTTTGTTTTTTAAAGGCCTTAGCTTTCCACAGTTCGAAGGCATGCTTATATAGAACTATAGCTGTCAACATTTCCCTTTTTAAAAGGAAAATTCCCTTATTCCGAATAGGATTCTTTGCAAGAAAAGGGAAAAGTTGACAGCTATGTATAGAACATAAGAAGAGCCCTGCTGGATCCAGCAAAAGGCCCATTTAATCCAGTATCTTGTTCTCCTAGTGGCCAACCACATGCCTGTAGGAAGCCCTCAAGCAGCCCTGGAGTGCAACAATGCTTTCTGCACTTGTGATTCTGTTTGACTGTAGTGAAAGCGTGAGCATGGAGCTAAAATGTATATGAGGTCTGTCTGTTTGTCCAGTATCCCAGTATCGTGTACTCTCATTGGGAGAAGCATTCCAGGTACTCAGGCAGAGGTCTTTCCCCATCACCTTTTTTAACTGGAGAGGCCAAGGACCAAACTTGGAAACCTCTGGATGCAGTGCATGTGCTCTGCTGCTAAGCAATGGTCCCTCACCGCAGCATGTGCGCAAAGCAATGTGTTCATTTTCAGCAATCTGGAATTCAGATTCAGCAATTCCCTGTTGCAGTTTGGAAGCCTTATGGCCAGGGTGGACAGCCAGTGGGCATGATAGAATTGTTGGCAGGTGGGCTTCAATCCCCCACCAAATTTTTCTTTCTTCCTCCTCCTTGATTAGGCCAAAGAACTGCCTGGGCAGGCAACACTAGTCATATTTCAAAGTGAGGCTTATGGTGCCCATGGATATGCATTGGCAGGGTGGAAATAAGAACAAACCTTTCTCGTAATTCTGCAGATACGATGGTGTTGTTAAGGCAAACTATTTGGAATCCAACCATACTTGAGTTTGTGTTCCCAAGCTTTGGGTTAGAGAAATGGAGCTGAGCTGTGACTTTTTGCAGATTGTCTACTGTTCCTCACACACCATATCCCCACCTCGGCGCCTTGCTTCTAAAAAGCTTTTCCATGCTCTGTACAGTGCCAGTGAATGGATGTGGAAGAGAGCTGTTTTCTCCTCCTCTCCTCCCACCACCTTGGTTCCTTTTAATTAACTCTCCATGCACAATCTCTCTCCCCCCCCCCCTTACCCCGCTGAACTGTTAAATCCCTGTTTGGCATGCAAAGAGGGACCCTTTGGGGCTCATAGGTCTTCTGGATTATTTGCCATCCCTTGCCTCAACCTCCCTTTCCAGGGTTCTCCTGAAGGCAGCAACCATGACATTAGCTCTGTGGGGCAAGGAGGCAGTGGGACCCTTGTTAGCTGGCATGACAAAGACCCCCCCCCCCAAATTCTCAAAACTCTTTGCCAGCCTCTCAGTTGTAAGATGGGCTTATATATCTTTAAATGCAAAACTCTCGAGTCAAGTTTGAGTTCACTCGGCTTGCCTTCTGAGCTCTAAGGGTCTTCAAATTTTTCTTTGTACCCAAGAAGAGGACAAGATAGTTATCCGCAAATGAAAGCTGCCTAGAGACATTTGTAGTTAAGCAGTACACAAATTATTTAAATAGTATTAAATAGTATTAAGAAGAAAGGTGATATTCTCGGGACAGTTAACAACAGTAAATCACCTCCCAACTCCCTTGCCAAGTGTTCCTCTGCCCTTGCTGTTTTTTGATCAGCCCTGTTCTTGAGAGCAGGGGCAGTTCTTGGGGCATTTGGGATAATTCCCTTTCCTTTCTGTCAGCTTTCTGCAGAGAAGACAGAGAGCAGATGCTCAGGGCTGGGCATATCTTTGGGGAAGCATAGGAAAGGCAGACCTCTGGAACAAGAGCCAAGCAGGGTCTCCCTTGACCATTTGCTGCAAGACGTATCACCTCTGTACAGCTGTCACTCAGCACTTGATGTCCCACCACCATCTAATACTGCCTTACGTTTTCCCAGCCTCAAGGCAAAACCCCGTTGGGACTAGAATTTCAGGAAGGGAGTGCATGAGAGGATCCCGGCCAGACCCTGTTGGGAGCAAGTGTCTGGGGGCGGCTTGTCAGGGAGTTGTTATGCTGTGTAAGTGCCCTTTCCTCCCTCATGTGGCTTGCAAACCAGTTGGTGTGGTCAGTTGCAGCAGAGTTAATAGCCCAATCAATTCTAGGCATTTTTCCCCCCTTGGAAGCAAGTCTCACTGAACGGCGTGGGGTTTACTCCCAAGTAAGTTTTCATAGGATTGCAGCTCAAGTGTATGTCACTGCAGCCTTTGAGTGCATGTAATACACAGAAAAACTGTCTGCGGACAAATGCCAGCTCCCTCAGCCGGTAAAGCAAGATGAGCGCCACAACCCCAGAGTTGTTGTGACTGGACTTAACTGTCAGGGGTCCTTTACCTTTACCTTTAGTGCACAGAAAGGCTGAAATCCTAGCGTATGTCTTTCTGCTTGATCACTGGGTGAGTGGTTCAGATGCAACGCTTGTAACCACTAGAAGCTGTGCGTTCGGTGTAGTAGCCTGTGGAATTCCTTGCCACTTGACATGAGATGTGCACCCTCCTTGCTGAACTTCAGGCTCATGACTAAGACCTCCTTGTTTCAGGGGGCATTTTAAGGTAGTGTTCGGTTTTATGATAAATGATACGAGCTGTTCGATAGTGGAATGGACTCCTTTGGGAGGTTGTGGACTCTCTTTCATTGGAGGTTTTTAAGCAGAGGTTAGATGGCCATCTGTCATGGATGCTTCAACTGAGATTCCTGCATTGCAAGGGGTTGGACTCAATGACCCTAGAGGTTCCTTCCAAGTCTACAATTCTATGATTCAGAATTTATTGTTTAATTTTCTGGGTTTTGTTTTTAGGTGCACCACTTAGAAGCATGAATGATTAAACAATATATAAATGTCTTAAATACGTAAACATAAATAAGAGTAAAAAGGATTAGGCTCTGACTGCAATTTCCTTGTTGATATAATTTTCCCATTTGACACAAGGGCGCTGGCCAGTATCAAGACTGTGTTGCTATTTTCAGTCTCCTTCTTGTGTGCTTGAATTTTCAAAATTCAAGGCCTTGTTCCCAGAAACATCCCTTCTTGGCCTCACGAAAACTAGAGTTAACTCTTCCTGCAGCAGTCGCTCCTTTTCAGATTTCTTCCTGTATGTTATTATTTCAAACTTGTTCTTGTATATTATTAACTACCTCCTCCAGGTTTTTCTTTTTCTTTGAAGGCACAACTTTCCAGCCTTCTTTGCTATGGAAAAATGTTGGGGAACTTGACTCACATTTTTCTGACCTCTGTTTTGTAAATCTCTCCCTCCTACCCTGTGCACTTTCATTGCCCCTTTGCCAAAACATCCAAGTTCTCTGAAAGCCCCACTTAACAGAAGCAGAATATACAAACAGAGATCGTGATCTAATTCATATTCGCGTGGACTGTACAAATGCATCTGGAATGTGGGGTTTGGGAGCAAAAGCCCATCCCATGACTCAGCGCTGGGCTTTCTTTTTTCTTTTTTAACAATCAGTGGAAGTAGAAGTTGTCAGGAAGTACTCCTGAGATGTGTGTACTGGAAAAGAACTTCACTTCCTGGGAAGATCTGATAGTGATGGTCTTCCTCTTGCAGTGGCCTTGCTTATTCCGTATACGCCCCTCTCCCCATAGGAGAACAGATTCTCAGTCATCTAAAATTCTTTGCAATCATTACAAAATCACAGGGCTACAAGATTGTCAGCCAGACAAACAAGCCAAAGTGGTTTGGGAACATTTTCTTATGTTTCTTATGCTTTGGCTTCTTTTAGATGTTTTAAAAGGATGTTTTTTGTTTTGCAGTCGGCTCACTTTGTGCAAAAATGTAGCCAGGTAGGATGCAGCAGAAGTTACCCCTGAAAGCGAATCCTTTTCCTTGTAGCTTTACTTCCCTCCTGTTCTTGCATTATGTTGTTTTGCCATGCTGTGAATCCCTTACTTGGAGCATCTTTCTATTTTCTGTTCATCACACATCTCTCACTCCTTAAGTCCCTTCATCTCAATATCTGCTCCTTCAGCAATGTAATTTTCCTGACCTTATCTACACCTTTAGATTCACCTGACTTCCCCCAGTCTCTTGCCACTTTCCTAACCTTGCCACTGGTATATTCTGTACTGCACTGGCCACATTGTTGGTACTTAATCAATTTCGAACAGTTGTGCCTGTCTGAAGATTTTTGTGAGCGCAGATGCCACAACCTTGGTTTCTATCATCTTGCTGCTTTCTGGTGTGAAGAACTAACAGAAATGTGTTGTATATGTTTTCACTTGTTAGCCAGTAGCACCTGTGGCCACCGTTCATTCAGCCGCTCTCTCGCCTCATTCACATGCCTCCGATTCACATCTTACTGCCTGAGCAGCTGGATTTCAAACATGGCAACGCAAAAGTTATAACAGTGGTTTCTGTCCCTCTTAGATGTGTTGCTGTATCAGGAATGTTTGAGTTGATGATAGCACACAGAAGGCACACACACCACAACCTGTAGTTGTCTTGGGCTAGGATATTTCTGATCTCTTTGCATGAATTTGTAGACTGTAATCTGGGCATCTCAATCTGGCAACTGTTCCCTTCAACACCCTTTAAATCTGTGAGCAAGGGTAGAGTCTTTTGCATGTTGATGCTCTCTGAAACATTGTAGTGAAGCATAAATCCCTTTACGCTGGGGAGCATTGGGGAGCCTGCCTTTCATTACGCAAGACCAAAGGCTTGTGGTAAGCAAGGAAAACAAGGCCAAAGTATTACCTTTGAGGTCTTTCTCCTGTTGCAGATTCTGTTCTATTAGAGTCGTTCTCCGCTCCCAATTCCCCTCTGCTTTTCTAAAAAAATGCTCATGTACTCATGCACTGCCCAAGATGGGAGTTGAGCAGGGGCTGGTTTAGTGCCTAGGGTTGGAATAAATGCGAGTTAGTTCCGCTCAGTGATCCTGAACTGCTGGCAGGAGCGGGAGACACAGGCGCTTTCTATTTAAAGCACAGCACAGAGGGCAGGTTATAAAAAGGAAATCTGCTCTGCGGACAGAAGCGAAGGGAGAGGGAAGCCGAGAGCGGGGAGGTGCTGCTGTGCTTGGGCTTCCCTCCCCCATGGCTCTTCTCCGTTGGTGGCATGGCGGAGAAATTGCCTCCCGGAATCCTTCTGCTTCCTTCCACCCCAGCTCCCGTATCAGTTCTAGGTGGGTGGCTTCCCCATTGACTACAGTACCTCCTAAACCGAACACGAAGCATCTTCTGCTTCTTACGGAAGGGGGAAAATCACATGCAATTCTGGGAAGGATTAACAGAAGCCGTATGTATAAATGGCAGGCTAGTCGTTTCCCTCTGTGCAACATTAGCAGGGTGTTTGTCTGCAGACCTGCTTGGAGCTCCCAGCTTCAGCTGCAGAAAGGAAGAGGCGTGCAAAAGAAATCCACGTTGGAAAAGCAATTGGGCAATGGGCATTTTCCATGGAGACTGGCAGGCAGCTCTAGCTGGCTGTCCTGGCTCTTGGAAGCAAGGAGAGGCAGCCAGGATGCCCATCCTGGAAGGAACAAACAATACCCCAGCTGTCTCTCCTAGACTCAAGGGCCAGAAAAGACACACAGCCTTTCTAGCTTCATGGGCTGTTGCTACTTGCCCTAGGCAAGTGGGTTGTTGCGCCTCTGAAACATAGTATTGCGTGGGAACTCTAAAGCAGGGATGGGGAACCTGTGGTTGAACTTCAACTTCCATCAGCCCTGCCTAGCATAGCCGATTGATGAGATTTGTAGTCCAACAACAGCTAAGAGGCCGCAGGTTCTGCTCGAAAGGAAACCTGCCTCTGTGGAAAGAGTTGGCACTCTGGTCTCCCTCCAGTTCCCTTCCAGCCTTTGAAACTCTTTGAACACAATCAAAGGTGGCCTTTAAATGATAGTGGTTCCTACGTCCCTGCTGTTATGTAAAAAGGCATGGCAGGTACGTTCTGCAGCTTTCTTATCACTCTTGCCCACTCTGAGTGTGCTGAATCTTGGGTGGAGACTTTCCCACTTCTCTGTGCAGTAGAGATAGCTTGAGAGGGCACTCCCCACATACACACTGGTGTATTTTGCAGTGGGGCAGGAAAGCAGTGGACGTAACTGCTGCTGATTCTTCCAGGACTAGTTTATATATGTAGAGCATATAAATTTACATCCGGACATGTGTTGAAATAGGAGGATTTGTAGCATCCATAGCATTCTGTAAAAATAGCTCATGGGAGTCTTTCTGGCTTGATGGAGACCAGGAAGCAAAACACCCTTCTCCACAAGTGCAAGGTAGGCTCTGGACCTGCTCTGCAAGGGAGATCTCTCCTCCTTTGTGTTTTGGAAGCTATCTTTAACCTTAAATATCATTGCCTGGCAGTGATATTGGGGGAATTTGAGTTGCTTTTAGACTGGGATTTTCTGAATGCCAGTATTTCCCTGGCAGGAAAGAGACTGACTTAACTTTTCCAGTGTAAATGAACTATGGAACACAAACTCTGCTCCTTGGCCTGTTTTCGATTTTGCTTTTCCCTCCTTGCTGCCAAGGCTTCTCTTTCTCCCCTAAGCCACCTTTGATCGTCTCCCCACATAGCAGCTCAAAGGGACCTTTCCCATTGACCTCTGGCTTGGCAGAGTGTGGAGGTTGAGAGCTGATGGGCTCCTTTGTGTGGTCTGATTCCTCAGTGATTGGTGCTGTCATTCCCAGGCGAGGCCTTCTTTTTCTTCTCCTCAAAGGAGAACCAACTCTGAGAACAGACCCTTGCGTCAGAGGCTGCTTATGCTGCCTCTTTTTGGTGGGCCCTGCTGATGTGGTGATTTCCTGGTCATGTTCTTAGCAGTCAATCCCTTCTCTCTTTCAGACCACGCGCAAAGCCCCTCCTGCGGACATCATGGCCATAGTGCAGACCCTGCCTGTCTCCATTGAGTCCGCCTCTGAAGGGGCTGCCCAGCTCCACACGAGTGCCTGCCCGTCCCCTGCAGCCATGGGCAGTGTCAGCAGCCTAATCTCTGGCCGGCCTTGCCACAAAGCCACGACAGAGTTTGGCCCTTTCCGCCTGCCTGGCGGGGCTGGTTCCCAAGAGCCCCTGTGCCATGGACTTCCCACCAAGAAGAGCAGCTATGCTTACGTAAGCGAAGAGGACTGGGCCGAAGAGGTGTCTCCCATCAGCCCCTGTAGTGACACGGAAGACCTGCAGGATGACAAGCCCCGAGTTGGCACCATCCGCGGACCACCCCCCAAGTTGGTGCCTGTCTCGGGGAAACTTGAGAAGGTAAGTAGAGAGTGTGCTTTGGGAAGAACAAGCTGGTCTGTCTAGATCAGCCTTCCCCTATCTGGTGCCTGCCAGATATTTGTACTACAACTCCCACCATCCCTGACCATTGGATATGCTGTACTAGGGCTGATGGGAGCTGTAGTCTTAAATGACCTGAATGGTACCAGGCTGCGGAGAGTTGTTGATGAATGTTTCCTCAGCCCTATCAAAAGGCTAATAAGGATCCTCTTCCTCCATTGTTCATCTCTATACTGATTCTGTCTTGAGAGAAATGAATACTGAACACAGGAATTCATCCTTCTCAGTCACCCAGTTAAACCCAGGAAGGTGTTTGCAGCTAAGGCAAAACCGTGGGGTTTCTGCAGGAATTTTTCCAGGGGCATATTAAAGCACCGAAAGAGGGAGCAGGTTAGTTTCTCACAACCCACAAAATAAGAGGAATAGTGTCTCTACATTTTGCCTCATAACTCAGCTTCTACAAGTGCCAGAAACGCCATCTTTATTTTAAAATGAAAGCTGGGGATTATGGTTCATCCATGGTAGGGGTGGGCAACTATTCATGAGCTCTCTTATCCATGTTGCTAAATGGTGCTCCTGTTTGCCTTTGTCTGTATCAGCTAAAAAAGGGCAGCCAGAGTCGCACCACATGTAGCACCGTAGTCGCTCATGTTCTTCCTTGCTTAGGAGAGGGTTGTGACAGCTGAGGAGAAGGCAGGTAGGTCCATCCTCGAAAGAAGTTCAGAAGTTCAGAAACAGCCCTTCTAATCTTGACTGAGATTAGACAAGGCCCATTACCTCTCTTGGTATGGAGTACACGCCTGCCAAAAGTGTGATAAGGCGGAGAGGGTTCATTATCCATTGATTTAACTTTCCGGTATCAACCTCCACCCTAGCAATCCTGTGCCCGTGTGCTGTTTTTCAGGCCATGGAGAAGACGCTTATCCGTCCCACGGCCTTCAAGCCAGTCATGCCCAAGAACCGGAATGGCCCCCTGCATGGGCACTTGGCTCTGCGTCCCGGTGCCTCCGTGCTCTCCGAGAGCCAAGCTAGTCTCGCCCAGCTCTTTGGCGGTGCCCCTGCGGGCAGCACCGAGAAGCACAACTCCCTGAGCTGCCGAACCAGCTCTCACTCAGGGACCATGTCGGACTCGGGGCGCAACTCCCTCTCGAGCCTCCCCACCTACAGTACTGGATGCAGCCAGCAGATGGAGCCAGTCAGCATCTCCATGGGCCACATCACCCTGGACGGTGGCGGCGGCGGAGGAGGCGGTTCGCGTGGCCTCACGGGGCCTTCAAACTCAGACAGCGGCCGCTCGTCGTCGAGCAAGAGCACGGGCTCTCTGAGCGGCCGGGGCCACCATTCCTCCGACAGCGGCTCCTGCGGGGGACGTTCGCCTGTGCACAACGGAGCAGATGAAGCCCTCCTCATTCATGAACTCGAGGAGAAGTTGCGGGAGCGTGAGGTTGAGCTGCAGCACTTGAGGGAGAGCTTGGACGAGAATGAGGTGGCCATTTGCCAGGTAAGCTGCTTGGGGTTGCCCGCTTGCTCCTAATGCAGGCAGGTCTGATGCAGCAGGGGGAGCGCTCGTGTTTCTCACTAGGGAGAGGTTTTCTTTGGTTTTTGAAAGGCTGCTTCTACTGTGGGACTGCCTTTGTTGGTGCTTGGAGCGGCAGCAGCTTCTCGTTTTACCAGGCAGCTTTCATGAGGCAGTTGCTTTAGGGCAGGAACCGGCAGGTTCATCTCCAATAACATCAAGCAACTGGGAGCTCCTTTGGGGCACAGTTAGGTTAAATTCACCTCAAGGCAGAAAGGGGTACACTGCCTATCTCAAGGTGCAGTGTGTTGTCGATGTTGACTAGGCTGGCAGCACTGCATGCTGGAAACTAGTCCTTGCAGGAATTAGCAGCATAACTTGGTTTCCAGTGTGCAGATTTGCCCCTCCCCTTCTTGGCAGCTTCCGTACTATGACATTAACAAGTTCCGCAACTGTTTGTCTCACAGCATCCTGCTGTCATGGACAAAAATGAGTAATCATAAATAAGGTCTACATAATCTAATAAAGGAGCATTGTTGTGTGTCTTGTTACCAGAGTCATGATTTCACAAATGTTTCCAGTCTGTCATCTTGCTTTTCCAGACAGCATAATAATCTGTTCCCGGAACCCAGTTTGCACTTTGTTATAATCTAGGTCAATTAGTTGTAATTTTGGGTGCTTGCAGGCTGCTATTATTGTAATCTTTCGGTTGAGACCCAGTGGTTGGCTACATCCCCTCCCATGCTGACTAGGATGTGTGATCAGGAGTGTAGTATCCAGAGCACAAAATGTTATAGTCCCATTATTGTGTGCTGGTTGAATCTGGACTACTGCATGCAGTCCTGGACGCCATGTTTTAAGGGGGATACGGGCAAGCTGGAGAATGTTCCGTGGAAGGCAACCAGGATGCTGAGATGTGGAGGAACCAAGTCATATGAAGAACGGTTGAAAGAGCTGGATGTGTTTAGCCTGGAGAAGAGAAATTTAAGGGGAGACATGATAGCTGCCTTTGACTATCAGAAGGGCTGTCACTCAGATCAAGAAACAGATGTGTTCTCTGTTGCTCCAGAGGGCAGAACTTGCACCAATGGGTGGAAATGGCAAGGAAGCAGATTTCAGCTAAACATTAGGAGAAAATTCTTAATGGTAAGAGCTATTTATCAGCCTTAAAAAAAAGTATGCAAAACAGGGACTGTTTCCCTCCTCCCACCTACCTGAAATTTGACAGGTCTGATCCCTGGGAGGGGTAGTGGAAATTCTGGAATGTTGATGCCAACTGAATTAAAACACAGAAGCTGCAAGCGGCGGCAGAGCTTTCCTAATGCAAGCAGTGACCTGGGGGTTGATGAAAAGGGGTGCTTTCCTTCCAGGTGTACGAGGAGAAGCAGAGGCGCTGCGAGGAAGAGATGGAAGAGCTGCGGCAGGGCTACACCGCCAAGCTCCAGCAGTCGGCGCAGAAGGCCCAGCGCAGCCAGCAGGTGCTGCAGCTCCAGATCTTCCAGCTGCAGCAGGAGAAGAAGAAACTCCAGGAGGACTTTGCACAGCTGCTGGCCGAGCGGGAGCTGCTGGAGAAGCGCTGCGCCTCCTTTGAGCGAGAGCACACGGAGCTGGGGCCCCGCTTGGAAGAGACCAAATGGGAGGTGAGCCCAGGCTGCGGGAAAGAGGGGCCTCCCTATCTCCCCCGCCCCCAGGTTTGAAAGTTGCATAGCGCACAAGGTTGCACTGCTAGCAGAGGGCTGGCTGTGCTGCTTTTAGAGATCCTGGAGGTTCCCTCTTGCCTTATTTCCCTTTAGAAGTCTTTAAACACCTGCCTTTAGTCTATCCAGGGAAGTTACCCCCTCCCTATCACTAGTTATCCCTTTCTGGCCGAATTGGAGGACAGTCCAGAGCAGCCTTCCCATCCAGCTGCCCTCCAGATGTTAGTTGACAACAACTCCCATCATCCCTGACCTTTCACCCTGCTGACTGATGGGAGTTTGAGCCCAACAGCTTCTGGCTGTTGAAGAAGGCTGGTATAGAGTCTTGAAGTATAGCTTTCACCATGGGCTTGGTAATAATCCCTGACATACTTTTTAGTTCTCTCCTAAATCCTCAAAACACATCATTTTAGGCACTGTTCAGAAGATGTCGAGCAGAGATGTTTGGGTCTTTTCGGGTGGGGGGAGTGGAGGAAATATTCCTGTTGACAGGAGCGGATTATTTGGTGGGAGAGAGTATCAGGGCTCACCCTGCTTGAGGTTATTGGACTCCCCTTTCAATCTCTTCCATCCTTGCCCTAGGCTGTGATTTTGCTCCTGGGCTTGAGGGCAGCAGGCTACCTTCTCATGGAGGAGAAGGCCAAGGATGGTTACTAGCCATGATGGGTGTGCTCTGCCTTCCACTGCTGGAGGCAGTAATCCTTCTGAATACCTGTTTCTGGAAACCACCGGAGGGGAGAGGGATCTTGTGCTCCAGGGGTCCTGCTGGCGGGTTTCCGCATAGGCATCTAGTTGGCCAGTGTGAGAACAGGATGGTAGGATAGCTCAGTCGGTAGAGCATGAGACTTAATCTCAGGGTTGTGGGTTCAAGCCCCACATTGGGCAAAAGATTCCTGCATTGCAGGGGGCGTGGACTAGACGATCCCCTTGGTCCGTTCTAACTATGATTTCTATGATTTTTCTATGACTAGACGGGCCACTGGCCTGATCCAGCAGAGCTCTTCTTACATTCTTAATCCAGCCACACCTCTCGCTCTGCCGGGTCAGAATCTATGGCATCTTCCAGGTCAGCTAATGCATCTTCTTTCACTCCCACCAGGTGTGCCAGAAGTCTGGCGAGATCTCGCTCCTGAAACAGCAGCTGAAGGAATCGCAGGCGGAGGTGGCTCAGCGGGGCAACGAGCTGGTGCTTCTGAGGGCCCAGCTGAGGGAAGCGAGGGCTGAGCTGCAGGCTGGTGAAGAGCAGGTGCTGGGCTTGCAGGAAGTGGCCCACACCAAGTCCTTGGAGCTGGAGGTGTGTGCCAACGAGCTGGCCAGGCGCAAGAGCGAGGCGGAGCTGCTGCGCGAGAAGGTGGGGCGGCTGGAGCACGAGTTGGAGGGACTGCGCAGTGCGGGCGGGGAGCTCTGCCCCCTGCTGGCCGAGTGCGACGAGGCCAAGGCCCAGCGCCAGGCAGCCGATACCCTGCAGGGCTTGCGCTCCCAGGCTGAACGGCTGCGCGCCGAGCTGCTGTGCGAGCGCCGGCGCGGCGAGGAGCAGCGGGAAGCTTTCCACGCCGAGCGCGTCACTTGGCAGGGGGAAAAGGACAGGGTCATCCGCTACCAGAAGCAGCTGCAGCACAACTATATCCAGATGTACCGGCACAACCGTGACTTGGAGAGCCAGCTGCGCCACCTCAGCCTCGAACTGGAGGCCCGGGACATGGAGGAGTACGAGATGCACGGGGGCGAAGGCATCTGCTTTGAGGAGATTGCCGCCACTGAGATCTGACCGTGCCTGGCGGAAGAAGGCCTTGGTGAATAGGCTGTGCGGCCGCAGACAAGGGAGCGTGCTCCGTCGGACGTGAGAACGGAGTTAGCTTGGGACCACTGGTGGAGGGAGAGGTCTGCTATACCTGAATCCCACTGGGTAGCACTTGTTCCATTACTTAACTTGGCTGGGGAACTCCCCCCACCCCCACCAGCTTAACAGATTTCACTGCCATTGAGATAAGACAAGGACCAGAAGCCAGGCAGTTTCATTGGGAGGTAGAGGCTGCTAAGGATTTTGTCAGTATTTTCCAGACCTGCCTTGTAGGGAGGCGGGACTAACCTCTAACTAAGCCTGCCCTTTGGAATGTTGTAGCAGCAGAAGCTCCTCCTCCTCCTCCTCCATTCCCCACTCCTCCCCATGGGGAAGCAGCTGCCCTCTAGGTCCTAATGCTCCTCATCCTCCCACAAAGGTGCTGGCTGTGGTAGAAAATGGCTACCACTGTTTTGCCTCCTGTTCTGTGGGCTGGAGATACGGTGAAGGCAGGAAGCTCTCTCTTCTGCCACTACCTGTATGAAGTGACCCAGCTGGCCCTCAGCCACCACCTGGCTGGGAATTAGGCTGAGTTGGCTTTGCTGACAGCCAGCTGATCCACTTAACTGATGGGAAGGAATTAGCATCGCCTGTTTTTAGGCTGTCTGGAGAAGCATTTTACAGGATGCCCTTTTGACCTTTGTCCCAGTCCCGGGCTGGGTAAAGTGAATCTTTAAAATAAATGGGGGGGGGGGAGGGCATACAATCAAAAGCCACCGAGAGAACCCCAGATTCTGTGACTCTGACAAGTTGTACAAATTAAGCAAACTTGCACACATGCACCTTGTTTGCATAATTTGTGCTGCTTACAGTAGTTGTAAAGGGCAGGTTGTTTTGTAAGGCCCTGAAGGTCCACACAAGCTATTTTTTTATAGTCATAAGGACAGCAATAATAAGAATGATAAATAGCGGTAAGACCCAACATTGATTCTCAGGATGCTGAATTCTGGTCCCACATTTAGTGCTTATTTCAGTGCTAAAGAACATTCAGAAGAGCTCTGCTGGGTTAGACCAAAGGCCAATATTATGTTTCCACAGTAGCCAACCAGATACCTAAGGGAAGCTCACAAGCAGCGAATGAGCCTAGCAGCCCTCCCCTGCAGTTTATCCACACACCCCTAAAAAAAAAGCTGGTATTCGGTGTCAAACTGCTTCTGATGTATGGAAGCAGCATCTAGCAAATGTGACTGGTAGCCATTGTGTGGAATTACAGAAGATATGCAGGCCTAGCCTGATCTCACCCAAAGCATTGTGGGAAAACACTGTGCTAGGCTTGCTGAGGAAAAATAGTCTCCCTCTGTGCTGTGGAAGCAGGAGCCACCCCACCCCCCCAGCACCTCCCCAAGAAGACTAAAAGGCCAAAGCTTCTCAGACATCTGTATTGGCTGCCTGATGCCCTGTCACGTGCCCTAACCTTAGCAGGACCAGGACAGCCAACGTGTCACAGTTTATAGACGATGTCTCTGAATTTTTATAGATGACGTCATCTGCATTCCTGCCCCATCCTCACTTCCATGATGAGTCCCGTCATGGAAAATAGGCAGGGTATAAGTAAATATATAATAACAAGGATGCCCAAGATATTTTTATAGGACATTCCCAGATATCTGAACTCCTCTTGTTGTAAGCTGGGGGTGTCTTGTTCTCCACACAAGAGCAGGGCCTGCCCATTCGCTTGGGGTTGCTGAGTCTTGTACCAGGGCTCCGAGTTACTTGCCAGTCCCACTCCTCCCTCCCCCCCTGGGGGAACCCTGCTGCATGGGGATCTGGGATGTCCTTTCACCCCACCCCCAATTGCCTTTGTCGCTCCTGGTTGAGCTCTGATTTGAGAGTGCCTTTTGTTTGGCCTTGCTGCCTGGGTCTCCCCCCGACCCCCGGCTGCCCTCCTCCAGCTTGTGCTTTTCTGCCCAGCTGTATCCACTCCCTGCAGGCTCCATAAGCTGTTTGAGGGCCCAGTGGTACTGCCTTTGAGCCTGCCTGCAGCACCGTCCTCATGATACCCCCATTGCTTTCCTTTCAGGCCTGGCTGGCAGAGTGCCCTGCTGGCTTCTGGTTCTCATGGATGATGTGGGTAGGCCATCATTTGCCAGCCTAATGTCCTTCAGATATTTTGGACTACAGCTCCCATCAGCCTCAGCCGGCACACTGGCTAGGGCTGTTGGGAGTTGTAGTCCAAAATATCTGGAGGACACCAGGTTAGCAAAGGATGGGGTCAGTTGATGGACAGCGTCCCTTGACTGTTCCCAGATGCCTGCATTCTCCAGGTGTCTCAGTTCCATTCCACCTCATGGCTTCTAACCAAATGTGATTCAGTTTGAATCCTGGTTCTCTTTAATGCCTGGTTCCTGTTTTCAGTCCAGCCTTCCTTTCTGATCTTGCAGTACCCAGCTGTCCACTTTCTGTTGCAATTAGCTTGGAGGCAATTGAACACCAGAGTTGCTCCATCCAGTGCCCTCAAGCCCACACATCTTTAAAAATCTGTACTCAAGCTGCTTTTGGAAGTGAGGAAAAAGCCCGGCCCAAATGCCCACCCTCTACTCTCACATCCAAATAGCCTAGGACCTTTTCTGCAGATGGGCTCTTCAGAGGGCAGCATCTCCACTTGCGGAGAGCGATGACCTCCATACCTGCTGTGGAAACCCTCCCTGCTAAATTAAGCTTTATGCTGCCCACTAGCTTCCTGGAGGTAAAGTGTTTTCAAAAAGAGCTTCATTGCAAATACCCTGCGATATTTGCCCAGGAGCAAAAAAGGTCAGCGAAGCAGGGTCTTGTCTTCAGGGGTGCGGAAAAGTAATTTCCAGAGGAGCTTGACTGGGAGTGGCTGAATATCCTGTAAAGGAGAAAAGCTCTCTCTGGTGGAGAGATGTAGCCAGGCTGACTTCATATCCCTGGGGTTAACAGGGTATAGTTGAACAAGGAGGACTAGGAACAGGAATGAGTTATCATTTCAGCCAATGCAGGAAGAACCAGATGGCAGAGCAAACATGGCTCTGATAGCCACAGTGGCTCACCACCTTCTCCTTGACCACCCTGAGTTCTCCTTTGTGCAGCTAGTGCTTGATGTGCCCATCCTGCCAAGCTGGTCAGATGTTCTTAGCCCCGGCCCTCTGGCTGTGCAAGCGCTGAGCAGAGAAGCCTCTCCTTGAGTGACTTGTGACCAGAGTGCAGCCAAAGCTCAGCCTAGTTCAGCACCCTGCTTAAGCCACTTTGGAAATAACAGCCCCATTGCTAGAGGAGGGACTGCCTGATATCTGCCAGCCTGGTCTAGCCTTAGCTCCAGTTCCTCCTGTTTATCCGCATGCAAGAAAATGAAAGAGCACACTCAAGAATTTGGGGAGGACGCATTCCAGCTCTGTATGATACTTTGGATTGTTTGCAGAAGGGAGTTTATGGCTTCCACGTTCACTTGGGAGATTATTGTGCATTCCGAGAGAACAAGCCCTCTCCGCCCACTTCCACCCCTGGTCATTGTTAACTCTCCTGCCCATAGCTATGGGAGTGCATGAGATTGGCGCCAGGGACACACAACACTAGACCAAAGGAAAAAGCTTGGTGCATGTTATTTCTGTGACTGTTGCTTACCTGATCCCTCTCTTCCCCTCCCTTTTTTTAGCACCACTTTGTGTTTTACTTTTTTTTTTTTTACTTTTATTTCTGAAATTGTATATTTTCCAAGCTGTGTAAATTTCTTGTACAAACCAAAAGAAAAGTGTGAATTAAAAAAAGAAGAAGACGACAAAGCCACTTCTGTGTTTTTAAAGAAAAGCCACCTGGTGGTTTGATGGGTGAGGATAGTGGAGCATGGAAGGATGAAGATAGGGTAGAATGGTTCTGATGATGGATGAGAAGCAGAGGTGGGCGGGCTGGTGGTCTTGCACTTGCACACCCTTCCTCTTGTTGCTGTATAAAAACTGGGTCCAAATGCACCTTGGTTCACAGTTGCCACCTTCACTCAGTGGCTTGCAAAACATTTGTGGCAGCATCTTTTAAAAAATGCCCCATTGGGAATGTATCCACCTGGGAAATGGACACTCTCTGATCCAAAATAGTAACTTCAGCTCAGGGATAAGAAGAGGATGGATCTATCCCTTTCCTTTAGCAGATCTTCCCTATTAGGCAATAGCTGGGGGATGCTTTGAAACAGACATTAGGATTCTAGAGCTCCTCTGTAGGTCCTCCCCACGTGGAGTTCAGAGAAGAGGATCTTCCTTTTTGCTGGCTTGCAACATCATGGCCATTGCATAGCTGCTCTGAGGCTAGATGGAAACAGTGACCACCAGCTTGCTTTGCTATACGTCTCCTACTGGGACTGCTGCCTGTTATTTCTCTACGGATTTAGCATTTGAGTTTCAATGGAAGAAAGTGTTGAGTGAATATATTAAGCCCTGTTCCCTCCACTAATGATCTCGTGGACCCTCAGACGGTTGTCTCTCCAAAAGGAGAGAAGAAAATCCACAACTCACTTGCAGACGGATGTTCAGATGTGTTAAAACAGTGCCATTGCCTAGGTGCTCAACCTGAACTAGCCAAGTGTCCAAAAAGTGGCCAGGCTGGTTTAAAGGTGCCAGCCCTACATCCTGCTATCTGAAACCTCCACTCGAATGAGAGCTGTACAAAGTTCCATATGCCAAAAACAACTCTGTTGCCTGCTCACTACAGCATGAAGTTTGTTGCAAAGCAACTAGTCCTGGTTGCAGCTGTCCCACTTGCAGCTGCTCATGAAAGCATCTTCTTGGTGGGTTTTGGAAACAGAACACCTGATTCCTGTCGAGGCTGGTCCTATGATAGGTGCACCTGCGCTTCCCTGCTGCTACTCTGGAAATGGGAAGCTTGACATGTTCCCTTAGCCCCCTGCTTGCTAAGTGGTTTCCCTTCTTACTCACCCAGCCAGTAGTTTGCTTCAGCGGTACCACTACCTTTCTGAGCAATAGGCAGCCATCATAAACAGGTCCTTTGCTGACAGTGGGGGCTTGCAGCCACTTCGAAGGCCTGGGCTGGCCACGTTCTTCAGGACATATCGTTTTGTCCACGGCATTACCTGGCTCTCTTCGGCACCTTCACCACAATCTCCATAGGCTCCTTGGCTTTGTTGCGATAGGCCTGGCGGATGATGTCCACAGCTCGCTGGTGGGTCACGTTCTGCAAACTCTCCCCTTCCACTGCAACCAGCTCTTGGCCCGCCTAGCAAAAAAAAAACCCCGAAGGAGTTAGAAAGGGAGGCCCAGTATTCCTATATGTTTTATATCGGGGAAGAGATGTAGCTCAAGAAGAAGGACTGCAGCTCAGTGACAGAACATCTGCCTCCCATGCAGAAGGTCTCAGGTTCAACCCTGAGCATCTTCAGGTAGGGCTGGGAAAGACCCCTGTCTGAAACCTGCCAGGGAGCTCTTAGAGCAGAAGCATGGTAGGACACTTCAAAGCTAGAGTCACCAAATATACACGGGAACCAAGCTGTCTTAGCTATGGTGATGCTGCATGGAACAAGCCCCTCAGTTGACTTACCTTTCCTGTGTCTCACTTGTGTAAGCAGCTCCATCTTTGCTATGCCCCTTGGTACTCTGTATATCAGCCTTCCTTAACCATCCAGATGTTTTGGGCTACACCCGTCAGCCCCAGCTAGCCTGCTGACTGGGGCTGGTGGATATTAGTCTAAAACAGGAGCAGCCAACATGGTGTCCTCCAGATGTTGTGGAATACAACTTCCATCATCCCTGATCTTTGGCCATCTTGGTGGGTGGGGATTGTAATCCCAAACGTCTGGGTGAGCACCAGGCCGGGGAACACTGCACATATTCTTCAGTGCTGGTTCTTTGGATATGATGCCCTCGGTGAGCTCCATCCCCTGAATGAGACCTCTTTCTCACTGCAGTTGTTGCTGCCCAATAACTTGCCTCTCCCATTGCCTTCAGTGGGCACTACAGCTTGCCCATTGCAAGGTGTGCAGAAGTGACTGCTCTTGCTCTTTGCACTGCTCAGAAGGTTGAAGAGGGGAGGAAAACAGGAAGTAACAACAAGGAGGAGGAACAGTATGTCCAGGAGCCTCCAGAGATTGGCAGCGGGTCCCCTGTTCAGATGTGGACCTTAGCAGATGCCCAGCAATGCCACAAGAACATAAGAACAGTCTGCTGGATCATCTAGCCCATCACCCTGTTCTCACAATAGCCAGGCAGGTGCCTGTAGGAAAGTGGCAAGGAGGACCCAAGGGCAAGAGCACGTCCCTTCTGCAATTCCCAGCAACTTGTGTTGAGAACCACAACTGCCTCTGACTATGGCTAGTAGTCATCGGTTTTGTTGACTTGTCTTTAAAAGCCATCCCTACTTCCGGGGTGGCGCCATCGGCAATGGCGGACTCCCTCTGAACTGGAGGGACCAGCTCCGCATGAAACTGGTCTTTTCCGCTACGGCGAAGCGGGGACCCTTCTGGAAATCACAGGCGGATGAAGCCTGTGACTGTGGGACTCGGCAGGCACCCTTAGCGCCCCCCCAACCCGCAAAGGAACCCACTAACGGGCTCCGAAGCGAAGAGGGGAAGTGGCGCGGTGCTGTGAGTCAATTGCTTTTCTGCGGAGCGAAGCCGCATAGCCGTTGCCGGAGAGCGCTGCCTTTTTCCTGGGACAATTTGGCATCTAAAATAACCACCCGTGAGTACTGGAACATTGAACATTTGGACTTTAAATAAGAACTGGCGAAATAGAAAGGAATTTGGACTTAAAAATTTACCTTAATTTGGTACTGAAACAGGAAGGTCTAAACAGGAAGTCAGCCTTCCGTTTCCTTGTAGCCAGAATAAAGCAAAGACAACGTAAACTAGAGCTTTAAAAATCACTTTCAAAGGATTGGCTTTCATCATTTAAAATCGCTGAACCCCCCTTCGGCAGCAGGAGAAGAAGGGGGATCTTTTTTGGGCTGTTTAAACCTGCAGAAGTGAGTTTAAAGCAAAGTAATTTTCCACTGTCCTGATCCTGGAGCGGGGTGTCAGAATTGACGTTTGAAGCTCATTGACCAGAAACAAATGTCTTTGACAGATAGTTAAAAGAAGAGAAACATAGTGATTCCATTGTTTCCTTTCGCATTTTAAAAAGAACAAATATGGACAAAATACCTTAAAAAGAAACTTTTTGCTATTGTTTTTAAAAGAAAGAACAACCAGAAGATTTCCCCCTAGAGGGGGACTGTGAAATTGTAACTAATTCCTGGGAGCTTGCAGCTGTCACAGATTACAACCGTGGGAAAGGATTTGTGACCTTGCAGGACAATGTCTTCAGAAGCACTGTTGGGTGCTCTCTGCAAAATAAATGCCCTATTGGATCAGTTAAGCCAGAAGACAGATTTGATGACTAATGCGGCCAGAACCTTTGAACAGGTAGTGGGAAATTATATGGAGCCCACCCAGGAGCTAAAACAGGAGTGTGCCATGACAGAACAGTTGAGAGAAGAGGATGCTGCTGAATCTTGGGCGCCAGAGACGGAGGGAGCTGCGGCCCAGCAGGAACATAAATTTTTGGATTTGATAAATGAACTTGGAAAAACCAGACTTGGAAAGATAAAGTTTGGTTTGGTTTGGAAATGGGGGTTGGACAGGCCCCCTATACAGGAGATTTGGACTTTTCGAGTCTGGCAATGGGCCGTCAGATGTTTGGAGCTGTGGGGGCTCTCAATTTTGGAGGGAATCTGAAACATGTTTTTAAATACCACATGGAGTCTAGTCTGGACTATGGAAAAGGGGCTGATTTGTTGAAAAGGGTCAAAAACATTACCAAGCTGGAGTTCCCACGAATGAAAGGAAAATATGAAGAAGAGCTGCGGAAGGGACATGGAAGAGACTTGAGGGCTTCGGATATAAGATTACCAGGTTAATGTGCTAGATTAATAAGATAAAAAGGACTGACAAAACCCAGGACCAGGAGGAAGGGATGCTGGATGAAGATTGGATTGTTTATTTCTTTTTTTTTATCATTAGGATTGTTCTATAAAATTGATGAATGCTAGAAAAATGTTGAAATGAAATTACTTGGCTCTTGTAAAAATGTCTAAAGAATTTGGTAAGAATGTTATGGCTAGGAGAAGTTGGTAAAAATAAGATTTAAGTTTTAAACTTTAAGGTTTTCTATAAGATAAGATGAAAATAGATTAAGGTAATGTAATGACAGAATACTATGAATTATGGAAAGGATTTGCTGTGATTATTATTAATCAGGATACAAGAAAAGGGAGGAGGAGGAGGTCAAAGAAAGAAGGTATTGAAAGTGGAGAATTTGAGAATGATGGTTTTATTTTTTATTTTTATTTTTCTGTCTTTTTTGTGTGTGTAATTTTAAATTCCCCCCCCCAATAAATATCATTAAAAAATAAATAAAATAAAAGCCATCCCAACTGGTGGCCATCACAGCCTCCTGTTGGAGAGAGTCCCATAGTTCAGTTACGTGTCAAGCGACAATGCCAAGCTGGATATTGCATCCTGAGTTAGCAGAATAGCTGGATCCCTGTGTATAGCAGTAATGCAAAAGCTAAGCTGGAGAGAGAGAGAGAGACTCCTGTCTCTGGGCTTGGCAGGGAGGTGGTCTGGCTGCAGAGAAGGGAGCTTTGAAGAAACTGGCAAGCCTTAGGTCAACACCCTCCTCCACCACCACCAGCCCTCCATAAATATCGCAGAGGAGTGTCACCTGTGCCTCTAGCCAGCCATTGACCGTTTCTCCCCGCCACAGCAACCTGGGGGACCATTAGGCTTCCCCCCCTCCAGAGCCACCTGGCAATCTGGGCCTGCCGTCCCCTCAGCAAAGAGGCCACCGAGGGGGAAATCTAATTACAGCTGCTCCCGGGGACAGATGAAAAGTTGCCTGGTGGGCGGGCGGGCGGGCCAAGGCCCACAATGGTTCTTTGTCAGCGCCCGGCCTCATTACGCAGGCCTTGTGAAATGCCGCACAGCGCCCTGAACCGTGGGGAACCCTGAATGGCACAATGGGGTGTGTATGCCTGCCGCTGGGGCCCTCGGCCTCATTATAGGACAAAGCACAATGAGTGCGTACTTGGTGGGGAGGGGGCGGGTGTCTTAAAAGGGTGATAACGCGCAGGGAGGTTGGGCTGTGGGGATGTCAGATGGGAGGCGCAACCCCTTTGCCATGGAAGGGGCAATGTAAGTGGGTGGGGTGGGGGTCAGATTCCTGGCATGGCCACCACGGCACACTCTTCTGTTTGGGAGCCAGGAGATTGGCTTGCTCAACTTGAGTTGGTGGCTCCTTAGAAAGCTTTGATCACTCTTTCGCAAACACAGGGATCAGTGTGGCTCACTTGGGATTCCCCTGCTTGTGATCTAGTGATCCCATCCCAGTCCTGTGGTGATGGACTCTGAGACATACTCTGGAATAAGGTGGGTCTTGAACCCTAGTAATTACGGGGAAATCCTGTTTTGCTAGCATAACCCAGTGTGTCCTCATACTGGGACAAAAAAGTGGGATAAAAACGTCATTGATTAATGAATAAATACGGTAGATCCAGGCTTTGCCGATGAAGGTCTCCCTCCCTGGCAAAGGGATATGATATGGCACACTTGTAGGATTGTTATATTACCTTCCTGTATATGGATTTGATTGGCTGAAATCTCTCTGTCTCTCTTTTTTTACTCCTTCCGCATTAGCCCCACTTATGCACCATGCTTTTTAGATTACAATGGTTTCATCAAGATCCTACAAGCTGCAATAAATTCCTCCATGCAGTCTTTTTCAGTTGTACAGTAAAAGTGTGCTTGCATTGAAAGCAATTTATAAATTCATAGCAATAGGAACAGAGGAGTAAATTTAGTAGGTTCTATGTGTCGCAATTCCACACAGAAGCTGCGGTCCTGTTCATCTTTGGGGATTAAGCTCCCTTGCACTCGGGGTGTGTGTGTGTTACTTTTGAGTAAGCTTGCATAGGATTAAGGCTGCATGAACAGTGGTGCAGAGGGACAGGCTGCTTTGATGGGAGGAGGAGGGGGGAAGAACAGACTGTAGAGACTGCAAAGCGAGAGTACAGGGATTAGGGAAGCAGAGAGATTGCTGCCTGCTCTATTACAGACTCCCCTGGGTGACCTTGGCCAAGTTGCTTCCCTGCTAGTATGGGGGATAGGAGGGAGGGTGCTGTCCTCCTCTGCTGGTGGGTTATGTGGGGGGGGGAGCAGCTGGATGTGCAAATACTGGCTCCCAACAGAGCTTCTGAAGCAACTGCACAAATCCTATTGAAAGTGCACAGAGTAAGTGTTGTTTGCTGCATCCTGCAGAAGCTGTGTATGTTGCTGTGGGCAAGCTGAGAAGAAATATATAATGGCTATGCAAAGATCAGCTACACTAGGGACAGCCCATGTGCTGCACTCCAGATCCTGTTGACTTCACACCATCCCTAACCATGGTGACTTGGGCTGATGGGAGGTATAGTCCAGTAACACGGAGAGCACACACTACATTGGCTTCCTAGACCAGACTTTCTCAACCTTGGGCCCCCAGATGTTGGACTACAACTTCCACCATCCCTGGCCACTGTTCCTGCTAGCTTGGGATGGTGGGAGTTGTAGTCCAATAACAGCTGGGGACCCAAGGTTGAGATAGGCTGGCCCAGACCATCAATAACTGAGTAGTGCTTTGCTCTGGGTGTACGAGTGGGTCATGGGCGGATCATAATACTCAGCTGCTAAGTAGAGAAACAAGGAAGGTTTGTGGGTGGGGGGTATCTGACCTCTGTATGGAGCTGGTGCTGCTGAAAGCCAGCCTTGCTTTGCTGCTCTGCTTACCTCCAGTTCTCCACTCAGGGATGCTGCTCCCCCTGGAAAAATCTTTTCAATCTTCACCATTGGCTGCAATTTGGACTCTATCCCACCGGAAATACTGATCCCTGGAAAACAAAGTCGTTCTCTGTGAGCACTCAGTAGTAAGTTGGAAAGGTGGCTGAGCCAATACAACCCACTGCCAATACCACCCTCCCTGTCTGGAGAACAGGAGCACCAGGTGTGCCAACAGCCTAGAACAGCAGGTGGTGCCAGAGAGCGGCGCACATGCTTCACTTGCTGGCAATTCGGCAAACAATAGGCCTGCAGACTCCTTAAGCACATGGTCTTCCAATTTGGTGTCCTGACCTGGTCAGGTAGCAGGACCAAGCCAAAAGGTTTTGCTGCTGGAAGCAAAAGACTCGTTTCTCTTTCCTCACAGCAACTGGACTTCTCCATGACTGTTAAAAGTGGCATAATAGTGCTTTAAAGGTATGGTGTGGATGAGACCTAATTCTAAATGGGTGTTCACCACCTTGTTTACCAGTCCTCCAAAGCAGGGTAGTCCTGCTGAAAAATCAGAGAGGTTTCTAAACTTTCCCTTGCCATCCTTGGGCAGGAGAAGGACAGCTCCTGTCCTCCTTCACCATTGGCCACACTGGCTGGGGCTGATGGGAGTCGAGTCCAATCTCCCTTCTCCTGTTCTAGGGAAATGTGAAGTACAATCCAGGCCACCACAGGGGAACACAAGCAACCTGGGTGGCAAACCATTGCAATGCTCCTCCCAGACTGAAGGAAGTCTGTAGCTGCTATCGACTTTGCTGGAGGTGACAGGAAGGGCTATCCATATGTGACCCCCCCCTCCCTTTGATACCTTCCAATGAACTGAAGCCTGAAATCTCAGATCTATTCCTTTTGGTAGCCTGAGATTCCTCACCTCGTAATAGTCAGAGGGAGAGAGTTGAGAACTGTTTCCTTAGTTGTACGCAAATCACCAGGAGGAAGGGCTGGGACCTTTGCTTCCATTACCAGGGCTGTCAGCGGTGCCTTTAACTTACCCAGAGACTGTTTGCTCTTGGACAGGTTGACCGTCAGCAGCTCATAGTCTTCCTCCAGGACATCACTGGGGCCATTTTGGAGCAGGCCCTCTTGGTCAGAGGCCGGGGCGTCCTTGAAGAGCTGCTTCAGCTGGGGCCTACCTCTTCGGGGCCTGTTGACCGCAGAGTACAGGGTGTCCTTGGCAGGCTGGACTTCCCCATGTGGTCCCCAGACTGTGGCTTTGCCATGGCTTGACTTGGGCGTGCGAGGCCTCCCTCGGCCAGGCCGCCCATCCCCTTGCTCGTGGGGTTGCCCCACCTCTTCCCGAGGGGGTGCTGCTCGAGTGGGGCTCGCTGACATTTTTGCGGGCTTGCTTAGGAACCAGTGGGGCTGCCCACCGCCCCCAGCAGTTGAGGCGGAGATGCTGTGGGAGGCGTAGGCATCCACTGGCACGTCGGGAAGAGGGGTATAGCCTCGGGGGTGAGTCCGTCTAGGGCTGGACGAGAGCTGCAGGCCTTTCATCCTATCCTTCAGCGCTGCTGCTGCTTCCTCCGCCTCCCCTCCTTTCTCCTCGCTGGTCACTGGCTTCAGGAGGAAGCTGCCCCGGAAATCTGAAACCAGAGTCACAGGATGTGACCATCACCTGAGCAGCCCTGTCCTATCAATCCTCAGAAAAAGGGAAAGCAGCTAGGTGAGATGGGTCTAATATCTGAATGCCTGAAGTGAACTTGGAAGGAACCGTAGCTCCGTGGGAGAGCATTTGCTCTGCATGCAGGTCTCAGGTTCAATCCCTGGCTAGGAATGTTCCCTGCCTGACACCCTTGAGAACTGCTTCCAGTCAATAACAAGCTGTTTCTACACCTATGGTCTGGGTTTTAGGAAGCTTCCTCTGTCCCTAACTTGTGGAAAGGACTGGAAATGTGTGGTTGAAGTTGGCTAATACTTCCCAGTTCCTTGGTTGCACTGGAACTTCCATGCGGATAAGGATTTGTGAAATGGCAACCAACTTCAACCTTGTTCAAAACATAACATTTTGAGTTAATGTCACCATACTGAATACAAAAGAAATGGTTGTCTCGACTGCGCTTCCTCGGCTGAGATTTTTTGGAGGTGTATGTGTGTGTGTTAGCAGGAATCACAAATATGGCCCTTCTCATTGGTTACCACAATACCTATGTGCCATTCTTGGTTCCTAGGTAAGGAGCTGGCTTAAGCAAGTCAGTCCAATCGCCCCCCTTTTTGCTGAGCACCATCTCTCCCTATGAGCAGAGGCTCACAGAAGAGTTTCACCAGCCCTGCTGCCTGAGTTAACTGAACCAGAGGTGCCAGATATGTGGGCCTGACACCCTCCTTTGCCAAACACACCCCACATTTTGCAGAAACCCCAGCGCTGCAACTAGAACATCTCTTGCAAATGAAATGAAATGCACACATTCATGCCATCTGTATTATAACTCACTCTCAAACTCAAAGTCTTTCCCCCCACATCGATTCCTAAGTACAATATTTTGGGGGCTACATTTAAGCACGGTGTGCGTGTGACCCCCAAGGATGAAGGCTGGGGACTCACCAGGCACTGGGGTGATGAGATGTCTCTTGGGAGGTGTTTCTTGCTGTGCTGGGCGGAGAGCAGGTGACCTCACTGTGAAGAGGGAAAGGTGGACAAATTGAGCTTCATTTTCTTTTGCACAGTGATCTTGGGTGGCATCGTGGCCAGCCCTTCTTCCTGGCTACTTTCCCCTCAGGGGTTAATTTCTAGAGAAAAAGGAGCTCCCGGGGCTTCGGAAGCCAGGCCTTCTTCTATAGAAGGCTTATTTGCCCTACTCCCATGAGAGCATTATGTATGTATATATACACAAAGCTAAGCTCACACTCTGTGACGAAGGAGGATGTGCTATGTACATGTTCAGAAACTCCCTCGTACTTTGCATTAAGAATGGGGGAACCTGAGGCCTTCCAGGTATTGCTGGACTCCACGTTCCATCAGCCTCAGCCACCCTGGCCAAGGATCTGGGATCTTGGGAGTTGGAGCCCAGCCCCATCTTCAAGAACCACGTTTCCCTTCCCTGCTTTACGCAACTCCAGGCTCAGTTGCTGGCACTCAGGATAGGTTGAACCAGCAGTGGAGACTGGCAAGCCAAGGAACTGGCTGGGGCCCCTAGATAGTCAAAGGGTCCACTGCCACTTTTCTCACACTGCACGGGGCAATTGCTAGTTGCATGAATGGCACTACATCCATTTTGCCCACGGGTGTAGCTAAGGAGGGCAGGGGGGCAGCTGCCCCCCTAAATCAAGTAGATCAGTAAAAATACTTAACTAAGTTTCTGCCCCCTAACATGAAGCCTGCCCCTCCCCGCAACATAAATCCTGGCTTTACCCATGATTTTGTCTCTTGGTGCCAAGAAGAACTGAGCAGAAAAATCAACAGTCATTTGGAATAAATATTCAGATGGTTTGCAAGAAATGTTGATTCAGCTGAGCTCTCCCCATATCACCCCATTTGCTTTCTTTTCAGGACAAATAAATAGACTGAAATGATCCTTTCCTCGTGGCAACCCTTTTGAATAGGAATGTTTTCCACCAACTGCTTCTAGCATCCATAAAATGAAAGAGAGCTTTGACAAGCCCCCCCCCCCAATCCATCATCACCCCCTCCTCCTTCCACCTGTGATCCTTGCTGGTTCCTTCCCCACCTGTTCTGCTCTTCAGGGCATCATAAGCTTCAAGCTCCACCGGCACAACCATACTGTCAAAACGGCCCAGATCCGTGGGGGTGATCACACTCCTGTAAAAAAAAAGTGGGAGAGAAGACTCATGGGTGTTTGGTGGCTCAACTATCTGCTCATGCAATGCAGCTGTTTTGGGGGAAGAACATGGCAAATAACCAAAGAGCACCAGAAGGAAGCAATGGGCACCCTGGGCAAGGCTGGGGTGATGTGCACTTCTCTCCTGTGCTCCCTCTCCCCACCCTCTGAGTTTAGTGGTGCAGTTCAGCCTCCCACGGTTTATTGCTTCCTGTTCCTACCTGATATCTCTGAGGAGAAGCAACTTTTCGGGCCGGTCGAGAATCGCCAGGAGTGGCCTCACCAGATCTTCTACCCCACTTTCTTGGATGTACTGTGTGTTGGGGGGAAAGTAACCATCAGCAGAGATCAAATGGGAGCCCCATCTTGCTATTCAGTTTGAAGCAGCAACAGATCCCTTGATCCCCGTTACTATTCTTTGTTGCTCAGTTGATGGGTGGGGAGTTTAATCCTGCTTTCCGTAAGGAACTCTCTCCCAGGATAAGCAGGATTGAACTGCCTGGGCATCAACGGATGGCTGGGGGGTTCAATCCGGCTTTCTGTTGGGATCTTCAGCTGTACCAGATGTGAAGCAGGTGTTCATTTGGGGAAAATGGGGAGGCCTGGCAGGTCAAAACTGGGCCACAGACCAAAGGTGGTTCCCCCTCCCTGACCCAAAGTTGGACTAATATGCCTCATCCTAGCTTCAGGTGGGCAATGTGTGGCCCCAGCCCCCTGCAAGCAATCAGTTCAGACTTCTGACAAGAGTCAGGCTGGGAGGGGGGACAGAGAACAAGGCATGTCAGAGATGCAGTGTGGTGCTGGTGTTACAGAAAGAGCACAAGAAAATGGGTAGCCACCCCACATTGGGCTCTGCTTCTACCCATTGCTGGTTTCAGCGCTGCCCACCGTTTGTAAGTGGCCCCCAACAGATTACTCCAAGGGAGTGTGACCCTTGACAGGAAAATCTAAGAGAATACAGACAGTGGACCTATCTGCAGACCAGTGGCGTAGCGTGGGGGGTGCAGGGGGGCCCGGCCGCACCGGGCGCAACATCTTGGGGTTAGGGTTAGGGGGCGCAAATCCACGGGTTAGGGGGCGCAAATTACTTGCCTTGCCCCGGGTGCTGATAACCCACGCTATGCCACTGCTGCAGACTGAGCCATTTTAATCAGAATGCTATCCTTAAACATTTTAATAAAGCATTTTAAGGTTGCAGTCCTAGAGACACGAGAATGTAACACACACACACACCGTGAACACAATTCAACATGCATAGGGCTGAATTGCATGCTTGTAGGTGGAAGTCTTTATTAGTTTATAGGATTCCTGATAAGCGATAAGTAATCCTGCCCTTAGCGGTCTTAGCAAAAGGAAACCCGTTTCAGGGTGGCTGCTGCATCAGGCTATCAAGCAATCCTCTCCATGCCCTAGTTTCATTTGTCCCTCTCTGCACGAAGATTAGTGCCCCCCTCTCTTCCTTGGGCTTCCCAGAAGCAGTCTTGGGAATGAGTTTCAACAATGTGCTAGCTCAGAGCTCCCTCTAGTGGCACATCAAAGGCCAACAGGAATGGTGAGAAGTGGGAGGTACCAAACTGGTGAGGGCAAACATTCCATGCCCTGCAAGCATCCCAGAAAAACCAGGACATCACATTTTTTCTCACAAGAGGACACTGGCCTTTTTGGGTGCTGTGACTGCGTGCAATTACGCACAGCGACACCCCCCCATCTTGCATGGCACCCCATGCCCAAAAACACTGGGGTTTTTTTGGGGGGGGGGATTGCAGTGCAAAATGGTGCAAGATCAAAGCACTGAAAATGGCCACTGTCCTCTGGTGAGAAAAAATGGGAAGACGGCATCCCGGTTTTTGCCTTTGATGCGTTTGAGGGTATGTAAGACCTTCAAAGCTGCAGTGAAGGTTGGATTGCCAGACATGCCAATGCCTGCTTTGCCCTACCAGATTTTCACCCTAAGCCTGCACAGAATAGGCTCCAAATAAAAGCAAGCAAACCAACTGTGGCCACAAACACTCTTACTCCACTTTAAGAGTCGTGTCTCTCCTCCCCCCCAACAAGAGTCCTGGGAACTGTAGTTTGTTAAGGGAGCCAAGAACTGTTTGAAGATTTTCAACACATCACAAATCTCAGGATTCTTTGATGGGGAAGCCATGACACTTAAAGCGAAATGAGAGACTCTTAGTTAAATGAATGCAATGGGTGCCAAACCATGTGCCAGAGTGAGACAAAACGCAAGAGCCTCATGTTGGACCATCCTGTTAATCGTCCTGTTTGGCACAGTAGTCACCAAGCTGGTGCTTCTGGGAAGCCTGTCAGCAACAGGACAAATGGGATGCTTTAAAGCACAGCCTTACGGAAGAGAGGTACAAACGTAACTGAAGGCAGAGTGAGGCAACTATAGATCATAAGTTGTTGCAAGACATTTCACAATCAAGGGAGAGATTGGCCCATTCAGGCACACATGGCAGCTGTCCTCCATCCTTACCCGGGTGCAGTGTCTCAGCACAGCTGCCACTTCATCCTCCATCAGCAGCTTCCTGGCCATGTCTTCAATAAGCAGCAGGTGGCTCTCGGTGACTTTGCTGCGCTCTGTGCCGTTGTACTGGGAAGAGGAGCCCAAGGAGGGGAAAAGGCGGCCTTTTTCTGGGAGGGGCACCACAGAAAGTCAGTGCAAAAACATAATCCGGGAATAACAAAGCATGAGGCCATTAGCCACCTGGAACCACAAGCCTGAAATGCACGCATGCACTTGAAATCTTATGTCTGTGGGTAACTACTGGCACTGCACATGCAAGTTATTCTGTACCCACAAGCACCCCAGTGTAGATGAAGATGGTTAAGGTGCTGGATTTGGATGTGGGATGTTCAGGTGTTGTACATTCACAGCTGAGAAAGGAAAGGCGTGAAGAAGTGGCAATTGATATCAACACAAAAACACACACATGCACAGGTTTCCAAAGGCATGCTCACGTGAAGCTACATGCTTGTGGCTCAGTTACCCCGTCTCAGAGTGCGGGTGACAATCTTCTGTACGACGCTAACTGCAGGCAAGAGGGTAAGATGGGAAGAAAGAGCAAAGACAAATAGTTTGGAATCTGTAGTGGAGAAGGGCAAATTGGAGGGAAGCGGTGGCCATTTTGGACTGGTCTCTGCTCTATCTGATGAAAAGGGAGAAAAGGAAAACTGTACTGCCATTCTGCCTTTTGGGGAAGTGTTTTTTCTTACAATTTGTGCAAGTCTGACAGACAATGCTGTCTATACCACCTACTGGCCCCTACAGATGGTTTTATGTGTGTGTCCTTCAACCAGTCACGGTGGAATAATTGTGCATTAGTGATGGGTTTATACCGGGCTATCCACACATCTTTCTGCTTTCTTAGTTGTCCTGCGATGTTTCCCCAATGTTAGTGCATTCTTACCATATAGAGGGGCACGTCTGCGTCTAGTGCAACACAAGTGAAATGATGCCCCCCGCTCCAAACATTTGTGGTGTGAAAAGTTACAGGATTTCAGCAGCGAGTTACAGAATGTGCACTGACTGCACAAAGCAGTATGCATGCCTTGGACCTTTGCAAGTGCAAACAGCAGCAAAAGCAGAATGGTGTATGACTGCCCCAATAGCATCATGAGCACAAATAACCACAGAAAAGATGTCTGAAGAAGACCCTATTCCCTCATGGTCAAACCTTCCAGGGCCCACATACCAGTGGTGGGTGTGGCCAAAGTGTATTCTTGCACTTCAGGGACCCAGCCCAGCCAGGTAAAATAACTAGAAAAGTGTGGAGCAGAGCCTGAGCAGAGTTTCTGTGGACCAGAGAGAGAGAGATCTGGAGAAGGGGTCACATTTGGCTCCTGGCCCTGAGGCTCCTCCCCCCTGACATAGGGAGACAGGCCAGTATACAGTACAATTCTCTGTGCCACATTTCCCCATGTTTCCCAGAGACTTTTCCTGACACTTCCAGTTTAGTGATGAAATGCTGAAGCAAGGGTTATGACAACTTGTTCTGCCAAACGTGACCTCCAGAGGATTCTTGTGCCCCACAGACTGACTCTGGCCACCTTCCTGCCTGTAGACAGGCTCCTGCTCTAGCTGCTTCACACCAAAGCATCAGCATTTGGCAAATGCACTTCCATTGTGCTCCCTTGTTGCTCGGGGCAAGAACCTCCCAACCAGTAGAAAGGATGAAAGGCCAAATGGAAAAGCCCTTAGCACAGAATGGAAGATGCTGTTTCTCAGTGCTCTAGTAAATGAACCAACAGCCCAGTCTACGTCCACCTGGTAAAATGGGCCCCTAATCTTGGCTAGGCCAAATCCTGGGGCCTTCTCTTTTGGTCATGGTGTGCGGAGAGAAATGGACAGCCAAGAAAGGAACAGAAATTCTCCAGCTCAGCTGTTGATATAAATAGGAATGGTGATTGGTTCCGCTGCCTGCTGGCTGGCAATCACATTCAGGCTGTGTACACACTATAAGCTTTGAAGCACATTCAAAACACACTCTTGCCCTTTCTGAGCATTGTAGTTTGTTAAGGGTCACTGGGAATTTTACCTCTGTGAGGGGAAACGCTCACACACTTGACAATCTATTATTCTCCCTGTTTCTGTCCCTGCCCAATAAAGGGGGAAAGCCTTGTAGTTAAAGGTTCTCTTCTCCCCACCAAAAATCTCAGTGGACCTTGCTGCCATGCGCAAGTTTACAATGAAGCAGGACCAGATTCAAGAGCCAGAGTACTGTGCTCTCTGGAGGATGCTAGAAACAGAACATCTTTTTGTTACCTTTCTCGCCATCAGACCGTGCTGGGGATTTGGACCGCCTCTGTGTCTCTGGTGACCCAGCTGCCGAGCTTGGCTTCCCTGTCCGGGTGCTTTTAAAGAACAGGTTCATGAGGGTTTTGGAGCGCTGGAGCGTGGCCTTCTTCTCCGAGGAGACCGGCTTCTCTTTCTTCCTCTGGCGTTTCTCCTCTGGGGCAAGAATCCAAAAAGTCATACCTGAAGATCATAGCCCTGGGATAACCCAAAATATGATCCTTCCCCACTCCAGCCCCATTGACAGCGTATTGTGGGTACCATTTTAAGAAGGAGAAGAAAAGGTATCTGGTTATGTAACTTTCTGACTCTGCCTGTTAAATGGGGGCCAGAAACCTTCTGCATGATGGAACAAAATGCACAGACCAGTGTCTTTCAGATGTGCCATGGGATTTTCTCCTCTCTGCCTACATATTAAGGGCCAGGACTGTTTAGCAATAAGGTACATTTTCAGAACTCCCTAGGAGAGAAGTGGTCAATCAAATCCCTGTGGATAGGCTGCAAGCTGGACAGGAGCGCAATAGCACTCTGCCCACCTGCGATTCCCTACAGCTGATATTCAGAGGTGTAAAGTCTCTGACAGTGGAAATAGAACACAACCATGGCTAGTAGCCATTGATAGACTTATCTTCCATGAATTTGTCTAATCCTCTTCTCTTTGCCTTATCCCTCTCCCCTTCTTCCTCCATAAAATTATTTCCTGGGTCCACACTTAATATTTGACATCAAAATAATGTTGCATTAATGTAAAATGAAAGGGAGGGGAAGGGAAATGTAAGCTTTCCAAAACTGCAACCCTCCTGATTTGCACTACATTATTGCTATAATGATAATGATGATAACAGGAGCAGCAATCTCAATTCTCCCAGTATTTATGTAGTCAAAACAGAAAGGTACCCCCATCACCCCAGCAGCCCAATAAAGACTGAGCATGCTCAATGTGTGTGGAATGCTCCCTGGGGGGAAACGGGACATGGGGAGGGCAACTGGAATGGGGTGCCTGGAATCCTGTTGGAGTTTCCATGAACCATGGTAAGAATGGTAAGAATAACGATCCCATGGCACCTACCATAAATGGTCAGATAGCTCTGCGATCTCTTGATGGGCTGTCGTGGACGGCTGAGTGCCAGAAGGAGGGCAGTTTTAGGGGAGGGGTCTGTTGTCTCTCTGCTGGCAAAGGGCCGGTGCTTCTTCAAGCGGAAGGACTCTTTGAGGCTCTCGGTGCGGATGGCGGTGTCTTTCAGGATCTTCAAGGGCTCCACAACCCGTCGGGTCTCCATCACCAGACTCCCCGAATAGGAGGCACCGTCTGACAGCGGATCAGTCTGCATGGCGGTCTCTGCTCTCTCCAAGGTGTGTCTCTGGACTGGCAGTTCAGCAGAGATGCCAACATCCACCATGCAACTTTGTGCTGCTGAGCTGGGGATCGGGGCCATGAACAGGCCATTCATGGAGCTGAAGGGGGTCCCTGAGGAGTAGGATGATGCAGAGGAGCTGGATTCTGAGGTCTGGGACAGCTCCTGCAACTGGCCATTGGTCACTGTGTGGAGAGAGAGAGAGAGAGAGAGAGAGAGAGAGAGAGAGAGGAGTATTATAGGAGTCTTTCCTGTTTTGACAATCCATGTTAGTACAATAAATGCACAGAAGCTACCCATTATTGCACACAGGCCAAATGACTTGCATTGCTTTTGTTGTGGGAATATTGCCTTTCCACAGCAAGGAATGTGCTACAACTTTGTATCTGGGGAAAAACAACAACCCCAATTGTTGTGCTAGATAGTTCAATCACTGCTGTTATTATTGCTGTGTGGAATGAGATTATGAGTGTGCCATGAGAGATTATGAGTGTGCCCACCTGATACTGAGTTAGATGTACAGTGGTGCCTTGGTTCTCAAATGACTTGGAACCAAAATACTGCAATCCCGGAAGTAAGTGTTCTGGTTTGCAAACTGCTCCATTTTAAGTGTTACGCTTCCGTTTGGAGTGCCACACTTCTGATTTGAGTGCCACACTTCCGTTTTGAGTGTTACGCTGAGGTCTGTCTGTTTTTGCTATTTGTTTTGCGTTTTTGTTTTTGCGGCTCTTTTTTGTTTTTGTGACTGTGTGGAAACCAGTTCAGCTACTGATTGATAGATTGTGTGACTGCAGTACATTGTTTATTGCTTTCATTTTATGGATCAGTGGTCTCATTAGACAGTAAAATTCATGTTAAACTGCTGCTTTAGGAGTTGTTTTTAAAAGTCTGGAATGGATTAATCCATTTTGCATTACTTTCTATGGGAAAGCATGCCTTGGTTTTGGAACGCTTTAGTTTTGGAACGGACTTCTGGACCGGATCAAGTTTGAGAACCAAGGTACCACTGTACCAATGTCCTGACTCAATATTAGGCAGCTTCCCATGCTCCTCTGAACTGCTGTTTTCTTTCTTTATGCAACAGACTCATAGATTTATGCTATTGCAAGCATGTCCTTAAGGGTGAAAATGCCAACTGGGAGGAGAGAATTTGAGCTCCATCAACAATGGTCTGTGCAACACAGCACCCACTCCTGGGCTATTCTTTCTGCATGTTTTGTCTTTTGATGACACTGCATTCTTTGCAAACAGCCCAAACGCAAGGGTGAGGGAGGAAAGAGGATTGTTTTCTGAAATGCAAGGAGGGAAAGCAATTTGCTTTCAGAATGCTCTGGCACTCCTTACTCATCCTTAGCAAAGCAACACCCAGCATATTAATGTAGACAGAAAATGTGCATTTGTGTCTTACATCTGTTGAGCCAGCAATACTCAGCCACCATTTCCTTGTATGCAGGGAACCTCCCCGTCTCCTAGATGGAAAGCACAGAAGACAGACACAACACGTCATGGGATCATTTGCTGCCTGCCCAGCACTGAGCGGTGTCTTCAGAGGCTAACCCGATCCCAGGCGGAGAGACACTTTGATAAATAATGCATCCCCTACTGCCAGGTCCCTTCCCAGCTGAAACTGAATCTGCTAAGTCTCAAGAGTCTGGGTCCCACAGCGTCTTGGGGAGGGAGTTGCTGGGCGTCACAGAAGGCAGCAAGAAAGAGACTTCAGTGCTGCTGCTTTGGCAAGCAACTTCTTAGAGGGCATGGTCTCTTTTTCGGGGCACATTGAGCAGAAATGGAGGGCTTCTGCTTTCCACCTCTAGCAGCTACCACTTCCTAAGGGCTCATCAACACTTTTGCTTGACCCGTATTTTTTTACTTTCTTTCCACTTGACCGGTATTTTGATTGTATTTTATACCAGTTAATTCAAGAGCTTTCCTCTTGGTTTTGTAGCCGTGTCTTGTAAAAATCTCACCCACTGAATCAGATCTCATTAGATGTGCAGAAAATCTGAAGAGAGATTTTGTTTAACTGAGCTTCAGTTCAGTGGGTAAGATCGGATTTTTGCTAGGGACAGCTGCAGAACAAAGAGAAAAGCTCTCAAACCCTGGGGAATTAATGGGTACACAATATGGTCAAAAAGAAGGGTCAAGCAAAAGTGTGGATCAGCCCTTTATCAAAATAGTAGTCTTTGCTCCCTGGCCCTTTGTAGCCTACTTATTTATAAAGTGCCATTTTCCTAGGCCAGGGTGCCACGCTCTCTGCTCAGCCATAGAAAGGATGTATCCTATGTCTGGCTAGGTAGAGAAAGAGATTACACCTGTAGGAAGCTGACTATGGGAGCTGGTGAGAACTCTGACAATACCCAGCAATCAGGATATTGGTGCCTTGTCTCATGGCCCTAGGGACGCGGGTGGTGCTGTGGGTTAAACCACAGAGCCTAGGACTTGTTGATCAGAAGGTCGGCGGTTCGAATCCGCACAACGGGCTGAGCTCCTGTTGCTCGGTCCCTGCTCCTGCCAACCTAGCAGTTCGAAAGCACGTTAAAGTGCAAGTAGATAAATAGGTACCGCTCCGGCGGGAAGGTAAATGGTGTTTCCGTGCACTGCTCTGGTTCGCCAGAAGTGGCTTAGTCATGCTGGCCACATGACCAGCTGTACGCCGGCTCCCTCGGCCAATAAAGCGAGATGAGCACCGCAACCCCAGAGTCGGTCACAACTGGAGCTAATGGTCAGGGGTCCCTTTAACTTTACCTTTACTCATGGCCCTAACCTCCCATAGTAATGGGACCACTGGGTCATCTTCCAATAGAGTAACACCGCTTCCTATCCCAATCTTGGCTCAGCACTTGGCAAGGCACAGGCCTCACCTTGATGGTCAGCATGATGTGGGTCTGCCCCTTTAGCACTTCCACTGCCTTGCTATGGCTGATGTCGTCAAACTTGACTCCGTTGGCTGCAAGGACTTGGTCGCCGACCTTGACCCCATGAAGCTCAGCAAGCCCACCGGGATCCACTCTGGGAACGATACGACATTAGGATGATTATTCTTGAATGGGAACAGTGAGGCTTTGGGCAGGTATACAAGGCATTCCAAGTCAAGTGAACAGGACAAGGGGAACTAGAACATGTTCTTGGTCAACAGAGAGGGGGAGGCTTTCAGAGGGTTGGGCCTAATGACCCGTTGGGTCTTTCCAACTCTCCAGTCCCAGGATTCTATGACAATAAGAGTGATGCAACAACTCTGGTTCCTCCTAGCATAACTGGAAGGCATGTCCCTCTAAGGCACTTTCCCTCATGGCTCTCAAAGGAGACTGAGGTGTTAAGAATTGATTCTGAAAACAGAAGAGCCTTTTTTACCTTTTCTTTAGATTATGGTTACCAGATTTTTTTCAATGAATCCGGGGACACCTTTTCTTTTTGGAAACTGAGTAGCAACAGGGAGTCAGTAGTGGGGATGGTGAGGCAAAAGACCCTGAGCCCAAGCACACATGCATATTGTATAAAGGTGCAAAGCCCTTCTTTCTCACCCTGAGAAACATAAATGCGCAGAGTTGTTAAAAAACTGGGCAATGGCTACCCACCCGTGGCTCCCCAGCCTCCCCCGATCTGTCAAAACAAAGGGGGAAGGGGGCAGGAGATCGGGGGAGTCATGGGTGTGCGATGCGCCATTGCCCAGTTTTTTAAAAAGTCTGCGCATTTATGTTTCACAGGGTGCGAAAGAAGGGCTTTGCACCTTGCCCGGCAGAGAAACCGCGCCCCTTGCGCCCCTCCTGTGCAATGGCCACCCGCCCGCTAACAGACTGGCTCCGGGCTGCTGAGGCTGCCGCTGCCATGTTTCCCAGGGACAAATTTGCAAATCTGGGGACATTCCGGGGACGGAATTTGTCTGGGGAAAGATTTGCAAATCCAGGGATTAGATTGTAGGTAATAGCCAGGATGTGAGTGACTCCTTCTAATAAATTCACCAATGTCTCAGTAAATTATTGAAATGACCCAGCTTTTAAACTAATTGTGGAAGATTGGCGTAAGCCCCGTAAACATATTCAGAGCTGAAGATTATTTGTCCCCAGTTCATAGAAAGCCACGGATCAAATCTAATGATGTGGTCATGCTACAGAAGGTGACATCAGCTGTGGCTTCTCTGAGGCTGCATGCATTTGGGACTGAACAAACTTGATTGAAAAAGTCTAAATACAAGAGGCAAGAGGGCTGCTACAGTCGCATACAAATGCTACACAGACACAAGATAATACTACAGACACAAGATACGGCAATTTTACTCTAGATTAATTAACCTGAAAGAAGGATCTATATTTGGTATCAAATTCAAATAAGATTGAATAACCATTACAGTCACAGCCCTGTACCAAAAGAGTGGGGGGAAATCTATCTTTTTCTCATGATATACCTAACCCAATTTTACATTTTAAAGGTGGATCAAGGGTGTTAAAGAGCACCTATTAAACAGATCCAGTAAGTTTAATAAGATTTACACCCAAGTAAGCATGCATAATTGAGGTTTAAGCTAGCTCTGGTAGTTTATTCTGCGGCTTGCAGAGTGAGCAAGGATAGCAAGCAAAACAAATTCTACAATGCACCACTGTATTTCTACAAAGAATCGTATCATATCATTATGGCTGGAGCTTCTTAATAGAAATGGGTCCTAAGTATTATGCAGGGATAGTAAACCTAATCTTAGGCTGCATACAAACCATACATTTAAAGCACATGTCTTCTGCCAAAGAATCCTGGACATTGTAGATTGTTCAGGGTACTGGGAGTTGTAGCTCAATTAGGAATAAATTACAGTTCTCAGGATTCTTTGGGGGAAGCAATGTGCTTTAAATGTATGGTGTGTGCTCAGCCAAGGTGGTATCAAGATTCCAAAACAGTTAAAAGTGGCAAGCTCCAGTGTGAAACAGCTCTTTAGTGCTCAATCAGAACAAAGGCAATTCAGGATTTTTTTCTGGGTTGATGTTTGCTCAAAGAGCACTAAAGAGTGGGTTTTCCCTGAGAACTGAGTGGGGTGAGCAGAAAACCGCTCAGACTCATGCTTTCAAGTGGAAGTGTGGACAAGCCTCAAGACTTACTTGGAGACGTAGATACCAAGGCCATACTCTTTCCCCCCACGGATGTTGAAACCCAAGCAGTAGTCATCAGAGGTGGTATACAGGTGAATGATCCTCCGCCTCCCAATCTCAGAGCTCGTGTCTGATGGAGTTGAGCCACTCCTCTCCACAATCAGGCGCTTGTTCACCACATCAACCCTGTGGCGAGATAAAGAATTCACCGAGTATTCTGGACTCTGCTGAAATATTTTTGAATGGAACTTGGAAAATCAATAAGCCCATAGGTGGCAGGCAGAACGTAAACATAATTGCAATCTGGATGTTGAACAACCGTAACTGAGACTTAGACCCAAGGAACAGGGTGATTTATTTATTTTTTTGTACACAAGGAGGGTTCACTCTTCTTCCACCTACCCCAGCTACCACCCTGAGAAAAATAGCTCTCCCCATGTGGCAGATAGGCTTAGAGGAAAGCTTCCATGGATGCAAATGGGAGCTTTTCCCTCTTAGGGAGAATTGCCATGTGGGGGAATGGGGCTGAGGAAGGGGAAGAGAGAGAGAGAGAGAATGAGAATTAATGTGTCCATGTGTGAGACAGAAAGAGAATGAAAGCAATGTGGGGTGGCTCCAGCCACACTAGCATATGGCCACCTCTGGAACAAAGCTTTATTTGAATCAGGGCTTGTTAGGGCTGACACCCAACACACCAAAACATGTCTCCAGAACATGCTTTTAACAGGGACTTTGAGCATGTCTACTCACTTCCTCTGTTTTATGCAACCATGTCCCACCCGTATCTTTTCCATAAGTGTGTTTCTGACTGACAAGTAGGCTGGAGCCTGGGCCTTTCTGGTTTCAGAAGAGAACCTCTCCATGCTGGATCGGGGGATGATGTATTGTATTTTAGGAAACTTATGTCCAGTGCTATTTCCCTCGTTCTCTTAGAATTGCAATGGGACCTACCTGAGAGGTGCCGGAACTGAGTTCGAGTGAGTTCCCGCCGAAAAAAAGCCCTGTTTATATCCCACCCTTCAGAGCAGCTGACGTAATAGAGCAAGTATCAGTATCAAACTTTATTTCAGTCACAGACCAGCATAAGATAAAACATATGGATAAACAGAACACATAAGACTTAAAACAGGTAAGGAATAAAAGCTAGTAGTTAAAAGGTATATCATACATAACTTAAAAAGATAGAAACAAGGACAAATGGTTAAAAGCAACTATAAAGGAGGGAGTGTGAAGAAGCACGGGTCTTGTATTTTGGGCCTAGTTTGTGGCACAATAATATGATAATCACCAACAAGTATAACCTAAAACAAAAGCAGTGAGAAAGCCCCCCCCCCCACGATAAACTAGATTAGAAGAGTGTGCCAAAGCTTGCACAAAAGCTTGGCACCAGCCAAACCTCCCTGAGAAAACATTTCCACAATCACAGGGGCTACCACTAAGAAGGATTTGAAAACCTGTGCAGACCTGTCAATCATTAGCAGATCAGTTGCACACTTTGAGGAATGGTTTCAAAAGATCTGACGGCATACCAGAAGATCCCTTCCCTGACATTAACTACAAAGTAGGCCAGTCCTGCAAGCAAATCAGGAAAAAACAAGCAAATGCACCAGTGCATCAGAAACAGCACCTGAATCTTAGAGACAAATTTCATGTATCTACTTACTGTGATATAACTGATACACCTGAAGCTAATATGAAGAGAAGTGAAATGTATGTGAAGAAGTATCAAGTGGATTTAATTTTCTAAATAATATAGACTTATCTGATGTACGATAGTTACAAGATTCCCAAAAGCTAGCTGACTCATACTCCCAGGACTTTAACTTGAATCTTTTGTGGGCAACTACAGCAGTTCTACTGTTATATGTCACGAAGTTTAATGAAACAGAAAACATAAAATTCAGTCGTGGATCTTTCACAGTAATGAAAGACTGAACACAATATGCACTTCCAACTGTAGAGATCGGGTTATGAATGCTGTGAATAATGCTTTTTCCTCAGCTGAAATGAATAAGAAGTCCTCAGAGAGAGAGGACTTATGGAAGCGAATGTGCTTCATCAAGTCAGTTTTGATGAATTTATCCAGAGTTTTGCAATCAGAAAACTTAGAAAGAAGCTATTTTAATTTCAACATGTCTTGTGTCATTTCCAGAAATAACATGTTGTTTTACAGTTTAGCATTGTTTGATTTTGAATTGCATATGGGGGCACCGAAATCTTTTCAGTGCTTAGGGGCTCTAAAGGCTTTAATCCAGCCCTGCTGCTTACAGAGTCCCATGCATGCCCCCTTGATCCTCTTCTGTTTTCCTCTTTCACATTAGCAAATGATTTCCCAGCCCTCTGCTCCTCACTATTCATTTCCTACCTACATATTATGCAGAAAGCCCGTGTCCAGCCTCATTTCCCCATGTGTTTTAATGGCCTGTTTATTCATCCCAATTTGTCTGCAGAGAGCTTTGGCGATGTTACCTAAAAGCAGGAGTTAGCCCATATTTTCCAGTGCATTTTCCTGTTACTTTCCTTAATACAAAAACTCAGATCTTTTGAGGTAGGCTTGCCATACATCAGCAAAATTCCTGACACATCCTGGTTTTCAGGTGTAAAAATGGCGTCGGCGAGGGGGATTTTACCGAAACGGCAAAATGTCAGGGAAAACCCAGATGTATGACAATGCGATGGAAAAAGCAGCGGAAACAGCTCCAAAAGCTTAAAATCACTATTTTGGGGGTAGGTCGCCCCCCCATTAGTTTGGTGGTTTCCTTAAAAAGCTCTACAATTTTGGAGGCTTCCTAAAAAAAAAGTTTGCGGGTGTCATAAATTATACTTTTTGAAATATGGCAACCCTATTTTGAGGGATCGTTGCATGACATCCTAGTCAACTACAGCTGGCTGCACAACACGCCTTTAAAACGCAATTAGAGCACCTTGCCCTCCCTGCAAGAATTCTGAGAGCTGTAGTTTGCTAAGGGTGCTGGGAATGCTAGCTCTGTGAGAGGTAGACCACAGTTCCCAGGATCCTTTGGTGAAGGTGGCGGCATGCTTTGAATGTGCTTTAAAAGGTATGATGTAAACACAACCCAAGCAGTGCAACTGTATGTGATTGAACCCCACCTGGAAACAGCAGTAGTCTGGAAGCGCCCTAAGTCAGAGGGGAGCATTTAGCCCAGTAACCCCAGGTCACCTTGACCCGTCCCTCTCCTGCGCCCTGGTCAGAGTTCATCCCGATAGCATCTCCTTGCTTCTCACGAAACCCGATCGCACCTTCTCTGCTCCGCTGAGCCCAGCACACTTCCCTCGGCCCTTACAAACAACACATTGTGATTTTTGGTTACCCAAGGGCCTGCTGACAATAGGGTGTCACCATAGCAGGCAGTTCCGCTTACCATGTGGTCTTTTCTTTGGAGAACTTTATCCCTGGCACTTTGCCCATGCGTCTCACGACCATCCGCAGCCGGTTGTTCCCTGTCAGGACTTTGACTGCGCTTCCCATTGTAATGTTCTCCAAGCTCACACTATTCACCTCTGTGATTTTATCTCCAACACACAGCCCAGCCTGTTCTGTTGGTATTAAATACAGGTAACTCAACTTGGGCTAAGGATTAGAGAGGGTTTCTCTTTCCTGGTTTTCTTTTTTAAAATATATATATTTTTACAGTATTACTAAAATGACAAACTATAAAAGTATATAGCACACACATTTTAGAGTAAGGCAAGGTTTCTCAAACTTTCTACTCCTAGTTGAAACAGCTGAAAACTACTGAGGTCTACCTCAGTCACTAAATGGCGGTTCAGGAAGCAGAGTTTGGAAAAAACAGCTGGCATTTACTGACATTGTTTCCCACTGATATCAAATCCATCTTTGGAAATGGTTAAACTCTGCCACAGCATTGTTCTTGTGGCAAGGAGTTCAAGGGGTCAGTTTTCCTCATGCTAAGTACATAATTTGCTACGAAGACATTGTGAGGGCCTCCTCATTTCAGGCAGGATTTGCTAATTCAGGGGCTCCAAGTGGAAAAAACTTTAAAACGTATTTTCCCCTCCCCATTCCCACAGGACCCTAAAAGTATTTTTACCCATCTTCTGTAATTTCTTCTCCCACTCGCTTTTCACACTCAACTTCTACCTAATTTCTGCCTCTCTCCCACAACTACAAGTTTCTTTCATCTCTCCTCCTTGGTCCTTAGACATTTGCTTCTTCCGCCTGTAAAAGCTTTTCTCTCTTATCCCCTTCCTTTATATTCCCAGTTTATTTATATAACAACAGCAGCCTTTTTCTTTATAATTTCCTTCTTTGGCCCTTTCCCCTCAGAGGAGGGAGAGGACCATGTACACCACATTGAGTTCCTTGGGGGAAAGGTGGGCTAAAAATGTAATAAATAATAATAATAGCCTTGATAGCATATTTTCTCTCTCTGTTTAAAAGACTAATTCTTCACTGGAGCTCTAAAGACCTGTATGCATGGCTCTTGGAGAATCTGACATTTTGCGATGTCATGGAATTCTATACGGATATGCTTCCAGAACTACTTAGCAACATGACACATAAACATTGTCTCAAATAAATTACTTTGCTTGGGTTTTACTGCAACCTGCAGACATGGGTTAGGTCCTGAAGAAGAACTGGTCAGCACTGGAAGACCACTTGCTGGCAAAGATTGAAGTCTAGGTGATTTTGCCAGTGTTGCAGGGACTAGAATGAAGTCCTTGTTTTATGGACAGAACACCCGAGCAGCTTGTTGTCTGTTTTTAAGGCTGGGAGGGTTGGAGAGATTTTGCTTACCTGCACTGCTGCCCTCCTCCACCTTGCTGACGAAGATACCCAGGCCATGCTCCGAGCCTCCGCGCACACTGAAGCCCAGCTTCCCATCTGTGCTTTTATCCACCGTAATGGCATTGATGGCATCACTCTCATCACTGTTAGCTGTCATGGGGATACAGCATGATATAATTATGAAATGACACCACTAAGGACACTCACTGCGCTGGAATGACCAGCAAAAGGAGCTACTCATGATCCTCTACCATAACACTGGGAAAGTGATAGTAGAAAGAATTGCAAGAGAAATATGCCACACCTCCCCACACTCTGCATTTTAGCCTCTCTTCCCCACCATTGTGGGTCCACCAGACCCAGAAATGACATCTGGGCAGGCTGGAGGGCATGCCATGAAATCCCTGACAGTTTACTTCCTAGGGAGACATGGGAGCGTTTGTCAAAGTGTATCTCCTCTGTCAATGCACACATGGATGTCCTGTCTAATATAAATGATTACAATACACACAACACAAACCTAGAACTGCAACAAGCATCTCCCCCTCCTCTTCTCCTATCAGGCAGCAATACTGTAAATGCCTTCACACCCTGGGAACATGGCCAGCACCAGAAGAGTTCCCAACTAGAACTGCTTTTTTATGTGGATGTGATTTTATACTATTTTATTTTGCTCTCAGCTTTTCAATTTTGTAATTGGTGTTTTTATCTTGACACTGGCTATTGACCGTAATAAAATGACTGCAACATGTTAATAGGAGCCATGGGAGTGGCTCAGTACAGGGCAAGGTCAAATGAGGAGGCAGATCAGTCTATTGGAGGGGGTTGGGGTTGGGGTGGCAGGAGCCTTTTCTCCTCTAAATCTCTAGATTTTGACCTCTATATATCAAGGAGCCTGTAAAATGTTCTATATGACACCTATATGTTTTGCTACCTGGGGCAAATAGAGGAATGGGGGAGGGCAGCCCAGAGAAAGTGTTAAGCTCTATCTCCATCATGGCCCTGATCCAAATTAGCTCTTCCTCACCCTATGATCCCTATGGTTGCAATTCACAACTAAAATCAGGCCCATGCAGAGCTTGTCTGAGGCCTGATGAAGGAGTCTTCTTAGAATAAAGTTATAGACCCTGAACAGTGTAAGTCTGGCAGGCCTGGTGGCACTCCTCATTTGGCTGGCCTAGCCCTCTGAGGCCTGGAACAGGTATACCCAGCTGTATCTCACCCTCTCTGCTCGAGCCTGTTTAAAATGCACCCTGTTTAAAAAGGATCCACAGTTCTGCTCATGGACTTCTCATACCGTGTCTTCTTTGGTCCTCAATCAGAAAGTGGCAGCATAGTAGAAAGTCCCGTTTTGCTGAGGCTCAGCATTATGGGAAGCTGCCTGAATCAATTTTATCTCTCTCCCTCAATGTAGAGGCTAATTTAGGGGAGCACGGCTGGTTCAGTTGCACTGGGTGTGGAGCCTTGGTGTGCCATAGGGGCCACTGCAACTATAATGTAGTATGGAAGGCAAGAGGTATGGGGTGCTGAATTTTGAGACCCCAAGGTCTGCCACTGCTCCATGTCCTCTTATCTCTGCCCCAACACCTCATTTCTTTGCACCAAATAATTGCCGAAAACAACCCATCCTATATAACATGAGGTAACATTTACTTCCTGGAATTATGCATATTACAAATGCATGTTTCTAATTACTGTGATACTTCCTAATCACATAATTGGCTTATTTACTAATACTGGGATGTATATAAAATTGCAGGGCAATGAGGTGTGCGCGCTAATTGGCTCTCTTGGGTCACAGCAACTTCCTCATAAATCTGCAACTGATCTTGCAAGGAAAGGAACAAACAGCACCATTTGGCTATGGCTCTACTCCTTTGCAAAAGGATGATACCAACTCTCTCCATCCAGCCAGGATCTGGCTTGGCTATGTAGGTAGAAATCATGTCCCTTGCACACTACCACCTCCCACCTTCATCCCCAACGGTACCTTCAAGGGGTGTATTGATGAGGATAACTCTTCCCATGGGGGACGAGGTGCGGTAGTCCCGAAGGTTCCCATTCAGGAGCCGGTTCTGCCTGCTCAGCAGGAGGCGATTGGCAGTGCTGATGTCACTGCTGGAGCCCCGGGAGTGAGTCGGGTAAATGATTTCGCTCTGGAATGAATCAGGAGTGTATGCCATGGCAGGACAGGGCGCTGGTTATGCACAGAAGGACTCTCGCTGTTGGGTCTCTTGATGGGTTGGAGAAGCACACTGCGCTTAGGCCTGATTCCTTCAGGAAAGTTGGGCGAGTTTGTTACATTTTGGCCCCTTAGGTTGCTTCCCACCAGCGGAAACCGTTGCTGGACATGTTTCCCTCAATCATAGTATTACCTCTCGTAGACTCATTTTGTTGTTGTCGATGGTGATGTTACCACTGAGGATTGTCCTTAGGAAAATTCACCTATTTTTAAAATGCAGGATCCAATGAAAACATCTTGCCTCTCATGGGTTTAGATTCATGCTCTTTCTCTGTCTTCCAGACATGTATTCTGTAATAATAGTAGTAGTGGTGGTAGTAGTAGTAGTAGTAGCAATAATACTATCATTTTTTTACCCTAAAGCCTTTAGTCAAATTTAAGCCCTATGCACATTTAACTGGAAGCAATTCCCATTGAATTAAACAGGACTTATTTCTATGTAAATAAGTTTAGGATGGCTGCATGGATCTCTTTTGAGTTTGTGGTGCAACAAGAACATGTTTTATGGCACTCCAGAAGTCTCCTTGACAAGGGAGCATACCCTCAGTCAGTCCCTCTAGTACCTGAACTTTTGAGGACAGTGATAACAATATTTTTGCACTCACAAGGTTGAGAAAATGAAATTTTAAAAAAATGAAATTTGTGGCTGGCAGAATTTTTACAAAAATATTACTACCTTTCACACAGTGCTCACTGCATCCACTCTTTGAAGTTAGGTGTATGTGTGTGGGGGGGTCTAATGCTAATTCAACAGTTTTAGACATGAAGGCACTTCATATTTATTATCTAAGCAATATGGTGGATGAAGACATTTTTACAGTAAGACATAAGCATGTTGCAAACGTTGTTTGAAACATTTTCATTGTAGTGGGACTGTTGTGTTCCATGGAATTTATGTAGAATAAAAAGCAGGAATAATATTGTTTGACTATGGCTGACCTAGCTAAATGTAGAAAAATTAAAGCTGAAAAGAAAATGGATCAGATTCTTTTCCTTCCAGTGTCACAGTGTGATTCTATTTTAGCACTTTTAGTCTAAAAACATCTGTTAATTTCAGTGATGTATCTCCAGGTTTATGGCTTGGCAATTTAATAGAATCATATCATTCTAGACTTCGAAGGGACCACAAGGGTCATCTAGTCCACCCCCTTGAAATGCAAGAATCTTTCACCCACAACCCTGAGATTCAGAGCCTCATGTGCTCTACCGACTGAGCTATCCCGACCAAATCTTCCTGGTTTGCACAGCGTGACTGGATATGCACTTGTTCAGCTGAGACCAGAAGTAACCCTACCTTGATATGCTTATATTTCTCAAGGCATTTACCGCTTAAGAATTACACTAGGGTGGCTTGAAGTGGGTACACTAGTTTACAGTAGCCAGTGCCAAGCTGAAATGCTTTCAGCTTGCTGTATAGATAAGAAAATAATAATTTTCTATTTTTTTTAAAAAAATAAAATTCAAAAACTTTTAATGAATTGCCCAAAAAACTAATACTTTTTAGAGCTTTGCTTGTAAATAACTCGAGATGCTGCAGGAATTCTGCTTTGATCTCTTAATGCTCTCTGCTGAATATCCTGGAAGCTTTGCATTCCACCCAGTATAAAGCAGTATGCAACAGCCAAAGCTTTTGCTCATTGTAACATTCTCAATAAGAAGCCTTAAAAGAGACTATGTCCCAAGCGTGGGCATTTGTTCCTCTACACGGCTGTTCAGTCCGGGAAGATGGAGATCTCTCTGCTTTTGCTATGTAATCACTCAGGGGAAGAGAGGGGGATTTTCCAGCTTACTCTGCATCACTGATACGCAAGCCCCAGTCTCCCCCCCCCCCCCGCCGTTTCCTTGCCTGCACATTAGCTGGAATGAAGCCTGCGTGCGGAGTGACCTGACCTTAATAAATAAGTGATGTCATCTCTTCCATTAGAGATACAGCACGGGGGCGGGCACCGCAGAAACCCTTGTGGGAGAGGACAAGATATGGGGCACGCCCCAATTCTGATACAAGGCCACTAGTAGGCAACTTCTCAACAACCGTCGCTTCTGAACGAGTGGGAAGTTTCAGAACCTTGGACAGGTCTCCCGAAAGCACCTGCATTAAATTGCATCCTGCTACCTGCAGGTAAACCTTCTCATACCTAACGCCCTTGTTCTACCTGGCAACTCTCTCTGACCTAGCACAAAATAATCTACAGACAGTAGAGAGACGAAAAGGGAAGGGTGACCCGCTCAGAAATGCAATTAACCCCTGATTAACATACCCCTCCCATGCCCCCCTCACCTGTTTCCATGTTGCTCTGCAAACTTCCTCACCTGGGACAGACACACAGTTGAGCCTGCAAACCTGGTGGCTGCTAGAGGTACCTATCACCCCCATCACATGGATTGGCTGGTCAAACCAGGAACAAGACCTCTCATAGGTCAGAAGAGCTGTCAGTTATTCACAGCACTTCCTCGTTGTATCTCTTGTGGAGGGAAGGGAGGAAACTCAGCAGGTGTGTTTCTGGACTTGTAACAAGCAGAGAAGAATGGAAGCAGCTCCAACAGAGAACATTATTAGGACTATCCATTTGTTCTGCAGTCAAAATGAACAGGTAACGGCATGTGATTGCTGAAGAGGGATGTATCCTCCCCAATTTAAAATGGCTTATGTGTGTTAATTACTGGAAGCAATTTTTTAGATATCAAAATACCCCATTGAGATTATTGTCTATGTTTTGATGCTTTTGTTGGACTTTGTGTCCTGCTTATGTGTCTTGTACATTTATGATAATAAAAGGAGACATATCTATACTTTAGTAAGGTGTAGAGGAAAGTCTGTACATCTGGTAAATTAACTTTACATTTGAAGAAGAGATTCCCATTTTGCATTAGTATATTTGCTGGGCAAAATTATCTAAAATATACACATTTATTATAGCCATTAACATCTAGTCCTAATAGGGTGGCCAAATGCAAAAGAAAGCGGGGCCTTAATAGTCACCTTTAATAGTTAGGTCACCTGCACCTGCTGAAATACCCTCTTCTACCCTGCTATATTGAAAGAAGCAGGAGCCTTGTTGTCTTTTGCACTAGGTGGAGGTGAAGTGATGACACTGGACTAAAGCACTTCCTGGCATGCAGGCAAGACTGAACAGAGGTAAATCCCAACCAGAGTAGCATAGAGTTTTATTGAATTAGTCCATATCAACAGAAAACAAAACAGAATACAAATAAAGTCTGCATAAAAGTAAACTGCATTTAAAACTCTACATGAAAGGAAATGTTGTATTTGCTTTTGCTAAAACAGCTAAAAACCAAAACATTAAAAATAAAATAGAGTTAAATAGGGGAGAAGGACATCATACTAGTTTAGGTAGTCTGCTAACCCCCTGAAATAAAACCTGCCAGGGAGATTAGTTCATGTACCAAACTTGCTAGTTGCCTGTCTCTGATAGAGTGGGCTTTCTCAAGTTGATCATTCAGATGCTCCGTGGACTTCAGAGAGGGGGAAAATCTGAGGAATGTGTGATTTGCTTGAAATGCTGGTTGGTGCAATAGGTAGATAGCTTTGCAACCCTCTCTTGTATAAAGGGCAGCTCCTTTTAGCTTCCCTCATGTGTGGGGGCACTTATGCTGCTCTCTTCATGATGTCAGGGTGCATTGGTGGTCCTAAGGTTGGTGGTGTTTTGCAGGTCTTGCAGTAAACTTCAAAGAGACTAGCCACGGAGTGCATGCGGTAAAAGATGCCCAGTGGCAGGGAGATCTTGACCACGATGGCCCAGAGTGTGAAGCCATAGAAAGACTGCTCAATCTGGCTCACCAGGTGCGGGCGGGTCCCATAGGCATATAGAATCCACACCTAGTCAAACAAAGCAAACAGGGAAAGGAATAAAACCGACTTCAAACTGTTGGCACAAGTAGCCATTATTTTGGGGCAGCAGCATCCTTTCATGGGAGGGATGGGGAGCGTGTGGCCCTCCATATTCTGTTGTTATTGTTGAACTACAACTCCCATCAGCCCCATCCAGCATCTGGTGGACCACCACTTCCCCATCCTTCCTGAAATGTCTCCCATACTTATTTAGCATTTGACGTGCCTATAGAGCACATGGAAAAGCTACGTTGTCTAGGATATACACCTGTTTTTCCACTGTCCCCTGTTCTGCTTTCTCAAGCACATGAACAACAATCAGAAGTTTTCATGTGCCGGATTAGAAGGTGCTCTTTGAGCCAATCTACATGTTCAGAGAAAGAACATGGGGCAGTGCTCCATGACCTGTTGTAGGTCAGAATGTGAGAGGTGTGTCACACAGCTATATCTCCCCTTCCCTTTGTGTGAACATAAACAAGCAGCAGGTCAGGAGTAAAGCTTGGTTAGAGCCTTTCTTTCTAAAGCGCCAGATTTTTTGTGGTGGCAGGAGGGGAGTGGAATTAAATTTTGAAGACAGGGATAAAGTTCAGTTCCACTGCCTGGATTCCGAATTGGTACAGTCCCAGGAAAGTTGTAGCATTTGTGTGCCTCCTGAACATGTAGATCGGCCATTCTATAGATGGGGATGTTGTTCCACTTCACCCAACTTTCTTTGGCAAGAAGAAATGCTTTCCATGCGGTGCCAGAATTCTTCAGTTACGTAACTCAGGTCCTTGAAAATTTCTGGAAGCATGACATTTTAAACAATGATGATGCGTTATGTTTTTAGATATGCGGGTTGCGTTCACTTCTGGATGTGAACGGGGCTCCGGAACGGATCCCATTGGCATCCAGAGGTACCAGTGTACCTACATCGGAGCTATAGGCTGCATAGGAATCCTCATTTATGTCGCTGTTGTGCTGTTTCCTTGATACTGTTTGCAACAAAAAAGGGGTGGGGGATTTGCATAAAGGAGAAACTAACAAATATGAACATTTTTGGAATCAGGAGAAAAGGATTTGTGATAGCAAAGCTTGACTTGGTGTTGCAAAGTACCAAATGCAGTTTGTTAGGTGACTAACATTACAAGCCAAATAACCATTTTATAAGTACCTATGTTAGCTTCCTGCTACTCCAACCATCAAATAGTATTGTGGCACCTTAAAGACAAACAAGTTTTATTATGGCAGAACCTTTATGAAGAAGAGTCCACTTCATTAGATGCATCTGATGAAATGGTCTCTGGTCCACATCTTGAAGGTGCCATAAGACTGTTTGTTGATCTTGGTTCTAATCCACTACTGCCCTCTACGGGTCACATAGATTCTCTCACTTGGAACACATTCAAGAACTGATTTTGCAAAGTTACGGTAGTTACTACAAATATTATTAGACAATCTCCTGTGTTTTCCATTTCAGATTTGGCATGCTTGGAGTTCTAACAAAATCAGCAACATTATGGCAAGATTAGTGCATGTAACATACTGGGGGGGGGGGGTTCTTCAATAAGGAATTTGGTAGAGCAAACTGAAATTTGGCAATGATGAGTAAAAAGTCTTCATATCAGCCTAGAAGAGCTAAGGCAAATAAGTTCAAAGAAGACTGGATATTGTTTGGAACATTTTCGAAAGTGAAACAGGTACTCACTTTCTTTTGCTCTGCAGTATTTATCTTGGAATTTCATGGTGTAAAGTAGGTTTCTAATGCTGCTTCTTGTTTAAAGACTACAATATTGAATTAAGGGTGAATTAACTTTTAATATCTTTTTATACCTTGTCATTAAATATTTATGACATGTTTGTAATTTCTTTATGTACTGTAACTGATGTGTTGATGATAGTTTTAATCAATAATAATTATTATTTTAACATTTTAGGAAATGGTGTCATTCTATGTTGGTGTATAACAGGGTTCACCAACATGGTGCTTGTGGGCACCAGTGTTCCCGTCAGTACCTACTGTGATGCCCACAAAAGGTCTTGAATTGGACACCCATCCTCTCATCTATTCTGAACACAGGAGAGGTGCAAAGAGCTTCTCTCTGGGGGAGCCCTGGGATGGATGATAAAAAGGCAGCTACATCAGCTACCTCATAGAAAAATGCTCCTTGCAGTTCTCTGTTCAGAAATCAACTGCTCTTGGTAAGTGAGCACAATGTTGCCTGATAAAAAGCAACTTTGCCAGCCACACCTGGGTGTAGGACAGTGTCCAATCCTGTAAGAACCTGTTTCCCATTCTTGAAGTGGCTGGTAGTTGTGGACATGTCCTTACCATTTTGCAGTTGTGTCCCTCTTTCTGCTGTTTTAGATGTGGCAGCCATTTTGTGTCATGCCACATTCCCCATGGCAGCCATGTTGTGTTGCACCACAACCTCAAGATAGCCATTTCGTGACTGGTATCTGTTGCACTTTCTGGTATATAGCTTGGCCTGGGCCTAGTGAACACAAACCACAAGTCTTCACTAGGCCTGGGCTAAGACTTACTTGGCATGCTGACATAGATTGATCATATTATCAAAACTAAGCCAACAGAGACTACTGCCTCAATTCTGCCATGGGCAGCCTGGTTCCTGGTTGCATAGGGTCTCCCTAGAAGCCCTTTCCACAAAATCCCCCACCCACTGCAATTTTGGTGCCACCTTTAGATCTGTCTTAAACCAAACCCAACTTACCGATATGTTGTAGAAGATGAGGAGAATTGAGATGTTTTGTAGGACCTTCCTTCTGATACTTTGTTTTTTAGGTTCTCTCTGAATGTGTGAAATCTGGAAGAGGGATGGGTCATCACCATGATCTGACAAGTGCATGGGCAGTTGATTTTCCAAACTGGCCATGATGTTGGTCAGTGTATGGGTTTTGGAGTAAGCTCTATTGCCATCCTGTTCTGCAGGACCTCTGGAAATGGAAAAGATCCAGCTGGCAGCAGCAGAATTGCTGTTGTCTTGGCCATCTGGCTCTTGAGGGAGGCTTGAGTACAAAGCTTCAGTAATGAAGAGATTCTGTCCCAATATCTGGATGGTCTTGCAGAGGGAGAAGCAGAAGTCTAGGAGGTGGAGGCCACCATTGGTATGAAGAAATAAGATGGCAACCAAAGAGAAGATGGATACCATGAGAGGACCACAGGAGCTGCCCAGAAGCAAGGTGACATCTAAGTTTCTTACTACGCTCTTGTCAGAAGGGAGAGCCGCAGATTTTTTCTTCATTCTATAGGTGGCAATGCCAATCAAAGTTGCCAGGAACATGGCTGACAAGAGCACAGAGTTGAAGATGTAGTATGTCCGTAGGGCTTCAGGAATGGTGTGGGGAGACTTGGCAAGCACTCCAAAGGAGATCATCACCCCAAATGTTGCTGAAATGGCCAAGGCCCCCAGCACTAGCCCCACAAAAGCCCCACTGAGATGGAAGTGTGCCTTGTGAGTGAGCTGGGGCTTTTGGCTGGGGCTTTGCCGCCCTGTGTTCTTCCAGATGATGTACAGCATTGTAGAAGAGAAGAGACTGAACTCAATATTGAAGGGATGCAGGTAGGCGGCGCCTTCTGAAAAGATGTGGCAAAGGCTGGTGGTACAGATGCAGCTGTTGGTGTGGGAACCACCTGTAGGAAGAATAGGACGCTTGTGCTAGAAAATGGATATATGTTTAGCAGAGGAACAACAGCAACTTTGAACTGGAAAAGAGGACAATTCTGTCCACTTAGGTCACACCCACAGCAAATATTTAAAGCATTCTTACACCACTTTAACACTCATGGAGAATCCTAGGAACTGTAGTTTGTTAAGGGTGCTGGGAATTGTAGCTTGGTGAGGTCAGTACTACAGTTCCCAGGATTCTTTGGGGGAAGCCTGACTGTTAAAATGGTATTAAGAGCACTTTTTGGTGTGGCTGTGCCCTGTGTGTAGTTGAGAAACCGCACACAGCTCTTGTCCACCGGCTCATATAAGACCAGCACAAACAGTTGGGCCTGGTGAGCACTCAATGTTCCCATCCCCTAAAATTATAATCTGTGGGTTGCCATCTGATTTTATTCTGCTCCAAATTTGATTTTAAGATGTATTTTAATTGATTGTTTGATTTATGTTTTTAATGTAACATACTTTGATGGTAGCCGCCCTGAGCCCGGTCCTGACCGGGGAGGGCGGGGTATAAATAAAATTATTATTATTATTATTTTCTGCTTTCTTCATCCAATCATGACAACTTTATACCAAAAAGCCAGAGAACGGATGTGAATGCTCAGAGAACATACATTACTGGGCTACCATATAAGTATAGTAAGATAGCAAGTAAACAGACGTCCCTTGGACAGGGTTGCCATACGTCCAGAATTTCCTGGACATATCCAGAATACCACATTCCTCAGCAGAGTCTGGGTGGAAATAGGCCAAATGTCCGGGAAAATCCAGATGTATGGCAGCCTATGTCAGCAGCTTTACAACTTTGCTGTCCGGATTTTCCCTGTTTGAAATATGGCAGCCCTACCATTGGATTGGAACCATGCCTTTGGTCACTTTGAAAGACTTAGTTCCTAAGTTTGTCACTTAGGAAGCCAAGCCAAGCCATTTGTAGACCTCTCTTTGAGAGCTCCCTCCCCAGATGAGAAGGACGGTTTGTACCATGGGGGGCCTGTGAAGTCTCTCCCTTGTGAGCATCATAAAATTCTTCCAGCTGCTTCATGGACTCATCCAGCACCACATTCATCCACAGGAGCACATTGGTGGCCAGAGTGTGCATCAGCCCAAACCTAGAAGTCACAGGGAGAAAGGAGGAAGGGGATAAATTAAAGATCTCTGCACCTCACCCTTCCCTACTCAATTTGGTTCAAAGGTAGATAGAGGCTCCCTGGCCCCAATCCAAACATTCCTCCCAGCCATGATTAGCATCTTTGTAGCCATTTCATGCACTGGCATTCTTACGAGGCTGCCAAAAACCTGACTCGCTTTTCCCTGCACGGTTGCCTCATCTGCAACATTCAGATTCTTCCAGGCGTCCTCATCCTTGCCAGAGGCAGAATTTTCATATTACAGCTACCCAATGCAAACCCTCCTGTGGTGCAATGGGTCAGCACATCTGCTTGTTAATTGGAAGGCGGGCGGTTCAAACCCTCTCAGGGACAGCTGCGGGCATTGCAGGGGGTTAGACTAGATGACCCTCGTGGTCCCTTCCAACTCTATGTCTCTGATTCTCTGTGATTCTAATTGCATCCAGGGCAGTGCTAAGTGCGTGCCCTAGCAGTGCAATGATTACTGTTTGTGCAACAGGACTTTCCTTCCCTGCCTGTGCACCCCTTAAATATGTTCTGGACTTTCCTTCACCCCTCTGGAGCACATTTAAGGAAAGGGCACAGTGTGGGGGTGAAGAGGAGGAAAGTTCTGCAGTACAAACAGCAGTCTTTGTGATGATTGGATGCTTTCATTTATTGCATTTTTATCCCACCTTTGAAGAAAGATGGATGAAATAATAAAGAATCCCATAGGTTAAAAAAGACTGTACTCCTTTGAAGTTCAAACCTTGGACCAGTGTGTATGCCTGGTAGCTGTTTGGGTTGCTGATTTTACATAGCTCAAGAGACTACACCTACCTGTTTAGATGCTGGTGTTCCTGGATGCAAACTTTAGCATTAAACAACAGCACTGAGACCTGAAAAGAAGGGAAAGAAGGTGCCAGGGAGGGGAAAGAGACAGAAGATCACATCACCATTTGCCACTAATAGTATAAACCAGTCTTCCCCAACCTGGTGCTCTCTGTGTTTATTGGACTCCCAACTCCCATTAGCCCCAACCAGGAAGGTCAATGGCCAGGGAGGATGGAAGTTGTAGTCCATGTGGGTTAAACCACAGAGCCTAGGACTTGCTGACCAGAAGGTCGGCGGTTCGAATCCCCGTGACGGGGTGAGCTCCTGTTGCTCGGTCCCTGCTCCTGCCCACCTAGCAGTTCGGAAGCACGTCAAAGTGCAAGTAGATAAATAGGTACCGCTCCGGCGGGAAGGTAAACGGCATTTCCGTGTGCTGCTCTGGTTCGCCAGAAGCGGCTTAGTCATGCTGGCCACATGACCCGGAAGCTGTTTGCCGGCTCCCTCGGCCAATAAAGCGAGATGAGCGCCACAACCCCAGAGTCGGCCATGACTGGACCTAATGGTCAGGGGTTCCTTTACCTTTAGCTTGACTATGGTTGCTGAAAGCCCACTAGGTTCGGGAAGCCTGGCACAAACTGTTCCTCCAGTACTCTGAAATTTTGCCTTATGCACTGCCTCTTTAACAGTAGTGAAGGTTTTGCAAGGAGAAAGAACACAGTGGAGAGAAGCCGAAGGGGCTGGGATCCTAGATGTGTGGCAGAAAAGGAAGGAGAATAGCTAACTCCTCTAAGGCTGAGCTTGCCTGTGGTGTGGCATCCCCACCAAATATCTGACCACATTTGACCTCACCTGGATGATGGTAAAAACAGCCTGCACGACAGGGAAGGTGGTGATGAGCATGGAGGCGCAGTGTTGCAGCTCATAGCTGTACCCCAAGGAGAGGCAGTCCAAAACCAAGGTGGCCAGTGCAAAGAGAGAGAGACCGCCTGCCATGACAAGACAGCATGGTCACCACAAATGCGGCACAGAAAGCAGGCACTCTGATAATTTATTCAGGAAGCAGAAGGGGGCAGGAGGTCCATTCATATTAAGTGCCAAGACCGTGGGACCAGAGAGAGCAAGGGGAACAGGCTTCCTGCTGATGAAGGAAAGCATCTGCATCCTGACAGTTCCACCCTGTCAATTCCAAAGTGAGTCCCCAGTGCCTTTCTCCACTGACCCATAAGACTACAGATTAAAAAACAACAACATGAGCTGCATGGGAAGGGGAATTGTGAAACAAGACTGAGAAATCTGTGGTTTCATGGAAGTCCCCACCCTCGCCAATCATTGCGATGCTAATAGGGGTAGGCCGCTGATGCGAGTGGTTGTTTGTGAGAACAAATTGGCTGATATAACCAGTGCTTTTTTTTCTAAAAAAGTGTTTAGGGGTACTCTCATTTTGACTCATGAAAACCACCATTTTGTAGTTCAAATCGGAGAAAATAAATACAGTAAATGGACAAAGTCAGAGATTCATGAAATGTTTAGGGGTATGCGTACCCCTGCGTTGCCCAGAAAAAAAGCACTGGATATAACAATAGGCTCTCTGTCTCTCTGAAATGAAATGAAGTGCAAGTCAGGCTAATAGCAGAGTGGACTGAAATTCTGAAATATCTTCTGGTTGGCTTGGATCTGTCAGACACCAGCAGATCCAAGAACCACATTTTCTCTGCAGGATTCAACTGTAATGATGTCTTGTGTATCACAGCTCCTCTAGTGCACTTGCCTGAGTCCCCTTTTAGTAGAAATGCCAAAACTTTGGAAGGGCAAGGAGGTTTCATTGCTAGTGATGGTCTTCGTTGTTTGAAGGATTGCACAATTTGCTTGGGCACGGGCATTTTGCAATGGATCCTATCTGTGTTAACATCTCTACCTTTTAGCCAGCTTGCTCCTGCCTGGTGATCCTGGTGCCTTTTCAGCTGCTTGTTGCGGGAAGAGTGGCAGCCAAACCAGAGCATCCAGATGCAGGAAGAGATCATGAGCGCCTCCAGGAAAGCAAGGACATTGCGGCTCTGTGAGCTGTGCTGGTGCATCTCAGCAAGGAGCACTGCACTGCCCACAAACGTCAGAAGCACCAAATAGAGGAGGGAAATCAGTGAACTGGAGAGCATAGTAGATGCCATGGCTAAGCAGGGTCTTTTTGCTGGGTATCTGCAGTGCAGCAAGGTATAGCTCAGCATTACAGGGAACATAACTGTAGACAGAAATAGACTCGAGAGAGAAAGGTCAGGAACACACATCCTATGCGCCATGCTATATAACTATGTGGATCTTATAACACAGAGACATGCACACAGCTCAGTACAAGGGCTGTAATAGTGCATGCATTCCCTTCAGCCTGCCCAGTGTATGAGTCCAAATGACTAAATTTTTGAACTGGCAGTGCTTTTCAACAGTTTATCCCAGGGGTCAGCAAACTTTTTCAGCAGGGGGCCGGTCCACTGTCCCTCAGACCTTGTAGGGGGCCAGACTATATTTTTGAGAAAAAAAGAACTAATTCCTATGCCCCACAAATAACCCAGAGATGCATTTTAAACAAAAGCACACATTCTACTCCTGTAAAAACACCAGGCAGGCCCCACAAATAACCCAGAGGTGCATTTTGAATAAAAGGACACATTCTACTCATGTAAAAACACGCTGATTCCCGGACCGTCCGCGGGCTGGGTTTAGAAGGTGATTGGGCTGGATCTGGCCCCCGGGCCTTAGTTTGCCTACCCATGGTTTATCCCATGGTGGTCCACTGCCAGGCTGCATGACTTCCAAAGGAGAATGTTAGGATGTTAGAGTTGGTTCCTTATCTGCATTTGATTCAGCTGCAGCTGTAGTGTGGAAAAGCTCTGGGCAATTTAACACCTTTGCACTATAAAAACAAGCCATCACAAATCGTATACATCCATGTCACCAGGAGAATGTGACCTAGCTGTGTGACTAGCCCACAGCTTCTGTCACGAAGAGGAAAATCCCAGGAACAAAAAGCTCATCCAGCCTGGTGCTCAGTGCCAGGGAATCCGTCTTCCACAAATGGGTAACAATGCAATGCTTCCTAACCATGTTTATTCAGAACTAAATCCTACTGAATTAAGTGGGATGTGATCCCAGGTTGTGCCGTTAGGATTGCAGCCTAAATCATCCGCCTCCACCTTCCTCTGCAGTCATATACTACTACTCTACTACTACTACTACTACTACTACTACTACTACTACTAATTTTATTATTTATACCCCACCCATCTGGCTGGGTTTCCCCAGCCACTCTGAATGGCTTACAGCATATATAAAAAATTGTAAAACACCAGACATTAACATTTTCCTGATACATACCTAATGAAATCAAACCCCAAACCTATAAACATCCCCTTCCAATGTCTACTCATAGTTACGCTTGTATTCTCTGCAAGATGTATGAGAGATATATGGACACAACAGGAAATGTTTTTGGAGGGCATGGATTTGAATTTTAGATTGCTGGGGTCAGACTTAGGGGGGGCTAATCAATAAACTCTTCTCTTGTTAGGTTTTCCATGAACCCCATCTGCCTAGTGTACAGCCCTTCATATACTGTAACGCAATTGCAAAATCAAGCTTTGGGCCAAAAACACAAAGTGAGGAATGTGAGGCTTGCTAAGACGGGCTGGATCAGAGGAGTCAGAAGATTGATATTGTGTCCTGCAACACAGGTGCTTTTCTTGGAAGCAATGTGCCTCCTACTAATAGCTAGGTTGATGGACGGGACTCTTTTTCTTGGATAGTGGGAACCCTAACACCACATTTTGCAGCTGAAATAATGGGGTGATCCTGCATCAACAAGAACATTAGTTGTCACTCACCCTCCAGAGATAGTTGAAATTACTAAACAGACTTTCCTGGGGGGTAAAAAAAGAAGGCAATATCATGAGTCTTTGCACGTGAGCATGGAATCCACCAATTTTTGAAATGGAAAAATGATACCCCAAGCACTCCCTCCAGAATTCTTAGGGATGGAGCCCTTCCCCTTGGAACAGTGGAATCCTTGTATACATGCTCATTATAAGATCTAGATTCCAAAGCGCACCTTATTCTGCTCTAGGCCCTTTCCCTTGCAAGATCCTACTCACCTGGTCGTGTCATGCTGCTGAGAGTCCAGTTCTCTCGCATGCCTACCACAGATTTGGGATTTATCTCAAGGAACCAGCAAGGCAAAGGTATTAATATACCAGGAACGATGGCCCCAGGGGGCAACTTGGGACCACCCCAACCAGCATAATCAGGGGCAGGGAGATCAGGATTTCCATATCCTTTCTCCTTCACTCCCTGCCCCCATCCTCGCCTGGTGTTTAAATGTCTCTTTGTAAGCTAATGGGATTTGAATAGAAAGGGCTGGGGCTTTAATAATGTATACCATCTAGCAATGGATGGGAAAACAAGTACATTTCTTTTACATTAACTGTTGTGAGCAGAACAAACAAGTAAGCCATTTCCATGAGGTGGTTATATCCCACTAAAGAAACATTGGAATGTTTCCTTTTGAAATGTATCCAGATAGTAGACATACATGTTTTAAATCATTTTATTTTTATTTAAAATAATATTTCCAAAAAGATCTCATGGTCATCAATACATGTTTCATGATTATATCCTAAATCACACTAGAACATAAATACCAACAAAGCAATAAATCACATTGTTTTTGATCTATTTCAGCTGAAAAAGCTATCCATGCATAGCAATGTAACAATTCATAGATTACCACTAAAGTAAAGCGTACTACAAGTATTAAGCATTTCTACCATGATATTGTGATTAATTCAGCCAAAGATACTTTCACATTGAGAAGTCATGAATTCATACACGTTTGTCACACAGCATCTAAGAAATGTTCTGGAATTCGTTACAAATTCAGTAAACAGCAGCCCATTCCTGACATCTGATCTCAGATGGGACCCTATGCCATATCCCACTCTTTATAAGAATGTATCCTTGGCCATCCTGGCTGGGGCTGATAGGAGTTGTAGTCCAAAACGTCAACGCTTCCGCTTCTTCTGCCCTAATTTATGCTTCTCACGCGAGGCCATTCCATTCCACTGCACATGCAATAATATATTTTATCCATGGACTCTAGAGACTCAGCTACCTCCTCTCGCAGGTCCTGTTACAGGTCACCTGTATCCTGACTGCCAGCTTACTCTGAGCAAGCTGTTAAGAAACAAAGCTGCCCCCCTGACCCCCCCACTCCGCCGCCCCTTCCAATCAAATTCTGCTGCGGGGGGTGGGTCGTACAATTGCCTGTTTTAAAGAGCAGCGAAGGAAGGAAACACTCTGCACATGTTCAAGGGCACTTTCCCCTAGCATCTCGCCCATTCCAGGGCCGGAGACGGGCTACTGGAGAAGCAGGCCCCAGGCTGCACCTGGGTCCTGCTACAGGTTTCATGCTTAAAACGTGGACAGCTCCGGCCGATTGCCAGTGAGCGGGGCAGGATCTGACCGCCAAAGCCTGTGTCAAGCGGCACGTAGCGCGCTCTGAATGGGAGGCGCCCACCTTGCCTGCCGGGCGAGGAGCAAGGCAGGGAAAAGGCCGGCAGCCAGAGCAGCTGGCGCTGCCGCCGCCTCCTAATCCGATCCCCGCGAGGGCTGCCAGGGACAAGCCTCTCCCCTCCGCCCCTTCCAGGCAGCCCCACCCCGGCCAGCCTCCCGCCCGCTCCGCTTCCCGGCAGGCTCCGAGGAACTGGCTAGGCCGTAGCCCTGCCTCTTGGCCGGCTCTCCCTCGCCGCTCATTGGCTCTCGCCTCGCCAGGGGGGCCGCGACGCTCGGGCGCCGTGACAAGCCAAGGAAGGGGCCGGCCTCGGGAAGCAGCCCAGCGCCGCCGTGTCACAGCCGCCGGGCGACAGGGTTGCAGCCGCCACCGCCACTGCCGCCGCTCGGAGGAACAAGTGAGTTTCCTCTCGCAGGGATCGCGACCCAGCCCGGCCCTCCCCTCGCGGGGCGGGGACGCCTCCCGGCTCCATCCTCCGCTCTGCCTCGGGGCTCCTGGCGCCAGGATCTCCCTCGCCTTCTCCCTCGCTATGCAGCCTCTCCCTTTCTCCCTCCACAGCCTGCGGATTACTCATCACTCGTTCCCATCTCTCTCTCTCTCCTCCCCACCCCATGCCGCCCACTCCGCGCGCGCTTTCCCTTCCTCCTCCTCCTCCATCCGTTTTTATGAGTCACTCCGGGGTTTTGGGTGGGGGCCCATCCGCGTCACGAGCTCATGCACGCGCCGGCGGGTGACTCCCTGCGCGCACCGCGTGCCCAAGGGCTGCTGAGCATCACGCCGGGATCTGGGGAGTTGGCTGGGAGGGCGGCAGGCAGAGGATGCGAGCGACAGGTAGCGGCACATAGCGGGATACGCGGAGCAGACCTCTCCAATCCACCTTCAACTCCCCGGGTTCTGTGGCGGGATAGTCTTGAAAGACGGGAGTCTCTCTCTCGCTCTCTCTCGCTCTCTCTCTCCCTTGGCTTCAAGGTCCCAGGGTGGGTAACAACATTAAAGCACAATTGAGAACAACTAACAACCGGGAAAATAAGGTGAGCCCTGAAATTAGATGCCCCAGGTGTCAAAGTCAGAGGCAAGCATCCTGCGGCATCCTGTCAACATCCTGTGGCAGCTGTATGATGAAGGTACTGGATGCATCTCTGTGGGAAGGGGGCTCCACAGCTTAGGGGCTGCCATGGAGAATGGCCTCTCTTGGGGCACCAGCACCCCAGACTCTGAGGGTGGAGGAAGTACCAAGAGAGCGCCCCCCTCCGCCTGCCAATCTCAGCACCCAGGAAGGTCTGTGGGGCTTCTTTCATCCCTGAGCTTCTTCACATGCCTCCTGTTGGATGGCCCACTTTTTGTTTCATTTTCTCGCATTTAATAGCCCACCTTTTTCTCCAAGGAGCTCAAGGTGCATGGTTCTCCCTCCTCTCATTTAGTCCCCTCAACCTCCCTGTGATTTAGGTTAGGCGGAGAGGAAATGAATGGCCCAAGGCCACCCAGTGAGTTTCATGGACCAGTGGGGATTTAAACTCTGGTTTCCCAGGTCCCAGTTGGGCATTCTAACCACTATACCACACTGGCTCCCAAGAGGACTGCAGAGAGAGAGACTGAAGACTTCCCTGTTTTCTTTATTTTGCTCCCATTTGCTCAGACATGCACCTCTTCTCTTACAGGGTTTTTTTTCTGGCCAGATAATATATTTTATTTTTAAAACACCAGCTTTACTTCAGAGGCTTCTATCTAGTTTGAAACATCACAACTTCATATAAGCAAATGGGTCATCACTTCGGACCATAGAATTGTAGAGTTGGAAGGGACCCCAAGGGGCATCTAGTCCAACCCCCCGCAGTGCAGGAATCTTAACTAAAGAATCCCTGACAGATGACTGGCCAAGTTCTGCATGGATGGAGCGATGTGTGTGTAGAAATCCTTACTTTTTGCATGGCTGGCTTGTCGCCTACTATACCCATGCCAGGACAAACTGATCCATAAAGCATGCTGTGATTTCAGCAGACCATTGTAGGACCATTGCTGGTTGTGGCATCTCCTCCCATTTTTAACCTGGCCATGTCCTATTTCTTTTATTTATTAATTTTCTTACATCTATAGTCAGTAGTGGCTGGTGAGCACTCTTCAGGAAACGACTTGGCGCATGGCTGCAGGAGCATCAGATTGACTCTGCTGTCATGTGCCACACAAAGCTTCCCCATGCCGCTTCACTGGCCCATGCTGTATATAGCTCACCTTGGTTCCATGTGGTCTACATGTGGTTCCTGGTGGTCAAACATCCAGGCACTGACAAGATCTGTTCCCGCAAGGCAGTGGCCTCATGTGTCTTCAGGCCATATCCTGGGTTCTAGGAAAAAAGTGCTGGCATATACTTTGTGTACTCTTGGCTGTGTGCTATAGTGCCAAACTGAATGCTTGGTAGGTTATAGACACACCAAGTATAGACACACTCATAGTATTAATGTGGATACAGTCTTAAGTAACTACTCAAGTCGAGGATTTCAGACTTGACTATTCCTCCTAACCCAGGAATTGTGTTGATCATCCACTGTTAGTACAAGCTAAATTGACAGAAGGTCTGAGGGAGAACCCAGTGGTGTGGTTTGCTTCTTGGAAATTAAAGTAATTTCCTGCATTTTAACATAGAACTGCCTTCTGCAGCTCTTTGGCCTCTTGGTAGACCAGCAGCAAGTACAGAAATAAAAAATGCTTGTGAAGCTTTTCAGGTTAAAAAGGAAAGGAGAGGTGACCTCTTGATACCTTGCTGGTCTCCAGATGAAATTGACTAATTTCCTTGTTCATGCCATTTTCACCCACTAATGAGAATAGAATTCAAATCCCTGAAATTTTATTAGGTTCAATCTGTATCTCTGCATGTTCTTTGTATGCAGTCTCTGCAGGAAAGCTTCAGAGTATTTGTTCTAATAATACTGCAGATAAAGTCTTTATCGGCTTTTTATTTTTTATTTTTGAATATTGCTGTTGTGCCTCACAGGGTTTCCATCCAAAAGGATTATTCCTTCCAGAGAGAATTTGTGAATATTGGAGGCTGACATTTTTCTTTGACGCAAGGAGTATGATGTTTGTTATTTTAATCATTGCCTGGGTAACAGTAGGGGCATGACAAATGGGATTTAAAGGGCAACCAACATTTCCAGACGTGAATCTTGATGTGAGCCTTAGTGTTGATGTAACCTCTATAAGCTCAGCTTCAAGTGCTAGAAAATAAGCAACTTAACATGTATATTGATTTACCTGTTTTTATTGTACTGGCTCAATTTTGCTTAGGCACATATTCTGCTGCGTAGAAGGCTCAAGGGCTAGGAATCTCTCTAATGGGATGTAAAGAACCCTCTTGCGCTTAACAGGCAGGATCCCCTATGTATGTATGGAGGAACTCTTGAGCAAAGCACCAGCATATCAGCAACTTGGGGAATGGTGGAGATGTGAGAAGATCACATCATCCTTGTATGCGAGTAAAAGCGAAAGTCGTGCTTTCAGGTGGTACGAAAGTGACCTTGTACATATCTGATAACTTCCCCAGTTTTGCTTGTTCCTGCTTTGTTGGAGAGCATTGTGCGCGAGTTCTAATGGTCTTTGAAAAACAAACTTTCAGCACATAAGCTTGGGCCCTAAGATAAGATAACTTAATCAAGTTCATGGGAGGAATTCTTCCTGTCCCTTCCTCCCATTTGCAGCCACTCGCTTCCCTGAATGGAGAATGGAGAGAGACATTTGTATGGGTAGAAGCCTCTGACTTTGGCATGGATGGAATTTAGCCTGCTGTGTAAAGATAAAGAGTCACATCCATTGCTCTGACTGCTTTTGCCTCCGGCCCCACCTACCACCGGCAATGTGGACCCAACCCTTCTGCTTAGCCTCACTGTGACATGAGTTGAGTTTGCTCTCCCTCCTTTGTGTCCTTGCAGAAGATGTCTGGGGAACTGTCCTTGCACATCGACACCAAGGAGCCACGATGGGACCAGAGCAGCTTCACAGGGAGAGCAAAACACTTCTTCACGGTGACAGATCCTCGCAACCTTCTGCTCTCTAGCAAAACTCTGGAAGAGGCCCGGAGGGTGATTGAGGATTACAGGTTCTCTTGTTAGTCTGGGGATTGCTTTGGTCCTTAGAGAATGACAAGGAAGGCAGTGCCAGGAGTGAGGGGGTGAGGTTGTGGGGAATCCTGATGTTGTGCTATCTAGAGGCTTTTAAAGCACTTGGTGTTAGCTGTCCTCTAATTCCTGGAATTCGTAGATTCTTCTTAGCACTCTGGAGTGGCTTGTTGACTTTCAATATAGTGGCTCTGGGAAAGCAGAAGCAGGGAGAACGAACTCCTAGGAAGAGGGATGCACTTTTAGAAGGAATGGAAAGATGAAGCTTAGAGAATAAGTTTATTTACAGGCCACTTTCCCAAAGGATGCTCCAAGTGGCTCACAAGAAAAGCAAACAAATCAATTTATAGGTGCAACGAAGACATAAATATATCATAAATGCAGTCTTTTGTGTTCCCATTAGCAAACAAACATATTAGTATTAACGATTCCCTCATTAGTATTAATGTCTCCTCCAGTGACTACTGGCCATTGGTGACAGAGCATTAGCATAGTCCCAAACCATTTCCCTGTCTACACATCCTATTCCAAACCCAATATTTTGAATTAATCAGAACATTCAAAGGAACCCATCCAAGACTATCCACAGGGCAACTGGTTCATTTGAAGAGTCTCCTTGCATTTCACAGTGTACATGAATAGAGAGGAGTGTTGAGGGGTACAGTACCTCTGGTCATTGCTAATACAGCTATTCTTACCTCCCAAACTGACCCCGCCTCTTCCTAGTACAGTGCGTTGATACTTCCTGCCCCAGCAACCTCCACAGCAAATCTTCTCATTTCCCTAAACTGCCTCCAATCTTCTTTCCTTTTCTTGATTGTTTCAGGAAAGGGAAGGTGTCGCCAGGATTGACTGAGGACCAACTATGGCGGGCGAAATACATCTACGACTCGGCTTTCCACCCGGACACTGGCGAGAAGATGATCCTGATTGGGCGAATGTCGGCCCAGGTGCCCATGAACATGACCATCACTGGGTGCATGCTCACTTTCTACAGGTACGTGCACAACTTCTAAGGTCCTATTGGTGACCACGCAAACTGCAGCGTGACAACAGCCTTACATTTAATGTAATGCAGCAATTTAGAGGCCTAATTTGAAGCAGTTGGCTGTGATAGGGGTTTAACACTGTTCCCCTCTCTCCCCTGCCTTGGTGCTCAAGTTGCTCTTAGCTGCAGGTTAGGGGAAAAAGACAAATACTATATGGGCAAGTACCCCTGAGGGAAATGCCAGCTTTGGGGCAGGAAGAGGGAGCAATCTAACATTGTGGCTGGGGGGAAGAATTAACCCCATTTTCCCCCATGCCATGGACCTTACCTAGGGTTGCCATATTTCAAAAAGTGAAAATCCAGACACAAAAGTTGTTGAGTTTTCTATTTTTAAGGAAAATCGACACTGCCAACAAGGGTTGCCATACACCTGGATTTTCCCAGACATTTTAGCAATTTCTGCCGGGACACTGCTTCCGACTGCAATATCCTGGCTATGTCTGGGAAATTCTGGAGTTATAGCAACCCTACCTCACCCAAATTGCCCCTAACATCAGCTAGTTTTAATGAAATAAAAAAGACAGAGATCTGTTCATGGATTTTCTGTGTTGGATGTAGTTTGGCTCTAAATCTGAAGGAGAAAGGAAGTGCTGTGTATGGCGTGGAACAGTGGCATTGAAACTGCATGCGTACCTCATTGAGTGCTTTTGTGTGTATGTATGGAGGAGGGGCTGCGAGAAGCACACACCAAATCAGTACATAGAGCTCGTTCGCTACTTCTTTGAGAATTAGCCTAACATTCTGGTTTTTGTCATATTTATGGGAGCCCTGACTTTTCTTTTTCCTTGCAGAACAACCCCTGCTGTTCTGTTCTGGCAATGGGTGAACCAGTCATTCAACGCCATTGTCAACTACACTAACCGGAGTGGAGATGCTCCCATAACCGTCAGGTAAGAAGACACTGAGTACCGCCCAAGAGCCCTGGAAATGAATGCAGACATATTTGTGGGAAATTTGCCATGGGATTGCCTGATACCACTATAGGAGCTGCCTCTACAGGGTAGCTTTTCAGGACCCATACCTGCCAAGGAAGCAGATCATCAGGCCCCAAAAATTCTGCTTCCTCATCCCAGATGGCTATAGGTGTGGACTCGGATTATTCCACATTTGTTCAGGAGCTCCTTCCTAATTACATTTCAAGTGGAAGCCATGACAAAACATTGCACTGTTGAGTAATCCTATTCAGGGTGCCAGCCAATTTTCAGAATACTCCATTTCATCCTCCTTCCCACCTGTTTCTCTGCCCCCTACAACAGCCAGCATTCTATTGCTAGTGAGCATGCTCAGTCCTCACTGGGCTGTGTTTGGGCTCCTTCCCTTCGGTTCATAGTTTCCCTTAAGTTTTCTTTTGAACTTCTGCGAAATTTGAGACTCCCCCAAGTCTGCTGGTACCTCCCTCTTGTGCCTGAATGGGTGCCATTTTTGGTGGGTGGGGATCCACACTGGGAGAATGAATTCACTCTTAGCCTTTTCCCATTGTAAATCCCAGGAAAATCCATGGGAGCTAATTCTTCAAAGTGGCGTGCCTAGGAAGCAGTGGTAGTCCCATTTGTGGGGTCAAGAGGAGAGGATTGCAGGGGCTGGGCTTTCCAGGAGTCATGGAGGGAAAGCTTGAAGTCAGAAGCAAGGTAGACCGTGGTGGAGACCTCCTGTGCAGAAACGGGTAGGGAATGAGGCAAGAAGGAACACTGGCAGTGCTAGGAAAGGTGGTAAAGATGTGTGACTGCTTAGTCTTGGTGGGGATTTTTAATGGTGGGAAATAGGAATGTTCCTGCATGTCCCACCCATTGAGTACCTTTCCCAGGGGAAGCATTAGGGCTGGGACTAGACAGGAGGAAGTTGAGGGTATCTTAGCCTCACCTGGTTGTCTGCTTCCTTTACAGCCAGCTGGGCACTGCCTACGTCAGTGCTACTACGGGAGCTGTGGTCACAGCACTGGGCCTCAAGTCCCTCACCAAGGTAAGGGACCCGCCGGCTGTGTCTGCCCTGGCACAGCAAGAAGGATATGCCTGTTCTTTGAGATTAAAGTGTCGCACTTTGGTGTTACAAACAAGACCTTGCATAGGACAAGTGACTCTCTTTCTTTATTTGGTTATCTGCATTCCCTGGCCACTGAGCATGCTCAGCACTCACTGAGATGTTTGGAAAGGTTTTCTTCCACTGGTTTTTTTTTTGGTGTGTGTGTGTGTGTACTTCTGCAAATCTTTGGTTCCTCTTCCTGTTTTCTCTTGTGCATAGGTCAGGCCTGTGCAAGGGGGGTGGGCAGCTGGGTACACTTTCCCTGGACCTATTCATCCTGCTGTTAATTCAAACTGTAACACATGCCTCCTCTCTCTTTCTCTTTCCCTTTCAACTCTTCCACCTCGGTAGCACCTTCCACCCATCATTGGACGCTATGTGCCTTTTGCAGCTGTGGCAGCGGCTAACTGTATCAACATACCATTAATGAGGCAGAGGTAAGATAGGGCTGTGTGATGGGGAGAGGGTAGGAACCTAGGAAGATGCCTTACAGTGAGTCAATCTAGCATGTGGTTTTGGTTCCTGGGGAGTGGTCAGGTGGGATAATGTGATGGAGCTACTCCACATTGTTCTGTGGTCCTATACCACATTGTTCCAGACCATCCTTTTCTGGAGATCCAGCAGGACAGATATGGTCCTGTGCTGTCTGGTGGGGTGGGTGGGATTTGTAGTCCAAAACAACATCTGGAGTTGAAGCCTAGTTTAATACTTGTGTTCCTGGTCTAGAAAGACACGAAGCACAGACACCTAGGACTCAGAAGAATTGCTGCATTTCTGGCAGCAAGAGAAAGGAGAGGCTGAAAATGACAATAAAGGGTTGTGTTATTCCCCCCCCCCCTTAACCATTTTTACAGGGAGCTAAAGCTTGGTATCCCCATTACAGACGAGAAAGGAAATCGGTTGGGTGAGTCAAAGGCAGCCGCTCAGCAAGCCATTGCACAAGTGGTGGTGTCTCGAATTGGCATGGCTGCACCTGCCATGGGTAAGTAGCTGCTGCATTGGCAGTGGCCATTGGTGAGAGCGGAAGCAAATACTTGAAGTTCCAACTTCGCCAATAAGGGATAATACTTTTTTATGGGTGGAAATGTGAATGATTTTGATTTGCTGGCTTCTCTCAATTTTTTTGTAAGATTCAGATATGAAATATTATAAATTGAGGAGTGTTTCTTATTAACTATTAATTAATTTGGATGCTTGATGTACATTGATGTGCTCAGTGACAGAGCACATGTTTGCATGTGGCAGGGCCCAGGTTAAACCTTTGGCACTTTTAATTTAAAAGGGCCCTAAGATCTGCTGATGGAGGGCAGTACAATGGTGTAGCCTGGGGGGGTGCCAGGGGGACCATTGTTCCAGGCGCACAATTGGGGAGGCACGAATCAGGCACCCTTCCCCCGCAGAGATCCGGCGCATAAGTGCCCGCCTGCCGGCAGGGGCTACATAGCACAGAGGGTGAAGAACACCCTTCGTGTCCTGTGCCCCCATTTGAGCATTCACAGATTGCCTGGAGAATATTTGACATAAAAATTAAGCATTTTGAAGAGCCCGTTAATTTTAGTTCTGCTTTTGGTGCATACATGCTGTGCTATTTTGTCATTATCTCCTGAAAGCTTCTACCAAGGTAGAAATCCTGTTTAAGTTGTTGGCATTTGCAGGGCAAAAACAAAATGACAATCTGGGCTGCCTTCGCACGGCAGTTTATTCCATTCTCATGGCTTTCCCCTAACTTCTAAGTTCTGCATTATATTTGAGCTTTCACATGATGTAAGAGCGACTTCTGGAACCGTAGTGGAACATAGTGCAAGTTAAGTGCTCGTTTCCCCGTTTGCAAATAATATGGAAACCAGTGCTTAACCTGTGCTGTATTCCACTATAGTTCTAGAAGTGGCTTTTACATTGTGTGAAAGCATAAATATAATGTGGAAATGTCATGAAAATGAAATAAACTGCCATGTGAATGCAGCCATAAATCAAATTCCATTACCAGTTGGGACACCTCTGAGCTATTAAGTTTGTGAACTACTCATTGTGATGTTAGTTTCTGAGTATCCTCAATGGATTCCAGGAATTCCTAGAGAAATAAAACAACAACAACTCTAAAACCGATTCAAAACGTGCAGGAGACATTTGGCTGGCTGGGTGTGTCTTTAATATTCTCCTTCCTCATTTTCCTTATAGCCATCCCTCCTGTGATCATGAACGCGCTAGAGAAGAGAGCATTTTTGAAGGTAGGTCCTTTTGGATCTTAGTTCAGCTCCCAGGCCTCCATTCCTATAGGCTGAGAAGGATGTGGTTGCTTTCCTGAGATGAGCCATATTTGTGTGTGTGTGTGTGTGTGTGTGTTCAGCTTACTTCTCAACCCTCATGAACAGGAGAGGGTTATGGGCCTCATGTCCTGGTTGTGGGCTTCCCAAGGGCGTTCAGTTGGTCACTCTGCAAACAGAATGCTAGATTGCATAGGTCTTTGGGTTGATCCAGCTGGGCTCTTCTTATCAGGAAGGGGAGTTTAATTTCTTAGAAGGTGTATTGACTGCCATCTTGGAAATGCTAGTGTCAAAAATATTCAAAGCTTCTTAAGGAGGGGTGGCTAACCCTTGGCCCTCTAGATGTTGCCATCATCCCTGACCATTGGCCATGCTAGCTGAGACTGTGTTGTAGTTTAGCACTATCTGGAGTGCCACATAGGGCTTTCCTCAAGAAACGTATGAGTGCTCCTGCTGGGTAAATGGCTGCACCTCTGTAAGCAACAAGCGACAACAGCTGCTTTGGAAACAGATGTAGATGCTGAGCACGAACCAACGCCTTGTGTTTCCTTCTAGCGGTACCCTTGGATGAATGCTCCTCTGCAGGTTGGGCTGGTGGGCCTGTGGTAAGTGTGCTTCTTCCCTTGTACAATTGGGAGTATTGTATGTCAGGAGGAGAGAACAGGTTGCCAGAGCTCTCTGAGAAGAATGTCAGTGCAAATTGTGGTCACATTCACACTGTATATATAAAGTGCCATGATACCACTTTAAACAGTCACGGCTTCCCCCAAAGGATTCTGGGAGCTGTAGTTTGTTTACAGTGCTGAGTTTGTTAGGAGGCCCATATTCCCCCCCCAAAAAAAGCTGCAATTTCCAGAGTTCCCTGTGAAGAGGAATTGAATGTTAAATCACTCGGGGGACTGTAGCTCTGTGTGGGCAGCAGGGATCTCCTAACAACTTAACGAACCCTTAGCACCCTTAACGAGCTGCAGTTCCCAGAATACTTGGGGAAAGCCATGGCTGTTTAAATTGATACCATAGCGCTTTAAATTTATGGTGTGAATCTAACCAGTGTGGGGAAGTAGAGTTCCTATGACTGGGGAGGCTCAGGTTCAAATCGTCTCTCAGCCAGGAAACTCACTTTCTCTCAGACCAACCTGGTCGTGGAGGCTAAAATTGGGGGTAGCTGGTTGGGGTATGATGACCTAGGAGCCTTGAGCTCCTGGGATGAAAGACAAGACAAGCATGGAATAAATAAGTAATAAAGAAACACGGCTTTTGACTAAAACCAGATAGCACTTGGCTTACAGAAGCAAGTGAGGTAATCTCCTGAGACAGTATGATTGTGGGAATCAGGCACGGGGACCCACATTCCATGGCCCTTCTGGGTTTTCTTCCCTGGCAACTGTGACTTGACCTTTAGGCTGATCAGGAATTCTACCAGTTCCTAGTAATGTATATCAGTTTGAAGGTGTTGAAATTTCTGAGTGGCAACCTGTTCCATTCTGAATATTTTAACTTTTGTGGGTTGCCCCCCCACAAGCCCCATTGAAATGACATTAACATGGTACCCTGCTTATTTGTAATGGATCAGGCAAGGTAGCTTTCATGACATAGTGCTATTCCTTTTGGAAATTTGACTAGATCCCCATTCCAGGAAAATGGGTTGGGGGCCTTTTGCCAACCTGGTGCCCTCCAGATGTTTTTGATGATCAGTTGTAGTTGGGAGTTGTAGTCCAAAACATCTGGAGAGCTCCAGGTTGGTGAAAGAGGCACAAGAGAAAAGCTTTGATTGGGATGCAAGATACTGCACTCCATTGTGTGTTGTTCGGCATCTACAATTCTGACTGGGAGAAAGAAAGCAGCCTATACCCCCAACACATAGAGCAACATAGAACATTGCCATTGCCCCCCCCCAGGTTGGTGGGAGGGGGGTGAGGGTTATTTCCCCCCAGAGCGACTCCCTTGCCCATCCTCCAAGGCAGAAGTGACTCCTCTCCTGTCTTTGTTTTTCCAGTTTGGTGTTTGCTACCCCTCTTTGCTGTGCACTCTTCCCCCAGAAAAGGTAAGCATGTCATTGCATGTTATATTCTACGAGAGTGGTTTCTGGGGTCCATTTGGGGTCCAGCCACCCAGGGGGCTCGTGGCACATACTCATCAACTGTCTGGGACATCCCGTTTGGAGGGGCTGCGCTCTCGAGTGAGATCTTGTGCTCTTGCGTATGGGTCACATAGACCTTAATGGACCTGTTAGTCATGTTCATTAACTTCAGGCAGTCTGTTCTGAGTAGACCTAGCACTGAATGCAAGTCTCAGTGCTAAATCTGTATAATTTTGAATGGGGAGTTCCTCATAAACTGTTTCTTTTCTTTTTTTTAATATTTTGCTTTTCAAAGTCAACATTTTCACAACTGTTTACTTTCAATTCAAAATTTGAAAAGGTGTTTTTTCCCTTGTTTTTTTTGCCGGGGTGGGTGGGGGAAGAAGCATTATTTTGAAAAACATGGCCTTTTTAATGTTTGTGTTGCTGCGGTTTTCATGCCCTGCTGGTGTGTTACAGTCTTGAAGCCTGATCCTGTCTTAAGTATAGAAGCAATCCTATATTCTTTAGGAATCACAGATGTTTCCCCTTTCTGCTTGGGAGGTTTTCAAATGGGGGCAATGCCACAGTTGGGGGAAATGCCACACCGTGTGGGAAAGAGCATCCCACATGAAGTTTGAAGAAGACACTTCTGGTCACCACATGCTTGGGACCTGGTTTCTCCTTCAGCGACTGTGGTGTTCTCCAGAAGCATACATGGTGGACACACTGTAAGCATCTCTTCCCCATAATATACAGATTAGCCTACTGCTGATTTAAAACATGACATGGGAGGTCATAGCCCATTTTTCAGAGCATGGCTGTGCACCTCTTGAGATAGCCCTGCCCCATAACTTTGCTTTCCATTTCCTACTCTCTCCTTTGCCCTAAGAACTAGAAAAACATCTTGTTTTCCTTTTTCCAGCTCAATGCGGGTGAGCCGCCTGGAACCTGAAGTCCAAGCTCTGATCAGGGAGAAAAACTCTGACATTGAGGTTGTCTACTTCAATAAAGGGCTTTGAGAGAAGCTTCCTCATACTACCCTGGTATGGAGTAAAAAAAACAGGAAGAAGTAGAAGAACCAGGGATCCAGTGCTCCTGAGGAGAAATTTACACTTTGTAATAGTATAATCCCTTTTATATGCTGCTTTCTTATTGGCTGTCAAGTCATGGCAGGCCCTATGTGTATGATATAACCTTCCTGAATTCAGGTGAACCTTAGGGTAGATTGTAATGTGGCAGTGTGGCAGTTGCAGTGATGTACGTTCATACTCTGAACAAAGCAGAAACATTCCAGTGATGACCCATTTGGGTTTCAGGAGCAAAGAAGTCCTTAAGCCTAAATCCTTACATTACACAGAGTTCTACAGTGGTATGTGTACAGGTGTGGATGTATGTGCACTATAATCTTAATGATGTATTATCCTAAGAATGATAACCTTGAGAAATGTTTGGGAAGAGGAGAAATCCATGGGACACTTGAGAATCAGTTGCTACATGGAAGGCAACTTGCTGTCCTGGTTAGTTGGAGTTTCATGCATTCAGAGGTAAAGGAGATCACTCTCCCACATAAGAGCATTATGTGTTTTTGCAATACCTATGTTCTTGAGATGTTTTTTCTCTAGACAACCTTTGTTTTTGCAACCAAAACATGTTTTCCAAGAACCTCTGCATTCTCTTCCTGTTCTGATACTTTGCTGATAAGAGAAATGTACGAGAATGACAGTATGTGCAGCCTTGAAACCACAAAACCCATGATGCAGGGTGAGCGCTAGTCAAATAAGCACACTGCTTCCTACATAGGGAAGCAAGCAATTGACCATATTGAGTTCGCAGGAAACCGCTAAAATTCAAACAGGTTGGTGGATTTTCTATCAGCAATCTTCTATTCGGAGGTGAGCACATGCTTCAAAGATGAAGCAAAGATCTGGTGTTTGCATAATTATGTCATGGGAGATGGGATCATGGAAATCAGCTGATCCTAACATGCCCCTTATCTGCCCCTTGGAAACCACAGAATTTCACATAAAGTGGGAAGGGATGTGTCTATATATGTAGAGGCTTCACCCCTTATGTTCTGCTTAGCTGTTTTAGCATAACCACAGCAATATTTTGTACGGTTGCATAGCTTGCTTGAAGGCCCAGGGCGATTGATAGGGATGGCATCCAAACGGAGCATCACTTCTGCCAGCTTCATTGGATCAGGTGAGGGTTGTGACAGCAGCAACCCCATGCTCATGGGGCCTGATGGTTTCACCTCCCAGACCGAGAAAGAAATCTGTTCTGCTTACCCTTTCCACACACTCACTCCCCCAAACCTTTCATTAATACCATGGGTGGTATCCAACTAAGTGGTTCCTCTGGTGCAAGCATTTTAAGAACACAATACAAGCCTACTGGATCAAGCCAATGGCCCATTCTCATAGTTGCGGACAAATGCCAATGGGGAGCCTGCAAGCAGGACATGCGTCTAACAGCACTCTGCCCACCTGGGTTTCCCATCACCTGGTATTAAGAGGCATAACGTCTCTGGCAGTGGAGCTGGAACATACTTATTGTTGTGCAAAGGAACGTCTGCTCCCTCTCCTCTCCCTGTGTCCCCCATCCCCTGAATCTGTCCTAGGGGTTCCCAACCCTCAAGAGCGAATGGGCGGGGCCTTGGGGGCACATGGAGAGGGAACAGCAATATGAAGAATTCTGTTGTGCAAGCAGAAATCTCACCATTTAGTTGGAGAATTCCTAACCCCACGCTCCAAATTTCTTAAGCACATACCTTGTTGCTCCAAGTGAATACTTACTTGGGTGAATTTGTCAGGTAGAAAATGGTCACACCTGCCTGAGAGCATAAATGACTCTCTTTGGTGGATGTGGCTGTGACTGAATAGTGGTACACATAAGTATCTCTTCTTTATCTGGACCTGTACTTTACCAGAACAGTTGAGACAACCACTCTGAGGTTTTGTTTCATTTTTACAATCAAGCAGTACATAAAATCTTACAAAATAAATAAAATAATAAATGACGTTCCGGCATTTGGGAAGGTGTGTCTGCACAAAAGCTCTTGGGTATCTGGTTTGATGCTTTATTTGCTAAAGCAGTATCCAGTACTCACAAGTGTGCACTAACCACAAGGTTTGTTTTGGACCCTGATTCAGCACTTTGGAAATTACTCCAGTTTGGCTCAGACAGTTTGAAGGCTGCCTGGTTCATCTTGGCACCGTATCAGAATACTGATCTGGGAAAAGCTGAAGCTTTGTGCCTCCCCATTGGCTGTCATGAGGAAATCAACAAATTATTATAGCCTCTTTCCATTTGACAGAATTGTATGCAATTTGCAAGCATAGCAAACCCTTTGGACTGGAAGAAGCCTGCCATAATTCCAGTCAAAAAGGTGCAGGTTTGTTTGTGCTAGACTTCTTCCACCCTTTCCCCACCTTGGCTTTCTTCTTAAATGGAAAGCTTGAGGAGAGATGTTGTCATTTTTTTGCAAACACACTTTCTGACTCTGAATCAACATTTGCTCCTAATAAAGAAAGTAATGTGGGCAGGAGGTTTTCTGCAGTATTACCCTGTGTTGATTATGGTACCTGCCTTGTAACCCTACAATTCCTTCTGTCTGCCATGTAGACTTAACTGGTCAGTGCTAGGATCAGATTTGTGTGTAGTGATCAGGTGCACTGAATCAGCGCATCCATAAGATGCCTTTGGGTGGATTTGACCCATAAAAATTCTCTTCGCTGATGGTCTGAAGGGATAAAATGCTCTACAGCAATGTCCATCCCTGTAGTCCATGCTGTTGCATATTCTGCACAATCTAGCATCAGATTTCATTTGCTCAGAACGTTTAGTTCAATGTCATTTTTGCCCTTGACTTCAGCAGCAGCAGCAGGGTCCATAGTACTTATTTGACCTAAGCAACACACACACAGAGCTAAACTGGAACAAGTGTGTGTGATGACAAATGATGTTTGGCCTGCAAAGTAGAATAAAGAACTGCCAGAACTGCCTTCTCCAAAGGTGGATGAAGGTCAGTGGCTTAATCCAGTTTTATGTACTTTTTATCCCTGGAGCAAATCATTTATTTTAATCTGAGCAGAACGCCTGGGTTTGCATGCTTGCTTCCTTTGTTAAATGTCATCTTTGCTGGAGCCTCAGAGTTCCATCAGGGGTTACTATATATGCTCTTTATCACACTCGCTTAATGAGACCTCATCTGATCCAACTCTTACAAGCTTAAAATGGTTTGAGTCAGCTTATTTTTCTTTTACTGTGTTGGGTTATGTTTGAGGCTTATTTTACCAAATGCAAAGCAATGTTTGTGCAGGAATCCTCATTGATTCCATGTTATACCTCTTGTATAGCTTTAAATAAGGCATCTGTTTCCAAATAAAGAATATAATTTCTGTCTCTTGCACATGTCTTTGCTGTTTTCTTGAACTGACAGGTAAAATGCATTGCTATGTTTCTTGCTCGCATATAGCAGATTTTAATGCAGAGTTTTGTTTTAAGGAAATGTGACCAAAATTACTCCTACTGGCGATGAAGGCAAAAAGCTTCCTGCTAACTTCCAAGTGTGGGTCCCCTAATTCCCACCCACATTCTTCAAAGGTTAATCCGTTTATGATTACAGTGATTATTCCTGTTCATGGAAGGGCTATGCTGTCATTTGAGCAAAGAAATCAGTATACTCTCCAAGATGTGTCCCACATTCCAGGCCATTTTTCACTTTACAAAATTCCTACACAAAAGACAACCTGTATGTAGCGCATCATGTCGTGATTTATTCTGAGAGCACTTAAATGTTACTAAGCACTGTGCAAAGCTAATTTAAAACCACAGGGGCTTCCTTGCAGGCCTACAGTCTTAAAGCTTTCTGATGTACCAAGCAACAAAAAGTGGGAGAGCGAATGTGATCTAGACAAGAAGGGAAAGGAAACAAAAAACTTGTGCATGTGTTAGGAGGTTGTGGGCCACTTTTGAGCTCCCACTGCGTGTATAAACAGCAAAAACTCAATGTGTGATAATCATGCATAACAATCTACATATTTCTTCCACAGCAGAGGAAGCACATGCTGAAGAATACTTAGGCTCTGATCTAGAAGTCTTTTGACTGAAGATCAAACATGGGAACTTACAAGTTCTCAAAGCATGTATTTGTATCACTGAGGAATTGTGCGCTCAGGGCTTGTCACTTTCTGCAGGGATGTACAGACTTGCAGAATCCACTTTGGTGTTTTTTTACTAGAGATTCACCAACCAGAGTCTGGTGTAAAAGACATACACATGGAATGAGAGTATTCTGAGCCTTGGAATTTGTTTTGAATATCAGAATGGAGTGAAGCTTGCAGTTCCTCTGCACGAAAATCCACTCCCAGTTACTGCAGTCTTCATTTCATTACAGTGGTACTTCGGGTTAAGAAATTAATTAGTTCTGGAGGTCCGTTCTTAACCTGAAACTGTTCTTAACCTGAGGTACCACTTTAGCTAATGGGGCCTCCCACTGCCGCCGCCACACAATTTCTGTTCTTATCCTGAAGCAAAGTTCTTAACCCGAGGTACTATTTCTGGGTTAGCGGAGTCTGTAACATGAAGCACATGTAACCTGAAGCATATGTAGCCCGAAGTACCACTGTACTATGTATGTTTGTGCGTGTGTGTGTGTGTGTGAGAGAGAGAGAGAGAGAGAGAGATTTTGTTGCTGCTATTGTTAACCAATTTGGATTTGGAAATTGTTGCCATTCTACAGCAGATCACCCAGAGTTCTATCAGTTGATCCAGATCTTTCTTCCCACCTCTGATCAATAGTGACTTAACCAAGAGAACCAAGTCTCTGGCCAACATTGGACATATATTTGTGACATATGAAAAATCCACTTGCACAACATGCCCTGACTTGAGTGAGAAAAGAATTGAGCCCAAAGCCAAGGGAAGAGGGGCAGGTGCTGGCTGCAAAGGCTCTCATTCCCATCTGCTTGCCATGTGAGCCTTCTGCCCTGTTCCCTCCCGCCTCCTCCAGCTTAGCATATTGCACGGATGGATCTGGGACGAGCCATCAATCAATGGCTGATAAATAATGTAGGAGTCTGCGGTGCAATAAGACTTGTCAATTGCAAAGCTGCCCTCATAAATTAAAGATGAAAAGGTACAAGGCTCTTGCCAGAAAAATGAAGACAAATTTTTAATAGCTTGCCAAGATGCTGCGAGATGGAATGCTCAAGAAAAATGAATTACGTTTTTATTATGTGTTTTATTATGCTGTAATGAGCGGGATTAGTTGAGAAAACAATACATTTCTAATGCATCTGAGTGGAAGGAGAACCCCAGGCACACTTTTGCAGCCCTCCCCTCGCTTTGCCTCCTCATGCAGACAATCTGAGCATATCCCACGGAACTTGCAGTGAAAGGGAAACTTGCTCCAACATGGGAGCAGCCTGGGGGGAAAGTTTGGGGTGGCGGAGGGTTATTTTTGATGGAATGGGATAGTACACTGGGTCCTAGGCTACACAATTGCCATGCAGAGGTCAACAGGTAGAAAGCAGTGGCGGCAGATAGAAATAAATAAATACAGTGGCGGCAGGGGAAATAAATACTTGAGGCTTGTAGCCAAATTCTTGACTGACTGTGCAAAGGCAATATGCAACAATTCCAGACCGCCTTACATTTGCAGTTTGTTCTATGCACACCTCACTAATGATTTTTGCATTCCTCACACCCCATTCATTCCTATGAACCAGTGTTCTTCAGTTTTAGGTCCTCAGATGTTGTTAGACTACAATTCCCATCATTCTTGACTATTGACTAAGCTGACTGAGGATAATGGGAGTCCAACAACATCTGGCGACCCAAGATTGAAAACCACTGCTCTGGACCATTTTCTAAGCCCACTGTTTGTCTCGCCACACAGCCTTCCCATGCCCTCTGCTTCCCCCTTTTGTAGGTCACTACAGTGCTCTTCCTCCTCCATGCAACCTTCGTGTCTGTCTCTTTGCTGTCTCTTCAGTCAATGGCTGCCAGAAATCTCTGCCCGCCTCCCTCTTTGTAACATTAGGACAACTCAGCCAGTCAGTGCTAGAGGTTTCATCTCCATCAACCTTCGGAAAACCCCATCAGTGTATTGGGATGAGACATACAAGTACATAACTTAACTTCCAGAACAGCTGTGTTCTTTTTGGATCCACATGGCCTTACAGAATAAAGACCCCTCCTATAACACCAGTTCACGAGCTTTGCAGAATCCCACAGAGCACACATATGTGATTAGAGACCCACGGCTTAATAAACTCACTTAATGCCACTTCTTAGTACAGCTCTCATAATGTTCCAGGAAAGGTCAGATAAACTGAAATGTACTAAGAGAAAAACAATCTGAAGTCACTCAAGTGGGAGGCTGTTTATGTAAAACAAGGTTCAAATAAATGTGAATTGCAAACTGCAGGAAACGGCATTTTACGTCATGAGTAGACTTATTACTTGATGTAGTCCACCTCCAGACTGCCACCGTTTTGTGGGAAGAATTCCACTGCATACCAGAAAGTTACCGATAGCTTTGTACTGTTACAAAGTGGATTAAAGTGCTGTGGTGTTCTGATGCAAGAAATTCCCTTTTTAATGGACTTCTGGTTAGGAAAGTGATGGGGAAATACGCTAAAAACTTTATGATAAGAATTTATTGATAGGAAGATGTATAAGTTCTCATCAAACAAACTGGGATGAATGCTCATTGTCATATAACCTCCCTGCAAACAAATGAGAACGAATGTTCAGTAAAGAATGGGCATCATATAATTTCTGCATACGTTTTATGCAAGCAAATCAGAATGACTGCTCTCCACATCAAATGGAGGGCGCCCTTTGCGTTCCCTCATTTGCGGCAGCACCCCGCCATCCTACATGACTCCCGGCAGAGCACTCCTGGACCGCCTCCCCAAGTTGTAAACCTTGAGGTTCCTGCCAAACCTCAGTTTAAAGAACCAATAGCGACTGAGGAGGCATAGCCAGGGGAACAGACCAAGTAGAAGAGAAGCAGAGTTTGGATTTGCTATCCCGCTTTATCACTACCCGAAGGAGTCTCAGTGGCTAACGTTCTCCTTTCCCTTCCTCCCCCACAACAAACACTCTGTGAGGTGAGTGGGTCTGAGAGACTTCAAAGAAGTGTGACTGGCCCAAGGTCACCCAGCAACTGCATGTGGAGGAGCGGAGACACAAACCCGGTTCACCAGATTACAAGTCCACTGCTCTTAACCACTACACCACGCTCCCAGCCTAAGTAACGGTTGGGTCCGCTCTTTAAGCATAACGTCACAACTTTGGTGGTTATAGGCCTTGGGCGGAATTCTTTAGTCTATCTTCCCTAAATGGGAGGGCATGAAGCGGTGACACCCCCCCCCCCGCGGTGGCAATCCCAGTGTTCCCCATTAATGAGGTTGTGTTGAGGGGAGTCACTGGCCATACACTGAAAGGTTGTCAGTGCACTCCCCTGAGCTGCGGTGAAATGGGAGGTGGGCTCTCTGCTTAAACATACGTCTTCCAGAGCCAGCCCAATATCCAAACAGACTGGATAACCCTGATGTGCCCCAGATCCCTGGCTGGGGACTGGGAGGGATAAACGCCCAACGCCTAAGCCAAGGTCTTCCTACATCTGAAAGTTTAATAAAGTTGTGGTCAATTTTACTCCCATAACACGTTGTCACAAGTCATTATTCCACCCGGGTGTCGCCAAAGGTCGGGGGGTCTCCACCTGGCCACGCAATGAATGTTCAATCAACAGGTCATCTGGAGGAGTCCCAAGAAACTACAGTAAAATTGCTTCAAGACACCCCTTCCCATATTGAAGGAATCATTATACACCTGTCGCTAAAATTGTATGTATGTATGTATGTATGTATGTATGTATGTATGTATAGCTTGACTCATCTAGGGAGAGGGATGGGGTAGAATTTCAGTTTGGTTCTGATTTTAATGCAAACCTACCTAATTTGTACTTTTCAAAACAATATGTGCACTAAAAAGCAGCCTACCCTTTGGAATTTGTGCAACTCTGAATTTTGCGAAGCCTAACTCCATCCAAATAATGTATATACAAATGTGTCTATGGGGGGGGGTAAATGTGCCTTAAAAAATCATATATTAGTGAAAATGGCATGTAAAATGTGTTATATTAAGGAAGATCGCTTGCAAAAGCGATCTGGCAAAATTGCATCCAAAACCGCTACATTTGAGGGAAAGGCTGAAAGATAAGGCACACTTAGCCTATAAAGGAGAAGTCTAAAAACCCTCCTCTGATTCCACTTGTTTTATTACGTATTTATTTATTTAAAGCATTTATAAGCCTCTTGATGTAGTATATATTTAAAATCCCTACATAATTGCTGCTATGTAATTGTTCCCAGAGGCTATTCAGCCAGATTTTAACTT